AGGCGAGCCGACAGGTTGGCGCAGAGCAGCTTCTCAATACACTGATGAGAGAATTATCGATTCTCTCTCTCTCTCTCTCTCTCTCTCTCTCTCTCTCTCTCTCTCTCTCTCTCTCTCTCTCTCTCTCTCTCTCTCTCTCTCTCTCTCTCTCTCTCTCTCCCTCTCTCTCTCTCTCCCTCTCTCTCTCTCTCTCTCTCTCTCTCTCTCTCTCTCTCTCTCTCTCTCTCTCGACAACAACGTCTGGCGTACCTGTAAATTCCAAATAGTATGTATCAAATGGTATATCTAAATGATGAATATTGTTTAGCCAAATAACGGCAGCATGTCACTCAGCTCAGTAAAATAGCACAAAGTTGCAGCTTTAGCAGCTCAAAAGATACGATAGCATTCTGTTATATACGAATGCCTCTGTTGTCCATCAACAAAAGAGCCCCACAAAACTTGTGTGTACAGCTGTCACAGCTGTCGTAGCAGCTAAAATCATTCGAGCTTGAACTGTCAACAATGTGACAAAATGATTTCACACTAGTTGTCACCAGGCACAGATCAAACACATAGGTATCAAATTTTCACCAAGATTTCGTAATTCACACCAGACTAGACATAGACTTTCATTAGGTACAAACAGCAATCAATGCCTTTGAAATTGTTCTTGATCGAAAAAACATTACAGCATTAATACCTACAGCAGCATACAGCATCATACAAGCTGTAACATACAACATGTGTAATGCTCGCAAGATCGTATGATTCGTAGCAAACCAGCTAATCGATGAAGTTCAACGTTTGGATGCGACAAAGCCCGATGTAATATCCCCATAATCCATTCGCGTGTTCGGCGACCATACTGATCCAACGCCCGTGCTGGGGACTCAGCTCATTTGATCACCACCCAGACACTGAATAGTACATGATGGTTACATTCCCCAAATAGCGTACAAGATTACGGTCATGGGTGTAACGCTTTACGCTATATAATCCAATAGCACTTAGTAACAACCAACCAACGAGCTCAGTGGATGACAGAGCATCATGCTAAAAAGTAAAATATATCAACAGAGTGTATACGTAAAACGCACCAAACAGCCAGGGATAAAAGATTAAATATGACATTTGCATTCTGCAAGCTAGAACATGTCACTATATTTTTTTATTCACGTCTTCATTTACATGTTCTACGACTACAATCATGCTGAATTAATCAATCTCATCGATATTAAAAATGTAGGCCGAAGTTCCAACATCACATGCTAAATAAAACATCTCAATGATTTAGACCAAACTACTCAGGAACCATCATTCACTTCCAACCAAGTTCGCCAGCTTCAACTCTCGGCAATCAGTTGACCTTTCGACTTCAATGGAAGCAATCGGCGACTGGGCTGGCGGCACATCGACCGGAGTCGACTATAAGTTCACTGACAAGATCCAGCCGCCGCAAATATGTTTTGTTTCAACTTTGACCTCAAAAACGGAGAAAGTTTGAGGCAAAGTCGTCGGCCGATATCCGTTCAGAAATGAATGAAAGATGCCACCGGAGAAGCTACGGCGAGCGAACGCGAAATTCGTATCTATTCGGCCCAAAAGATCTATCTAGCATTGATATTTCTAGAAATTATAGCGACATAGGTATCCCTAACACTGCTGTACAACTTTAAACTTACATTGGACAGGCTTAGTATTCGGCAATATCGGACAACTTTAACATGTGACCTTACACCGAACGATACGACGTTTCTGAAGCACATTTTTTCACGATCCGTCAAATACGAATTACATTTCAACTCCGCCTGAAAGTGAAATGATCGGACGGTAATGTAACTATTCAGAATCAATAGCATGCAGAGTGTTTCATTCTAGGAAGCCTGCTACGGAGTGTTCAGCAATAAGTTTAAAACTCCAGGGCTCAATCCGCGAATCATCTCCCTTTGAAATCAGGCTTTCAGCTTAGAAGCGCGGTGAGTCGCTTGGCATATTAGCATCACTTTCATCGAGGGGCCGTTCGAGGGGCCGTCGAGAACCAAGGAGCCGACGAGGGACTTCGAGGGGCCGTTTGAATCATGTGAATTGAAAAAAGTATAACGATATTGTACACTGACTGACTGCTCGCACAGCATACTGGGTATGTATGGTATGAACAACTGGTTTAGGTACCTACATGCGTAGGCCTCGGGCCTCACTAAAAAAAAAAAATCTCAGAAAAATATTCATCATCTAGTTTTCAGCAGCAATAAATGTTTCAGTCGATGCCAGTCCTGGCAAGCAGCACACCATAAACAACAGAATTCATCGTAACTCACTATGACTTGCCAACCACACAAACAACTAAAACAACCCTTTAACGGCCCCCGCTCCAGTCCCAGTCCTCTGCCGTCGGCCGGGGGCGCCCCCGCCGTCCCCCGGCGCTCTCAGTCTGTTCTTTATGCGCCCCGTCACCGCCGTGGTCGCTGATGGCGTCTCGGTTACGAGCCCACGTCCGGCGTGATGACGTGCAATGACCGCCTGAGCCCGTCACCCGTAAACAACGAGCCTTCATTGATTCCGGGGCGGGCTCTGGTGGCCGGTGGCGGAGGTTAGAGTGTAACTCTGTCTGGTAGGTGGCAGCACTATCTAGCGTCGGAGAAACGCTGTCTTTTGCCGATACGATAGCGAGCGCTGTTCCTTGTATGCCGGCTATCAGCCTGTGCAAATACTGTTATCGGTGGGTCTGCACGGCCAGAGTTGTCGCTCCCCTGTGCCAATAGTGTCGATGACTGAGCCTTCTCGGTTCCCTCCCACGTGCGCCCCCCCCCGCCCACCTTCACCCAAAGACCCTCCCTAGCGACGGGCGACCCTCTCCGGTCCTGACAACGAAAAGAATAGCGTAGTCACTGCCGCACTGGGGACGCAGATCAGAATGCACGAGCACTGAAATCATTGGTAATAGATGACAACGAGGGGCCGGGGCAGCTGCATCGATCTTTTCTCAATCCATGTCATCACTAATCACTAATCAGCCGGACCTAATCCTGGATCACAATGGCCTGTTCCATGATGACAGACTGACAGCCACCTCTCACGGGAAACTGGCGGGCTAGGGCAGCTCCAAAGGACCATATCCCTCTGGAGTGTCCTTTCGAAAGGCTGGGTAGCTTGCACCATCAGCGATGACAAATTGAATGGACTCCATCGCTGCCGGCTAAGAGTCACCACCAAGCCGGTGATTAATTCAACCTAAGTCTTCATATACCTAGACCTTATCCTCTCGAGTCTAACTCCTTATCCCTCTCATCCTCAGCTCACATAGTTAGGTCATCATCCCGTCGCTTGTCATCCTTAGCCTTCCAGGCGGTGGGGGGGGGGGGGCATTTTTTTGCCCCCCCCCCTTTAGTTTTTTTCGATATATCTCGAGAACCGCTGCGCCGATCGTCACCAAACTTTCAGTACCCTCCCGGGAGCAGCTAGCGCACATGGTGACCAAAAACTTTTTCCAAAGGCTATGATAGGTTGGCCGCTAATGACGTCAGAGTGACGTCATTTTTGCCATTTTCGACCCAAAAAAGGTTCCGCGGGAAGAGCTGTCAGGCCTACAGCTTTAGAGATACAGAAAAATGTTACAGACATAAAAGGTGTGAAATTAAAAGGGCTACAAAACTGCTATTTCGGTTTTTCGAATTTTTTGGACTTTGACCCCCAAAAATCAAAAAATAGATTTTTTGAATATAATAGCCAAAAAATCCAAAAAGTTTTTTGAATTTCGGAAAAACTGGAATATATGTGATAGCCCCTACCGCCTTCTATCTACATACCAAATTTGAGATCGATACCTCTTTTTTGGCTAAGTTATAGCGAAAAAACTGTTCAAAATTGATGACGTCAAATTTTCAAACTCAATTTTTAGCAATTCTAGACCTCTTAGCGCAAAACAAAGACCACCATTAGACTCCCCGTGACGAGCTGCATCGAATCGATACCCATTTTATGCAAAAATATCAACTTTGAAATTTGACCTTTTTTACCTGACCTTGACCTGACCTCCACCAGAAAGTGACCTAAGCCGTACCTGATGGTCTTGTAACCAACACCATTGAGTTGGAAATGAAAAACTGGCCATAAAACATGCATCGCATAACCTTAGTAAAGTTGGGCTCATGTGGTGACCCTTGGTGACCTTTGGTGACCTGACCTGTGACCTGACCTGGTATGACCAGTGACCTCTAATAGCAACATATGTACTAGACAACTGACGCCTTATCGCTGATTTTCGACAAAATGCGTTTTACTCGGTGTTATAGCGCTTTCCCTAGAAGCCCCGTGAACGGTGAAACATTTTATCTTTGACCTGACCTGTGACGTCATCGGTGACCCCGAGGTCAATGAAATTTGGTTTCCTTCGACAAATTTGACAGGGCTATCGAACGCCGTTTGAATTTTCCGGATCCGTCCAGTAGTTTCGGAGATACGGGGGGGGGCAAAAAAGTGCCCCCCCCCCCCCCCCACCGCGCGGAAGGTGGCTGGTAGGCCCACCGCCTGCCGGGTTAACCTACGTATCCTACTAAATGCAATCCCCCCCGTAAACCAAAGTAACGCCACCGTTCCAATCAATCCGGAACCGAAGCTACCCCTCGGCGTATCTGCGCGTATGATTCCTTCCACTCGACCCGGCAGAGCTGTGACGCATGTCCGATAGTAAGGGCCGTTCCGACCGCCCCAACTATGCCACCGATAAGCGCCCGGCCTCGTCGCCACTATGTGTAATCACAAAGGTCTTATCTTACTGCATGGCTGATAGGCAGGGGCGTACTGAGCGTAAAACGACGCAGGAATAGTTTCTGCCCTCCACAGCAAGCCTGTGCATAAGCCACATAAATTAAAAACGCACATGGGTGTAAAAGTTCCTAAGGGACACATATGCGTGGATTCTCTCATACAGCCACCGCTTGTGTCTGCGCGTTTCGAGTCACGCTGACGTTCGCCCGCCTCTGAGCGCCCGTCGCTATCGGTGTCGCTGTTCCAACACAGGTGAATCAGTGGGTACTGTGCGACAGGAGCAGACCGGTGAGCGGTGCTGTGTGGACGGTGCGTCTCGAGAGAGAGTGAAAAGGGAGGATTACAGAGCAGCGCGCAGGACACATTACCGAGGGAAAGAGGAGTTAATCAGGAGGCGAAGGACTTGCGAACAGACCAGAGGTAGGTTGGTGTTTGGTGTGTTCGGAATCGGATACCGAACAAAGACGTAGTACGGCTCCAAGTAACCTCGGATCTAAATAAGGAAAGCAAATGCGCATTTTAGGAGGTTTTACGGTCGTTTGAGCCCGAATCTGTTTGCAATGTGAAATTGATTGCCCATACATTTATATGTGTGCAGCGTTTGACTTTAGTGACCTATTCGTTTTGCTTGAAATCTTACTTTTAAGGCATGTAAGAATGCAATGGCCTTATGGGTGAATAAAGATCAGCTTACACGTGTAAGGGAAGTATCTGCCTGATTAATTCTGATCTACAGCAAAACTAAGGCCGGTGTTTTTTTTTTTCAAATGGACGCTTCTATGTATTCGACTATTGGAACAGAAATTGAAAAGATAACGCCTGTAAAACGACTTCTTCATCGTGTGACGGTAACTAGAGAACAGAGAAACGGACAAATACGAATACGTACGAAATACAATACAAATACAAATACAAATACGGCCAGCGTTTTGCTCTTTTGGATATTTTTCGTTCATCTATTCTTCAACTGAAGCCAAGTTTCCGATGTCTGCGATCGCGGCATTAGTGCGTTGCACATACTGCAGTTTAGTTCCTTCTTGGCTCACTGCCAGCTTATGGAACACCTAGGGAAAAACCGGTCTCTCGAGATCAATGGCTAAGTAAAGAACTAAGATGGTGCACCGTTTCACCCTGCATTAAAAAAGCAACTAGGTTTTGACATAAGTAGAAAGTATATGTTAAAAGTAGTTTGTTTTGTTTTGTTTTGTTGGGTTAGGCCCTTTCGGTCCAATTAGACCATTTCAGAGCCGGGAGGATGATAGGATATAGGGGGAGACATTGGTCTGGGCCGGCACCTATAGTGAGTCACCCGGGCTGAGCCCGTCCAGAGGACAGGCCACCCAGCCCCAAGGTACTCACTGCACCCGGCTACGGGGTGCGCTCCCTCGGGAGCAGCGGTGCCGCTCCAAGGGAGCAGCCCGCATGACATAAAGGTGCCTGTCCAGCCCGGAGGGGGTTGCGGTGCGGAGGAGAAGGATTTATGTATCCTGAGGACAGAATCACGGAACGGTGTTAAAAGTAGTAAAGAAGCTAACTAGACAAGCCGCGGTAACAGTTACGACACAGTACTCCCGTATCGCAAACATCGAAGGATTTACAAAGACCTATCATTAAATAGCTAACAGTTTCACACTCACAGCATCCAAATATTGTTATCATATCTGGCTTCTACAGTCAAACAAATGCTAACCGAACTACTGCACATACTACCTAAACTTCACAAACATTATCAGGCGAGCCCCAAATCCAATCACTATCTTTATCCATATCAACCACTGGAGAGTGGAGTAAGGATACTAGCGAATGATACACGTACAATGCTGTTTGACAAGGTGCGACAGAAGACTGAGAATATCACTCCCCTGAGCTTCAATTGATATACCATGATTCCACTTGTATTTAGAAATACGTATTGTCAGTCTTAGGATATTAGTGACGCATTCCGGAGATTAAATGTTTAAATCCTAAGGAAATGCATTGCTATTTGTTATACAGTCTGAAATGTCGTTCAGTTTAAAGTAAACATATCCCCTTCGAGGACAAACCCCTCCCAACGGGTTGGGAGCCCTTCATCTGAAGCGTTGCGATGACCGCACCGAGGCAGCTTACCATCCTGCCGGTAGATGACACTGGTAGTGAGCGCCTGAAGGTAGGCTGTACCGCACGACGCAAACCGGCCGCGCGGGTGATTGAGATGCGATTATGGTTTTAAAACAAGAAATATTGAAATAACAGCAGTGGACCGCACACCAAATTCACAAGAATGGGTCCGGGGTCGCACTTGTCAGGCACAGAATAAACGGCTAGCATGCATGGTGGCTAAACAGACGGCCGTGATAGGTAAATCCAGCCTCAGGCTCCCAACAACAGTGTTCTATGGAGCATGCAGGACACAAATCGGCAACAAGTCATTCCAGGAAATAACAAAACTCGACCGTATTAAGCATAATCTAGCCTTCACTTTTATCCGTAGCAGACAACATTCATTGTCACTAGAGTTGGCAAAATGTGGACCCGAGGACCCGGTCCAAAGAACCAGTCTGGACCCATATGGGTCCAGACCGGTTCCTGGAAATTTTCTGACGGGTCCAACCGGGTCCTGCCATAAACATTGCACACTACACATTTTGCACACTACACATTGCAAAACATTGCAAAATAAAAAATTGCAAAATATGAAGCGAATGGAAATAAGACACTTATTGTTTCTTTGCACTGTAGCTCATAAGTATTCCCAATGGGAAAAGGGCTGTTTTACATGATGCAACTAATGATACCTGCAAATAGTTTGTATTAATTGACTTTTGGGGAACGGGTCCAACTGGTTCCGATTTCAACTTAGACCGAGTCTGACTGGTTCCAGAAATGTCCAGTCGGGTCTGGTTCGAGTCTGGTTCCCAGAATGTTCACCTTTTGCCACCTCTAATTGTCATTTCATACCCTCCCTTCCTCCAGTTCGCTCGACTTTTCTCTTGGGCTCAGATGTCCTCTGCTTACTTACTAGATGTCCCCATGCCACTCCACCCTAACTCCCCTGACCTCTAATCAATGACAACTCCCCCCAGATGTCGTCCTACAAGGGCGCCTACCAGCCCACCACCACTGGCTGGGCCGACCCGCAAGATGAGGAGGTGACGCTGTCGTCCTTTGTGGCGCCACTCTTGCTGGTGCTGGTTATCATATTCACAGCCATGGGCATGATCCCCATGGCCATGACAACCAAAGGTGAGATACAGAGGGACCGCTGCTAGTTTGCTTTACTAATAGGACCACTTGGGGTGGGTGGGAGTGAATCGGGGACGTTTTAAACATCGTCTGACTGTTTGTTGTTGTTGTTAAGTCGTTGTTGTTGTTGTTGTTGTTGTTATTGTTGTTGTGTCGAGTAGGTGCTTTGGTCCGTTGTAACAAATCATTCCGATCTGGCTGTTTATAAAGTGGGAGTGTAAATATTTTAACCCTATTCCTGGCGGGGGGGGCCTCAGGAGCCCCCCCCCCCTGAGGTTTTTTGGTTATTTCTCCCAAACGCGTTGAGCTAGGAAGCTCAAATTTTCTGACTTTTCCTAAAAGGCTTCTACGCAACATGTCTGAAAATTTTGAGTTGATCTGACCTCAGGTCAGGTCACCAGAGGCGGTTTGGTGACCCTACCTCAGAAAAGTTTGCAATCACGCCAGAGCTAGAGTTTTTGACCGATCAATTTCTTCTCTTCAGGCTTTAGTTAGGGTACCAGTATGTGAAATTTGTATATCTCGGAATTTTGATATCGGTGACCTAAGGTCAGGTCAGTTTCGCGACCTCCCCATTATAAGTCAATAGGGGAAAAATCAACTCCCTGTTTTTACCACTAAAACGGGTCGGAATGGCCCCATATACCATACATGACTTCATATACGATCAACCTTCACTACCTTGAGGTCTGTTTTGCTGTTGGGCAGCTGTGAGGTCATGTGACGTCATCAAAGGTCACCAAAGGTTTTTGGCCAATAACTCCGTACAGGAACAAGATACAGACGCGTGGATGGTCTCATTGTGTTCAGCTCGTCAAGACGCATCGAATGATATACATGATGACCTCGAGGTCACGTGACCTGAGGTCAACCTTTGACCTTGACCTTTCGAGGTCAACATATATATCATTCGATGCGGATTGACGAGAGGATCACGATGATGCCCTTAGTTTGTTCCTATCTTGACTAATTCGAGAGTTATTCGAGAAAAACTCTCTCCATATCTAGCGCCGCCATTTTGACTTTTTCGACCCCTGTGACGTCATCTTTGACCTGACCTGAAAATGACCTCAGTAAAAATTGTAGATCTTAACCGTGCGTATCCGATGCCGTTTACCGTTTGTCGCTGCGATGTGTAGTTTTTGAGATCTGAAGGGGGGGGCCGAATCGGCCCCCCCCCCCGCCAGTTTCTTGTCCCGGCGGAGCCCGCCAGGAATAGGGTTAATGCCCTTTTCTCATAGGAGTCCGTCACCAAACCATAAGATGGTTCGTTCCTTTAGTTCCAGTTCAGTGACCGGGTGGCAGCAAGGGTCACTAATTTGCGCATCATGTTACCCCGAATCTAGTAACACCCAATGGCTTGTATCTGGCCTCCCTTTCATCTATCTCACCTTCCCTTCACCTGACCTCCCCCCCCCCCCCCCACACACACACACAGACTGGGCCACCAGTGACGGCAGCGAGGGCCAGTGCATGCCGTACTGACCTGACCTGACCCCCTCCCCTTTCCACAGACTGGGCCAACAGTGACGGCAGCGAGGGCCAGTGTATGCTGTACGCCTCCCTCACCCAGTATCAGGCGATCGGAGACACATGGGGCAGCGACATCGGCACGTGCTCGTTCGTCGCCTACGGCACCATCCTGCCGATCCTGGGGGCGGTGCTGCTGCTCACCCTCTACTACATCCTCCGCGGCCGAGAGACGCCCGCCTCCAGCTCCTGGTGGCGGGTGTTTACCGCCGGAGCGCTGGCCTTCGGTCTCTTCCACCTCATCATCGTCTGCATGTTGACCGACGGCTACACGCGCACCTGCCTGGCCATTCTCGGAAACAACGCTAACCTCGACAAGTATCAGTACCGCAAGTGTTCGGACGGCCTCGGCTCGCGGGATTCCAACTACAACCACAACTACCCGACGCAGCAGATGCTGACGGTGGCGCTGGTGGGATACTGGGTGGCCACCTTCGGCTGGATCGGCATCGTCTGGGCCATGGTGATCAACATGCTGCACGCCAAGGGTCTCTACTGCCTGCTGTAGACGGGGACGGGACCCCCGCCAAGGTTAATGTAAAAAGGGAAGGTCCTGGCGACAGGGTTCTTACAACGTTGTGCTTTGACAGCCCATGGAGGCGGGAGGAACCCCGCAGGCGACAAGGTTTTTGTAAGCATATAATGAGGGATTTCACTTCCTGCGGTTGTCCTCGCTGAATTTGCCAAGCGTGCTGGAGACAAAAAAGGAGACAGGGACGGCACGAGACGAGTTTCTTATTGTTACATTTTAAGGTGAATCAGTTGAGTGGCAGAGGCGGGTCGTGGTATACGGAAACTATAACTACGGTTGAAGGTACGGTACATGATAGCTGTCCCAGGGTAGGGTGAGCGGAGATATGCGCCTTTCAGCTGATTGTCATACAAATTAATACCGGTTCCTTCAAGGAGACTACAGGGACAAGACCGATATTTCTTATGCGGTTGGCAGCTCTCTGTTCGGAGCTAAAATGTATACAAAAATCCTATTGCCATCTTCTCATTAATATCATCAATGACAATCTATCTCATCAATGTGAGTCTTGATTTCTCATCAATATCGTAAAAAAACGTATAAAATGATTCAGAACGCTTCGATCTGATACAAAAATATGTGTTAGGTAGTAGAAAACTTGCATATAGCAGAGCTGCGCAAAGAACATTGGAAGGCTGCCATAGCCTGAATCAGCGTAAGGTCCGTTAGATCGGCGGACTAATGCAGAGATACGGCTGTAGCATGCGTCACTATCATAACCTTTGTTCCCTTCTTCTTATCGTGTCTGTTGCAACATATCGTCGTTGTCTGTTCTGTCGCTTGCCCAACCGGACATGTGTCATCACGCTTTGAGATAGAATACATTTTAAAAACGAGCTGTTTGACTGTCTTTACATGAATTTCATGACGAAAAAAATCCATGCTAGACACTGCCTAAAGGATTGGTGATACCGATTAGGTACCGAAGACATATGTCCGTCATCTGTGTGCAGCTATGACACAGCTTGACAAAATCAGTAACCATTCTGAGTCCATTCCAATCTATCACAATGCCACAGGCGCACGCTTTTTCTCAGCACCAAAGCACCAGCAAAGCCTACCGATAAGAGAAACTGCGCCGGACGTGTATGTGGCATATCATCGAGCTGCAGGCCAGCGCCAGCCGACGGGCGTTTTGTAAACTACAGCTAACCAAACCTACCGGCAGAGGACAGAACGAGCTCACGTGCCCACGTAATTCTGTCAGTCGCGACAACCACCAGCAGCCATAGCAACAAGCTACATCTTCTCAGAACACGCTGCACATCAAATACAAGCTTATTCACGCACATACGTATATTATATCATCAATACGTACAGTCACTCATACACTCCGTTTTTTCATTCAACACCCAATCAACACAAGTTTTTGGAGATCTGCTTCCCAGCACGGACAAATAGGGGAAAACCGCAGATTACCAGTCGCACAAACGAACTTTCTCGAACATTCATTCCCCACACAGCACTACCTAGGTAGGTACTCTCGCCACAGGAATCGCTCCAATCATTGTTGAACCCACGAATACTCAAAATAATTACACGTTGCCAATTAGATCGTCGGTTAGACGTCAAACCCAGATGAATGTCACATTCCGCCGCCCCCATGATAAGAACTGAGAATTTGACTCATTCTCACCAAAGTAAGAACACGTTCATGCTCACCAAGGTGATAACACGAGCATCCTGAACGACTTCCGACCTGCCTCGCTATCGGGACCCTTTCCAGGACCGTCCGGCCAGTCTATATCGGCATTGAGCCGGCCCTGTGTTCCCACACGGCCGAGTCTCATGGATGATCACTGCACTTGACCACCCATTCCGACGCCGATCCGAATGGGTCGGTCCATCGCAGACTACCTCACTCAGTAAGACAGAGAACCGGTGGTAGAGTCTTCATCCATCCCCGTCCTCTATCCCTGAATTAGCTCGTGTGTGTAACGGAGGAATGCCGGTACGGCAGAGTGGTGAGCGCTGCGGCAGAGTGGAGGAGCGCTGCCTCACAGCGGGGAGCGCCGCGGTACCGTTCCGACCTACATGCCGGCCGCCTGCGGGGGCATCATAGAGCCGGAGACGGCGGCATTCGGCCCCAGCAGAATCTGGGGACACAGGGACGACGGCCGTGTTAGAGGGGGAGGGGCAGGTGGGAGTGGGGGAAATGTCACTGAGAAATCGATGGAAGGTAAACAACATGAGGGGGCGGTAGACGAGCAAAGGTAGCGGATTATGTCGCTACACACCGATTAAATTTATCTGAGGATATTTGATTTTTACACCGAACAAAAAGGTAATTAAAAATCAAATAATTGATAAATTAAAGCTAAGGAAGAAATGGATGTTAGTAAAAAGCAATTATTTTAAATGACATTGTCGTAGTGAGTTATTTGACACATGATATTTTTCCGAGAAATCAATGGCTAAGAACCAGGGAGCGTGCTAATCATAAAAAACACATTACAAAAAAACGCACATGCAACACCTGAATACATGAAAAACAAACAAAAGCAAATCATTAATAACACAAGTTGTTAGAGCGATCCTTGAGTTAGTGTACTTACCATGACTCCTTACCGTCCTGGCCGAGCCAACATGCAATTCACTTGCCCAACCAGCAATATTGGAGGAGCAGGCCCTGGCCTTCTAACCAGCTTCATAATCTTTTCAGCTATCAGTCTTGAAGATGGTAAAACTCCCGTGCATCCGCCTTCTACTAGCATAGTTCAGTGCCAAGCCCCTTCACCAAAATAATCAACGAAAAAAAAAAAACGCTGACGCGCAAGCATATGACGGTCCGTAAAATATTGCGTAGGTAAGAAGCGGGAAGGTACAACACGGTCCATCACCGCAATGCTTGCAGACACATCAAAGCCACTTCACACAAAAAAAAAGTTTTAAAAAGCGTTGGGTTTGTTCCAAATCCCAGCATGCACCCTAGTATCTCAATACATTTATGCATAAACAGCCACACATAAGCAACCATACGCATGCAGGGACGTACATTCTGTACGATCGCAGGAGTTACGAATTGCATGCGTTTCTTTTAATGAAACGCATAAATAATGAAACGCACGCAACACGTGCGGGCCATTCAGTGGAGCAGCCCCACCTCTCCGCCACTCCCGTCCACTCTCCCAAGACAGTCTGACCAGTCCCTCCACTACGTAAGTCCACCCTTGACACGGCGGAGTGTTGTTCGGTGTCGTTTTTTATCAGCGTGCTACCGGTAAGGGATTTCCTTGCTGGCCTTTCTTGGCATCTATTTGGTGAACCGCACAGACCAAGTGAATTCGACCAATGAGAAGCCGAAAAACGCCAGCAAGCTAATACAGCTGGTAGCCTGCTGAAAGAGACAGGTAACCTGCTGATATATACTACGACCGAACAGTGCCCAGATCAGGCCACTGACTCTGCCTCCACCCCTCTACCGTTCCCCATCTCCCCCTCTCTCCCGCTCACCTGACGCTGCTGCTGTTTGTGCATTTCCTCCATCTGAGTTCGCTCGATCTCAAAGATCAGCGGCGCAAACAGAATCGCCGCCGACGAGAAAAACACCCACGACGAGGAGCAGAGCAATCCGTAGGCGCCTGCCGAAGGGGGGGGGCGGGGGGGGGAGTCGTCAGGGGGTGTGACGTACGCGGCTGTGGAGATGTGGGAGCAGGATGGGAAGACAGGAGGCAAGTCCTATTAGGAGATATCTAGGAAGATGCAGTTAGTGGATGAATTCTGACGTAGACTAGGGTGAATATTAGTGAAAACACATTGAAAACACGTCATTTGGATATACTCACCAATCAACAAAGAGGGAGAGATGGACATGGATATCGATGGCAATAAATTACAACAAATATAGGAGCATAACAAGGCAGAAAGATCGATTACGATTGATGTTAAACACTAAACATGCTAAAAAAAACTTATAACAAAGAACAAAAAAGGTTGACAACCAATTACTTGAAAACTTCCATAGCGAAGTAACTAACGTCTATTGCGCAGATGACCCACATGACCTACCTTTGACCCCGGCCACGGATCCCTGGATGACCTTGCCGGAGGCGGTGCGGACCGGAGCGGGCAGCATCTCCGTCAGGCCAATCAGACGCTCTGCCAGCGTCTCGTCAATCTGCCAGAAATCGAAGGGAGTTAAGGGAAAATCTTTTCAGCAATTACACCATTATCATATCATGAGCGAATGAATCAATTCAAAAGATGTGCTAGTGCTGTGCACACACCCAAACAACAAAATACAGAAATTGAGGTAATTTAGAAGTCAACGTTTTGCTGAAAATTGAGGTAGCTGGGCATAGCTAATCCCATTCAAATGTTTTCAACTGGCTGTTTCCAACAAACAAACTATCCCTACCAGCATTTAGCTATTGATCAGTGGCAATCATTTGGAGTTCAATGCGTTACCAACGGAACATTCTGTGAAATTGGAGTAAACAAATAACAGACCTCTCTTAAAACTAATGAGCAGAAATACAAGGCTAAAAGTTTTCCAAAACAGCATGGACTGTAGCCCAACACAAGCACAGCACACTCCATCAGATCACAACAAGGACATCATCCCATTTCACTCACGTCATCGTCCAGGTCAGCCGGATCCTCAGAACCAGCTTTGGTCACAGCCAGCGGCTCTGGCTGAGCAGCAGCAGGAGCTGCAGCAGGGGCGGCGGCAGGGGCAGCACCAGGGGCAGCGGCAGGGGCAGCAGCAGGAACCTCCTCAATGTCAGCCATGGCTACAGATCTGTGAATCATTGCCAACAGCTCATAGTCAGTGTGTTGCATTGCATGAGTAGGTTGAGCAAGTCCATTACCAATACTGATACTGAAACTGCGTGCTGGCTGGAATGGCTGGATGATATCAATATAAGCAGGAAAAGTTGCATTTTGTAGACTAGACAAACTAAATGCGGTAAATATTGCACAGGTGTTTTGATACTTGATTGCGCCATGAATAACCTGAATGATGAATAATGTGATGACAATGAATAAAATATCCATATTGATATTGAATTTGATATCAGACATGAAATCAGGAGGTCAAAATACATCATTTCAATTTGGTATTGGTATGCTTTTTATTATCACTTTGGCGATCAAATACTTTCTGGACTAATACCGGAACTACAAACAGTTAAATACTCACTTACGAATCTCGGGGAAGAATTAAAGCAGAGAAATACTATTATTCTCACACAAAAATCCACAGACCACGACCCCAGGCACAGAACACGCGTGTGCTTTTCGCCGAAAGCTTCACAAATTTATGTAACAGGTGCGCCATACCTGTCTCGAAAAAGCACAGACACGCAGCTAGTAAATTAGGTGTCTATATACTCTGGTAAATAAATTTATCATTATGGCCACGAAAACAATGATGAAGAATACCGCTATAATCATGGAATGGGGCAGGATATTTTCGTTGAACATGAACATCGTAAATTCTTTAAAAGAAAAACAGCACTTTTTTAATTGTGAAGAGTTGGGAGGAGGATTTGCTCTTGAGCACGGAACTTGGGTTGCGACTCTATTTGCATTTCACCGATGCACGACTGGCAACTACCAGATCCAGAAAGCTTGCATTTGACGCTGCGGTTGGAGCACGTTACAGAAAATATTATTTTCAAGTGATATTGACCGGACCTCACTTGCTTATGCATGCACCGCTGCGTAGTTCCACAAAAGTTCGTCGATCGCGGGCGCTGCGGCAGAAACAAAGAAATCTCCATCCGCCCCCTCGCTCAGCTCGCGCCCCGTCACATGCTGTGCTCCTAGTCTGCTCCTCTCAGATACGAGGCACAGAGATTCATCACCGTGCGAGAGACATGCAGCAGCGGTACTACGAACTGTGCCATTCAGTGTAAGGGACACGATGGATCAGCCATCCCCAGATCCCATTCCACGAACACAATCATCCCCCTCGAACACACGAAACCACTGCTCTAAAAACACGGCTGGGAATGATCCCTTTTTTATTTTTTTCCATTTCCGGGAAACGTACAGAATCTTCAAGACATCGAAATGACCGCATGCCGCACAGGGCGGGACGTTTCATCTCCAGGAACCTCGCAGATTAGGTGTCCGCGCGAGCCATCGTACCTCCTAGCGGCGGCGAGACCGCAGAAAAACAAAAGCCGACTTCTTAAACACCCGGTCTATTATCAGTCTGCGAAAATTTGGGGATAGCGAGCCATTTGTACTTGCACTTCCTATCTCCAAACGGGAAACCTGTGCTTACATTAAAAAGATACCGAAACACATTTACTCCACATACACTCATGCTAACCGAACAGGGGTCCTGTGATCAAGGGTTCGATGAATGCTAAATTTTGGGTTAATTAGGAAAATTATTACGAAATGGTAGCGACCGGATCTTAACCAATCTACAAAGAACGCACATCGACTATACACACCAATATATGAAGTGAGGAAGACGCACGCACTTGCAACGTTAAAACGATCCAAACAAGGACGTCTTTTCTGCCAATGGAAAGTCGCTGCGCGCGCGTGCACGTGCAGTGTCGCACAGGCCGCTCCCGAAACACAAGAACATCACAAACGTGCGCAGACACGGATCCACGGCGCGCAGTGGAGATCGTCCTACAAATGCGATGAAGCGGCGATACAAAAGAATGATTCTACACTGAGTCTCAGACACACACACGCGCGCGCGGCCGTCGCGGCCGGGCGGCGGCCCGCCAGCCGCCCGATCGACACTGCTGAGTGGACAGTCAACTGGGTAGAGCTGCTGATGGTGGTGGTGGTGAATAAATAAAACCTAGCTGCGCCCGATCGCGCAGCATGCGTGCCACGCGTGGCGGCCGGAAGGCCGGGCCGCCACGCGCGCACGTGGACGCGACCGCGGCGCCACTCCTGGGCTATTGGCAGTAGATTTTCTGAGCAGGGGCGGGTGGCCGGCGCGGCTGGTGACGCCTCTGCGCCGATCTCAGTCAAACAGCGGCTTAGGCGCGCTCACCGCGGATACGCCGGGCCAGCTGAATATCCTTGGGCATGATGGTCACGCGCTTGGCGTGGATGGCGCACAGATTGGTGTCCTCGAACAAGCTGACCAGGTACGCCTCGCTGGCCTCCTGGAGCGCACCAATGGCCGCACTCTGGAAACGCAGGTCCGTCTTGAAATCCTGCGCGATCTCACGCACCAGCCTCTGGAAGGGCAGCTTGCGGATCAGCAGCTCCGTCGACTTCTGGTAACGACGAATCTCACGCAGGGCGACGGTTCCCGGCCTGTAATGGAACAGCGAGTTAGGACACAACTCAGCAGCAGGTGAAAGGCATCGGCCCATACAGTGTCACGAGCGTCATTAAAACGGTAAATAGCACGTTACTTGAAGACAATTTTACTTTATAACGCTATTACGTTGGTTAGGAAAATAACAGGCTGCAGTAAAACAACAAACCAAAAATAATGCGGTCTTTTTTTGTACAAACAAGACAAGAGCGAGAAACAAGGACGACATCCGGAGAACGGTGTATATCCCAAATGTCCGGTAAAACTCCGTGCTGCGGATGCAATTCAAACAGCAGAGCTGCTGTAGCCACCCAATGATGGTCGCAACTGTGTCAAGTTGACCCAGATTTCCTATATTGACTGCCTTGAGCCTCTTTGTTCCAAGTGAAATTCATATTAGCATAGGCGCAAAACTGTTAAAGTGTTCAGCCAAGAGTTAAATCTACTTGCCAAGAATATGGTAAGTAGCTGTCCGATCCCAAAGTTCCCTTAAACTATTTGAAAATAGAAATGTCCTCTGGAAAGGTTCTGATAACGACCATTTTCCGGGAGTTTACTGATCAACGTGATCAGTCATGGGGCAGCGTCCCTCTCTGAACAGTTCCCCAGACAATATCCTCTCACCTGTAGCGATGGGGCTTCTTGACTCCGCCGGTCGACGGTGCCGACTTGCGGGCGGCCTTTGTCGCCAGCTGCTTCCTGGGAGCCTTTCCTCCCGTCGACTTACGGGCAGTCTGCTTTGTACGCGCCATCTTGAGTTAGTCTGGAGAAGACAGATTTGTGGGGGTTAGTGGAAACAAACAGCACAACCCTAGCCCTGCATAGGGTCCAGCTTTAAAGGGCAAGATACACATCTCTTTCACATTAAAGGAAAATAGTGGATAACCTCTGAATTTGTACACTGCATTAGCATTGAGCACAATAATGTCTTGGGTGTCATGTTCTGCTGATACTGTGAAAAACCAAAATTATTTGGAGATATTTTAGAAAGCATCCAAATGCAGCCAGGATAGATCTACAATTATGGTTGGGAACTGCATCTCTTCCATGCATTGCTGTCACGCCTTATTAACAGGGATGCGGAGCCGTGGAAATTTCAGACGGCTCCGGCTCCGGAGAAAAAATCGGCTCCGGCTCCGGGTGAAATGTCAAGGCGGCTCCGGCTCCGGCTCCGAGTAAAATGATCCGGCTCCGGCTTCTACTCAGTACACCCCTACGCGATCAATAAAATACGGGTGGAAGAAAAAAGGCGATGGGATTGGTACACGCTGCTTCTGTATTTGTATAACAAGGCTAGTTTGAATACCACATTGTTTTACGCCTTGCACTGTCAAACCGAATTAGGTAAATAATTGTTTCCTGTTCTACTGTTATATATGTTTCCTCTTAAGAAAAGGAGCCGGAGTCGCCCCCTTTTTTGACGGCTCTGGCTACGGCTCCGGGCTATATTGCTTCACGGCTCCGGCTCCGGCTCCGGGCAAAATATGCCGGCTCCGGCGGCTCCGGCTCCGCATCGCTGCTTATTAATGCCTTTTACAGCCACCTATAAGAAAAAGTTTTAAAAATGTTTTGTAAAAAAAAACTACATGAGTAACCTGAGCCATAAGCAGGAAGACATGTTCCTGTTTCATGTTACAGTGCAACAAAGAGGCAATCTATCCCAAAATGTTTGTATGAGTATCTTTCACTATTTTCTATTGAAACATTAACTTCTTTTGTCCTCAATCTCATCAGAATGCATACACACCTACAGGAAAAATCATAATATACAAGAACTTTGAAATAAACTTATTGGGGATTGACAGAAAGTGACTGATTAACATCCACAGCATTAAAATTTCTAGCGAGCCAACAGCTACTTTTCCTCCAAAGTCCCAGGCAAAGAATTAGAGGGCATTATTTGCCTGACCTGTCTCCAGCAGTTATCCTATGTAATATGTATGTGCAAAACAGGTGTGAAACAAGTGATAAGCTGGGTTAGGCGAGGGTTGATTGTTTTGAGCATAAATGACATAAGATTGATCCATAAGCTACGACGTTTGAGGCACAGAGGGACACATGCTAACTGAAAAATGAGGTATTTGTTATTACTTATTAAATACCAGGTACTTGTTCAGAAAAGGTCCAATCTAGATTAATTGTGGTGCCGTTGATATAAAAATGCAACAACAGAAATTGTAGGTTGTAAGTGTTTAGGTTGTAGCTTGTCTTAGGCTGTAGGATTGTAGGTTTTAGGTTTTGGGTTGGTAGGTTTGTAGGTTGTAGGTTGTTAGGTTGTAGTGAAGGTATGTAGGTAAGGTTAGGTCAGGTTTGATTGCTTTGTCTTACTTGCACCACATGTAATCATCATATTGGGATTCAGGATGTCAAATAATTATATGCAAAATTTATGCCAATCACCTTAAGGAACAATAAACTGAAAAATTGGTTAATGTTCAGCAAAAGTCTGATTAACTTCTAAAACATAAATTTTGCATATTCTTACATAATTTGACATCCTGAATCTAAATATAGGCCTGTTCCAGTGCCTCCTGTAGAAATTCTTGACTGGAGGGCTGGAGGCTCTACCAGAAGTTCTGCTGGAAGTGTTGTAATGCAATCTGGAGATTTCTGGAGATTGGTGTCATGGATACCAAAATAATGATTGTTCACTCTTCAAAGAAATTTAATTTCATTTTTATTTATATTTAATTAATTTTTTTAATTCTAGGATAAAAGATTTACAAAATTATTATAATGTAACTTTCCTTGGATTCAAGTTCTAAAATTAACAGTCAAAAATCCTTTGTTAACATTTGTAATTGTCACATGTGCGCCATAATTGTAGACCAGAGCCTCTAGTGAAATGTGGACCTTTCAACCCTCTGAAGACTACTGGAGGTTTCTGGAGCTTTGGCAAGAGCTTTCTGGAGGTTTCTGGAGGCACTGTGACTGGAACAGGCCCTATGATACATGTGGGGCTAATAGGTACAAGGAAAGATCAAACCTAACATTTCTCACTTACCTACAACCTACAGCCTACAATTTATGCTGTTGCATATTTGTATCAACAATTGTAGATTGGACCTTTTCTGAACAAATACCAACAAATTGTATGCTTATGATTTAGGAGTTAAGGGCACCGAGACTGCAGTACTTGAATAACAAAAGCATTGTAACAAATGAAGCACAAAAGCATACATATGAAAGTAGCCTTAAGGTGTTAAAGTCCATGATAGCAGTTTGTAACATGATAGCAGTCCATGATAGCAGTTTGTAATTGTAACAGCACCAATGTGGCATATAAACAATGGGGCAACTTCTAGGCTTCTCATTCTAGGCCACATATTGGGAAGCCTGTACCTGAAAAGGTACCTACACCTGCTGAAACACGTTCCCACTCTCCAGGTCAGAGGACAATGACCCCAAGGTCATCTATTTCTCAAGATTGTAACAAAGACACATTAAATTATTTCTTTCCTTAAGGAAGGAATGACTCAGCATGTTTACATCTAATTGAAAGCTATCACAAGGAACAAGTAATTGTAAGCACTGCAGTAAACACAGCAAGAAAATGCTGGAAATCAGTTGGGCAAACTACGGGGAGGAAATCAAGAACTTGATTAATCAAGTTCATGATTATGACGTCATGAAAATGGGGCGTGGCATGACCATATAAGGAGTTGTAATCAAGATTTTGATTACTTTTCGTGCACCGAACTCTTCAAATGTTTCGTTTCGATTGTTATAATGTCCGTTTCGACACGATTTTTTACCAGGTGAAACGCAATATTCTATTCTCCCGAAATGATATGGACCGGTAGCAGTGGGATATGGACTTTAGCTCATATGGCGAAAGATAAACTGCTAGCCTAACTTTTTCAGAAAAGTGATATTTTTTAAAGCCCTTTTTAGGCGGATATTATTCTTTTATCCACATTTTAACGTTTCTAGTTTAAAAATAAATAATTGATCATTCATTTTACACACGTCTTAAATTGGTCGTAATAAACATTTCTTCCAAAAGGCACCGTCGCCTGTTAGCACGCCGCCATTTGTCGTGTTGTCGGTGTGTGGGTGAGGCCGGAAATTAGCGCCGAATTATTGGTAATTTGGTTCTTATAGGTAAAATTAGCATTTTTTAAATAATTTAGATCATGTTTGTAAATTTGAATAGCCTCAACGTTCATGTGCGTCGGTATAAATGTTGAAATATTGCGATAGAATTTATGATGATTTTGTAGGCTATCATGGCGCATGCTTTCCGCGGTATAATATTTTAATTATTTACGAAATGTATTGCTATTTACAGGGTTTTAGTTTATCTTAAAGTAAATAATAGGCCTATTTTGTTGTTTGGGGCAATTGTTGATTAGAGAGGCACATTTAACTGCCCACAGTAGCTAGAAATGTTATGGCCTGGCATGTTGTGCAAAAGTTTGCAGTGTGGCCATATCATTTATTCAGTCAATTGTCTGTGCAAGCAGGGACCAATAGGATATATCTTTTAGTTTTTAATGAAAAGTTAAATTTGGGCTTATGCTAGGTTATTCATACTTGCATTCTAAGTGGCTTTGTCATGGATTCATAGAACAATAATAGAAGTGGTGACTGCAAATGTGTCTGTTTTTCCACAGCTCATCAAAGCGCCACCTCCTCGCTGTAGCAGTGGGCGTCGCCGTCACCACAGTATTGTTCAGGAAGCTCGTGATAATGGTACCTATGGTCCTACGTTGAGGAACGCTCAATCAAAAAATGATATGATGAACTTCTTTGGAATTAAGCGGACTAAGTACAGCTACATTTGTATTATGTGCATCGCTCATGCAAGACAGCAGGCCAGGATGCAGGGACACACAGCTGCAGGTATGTATGAATTGTTTTTGCAATATATGGTTATGGTTGTAGTGTTTTGTTTTGTCGCTGGTGTGTCACGTTCAGTTTTGTGCATCACGTTCAGACACTACAGTGGTCCAGTCCAGTGTACATTTTGCACACTCAAGCTGGGCATGCTGAAAATAATTTGCTGGAGCTCCTTCAGTGTGATCTCATGAAGTTGCCTGGCACAACTTTGGAACTTTGCGAGCTCACATGACTCATCCCCAGTTTTGTCCTGACACAGCCCAATCTAATCCTTTTTCAAGATACAGGCATTGTCTAATGTTTTCAAAACAATTCATTCTAATCTAAATGCAGAGACTTCTTCACTAATGCATGTGTAATTTGTACCTACATTTTCCAGACTGCTGAGTCTGAGGCATTGTACATTATTTTCACATCATGTGCCGAAATGTAGTACCTATCAGTGCCCTGCGTCAACTCATCAGGTCCATGTCTTGTCTTGTTTGCCTTGTTACATCCACCTACCTCTCCTCCATCATTTCTTCCTTCCATCTTTCCTTGCTTCCTTCCTCACTCCCTCCCCTCTCCTCTCGTCTCCTCTCCTCTCTCCCCTCCCCTCCCCCCCCCCCCCCCCTCCCCCCCTCCCTCCCTCCCTCCCTCCCTCCCTCCCTCCCTCCCTCCCTCCCTCCCTCTCTCTCTCTCTCTCTCTCTCTCTCTCTCTCTCTCTCTCTCTCTCTCTCTCTCTCTCTCTCTCTCTCTCTCTCTCTCTCTCTCTCTCTCTCTCTCTCTCCTTTACTCTTTCCCTCCTTCTCTCCTATTCTTTCTCCTCCATTTTCTCCCACGCAATGTTAAGTGTACCTATAATTTGGTTATGAACATTTTGCAGGGGATGAGCTGGAGAACCTGCAGCGCATTCTCCAAGAGACGACGGAAGCCAACGGAGGCCCGCAAAACTTTCCATCCCATAATCGTGAATGGAGAGCTGGGCGGGGAAGACGCGGTATTCGTCGAGGCCCAGGAGGTGGTATCGGCGCCACCAGACCAAGCATTCCTGCTGTGGCAGGCCGCCTTTTGGATTTTTAACATCAAAACTCCTAAAAACATGGTCAATCTAAATTGGTTTCTGAGAACCAAAGTGTTTGGTGGGGTGAAGGCCGATGTGCCGCCATCAGCGGCGGCCATTGCGAACGTGAATCAAGTGGAGTGAGATCCCCGTAGAGCATGCCGCTGCGGGGTGTCGGAAGCGTTTGCCAATTCTTTGAGCCTTCCACCGGCAGGACTATAAATACACATTTCTTGAAATATATCTTTGATCTGTGCTTGGTTACACGGGCTCTGGGTTGTGACGCTATTCGTCCAATATATGTGGTCGACGGTCGTATGCAGATTATCATTTGAGCTGACTTATGGTCAGGCCGCTTATCGCGGACAGCGGTGTTCTTGCTCGGGGTGGTCTTTTTTCAGCTCAGTGTTCGGCAATGTGAGCGAGCAAGCGCGAGAAGAGGTGTGCTCGTGCACAAGTTCACATGTGTGTGCCACATCCCAGGCGGTGTTTCACGGGACGCTGCTACCACGCTGCTATCAAATTGCGCGAGCTGACGTCACACTTGCGGTAGTGTTGGAGCAGTGGGCCTGTTGATGTTTCCATGGAAACCCAATTTGACACGTGTAAAAGCAGCGTGCTGCTTTCACCGGTGAAACAGGGCCCCTAACTCGTCTAAAGCTTACAGCTATTGAGTCTCTAGCCACCCACCAAAATTGAAAAACAATCGGTGACGCCGTTCCGGAGATACAGAAATAAGGTGCGCGTGTGCAAATATATCCAATCCCCGATTCGTCCAAAGCTTATAGCTAATCCGCTTCCAGCCACACACAAAATTTGAACAGGCTCGGTCAAGTCATTCATGAGAAACATTAACTGCAACATAAATTCCATCCCACCAAAACTGATTGATTTTGTCTATTATATACACCATTATCATTGTATCTTTTAATTAGCTGCATTGTTCAACGCTCGCCAGTAGCACGATCAGCGCGATCAAAATCGTGATTAGCCAGCTGAATGCGAAATCAAGATCATGATTAGCCAGCTGGCTGCGTAATCAAGAAGTTGATCATCGAACTCCCGGGACGACGCCTCGTAATCAAGTTGTTGATTACGTTTTGGTTGCAATCTACCGCCTCACGATTTTCAACTTGAATCATTCAAAGATTACACTTGTAGAGTGACTTCTTCTCTATCGGTCTTAAAATTTTCGTGCATCTCCGTAGACCCTGAATCGAGATTCGGCCGTTTTCGTGACGGGCTGCAAACATGACCAAATATGGGCATAAAATAATCATGAACTTGATTAATCAAGTTCTTGATTACCTCCCCGTAGTTTGCCCAACTGAAATAGCCTCAGCATCAGTCTCAGGCCTCCACTCGCACTTTCACTTTACATGCGCGGCAAACGCACCAAACGTAATTTCACCGCGAACTTGGGCTGGAAGAAGTGATAATCATTGGCTAATTGACATCTCACATAGTTTCTTGAATAAACAAAGAGCAAATTCGTACAAACATACCTCTGCAAACAAGTTATCACAATTTTAAGAACACGGCAGCAGCACGCACCCCGAGGAACTCAACATTCAACTGAACTTGACGTCATCACTTCGCCTCTCTGTCATTGGTCAGAATAAGCCCTGCTGCTATTGGTCAACGCTCCTAAAGCTGTGTATCTGATTGGTTGATGATTGCGCAAGACAAAAACAGCTGTGATCCAGGGAAATCCCGTGAATCTGCCGCTTTGTAAAATGACATGTTTGAAAAGAAATTATTTAGAGATTTTTCCAAATCAAAGTCAATAAAATTTAAACTTTTGAAGCTTTATTTTGTTTTCAAATGAATTAATATATCAGCAGTTTATGGCGCCAAAAATTTAAACGTCCACGAATGCAATGCAAATGGTTGTTGAATCGTAAATATGGAAATAATTTTTGAAACTTACATTTAATAGTTGTTTTTACCGTTTTGAAAAGATTTGAACATGTTTTGCCCTAAAAGAGACGTGAAATCATCATTTTCATCAGTTCTCATAAAAATTAACTTCCGTTTGGTTTCAAGCGTAAGTCGAAACGATAGGCGAAATTGCTTGAAAAAAGTAAATTTGCTTTTCAAAACAATCATCTCTGTCACTGAAAATAAGTATCAAAAGAAAGTAACGCAACTTTGAAGCCAAAAGTGATTTTTCCGCGGCAAAATTCAGGCAAAATTGCATAAATAATAATTTTGCAGTACTTTGGTTTTTAAATAATTTCATCTATAGCGCGAATAATTCATTTGTGATGCACCTTTTTGGCGGGCTGCAGTTAACTTGTATTTTAATGTTTATTTTTATATTCATTATGCGTAAAAGACAGGCAAAAATCTTTGAAAATCAAAATGGTAACCAATGGCCTTGCATCAACCTTGCACGATGGTTTTGTAATTATTGTCACTTTTGTGTATAGATGGTCTCGATTTTGTTGTTTTGTGGATGTTGATGTGGATGATATGATGCGAAATAAATTATTTTTCTGTTGAAAAGGTTGACTCGGACTGGAGGTGGTTTTATATAGGTGGGTACCTACCTACCTACCTACCAGGATCGCGGAGTCGATGGATTTACGGCGACTCTGACTCAGACTCCGGCTTTCAAAAACCAACTGACTCCGGGCAGAAATGTTGACTCCGATCGACTCCAACTCCTCACTCCGACTGCACACCTGCCAGGGCCCTGTTTCACCGGTGATAGCAGCAAGCTGCTTTTACACGTGTCAAATTGGGTTTCCATGGAAACATCAACAGGCCCATTGCTCCAACACTACCACAAGTGTGACGTCAGCTCGCGCAATTTGATAGTAGCTTGGTAGCAGCATCCCGTGAAACACCGCCCAGGGCTGCGGAGTCGACAGATTTTCGGTGACTCCGACTCCGACTCCAGCTGGGGTTTCCAATATCGGCTCCGACTCTGACTCCAGTCACAACTGTCGACTCCGACCGACTCCGACTCCGACTCCGCAGCCCTGGTACCTACAAGTACATACTCATCTTGATCAAATTCCAATGTCACTATCAGTGCTTACTTGAGCTCGTTGCCACCATTTTCAGATTGAGGCTGGCGGTGCCAAGCAAGTTTGCTGATTGATGCTCCCTCTGAAGCCTTTGGTGGCCTGCGAGGCTCTGAGGCTGTGGGTTGGGCACCTTGTGCTCCCCCGCCCTTCTCTCCTGACCTGCCTGCGGCACTGGGGCACGGTCCGCCCTGTCGACACCAGTAGTGTCGTAGCTGCCACTGGTGATGGGATGAAGGTGCTGAATGTTGCTGAGAAAAATGATGCTGCCAAAAACCTGGCGAGCATCATGTCTGGCGGGAGTTCTCGCATGGTAAGGAAGTCAAGATTGAGTGTGTGGAGTTGTTGAGTGTGGATTGTTTTTTTTTTTTTACTGTTTTTGATTTATTTGACTAATTCATTTTTTTGTGAAATGACCAGTGATGCTTTATACTAGCCAAATTTTATTAGGTGTGTTGCCTATATCAATATTGGTTTTATGGCATGTTTTGCTTTGCTTTTGTTCTATGCACTTTTCATTGATCATACTGTTGTGATTTCTCACTAAACTATTTGGAATATGTGACAAAGCCTGTTCAACAGTTCTAGATTTTTTTTTTTCTGTTTGTTGACCCTTTGGCCCTACATGTCAATTTTAATCTTGTGTTGCCAGCGAGAGGGTCTGTCGCGGTTCAACAAGATCTACGAGTTTGACTTTGAGCTGCAGGGCCGACGGTGCCAGATGACAATGACGTCTGTGTCAGGCCACCTGCTCAACTATGATTTTGCTGCCAGCTTCAGGTGGGCACAGCATCGAGAAGCTGGCAATTGGTGTGGCAGGTGGGGAGGGGCATTCCAGCCCAGTCTGGTGGTGGAGTGGAACTCATTATTAATCTTAGTCTTTTTCTCTGTAATATATAGGCTTTATCCTTGCATTATAATATACCTAATTTTTGTGTCATTATATCATGTATTTGCTCCAGTAGGTATTTTACTTGTTGTTCCTTGCTTTACCGGCATCTCAATTTGCCTATATGTCGCGGGAGCTGAACACACTCAGACTCGATGCTTTACTGTATTATCGGCAGAGGCCCAAACAAGAACCACAGAGCCAACCGCTCGTAACCACGGTCTCCCTGCCTCTCCCGGGCCGCCGACCGCCCAGCCAGCGCCAGCCCTCGACCCCGCCCGAGGGCCACGCGGCAGGGGCGGCGCCGGGCGCGGCCAGCCGGGGAGGCGCCACGGGCGGCGCCAGGCATGCCACAACGGGCGGTCACAGCCGCCCGTAACACCCCTCCCCCCTCACGGAAACAATCATACATTGAACAATGCGACACTTACGACACGCTATTTACATTACAACTATATACACAATCACAGCCTTCACCACCTCCACCACACTCATAGTCCCGCCTGGAACCTTTCAGGTGGTCGCGACACTCGGCCTGATCTGGTCACGTATGACATTGGCGGCAACATTCCCCTCTGAGCGACGCCCACATCACCAGATGGGCCAGCTCTCCCGAGTAAGTGCATTAGCGGCACCTCGAGCAGAACGCCATGCTCGTTACCACAGTCGCTCACGGGATCCACCCCCACGGCCTCACCACGTCCATTTGGACCACTCGGATCCTGAACTGGCTGCAAGTCGGTCCGACGAGGGATGAACTCCTTGAGGTCGTTGTGGTGCACGACGCGTGTCTTGCCGCGGACGTCCTGTATCCGGTAGGTAACTTCCTCCCCCGGTGTGCCTCTTCTCTCGACGATGGTCACCGGTCCTTTAAACGGCAGACCCAGCTTCGGTTTTCCTCCCACAGCGGCAGTGTGGTCTCGTACCCACACCTTCAAGCCCGTTGGGTACGCGGTAAAATTGAGTTTGCTGTCATGGCGAACCGCCATTCGAGCAGCTGATTGGGAGGAGGCTCTCCTCACCTGTGCGAAGACCCGCTTCATGTTCTTCAGCCGTTTGTTCAGGAAGGTTTCAGCTGGTATTGCGACTTCATCGGTTCCGTACATTACATCCAGAGGCAACCGAGGCTCAAAGCCATGGATCATGTAGAAAGGTGTGTGACCGGTGGTTTCGTGGAGGGAAGAATTGTAGGCCATGGCGTATGATCTGGTACTTTCGTCCCAGTCAAGGCCCTGGCTGTCGATGTATTTCGACACCATGTCTTTCAGGGTCCTCATGAAGCGCTCCACCATCCCGTCGCTCTCAGGATGATAAGGCGTTGTTCTAGTCTTGTGGATGCCGAGCCTCTGATACAGCTCACGCATCATCAGAGATTCGAATTGAGCGCCCTGATCTGTGTGAAGCCTCTCGGGAACACCAAGCTCCTGAACCCAGTGAAGGAGTGCCTCCATCACCGTTTCTGTCTTCTGATTCGGCATCGGGAAGATTCGTACGAACTTTGAGAAGTAATCCATGATCACGAGCACATATCGGTTGCCTCTTCTCGACACAGGCATCTCCGTGATGTCCATGGCTATTCTCTGGAAGGGTCGTGAGGTAACCTCGGTAACCATCGGTGCTCGTCTTTTGGGTGCCGGTCTGTACCGCCGCTGACACGGCGTGCACGAGGCACAGAAGCTCCGGATGTCCTCATTCATCCCCGGCCAGACGAATCGAGCCTTCACCCGGGCGATGGTCCGTCTGCGACCCATGTGCCCGCTCGATGGATCATCATGCGCCAGTCGGATGATCTCGGCCCGTTCAGTTTGAGGCACCGCCGCCTGGAACTGTCGACCCGAGGCAATGCCGATTACTCCATTCATGACGCGCACCTTGCTCCAGTGTTTTCGCAGCACTCCCCACCCAGCGAACGCTGCAGGCCTTGGCTTCTCCTTCCTCTCGTGTGCTCTTCGGAGAGCCGACAGCGTCGCGTCACTGGCTTGCGCCTGGGCGATTGGAGGGAGGGTCCGTTCTTGGACTGATTGTGACACAGCGACTGATACAGCAGCCGGTTCCTGCGTAAGCCTTGAGAATACAGCAGTTGGAGCTACAAGAGTCACAACCGACTCAGGCGAACCGCCTTCCGTCGGCGCGGGCGAGCCGCCCGCTACTGACCCCACCGTCTCCGTTCTATCTCCTCTCTCTGAGACAGAGCGACCGGGACACCACCCCTGGCCTTGGGCTTGACCAGATCGGACCGCAGACGCCATATCTGGTGGTCTGCGAGACAGCGCATCAGCGTTCCCGTGGGCCAGACCGCTGCGGATCCGAACATTGAAGTCGAAAGAACTCAGCTCGATCGCCCATCGACCACGACGTCCTGTGCCGTCTCGCTCTGCTGCGATCGATGTCGGTATGTTTGCCAGCGGCTTGTGGTCGGTCACCACTTCAAATCTGGCACCAACAGTGTACTGACGGAAATGTCTGATGCCATGAACGATCGCCCAGAGTTCCTTATCGTAAGTCGGCCATCTCGTCTGCTGCTTTGTGAGTGCCTTACTCTCATAGGCGATCACCTTTTCCTCATCTCCAATGCGTTCAGCCAGCACCACACCCACGGCAGAGTTGCATGCGTCTGTATACAGGACGAACGTCCCTTCACCTGTTGGCAAAGCCAGTACGGGAGGCGAGGACAGAGTGGACTTCAACAGCTCGAATGCAATGCGCATCGGTTCGGACCACCTGATTCGTCCCTCCTCTACTGCGGCGTCCCTAAGTGGCTTTGTAATCGCGGCATACCCCTGAATAAACCGCGCGTAGTACCCGCACAGGCCTAAGAAGCTTTTCATCTCCTCCTCAGATGACGGCTGCGGCCAGGCCAGGACCTTGTCCACGTTATGCGGATCTGGACGTATCCCTTCCTCGGAGACGAGATGTCCAAGGAAAGTCACCTCCTTGCGTGCGAATCGACATTTCTGTGCCTTTAGCTTCAGCCCGGCTTGCTGAATCCTCAGGAGTACCTCCTGCAGGGTAGCCAGATGTTCTTCCTCGGTCCTGTTGAACAAGATGACGTCATCCAAGTACACCAAACAGCTTTTGGTGTCAAGGCCTGCGAGAATCAGTTCCATCATCTTCTGGAAAGTGCCGCTGGCGTTCTTGAGACCCATTGCCATGACTCTGAACTGATGGAGGCCTTTTCCAGTCGAAAATGCCGTCTTCTCTCGATCTTCAGCCGCCAGTTCAACCTGCCAATACCCTGTGGCCATGTCCAGCGTGGTAAACCACCTCGCCCTTGACAGGGTATCGAGCGAGTCGTCGATTCGTGGGAGCGGCATGGCGAAGCCCTTCGTCACTGCGTTCACAGCCCTCAGGTCGACGCAGAAGCGGAAGGATCCATCTTTCTTGCGCACCAACACGACCGGCGAACACCACGGACTTTCGCTTTCCTCAATGACACCATCCTGTAACATCTTTTCTTTTTGTTTCTCTACCTGGTCTCGGACTTTCATGGGTATCCGTCGTGGACGTTGTTTGACTGGGACTGCATCCCCCGTGTCAATCCTGTGTTTTGTCACACCTGTACGACCAATGTCTCCCGGTCTTTTACTGAAGACGTCACTGTAGGTCTCAAATAAACCCCGTAGTTTGTTACGACCTCTCTCACTCAAGTCTGTCAGTTCTGGTGACAGGGCTTGCTGCACCTCTGGTTCCACCTCTCCAGGATCATGAGATGGATTACCTCCATCTCCACAGCTCGCCACATTGCAATCGGCACAGTCTGCCCCGGGACACAAAACACACAGGGCGTCTTCACCGCCCCCAAACGCAAGGAACGTCCCGACATCAGAGCCCTTCAAGAGACGGACGCCCTCCGCTCCGACATTCGTCAACCGGATAGGTATGGTGCCATTGGAGGCGATCACCACCACAGCCCGTGGAATCAATAGATCCTCACGCTCCGCCGTGCGGCTTGGCTCCATCATCCCACTTACCGAGCCTGCTGACGTCACAAAAGGTCCCTGGCCATCAAGTCGCTGCACCACTGCTGCTACCGTTGTTACCGAACGACCTGGTAGTGTTACTGCATCGCCAAGAATGACTCTAGCCCGCGGGGGACGGATCTCAGGGTATGTTGGAAGTGGAATCGTCATCCCTTTCATACGGATCACCCCCTTCTCATCGTCAATGATAGTTCTGTTTTGGCAACAGAAGTCACGTCCAAGGATCACGTCATAGACCAGCCCCGACACCACAGCCAGTCGTGGACACACAATCGACTCCTCCTCCACCTGGATAGGGACATCACGGAGCACCTCAACGATGTTCAGGGGGCTACCACCAGCTCCCTTCGCGGACCGCGTCGGGGTGGTGGCCTGACAAGCCAGTTCCGTTTTCAACCGCTGCTGGAGCCCATCCCTGACCATGGAAAAGTCGGCACCCGAATCGACCAGCGCCCATACTTCGAGGCTGCCCAAGTGGACTCGAATGGCTGTTGCAGTTAATCGGGACTGGATACACGCAGCCGGCTCTTGTCCCACAGGGCCAGCTGCTCCTAGTTTTCCGCCGGCTTATCAGATGGAAGGGCTTCCCTCGACATCAGCCCCCGACGTCCACCCATTGCTGGAGGCCCCTGCTGCAGGCGAGAATGGCATGCCGCCATCCAGTGCCCAGCCTCGCCACAAAATAAACAAAACGGTTGGAGCGGGGTGGCAGCTTGTACAGCCGACTGACAGTTGCTCCGAATGTGACCCTCCTGCCCGCACGAAAAACATTTCACCCTGGTGGCTCTCGGTCCAGTTCTCGGCTGACCACGGCGTACCACCGGGCAGTCACGCCGAAAATGGCCGGGGGCACCACACCCGTAACATTTGACAGCCTCAGGCAGGTGGTCCGTCTTGGCAACGGCGAACGCCTCCAACGAAGACCGCAGCTGGCCGATCTCCTGCTGCAGCTGAGCTATCCTTGCATCCTGCTGCGACCCACCTCCTACCTCTGCATGAACAGCTGACGCTACAGCACCCAGGGGAAGGGGCCCAGTACCTGTATGCGTCGATGGGTTAGCAGCGCGTACCGCCTGGACGACCTCCTGGCGTTTATGCAGCTCTCGGATCACCGCTACAGCCGCAGACAGTGACTCAGGATTACGGTGGCACAGTTTCGTCTGGAGCCACTCATCCCGAAGTCCACATATGAACCGACTCGTCAGGGTTTTCATCACGAACGCCCTCTCCGCATACGTTTCCTCAGGACCTTTTCCCTCCCCTGACGGACCGGTAGAATGAGGGAACGCAGCCCGCCCCAGTCTCTTAATACGGTCAGCGAAGCTCTCAGCTGATTCCCCCGGCGACTGGGAGGCGCGCCCCAGCTCGGCCTGCGCCTGTAAGGGCTCGATTAACCGACCAAACCGGACCCCAAGTCCTGACTTTATCTCAGAGTACGAACTGTCACCCTGATACAGCGAATGCGCATAATCGAGTGCGACGCCATCCAGCAGAGGCAACAGCCGCTTAACTCGCTCAACGTCTCCGAGTCCCACCGTTAACGACTCGAAACGAGATATCCACCGCTCCCAATCATCTGTCTCTATACCCGCAAAACGAGGGGTTCGCGATACCAAAATAGTGTCGTTGAAATCCATGGCCAGCGGAAACAATTCACCAAATTATTCAAAACTGCACCCAGGCGGACCGCCTTATTCCTAACGTTCCCCTCAGAACAGAAAATATCGGCGTTCTATTTTCGAGCAAACCGCCCGCTTTTTGTCGAGCACAGACTAGTTACGATAATCAACATTCATGAACTAAATTTCAATAAATATCATCAAATGAAATTAATGAACTCACCCTTTGTCGTCTTCTGCAGTCCTACCGACCGCGCCAAATGTCGCGGGAGCTGAACACACTCAGACTCGATGCTTTACTGTATTATCGGCAGAGGCCCAAACAAGAACCACAGAGCCAACCGCTCGTAACCACGGTCTCCCTGCCTCTCCCGGGCCGCCGACCGCCCAGCCAGCGCCAGCCCTCGACCCCGCCCGAGGGCCACGCGGCAGGGGCGGCGCCGGGCGCGGCCAGCCGGGGAGGCGCCACGGGCGGCGCCAGGCATGCCACAACGGGCGGTCACAGCCGCCCGTAACATATAGTCTGTTCCATATCAAGCTTGCAGTCGGAGTTTCTTAGGCAGATCGCTCCTCCGCTCGAATTTGCGTCTTAAAATGCAAGAGCTGCATATACAGAAATCACGCACTGCCTACAGCAGGGCACTTCAGCTGCAAACTTGAAACGGAACAGAGTATAGTGTCTTGTTCCCCTCACATTTGGTCAGGCTTCTCCCGGTTAGTCCCAGTACTCCCAGTTCTGCAGCTCGTCGGCATTCTGTCGTCTCACTCTGTCTCCCTATCCGCCAGGAAATGGATGAGCTGCAGTCCGGCCGCCTTGTTCGACTGCCCCGTCATCAAACAATGCTCCACAGACTACGAGCCTATCATGGTGAGACAGGGCTCGTGCCTCGTCGCTAGATTTCTACATGGTCTTCTGTCATGGTAGAATGGTGACTTTCTGTAACGGTGACGGTTTATGTCCGTGACCATGACTTTCTGGTGACTATCCGTGATCGTGACTTTCTGATGCCGTGACTACGTAACAATGTTTTTCCGTTTTCGTGACCGTAATTGGTTGTGACCTATCGGAATTAATAATCACTCTGACTTGCTACCACTCACTCCTGACCCGTGATTGTCACGGAAATGTTGAACTATCGCCGTGGTCGTGGCTATCTGATATCGTGACTCCCGATCGTGGCTCCGCAGCCATGACGGTTTTGTGATCGTCACTCCCCGTGATAGTGACTCCATAACCGTGAATTTCGTGACTTACTCGGATATCGTTACTCCGTAGCGGTAATTTCTAGCACCGTGAATTTCCATGAGCGCTACTCTCCGTAACCGTGATTTCCCGTTACCGTGATTCCGTTATCGACTATCTTGACTCATAGCCGTGACTATGAAAGCGATCCGTGATTTTCAGTCATGGCCATGATTGTCCGTACTCCGTAGTTTTGTGACTTACCATACCTGTGACTTTCCGTGTCCGTGACTTGCCATTATGTCCGTGCCCGCGACTGTCCGTGACTTCACGCGCTCCGACTTCAGAGGACGCTGGAGCGAGAGGCCCGCCGCTGTCAGATGCTCGTGATATGGACAGATTGCGACAGAGAGGGTGAAAATATCGGCTTCGAGATCATCAACGTGTGTCGCGCCGTGAACCCGCAGCTGAAGGTGCTGAGGTGAGGTCCGCACTAGGGGAGATCTGGGTTGGGTCGGGCGCGGTGTTTCTCACGGCTTTTCGAGACATTTGCCGACATGCCAGTTTGTCACGGTACAGTCATGCACAGTTGCAGAAGCTTCTTATAATGTGTTGATGCCGGACGTGTTATTCAATTAATCACTCGAGTCATTCCTTGAGGCTTAGTAGTTCCGTACTGACTATGACTCCTTACTTCGTACTCGTAGCTGTTTAATTTCAAAGAAATTATCACTGACACAGCTTGCAGCCCATTTCCAACTCCACTCTATCATACTATTCTTTCCCCAGCCTGGTGACCTGGCCTGACCCGATGACCCGTTTCTCTCCAGGGCCCGATTCTCTGAGATCACGCCCGCCTCGGTCCGCCGCGCCGTCAACAACCTCGTGGAGCCGGACGGGCGGGCCAGCGCCGCTGTGGATGTGAGGCAGGAGCTGGACTTGCGGATAGGTGAGACGAGGGCGAGGGAGCGCAGAGGTCGGGCGGGGGCTTAGAGGTTAGGTTAGACGCCAGAGGGAGGTCAGTGACTACTGACTAGGTTTGAGGCTAGTAGAGGTTCTAGCCGCTAGAGGTTAGACTGAATGGCCAGAGGCTGCCAATGATTTCAATAATTTCAAGGATATTATTCCAGCTTTGTTACTAGAAGTATCTGCTCTGTAGAATCACTGGATGAATATCCCGACTACAACAGTTCGATTTATCGGCGTTTAGTGGTCGCCGGTAAGGCTTTGGTGCTTATGGTCAGACTACACTCGACAGTAGACAGTCCTGAGGACTGAGGAGACTGAGACCGATCCCTGTCTGACCACTGCTACCCTCTGTGACCGATGACCGCTCCCTCTGACCCCCCCCCCCCCCCCATGTGTCTCCCCCAGGCGCGGCGTTCACCCGTTTTCAGACGCTCCGTCTGAAGCAGGTCTTCCCTGCCCGGCTGGCCGACCACCTGATCAGCTACGGCAGCTGTCAGTTCCCCACCCTGGGGTTCGTCGTCGAACGCTACAAGGCCATCCAGAGCTTCATACCAGAGAGCTTCTGGAAAATCAAAGGTGGGTGCGGGGAAGTCAAAAGCAAAGTCTAGGAAATGAAGGCGAATGAATTATGCTGTGAGACCATATGATGGGAGTGGAAACGAATGACGACCGTTATGGATGTAGAATAGCTGGATGGAACGTGAGACTGGTGAATTAGGACAGGTGAAGCTGAAAATAATTCTATGGAACTATCTATTTTTAGAAATAGGTAGCGTTTGTGTATTGAATGTTGAGACTCAAAATGCTTAACAGTAGGTACCTATTACGCATCTAACTGACTTTGGATCCCCTCTTCCCCAGTTTCCCACATGAGGCAGGAGGGAAACGTCGACTTCAACTGGAAGCGAGTTCGTCTGTTCGATGAAGCCTGTTGTAGGGTAAGTCTCGGAAATCCAACTTAGGCGTGACAGGACGTACGCTAGCTGACGCTGCTCTCGGAAACGTAGATTGAAGCTGAAGAAGTATTATTTAACCATCATTTTTCACTGCTCTTGAAAGACTTCTAATGTTTACATCAACCTCTTAGTGAGATCTATTTAGGCTTGTAATGTCACTTTATCTTAGGCTAAGTGTTGTCACGTGGTGACGGCAACTGACCGGTGACCCATAGAACCCGCTCTCTGTCGACAGGCGCTGTTTGAGCGGTGCTGTGAGAACTCCACCGCCACCATTACTCACGTCCAGTCCAAACCCAAGTCCAAGTGGCGGCCCGTGCCGCTCGATACTGTGGTACGTACCGTGTAGTGGTGTCAATCGGAACTTGAATCTTCGGAATTCGGATTTTGTCCAATTTCCAAATCGGAATTCGGTTGGACAATGACAGCAGGCTTTGGACAACTTTGGACAATCGCTTGCTACACCGCAACATTTTTATAAAGTAATCTTGTTTAACATTGGTTGGCTATTAGAAAGCTCAGCTTTCGATATAATTACCACTTTTGAGCTGGTAACGATACATTAAAAACAAATTGAATAACGGTGTTGAGTGTAAACTATTGTGTAGATGTCGGACATCTTTAGACAAATGGCTGGCTTGGAAATTTTTGGACGGACAGTCGACGTAAGTATTGGACATTGGACGGACATTAGACATATGTTTTCTGAAATTGACATCACTAGTACCGTGTAGGGTTCGGCTAAGGGGGTGTCATTTGTCTGCCTTGTGATTCTGTAAAATTATTCCAAACTCTATGGACTGTAGGTGTTGCACAATGGAGTCTTCTTAGATCCATAATCATGCTTTTTTTATAAATTTTGTCCGAACCTTTTGATAGGAAGGATTCACAAGGACAGAGCCACCGCTAAGCGAAGCTTGTTGCGGTGACCCTGCCCTGTACCCTCCGATCGCGCAATTCCAAATCTATGGCAGAATTTAGAGTCCAAAGTTTAACGTGCGCACATAGACGCGCACGGCCGGTCCCCTCACTGACTTCGCCTGGCTACGGCCTGCCACCAACCGCAACCATACCTGTCAGGAGGCCCATAAATGTCAAGCGCCCGTCGCGCATCGAACCCGGACTGTTATAACCGGGAACGCGTGCTCTCGCCTCTCACCACGCGGAGTCCAACGCTCTACCAACTGAGCTACGGGACCGGCCGCATGAGTGTTGGTTTGATACTGAAACGATGTGTAATCTTCCGACGTCTCCAGATTTAATGTCTAACAATAAAAATGTTGCCTGAGATTGTTCGTCTTCGTCTGCTCTCTGCAAGATCAATAATCTCGATACACCTCCGCAAGATTGACATCATCTGCTTCCTCTGGCTTGACGCCCTTTCCTCCCCTCTACAGGAGCTGGAGAAGCTGGCGTCCCGGAAGCTGCGCATCACGGCCAAGGAGACGATGAAGGTGGCGGAGAAGCTGTACACACAGGGTCTGATCTCGTACCCGCGCACGGAGACCAACATCTTCCCCAAGGAGCTGGCGCTGGCGCCGCTCGTCCAGCAGCAGGTCAACGACCCCAACTGGGGAGGTGAGACGCGGGGAGAGGAGGAGGATGGAAGGGCGTGGGATGGGGTTTGTTTGAACTTGGAGAATCTCTGGAAAGGTTGTGGGAAGACGGGTTATTTGCTCTATCACTAGTCAACACATCTCAACTACAGGCGGCAGACATCATGTGGGACTGTTGCTATGAAGTAACACCTGGAGCAGTAAGCTATGACCGTTGTCTCTATGTGGTTCAAGACGAGAGAAAATATCGATAAGATGTATGCAATTATCAAAGTGATTGATGGTATGTACGTCTTTTATGAGCTACTTAAAATATCCTTAGCTTTTATCAGCTTTAGGTATGCGCCGGTTCCACAATTCGTACTAGTGTTACAGTGCGCGAATGTACTGTGTCCGCTGAGTCCCATATCCCATATTTCTTCCCAACCCACACTGACCAGAATGTCGTACTTGCAGCGTTCGCGGCGCGGCTACTCGAGAATGGACCGAACCCCCGGCAGGGCAAAAAGACCGACAATGCCCATCCTCCCATCCACCCCACAAAGTGAGTGGGAAGTGCGTGGGAGAGAGGGGGGGGGCAGCTACGAGTGACATACGGGTGAAACGTCATTATGGGTGATAAAGAATGTTTCGAGATGTTTGATTTAATCGATGCATCTTATACTTCCGATGATGATTTGAATGTTTTCTGTTTGATGCTGTTTTGATTGAGCAATCTATTTACTTCCTGCAAACATTCACCTCAAAACCCTATCTTTTTTCCACATCCTTGCTACACCTACACCACTCTTTCCCTCTGCTCATCCGCTCTCCCTTGGTACACTGCAGCTCTCGGCACACTGTATTACCCTCATCCTCCCTCAGGCTCTCTTTTTTCGTTCTGCTCCTCCACTCCCCTTGGCCTGCTGTACTAACCCCTCCCCGTCGCCCCCAGGTACGCTCCTGGCCTGCAGGGTAACGAGCAGCGTCTGTACGAGTTTGTGGTGCGTCACTTCTTGGCGTGTCTGTCGGCCGATGCGCAGGGACAGGAGACCACTGTCGATGCTGAGGTGGCCGGAGAAAAGGTCAGTGGAGGGTGGAGGAGGGTGTGGGGGGGGAGGGATGGAGGGAGAAGGAAAGGAAATGGTGGTAGGGAAACGGAGAGGCATGGACTTTGATCGAAAAGAAGTCCATGATGTTGCCTTTGGTCCTCAAAGAGATGTAAGGATCTTGCGGAAGTAAGGTTTTCTGTTAGGACGTATGCAATGTGTTTGCATGATCAATGATCATGATCTGAGACTGAAACGTTACGATCTACGACTTGAACTATGTAAACCTTAAATGTGTGGCTGTATTTACTGTTTACGTAACTAGTCACCGATAGTACACTCAATGCTCATTGTAACACATTCGTATATTCAATTGCCATGAAGCTCAGCGCTAGTTTCCATTTGAAACTTTGGAAGCTTCCCATTTGAACATCTCAGCGTAACTTATTTAGTCTGAGAACGCCTCAGAATATGAAGGGAATGACTCTCCGCCGGTTTTTCGGATACTGGTCCCCAAATCTGCCCAGGTTTTTGTTGTGCAGCTCGTGGCCACAGGCCGTGAGGTAGACAGTCGTGAACATCGCGAACCCCAGCGCCGGGGGCGTCCAGGAGACCAGCGCGTAGCCCCACCACTCCACCATCTCTCCGAAATAGTTAGCAGCGGATACAAACTCAAACAACCCTCCACGAGGGACGCTGTATCGCGGCCCGCCGGGTCTCCTCAGCGAGAGCAAACGCTGGTCCGAATCAATGTTGATCGCCGCGCCGATCATAAAGATGGCAGCACCAATCAGGTGTCGTGCCGTATAGATGTCGCCACTGTCCGCCGGACACTGCAGTGCCGCGGCACTTTGAGCCATGCCATTCCACGTTGTGAAGGCGGTAGCCATGAGTACGTATGGTGCGGGTTCCGTTGAGTCTGCGGATATTCGCCATGGATAGATGAGAGACCGCTGGAAGTAGTGAGCGGCGAACAGTGTCAGCGGCAGCAGCGGCGGCCGGAGTAGGCTGGTCGCAGCCGGGGCTGACCAGAGGTGCCAGGCCGGAATCAGAAATGACGGGCAGCTCCTGAGGGCAGGCAGGGGAGGGTGAATTTCCGATTATGGACAACGGAATATACCTGTGCCGTAAAAGATATCATCTATCATTGAAGTGTGAGGACAGGGGCTATTTATGTTTGGGGGCAGGCTTCAGCAGTTGAATTGAAAATGAAAATGTTATAAGTCGAGAGGAGAGAACGTCTTATTTACTCATGTCTAGTCTAGCCGTAAGTATCACATTTCTTCTATTATAAATGAAGTCTCTCTGCCCGGAACAAGGCAGTGTTCGCCACAGCCACGTCCTACCTCCCACCTTTCCTCATATCCTCACCTTGAGGCACCAGCTGAGGCGGTTGCTGACGGGCCAGCGGAAGCGGTTGCGGTAAAACCAGTGACCTGGCGGTGTAGCGGTGATCACCAGGGTGACCACGGTGGGGACGCTGAGGTACCACAGCCACAGCGATCCACAGTCGTCCGCGGGGTTGGACGGGGTCATGGTGGGGAGCTGTAGGGGGAGGGGATGGTTAGGTAAGTCGGTACTTAATTTTGTTTGTCATTATTCTTGTGTTTTTTCAGTTCCCTTTTACTTCAGACCAGTAGTCGGCGCCCCAAAGCCCCAATAAACAAACAATAACTTACGACCCATGCACTTTCCTGTATTTCCACACTGTCCAGTCACCTGCTGATCTAGAAAGGTACTATTGGACGCTGCAGGGGCTTACTCTCACTGCCTTTCTCCTGTCTTTCTCTTGGCCCATCCCCCCCCCCCATTTCAGGGATGTTGTGGCCACTGGCCATCACATCTCGTCTACTCTCATTCACTGTCAATAGTCTCAGTTGATTAACTAGTAACCATCATCTCTCGTCTGTTCTCTCCCAGTTCTCTGCCAATGGCCTGATGATCACAGCTCGGAACTACCTGGAGGTGTACCCGTACGACAAGTGGTCGGACAAAGAGCTGCCCGTCTACAGGTCAGTAGAGCTACAAAGGTAGCTACCTGGAGGTGTACCCGTACGACAAGTGGTCGGACAAAGAGCTGCCCGTCTACAGGTCAGTAGAGCTACAAAGGTAGCTACCTGGAGGTGTACCCGTACGACAAGTGGTCGGACAAAGAGCTGCCCGTCTACAGGTCAGTAGAGCTACAAAGGTAGCTACCTGGAGGTGTACCCGTACGACAAGTGGTCCGACAAGGAGCTGCCCGTCTACAGGTCAGTAGAGCTACAAAGGTAGCTACCTGGAGGTGTACCCGTACGACAAGTGGTCCGACAAAGAGCTGCCCGTCTACAGGTCAGTAGAGCTACAAAGGTAGCTACCTGGAGGTGTACCCGTACGACAAGTGGTCCGACAAGGAGCTGCCCGTCTACAGGTCAGTAGAGCTACAAAGGTAGCTACCTGGAGGTGTACCCGTACGACAAGTGGTCCGACAAGGAGCTGCCCGTCTACAGGTCAGTAGAGCTACAAAGGTAGCTACCTGGAGGTGTACCCGTACGACAAGTGGTCCGACAAAGAGCTGCCCGTCTACAGGTCAGTAGAGCTTTAAAGGTAGCTACCTGGAGGTGTACCCGTACGACAAGTGGTCGGACAAAGAGCTGCCCGTCTACAGGTCAGTAGAGCTTTAAAGGTAGCTACCTGGAGGTGTACCCGTACGACAAGTGGTCCGACAAAGAGCTGCCCGTCTACAGGTCAGCCCCGGGAGGTCACGTGTGGTTGTGCATACAGCCAAAAGGCCTACACACGTCTTACTGAACCCACGATTTCTGACGAGATACGTTGTTTATCACAAATCTTTCATATATCTCTTACCTTTACGTAAGTGCGCGTTATATGCACAAAATGAACAGCACGGCCTGTCACACCTCGTACTGTGGTCTCCGCACCCCGCCTCCCCCGCTACGCACCGCCCCGCCTCCGCGGTATGTGGGGCCTTGGCCCCCGCGCCCGCGTGGGTTCAACTGGCGGCGTTTCGTTTACCGACGACGGCGACGGCGTAATCAAGTACAGTCTCTGACAGTGGAACAGACGCATCGGGTACACTCTCTGACATAGTGTCAGACGTCGAGAATATACGGGATGATATTTGATAAACTGTGATGCCTAGTAGGGTTTTGCGTACTTGTGATGCTAGAATCAAGCACGTTTGACGGATGTTGCGTTATGGGATGTTATATAACGCCGTTCATTTTGCGCACCGATAGAGCATTGACCAGATGAATCATAATTCATATCAAGTTGGTGCATTTACGTGGCCTAGATATCAGTTACGGCATAGCTAATGTGTTATAAACGATAAGTAAAAAAAGTATTTTACCCGCCCCTACTAACGCCCCCCCCCCCTCCCCCTCCCTCGCTGACAGAGTGGGACAACAGTTTGCGGCCGAGCTGGCGATGCCCTCAGGCGAAACGACCCCGCCGCCGCTACTGACGGAGGCGGATCTGATCGCGCTTATGGACAAACACGGCATTGGTGAGTTGCTAGGAGCTGCTACACTGATAGGGGAGGCGATGAACATAACGGAGGGCGGGACAGTGGAGAATGGCAGCTACCCTGGAGTACGAGCTTTGGCTGGGGCGAAACTGGCGAGAAACCGGCGGGGCGAGAATGGTCATTAGATGCACTCTGAGAACCGCTGCAATGAAGGCGCCAAAGAAAAATCTTCTTTGGATGACCAGATAGAGTTTTGACGCTTATAATTTCACGTAAATGTTCGAGAACATTAATTATCGTGGTTGTTTCGTGTTCGTATCGCTTCGGTGAGGCCGGGTCTGATCAGATGATCATAATGGCTCAAAAAGCCTCGCGCTCTCCACACACCTCACGATGACCTCCCCCCCCCCCCTTCCTTCCCCCGGTCAGGCACGGACGCCACCCACGCGGACCACATTGAGACCATCAAGTCGCGCCAGTACGTGGGGCTCGAGGACGGCCGGTTCATGCCCGGCTGTCTGGGTATGGGCCTGGTCGAGGGGTACGACAGCATGGGGTTCCACATGTCCAAACCGAACCTGCGAGCCGAGCTGGAGGCAGATCTCAAACGGTGAGCCCTGGGTCCTTATTGGTCATGTGGTTTTACTTTCAACTTGATTGACGGTTCATTTGTGTCTGTTTATGAACCAATTAACGCTTTACTTTCTACTGTGAACGCACCCTAAAGCCGAGCTGAAAAGTTCGATGAATTAGTTTTGACTTATTCGTGTTGTGAGTGACAGGGTAGCAATGCGATTCATTTATGTGTGACAACTGACAAAACTGACAAATATGATTGCCGAGGACGTGTCATGTCCAGTGTTGGAAATAAGGCCCTTTGCTGGTCCCAGTCGGGTCCAAACGATTTTGTTCTCCTTTACAAATTTATACTACGGCACCTGAAATCTCTGAAATTTCCAGCCTATGTAAATAAAAACTGCTATTATTACGCCTATAACATACAGTTATAGCATTGAGAAAACACATTTTATCGACTGTCACATTTAGTAGGCCAAACATATATGATTTTCCTGTTGAATGTTCTAAAGCTGGCTGGTTCACCGGAACAGATTTTATTCTCCGGAACCAGGACCAAAAATCACAATTCCAGGCTCCAGCATTGGTCCTGTCTCAATAATGGCCTAGCTTGCCCCCGACCTGACCTTTGGCCCGCCTCCTCTCACTGTCAGGATATGTGAGGGTACACGCGACCCTGCCACCGTTCTCCGGGAACAAATCACCGCCTACAAAAACGTCTTTGAAGAGGCCATGAGACAGGTATACGGTCAACGACAGCTGCGGATTGTGGACGTCTTTCAGGCTTTCTTCGACATGTGTGGTGCACAAAGCGTGCACTATTGCGTCAGTTGTTACGTAGTTACTTTTGAAACACAACTGCGGCTTGATTATGGCGTCCTGTACCGTATACATTTGTAATAATTTCGTTTATCCTCGTTTTATAGCAATATCGTGATTCCTGTTCAATCTTCGGACCTTTAATGAACAATGACCTCTCGTGCCCGACCCGTTTTACTACCCCCCCCCCCCCTCTGTCCCCCAGGCCCAGAAGCTGGACACTGCCCTCTCCCCGTACCTGGGCGAGCCCCCTGCCGCCGCCGCCGCTGCCGGGGTCGGGGTCGAGCTGCAGATGCCAGAGACCGTGTGCCGGTGTCCGGCCTGTGGCCAGCCCGTGCTGCTCAAGGTGCGGACGGGATGGTGGAGGGAATGGGAATGGGAAGGGTGAGCAATCTAAAGTAATGCAAGGGTGAAAAATTGTGGGGAAATTGGTGGAGTGGGGATGGAGAGGCTGAGGATATGCCCAGTTTTATCGTTTTATCGTGATTTTTGTCGGTAAGTCGTCTTTACATGAGGCATTTGACTTCACCGTCTGACGTCACCTGACTTGTGATCTAAATCTGATGTGTCAGACCCCATTCTACCATTTCTTACCTTGAATCTGATGTCTCACCAGGAGTAGTCTACCGCTTTTTACCCGACCAATTCTTCTCTCGGTCAGACGTTACGCGAGGGCACCCAGTTCATGCTCTCGTGCTCCGGCTACCCGGCGTGCCGTGTGGCCATGTGGATGCCCTCCTCCGTGGAGTCGCTGACGGTCAGTCAGCAGCACTGCACCGCCTGTCGCGGCCAGCCCAAGATGCTGGACTTTACCTTCCGAACGGCGGTGTATGCGCCCTACTACCCTCGCCGGCACACGGCCTGTGTCGCCGGCTGTGATACAGAGTTTCTGGAGACCGTGGGGCTGAAACCGCTGTCGGCTAGTGCGCAAGGTGAGATGGAGGGAGGTTGTGAGTTGTGAGTGATGAAGCATGATGGTGAAGTTATGAGAGCAGAGAGGTGGGCTGTGCGATCACGGATGGATTGGTTAGACAAACACGAACGAGATGGTCCGTCTGACCGGCTTTTGGGAGCGCTGTTACCAGTTGTTTCCGTAGTGTAGTGGTTATCACGTCCGCTTCACACGCGGAAGGTCCCCGGTTCGATCCCGGGCGGGAACACGTTTTCGCTCACCCTTTTGCTTTGTATGGCTAGGAAACAGTGCGTGGTCGCCGGATTGTCGGCGTGATGAGATTGCTAGTTCACAAAACTTTGCGTGTGGTGAAAGGATTTTCTAAAAACGCGATAAATTTGAAATGCGATGAAACTGGTTTCTCGTGGCATCCCCAGTGCTGTTCACGCAATACGTGTACAAGCCCAATTGGAACTTGAACTGTCTAACAGTTGCTGTTGATGATAATTGGAAGAAAAATTATCTTTTTCATCGTGATCATAGCTCCTTTATCACGTGTACCCATATCGTGAGCGTGATGGTATTGTTCATAACTTATGAAAACTGCAGCGATTAACAACAGGAACCAACTGTCTTTAAGGAGGTGGCAGCCAGCAAAACGGAGACAGCGGCTACATCAGCACCCTCAGCCAGGCGCGCCCTGCCCGTGCAGCCAATCTCCGTCCACCAGCCGCCCCGGCCGGCCAATCACAGCCCGCCCCGACGCTGGGTCGGCCCCGCCCCGCCGCCACAACCAATCACCGTCCGCCAGCGGCGCCGGCCGGCCAATCACAGGCTCCGGCTCGGCCGCGCCCCCCGCCGGCGACCAATGGCCGGCCGGGGGAGGGCGGCGGCGGCACGGTGTGTGAGTGCGGCACCCCGGCCGTCCTTCTGACAGTGAGGAAGGAGGGCCCCAACACGGGCCGTCAGTTCTACAAGTGTGACGCGGCAGCCGGCGGGCGCGGCTGTAACTTCTTCCTCTGGGCGGACGAGGGCGCTCCTCCGAGACCGGCGCAGGCTCAACGGCTGCCAGGACAGGCGCAGAACGGTGGGTACAGTGGGGGGGGGGGGGGGGCAGGGGGCTGAGGGCGCTCCTCCGAGACCGGCGCAGGCTCAGCGGCCGCCGGGACAGACACTGAACGGTGGGTACAAGGGGAACCAGGGGGCGGCCTCCTTGATAGACACATAATGATGGGTAAGAGGATAAACGAGGGCGCTCCTCCGAGACCGCCGCAGGCTCAGCGGCCGCCGGGACAGACACTGAACGGTGGGTACAGGGGGAGGGACGACCGCCGGGACAGACACTGAACGGTGGGTACAGGGTAGGGACGACTGCCGGGACAGGCGCAGAACGGTGGGTATGGGGAGGTGGGAGGAATCAGGGCTCGGTTTCTGCGGGTGTGACTGGTGGCAATGTAGGTATAAGCGGTTGAAACTCTTTCTGAGAAGTGAGAACTCGGCGACATGTTTGTTTGTTTTGACAGATGTCCAATTCCGACCCAATACATCAGCTTGGTGTTTCTCACAGGTATTTTGGCCAAAGCAATCCATGAAAACTGAGGAATGTGCTTCATTATTGAAAGTATCGTAGTAGAATCATCCATGGTAGAATCTTGCTCGCGGCGCATATATACCGTAATATCTCCCTGCCCCGCCTCTGATGTCTCTCATTGTCTCCCAGGTGGCGGAGACGCTCAGGGCGACGTGCTCTGCGGCTGTGGCCTCCCGCCCAGACGGTAAGTGATTTACCTATGATTTTACCTAGGTATGTGAGTAATTTACCTATACTAAATCAGCGTGTAATGAGTATGTAATGAGTTGCCGCATAATGAGTATGAGCGTACCGCGCCGTATTACCGTTTTCGTTATTACCGTGTACCGGGTGGAGAGGAATTAAAAACAAAACAAAAACTGAAGGAATAGGGGATTGATTGGATGATTATTAAACCAAAACCTCTGTATACCTAGACATGGGCGAACTTATAGTTCAGCGTATTAGTGTTCACAGAATAATGTGCTAGTCGATTTGCAGTTGTCTTCCCATCTTTTGCGTTTCCTCGTCAGTCAACATGTTTGACCCAATATCTCTCGGTGCACGGTCCGCAGCTGCACCGTTCAGAAGGAGGGCCCCAACCAGGGCCGCGAGTTCCTGGGGTGCTCCAAGCCGCGCGACCAGGGCTGCCGGTTCTTTCAGTGGTGTGACGAGCCGCCCCGGCCACCCGGTTAGTGCGGCAGGGAGACCGGATGGCCGGAGATAAGTGCAGTGTGTGTGGTGGTTTAGGGGTGGTGGGTTCTTTTTGCTAGGTGCATGATTGTTTGGTTGTGGTTAATCAACCTTGGTTTTAGTTTTTGCATGTCATTTTGCACGCTGACTTTGTAAGCTTCAACTTGTTAGTTGTTTGGAAGTTTGTACATGACTGGCTAGTGGCTGACCGTTTGCTAGATTTATCTGGTTTTCAGTAGTTGTTTTGTCGTAGTTTATAACGGCGGTCCTTATTTCGTCATGTACCGTTTCTACTTCTATTTGCATGTTGACTTCTTTCGAAACCTTTGTTGCATTTACGTTTCCTTAGTTCTATGTAGTATCCCCTGCAAATTGGTGCATGGTTTCATCTACAATTGTCACTAACAAACAATGCATGACCGTGGTATAACTACGTTAATATTTCTCGTAGCAACGCAGCTAGACGTGCATGTTTTCGTAGCTCCATTAGTATCCCTTTACGTAGCTGTTTTATGTTTATATTGCAGGCTGGTATAGCTGGTTTTAGTTCAGTCGGTGGTGGCGAACCATTAGATGGACTAGTGTCGGTAAGGCATGCTTCCGAACTCCAATTAATTCTGCGTGTTCTGTAGTGGCGTGTTGTCTGCAGTTTCAGTGAAGTATTTTCCCAAATCTGGTTTACGTGGCATGCTAATTGCATGGATACTCACATTGTGCGCTCAGTACTGTGTACACTGATTTGTTCGTGACTTTAGACTAGATTACAACAGAAATATAACACTTCATGCTATCATGTGCTTCTGTTAATTTCAGTGCATCATTGTCATGTGCTAGGGTTTTGATTTCACCTCACTTTAATACTCCAAAGCAATATGAACGTTTCTGTAATTTGTCATTGACCATCTTAGTTTCTAACCTCCTCCCTCCCCCCGCAGGCGGCGGCGGGTCGGCCTGGGGCGGCGGACGGGGCCGCGGCAGGGGGCGGGGCAGGGGCGGCGGTCCGCCCCGACCCCGCGCCCCCCGAGGGGGCGGTGCAGCCGCCCGGCGCTGCCGAAACTGCCAGCAGCTGGGACATGATCGGAGGACGTGTCCCATGGACGGCTGACCTGACCCAGGTCACCGCTGACCTCTGACCCAGGTCATCTCAGGACGGCTGACCTCTGACCCAGGTCATCCCAGGACGGCTGACCTCTGACCCAGGTCATCTCAGGACGGCCGACCTGACCCAGGTCACTGCAGTCGTCTGACGAATCTAGTCCAAAGGATGTGTCTGTGCGGTCAAGCGCCGCCAGTCTTAGTGCCAGAGGTGGATTTTATGCGCGGGCTATCCGTCCCGTCCACGTACCGACCTGCCATGAATTTCTCTCACCAATCCAACAAGTTTCTGGCTGTGTTTGAATGACGCGGCCCGCCGGGCGTGTGTCACAGGATGTCAGTGTTTTACCACAGTGGGTCTGTGTGTTTGTGCCTTCATCAGTCATTAATGGGCTGTCGGCATGGTAGCCGCTGCTTCGGAACGAGTACCGAGCACTGAAGATGGTAGTGACTGAGGTTTAATTGTGAATGGCCGACGGTGCATCGGTACACATCGTTTTTTTTTTCGTGATTCATCCGTGTCTTAATGCGATTTCGCCAATCTTAACGTTGTCTTCATTGTCACGAATTTATATTTTAATAATTACAATGTCTCAAAGGTATCGTTTGTTATTAAATGACTGCGAGATTGGCAAAGCAAGATCTTGATGCCCCAGCCCCTTACAAAACGCAGTACCCGACCCCATCCATATGCCACGCCATAATATGATGGACATTGGAAAGGGACACGAACGCCTCGACATTCAGGCGACTGTGCCCCATTTCGGACACATTCGGGCTTCTGATAATCTGATCATCCTCTCCACACGCCTCTCCATACTCCTCTGTGTATATTCCACGAGCGAGCTGAGGTCGGCGCCACCGGAGAGGGCTCGAAACAGCCCGGTACAAAACTGACACCTTCACACCACAGTTACCAGATGCCTTGACACGCCAGTGACACGCGTTGACACCCCACTGACACACTGTGCACACATGCACGCGGTGCACGCTCGTGTGCACACACGGGACATTTATCACAAGTTCGGGGGTTGACCGATTCCGTGCGACACGATTTGGCTTTGAGTGAGTTACAATCGAACCCGATTGGTAGCAGGAGCGGCACAAGATTCACGGGTTAAATGCGCCAACTCGGGTTCCGAAACCCGTCATTGTGCCAGTGTTTTGGTGTCGCTCTTGTACACAACAGAATGCCGAAAACATTGCTCCGCTTACAAAAAGAACAGTCAGCGAGCCCACAAAATCACCAGCAAGTCTGATGAGGTATGACCCGGGGAGTATTCGCGCGGTGGCCGGCGTCGGCTCTATTCCGTCGTTCGGCGGTGGTTATGAGGTATTCGCACGTGGTCTCCACTCAGCAGAGCCAGCCGTACGACACAGGAACATAGAGAATGGCAGTAGCTGCGGCTCCCCAAACAGCGCCGGGAGGCGTATCTTACTGAGCGGCTAGTGTCAATCGACAGCGAATCCAGCATCGTTAAAAGACGCATGCACATTGCTGGAGACGCGTTCGCACGTTCGAGGCGACATTCGCAGTTCGTCTCGTAACACACAAATCGTACAAAAATCCGAGCACCACATAAGCCTCTAGGTCCGATTGTCAAATCCAAGTGACTGGATCAGATAACCACACACAAATTCAAGAAAGGTCGACATCACGTACTGGGGAGGGCCTTCAACGTTAATAACTGAGCTAGAAACAAACAACATTGTGGGGAAGTCCTCACAAAGAGCGGCCACGAGTATGAGATCAGGAGGCAGCCCCGGCCGCCCCGCCATGTCATGAACGATTTGAGCCTGCCAGCGACGAGCATTGACAATACTACACAACGCTGCGCTAAACCTGTGAAACCAGCTTTGAGGAAGTAACTAGTCGAGCGAAGGCTTGGCTTACACATCATGCACTTGCACTCACAACCTTTGGGTAAAAGTCGGGTCGTTCGCAAGTCGTTATACCACGATGGATACTTCTACGCAAATACTTCTACATCACGAACGAAAAACCGATAGCACTGACCGCAGGTCTGTCTCTCATTGCCCTTTTCACGTCCTCCATTCCTATTTCAGTCTCCTCTGTTTCCTCCTTGCCTTACATCCTCTTCCATACCACCCAGCTCCGTTACCACTGCCGGTGCCGGCATCTTGAGCCAGCACGGGCTTCAGCATTCTCCTCGACACCCGAAACACTGCCTGGAATCGGACGTAGTCAGCGCCGTCTGACTCGCTGTCCGACTCGGCCGATGACTCGCTACTGGCGGCCAGCTCTGGCGGAGGGGAGTTGTCTGACTCGGAGTCGTTCGAGTCGGAGGAGGAGGAGGAGGAGGAGAGGTCACGGTAGCTGACGGCGCGACGGGAGCACGCGCGGCCCGGCCGGCGCCGCGCGGCCGGAGGGGAGTCGGCTCCGTCATCGTCATCGTTAACGCCGTCATCGCCACCATTGACGTCAGCTTCGTCGACTTCAGCGTCGCCGTGGCCGCCTCTGCTGTCTTCTTCACGCTCCGCGTCCCGAATCGAGTCAGGAGAGTCACGAGTCGACGTGGCGGCGTCCTGACTCGTGTCGGCTCCGATGTGACTCAATATGACGTCAGTCTGACTCAGGTCCACGTCTGCTTTCGTTAGGATGGTGCTGTCTTCACTCGAGTCACCGTTTTCCCGCACAGAGTCGAGGGTGTTTTGGCAGGAGTTGAATGCGTCTTTTAGGTTCGAGTCATCTCGAGTTGAGTTATCCCGGGTAGAGTCATCTCGAGTAGAGTCGTCTCGGATCGACTCAGCTCCGTCTCGACTCGAATCAGCTCCATCGAGCCATCTTTGCGAGTCATTCGCCTTCTCTGAGTCCTCCCGCTGCTGTGAGTCCTGACTCGAGTCACCACCATCCATCCACACATCGTGCACTAGTCGTGACTCCGTTTGACTCTCCGTCTCACCACGGCTCGGGGAGAATCCGTCCCGCGACTCAGGCCACTCGTGACTCAGACCGACTCCTTCATCCGCCGAGTCAACGCGAGTCAGCGCTTCGCTGCCGAGGGACTCGGCATGACTCGCAGTCTCCTGAAGCGACTCAAAGTCGGTGAACTCAGTCTGTACTCCGCAGTCTTCTTCGCGAGGCTCGGACTGAGTAGCTGCCGCGTCATCCTGAGAGTCGTCGACTCGATTCGAGTCATTTACTTCGCGTGACTCACTCTGACGGCTGCTTTCATCACGAGACTCAAGCTGACTCGCTCCGTCCTGAGCTGCCTGTGAGTCATCCTGACTCTCCATGTTTCCTGCTGGTGACTCTGCCCGACTCGTATCCTCCCCAGCGCGACTCGTATCCTCAGCTATTGACTCGATCTGACTCACATCACCCGTCTCCGACTCCGGCGGGTCGATCTGACTCGCGGCGTCAACGTACGTTACCGGACTCTGACTCCGACTCAGGTGGCAGGAGACGGGGACGCTGTCGTAAGTCGACTCACGACTCTCACCTTCATCTTTGACCGGTATGCTGTCATTCATGCCACCGTCACCGCCTTCGTCCTCTTCCGTCACGTCGTTGGTATGTTCATCGCCTGGAAGAAATAAGAACATACGTTAAGAAATTACACATCGAAGCTAATTGTGAAATCTACCAGAACCGCAGCATGGCGAATTTCCATCGCAAATGTAGGTATAACTTCCAAGGCCGCCACGCTTACCATTCGCCTTTTTCGCGTTGCAACACCGTCAAGACAACTGAGCAAGTCTAACTTTATTGCACCGTAACTGAACAATGCTCTAGCATCCAACTCTGTCAAAACATCCCTCCTCTCCCGTCCACCCACCGATTTCTGAGCGCGAGTAGTCGTGGTCGAGCAGCCGGGGCGGCGCGGACGGTACGTCGATGAAGATGACATCACTGCTGCTCAGTCGGTCCAGACAGTCGTCACTGAGACAGAAGGGGCTGCGGTCGCCGTCCATCAGCCGGATGTGGGAGAGGTCTGAACAGCGGCCGTCAGGACTGTGGCCCGGCTCGGAGCCAGAGCTGCAACTGAGGAGAGGGGAGGGGAGGGGGTTAGACAGGGAGAGCAGCGGCCGTCAGGGCTGTGGCCGGGCTCAGAGCTAGAGCTGCAGCTGTGAGAGAATTCGAGGCTGAGTAGGCGGAAACATGACTCCACCAGGGTTTGGACCACCAATGGTGTGCAGAAATTGATGTGGCTCATCGAGTTGCGAAGTTGTAAAAAAGCGTGTGTTCATATCAAGCGATGACATTATTGCAAACACCAGCAAAATTTCATTGTGCATCCAATCACCGCACTTTGGTTAATTAGATTCATAATATTCCGAGAATCATCAATGGCAAAGAGAAGTACCTATTTTCTGAAAACACAGTGTCAATTTGTAACCATCGCTCGGTAAACGCGAAGCCCGCACCGCACGACCCACCTGTCAGCTGCCGACGAGCAGAGCACCTCCCCCAGCTCCTCCACCACAGTGAACTCCTCCTCCCTCCACTCTATCGGGTCCGTCTGAACCAGAGCGTCACGCAGCTCCGTCACGGCGCACGTCACGTCCGACACGTCGTCACAGGAGCTGTCCGTCACGGCGGCCGTTACGGTTGTTAGGGATGAGGTGAGGGCGGAGATGTGCACTGATGTTACACTGGGTGTATCGTCTGTGGTGTTATCCGTTACGTTCTCCGGGAGAGCCGTCACGCTGGATGTGACGCTGGCCGTCACGCTCGTGACGCCCGCCGTCACGGCCGGTGTCCACCGTCTCTGAGCAGCGCTCTCGGGTGAGGCCCCTCCTCCGTTGGCAGGCGCGGCCGTCCGGCCTCCCAGCAGTGTCTGTAGCAGCAGGGAGCCGCCCTCGGGGAGACACAGAGGGGGACTCTGGGGCGATATGGCACACTCGGCCGGCCGGCCGGGCGCCGCGCTCCGCCGCTCTGCCTGACTGCTCTCCTGCTCTGTCCTCACCGAGTCTGACCGGTGGAGTGTCCGAGCTGTCTCACTGTTTGGATGTTCTGATGACTGTTGTGTTACCACCTCTAGCCGTCCCTCGGGCGGCTCATCCGGCCTTCCAGGACCCGACTCCGTCCCCTCTCCTTCCTCCTCCCCTCCTCTCTCCTCCTCTCCACTCTCTCCCTCGGTCTCTGGCCGTGTGAGACGACACCGCGGCGCCGGCTCACTCCTGTGTAGCGGCGTGGCCAGTCGGAAGAGCGGGTCAGCGGCCCGGGAGTAGTGCGGCACCGGCAGTCCCAGGTGGTCCATCACACGCACCATCACGTCGTCACAACGACCTGGGGGTGGACGAAGGTGTTAGAGAACACGCTGTAGTGTCGGAGATGAAAAGGTCAGAGGCTCAGCTTAAACAGTTGGGACGCGAGTCTTGAACCGCAGCAATGATGTGGCAATAATGATGGTGGGTCCTCCATGACTGAGGCTCTGGGTGAAAAAAAGAGGACCACATTTCATGATTTGCCAAAAATATCACGAGCATGATTGGCTGCTGAAGACGTCAATCCTATTTAATCGTTAGCAATAATAAGGCGCGTTTAGGGGCGACAAACGACCGAGCACGGCCGTCCGGTAGTGCACCCACTCTCGGCCATTCACTGACCGTTGATTTTCAGCGCTGCGCAGTCGTCTTTGGGCGTCCACTGGAGGTTGACGATGAACAGTCGCGGCCGTTTGTGGGGCGGACGGTGCATGCACCACAGCCCGCTGTACTTCCGTAATACCTGACGAGGGGCAGAAGAGGCGAGGGCCGTCACACAACGGTAATGTTCAAAATTGTTATCAGTGGACAACGAGAAAGACACGAGGGAGAGGGAGTCAGATCTGGGAATATCAACATCTCACTATTAAGTTCTTTCCCAAATAAGGCACAAGGGTCCGCACCTGTTTCTGATACCGCCAGGCGCCAACGCAACACGTTTTCAACTAATATAGCCTGTACGGACTCACGAGGTACACATCAGACTGTTTCATGACCAGCTCCATTCTATTGCCAAAACCCACATAATGTTAAGAATTTCATCAGCAAAAGCCCAGTCCCTCGGATCGAATGTCACACATATATTGACATCCGATCTGCTCAGCTAGCACCGCTCGCCTCCCTCTCACCTTGAGGCTGCTGCCCAGACAGAGTATGACGTCACTCCGCCGCGCCTGTCGGCACGCGCCGCGCCAGTTCAATGGCCACCGCAGGCTGCCCCGCTCGCCGAAATGCACCACCGTGTCGATCAGGGGCGTGGCGCACTCGTAACACCTGGGGAGGAAGGTACAGGTAGTGATGCCTTATGACTTGGCCTGGACACGGATGCCTGGGCGTTTAGAATCATGGTGACAACATCAAAATAGGGTAACACTTTGATGTGTTTATATTCAAACTGGCAATCACGTCCACGACGGAAGGGATCTTACAAGCAATCACACAATGATACGTGAAATGTGAATGCATGAATGAATGAACGAGCGAATGAATGAATGAATGAATGAACGAATGAAGTAATGAATGCATTCATTTCCCCTCTCGTCGCAGCCACGTACCTGCGGCCGGTCTTGTGGTTCTGCCGTGACGTTTTCGACGTGACGTCGAACGACCTGACGTACTGTCTCGGACAGCTGACACACACCTCCAGATACATGTTACCGTGCAGCTCCGACATGTGCCGTTTGGGGAGTCCGGAGCGGAGGTGGAGCCCGTCACAGTTCTGAGACACCACGTGCCGCACCAGTCCCCGCTGCCAGAGACCGTACAGCGCCATGTGGGTGACGGTCGGGTCGGCCGAGGTCAGGTCGTGCTGCCTGTGAAAGGGGAGAGGGAGGGGTGTTTAGTGAGAAGACTGCTGAAGTTCGTCTGTGAGTATTGAGGGGAGACCGTACCGAACTACCGACAGAGATGTCCCCGTCCCTGACGAACTGAGCCAATTTCTCATAGTACTTCCCGTGCACGGTGTACTGCAGCAGCTAAGGTCGCATGCCATTAGCCGCATTAGCCGACGTCAGTATGGCCAAATCTTACCCAACCCTGTCAAATCTTCACCGAATCTTTCTGCATGACTAAATCCCTTCCTCGTCCTACGCTCATCCTACGCTCCTGGCAGCTGAGCCGAGTCTCTCTCACTTTATTCCGGTCCCCCACTAACCCTTTCCCGCGTCCCTGACAGCCCCGGTCCCTCTCTCACCCTGTCCCGCGACCCTCTCTCACCCTATCCCCCGTCCCTGGCTGAGCCGGGTCCATATGCCGTCCGGACCGCGGTAGTCGGGTATACTGGCCGACGTCGACACCCCAGCACCGGTGTACACCACCAGGTGACGCGCAGAGCGTATAGCCTCGGCCAGGGCGGCGCTCTTGTCCGCTATCACCGATTCGGGCTCTTCGTATTCCTCCTGGCGGGCCTTTCGGCTTCTGTACTTCTCCAGTCTGTCAACAGATGGCAGCGAATGCGGATATTCATAATGAGCAGTGAAACCGTACAATGAAGGATCGTAGGGATCACACATGCGTGCAGTTCTTTGTCTCGCCGATGAACGGGTTTTCTGCTCGCAGAACCGGTTTTGCAGACGGTGCGTGCAAGGTGAGCGGTAACGACCGCCGTAAAACGGAATGGGAATGACGACACCGCGATAAGGGGAGCCGGGGCAGTAATGACAATGAATCAGCCAATTCTGAATAGATAATGAAACGCAGGGTCAAGCCAAGATAAGGACAGTACTACAGGACCGAGAAACCTATTACATTCGCCCCTCCAATTATCCTCTGTGTCTTTTCTGACGATACAATAGATTTGTATCGCAAAAGAAAGTAGAAACTAGCCATGGAAAGAGCGAAATATAAAGAGACCAATTTTCACATTTATTACAGGCCAGTAACGGAGAAGTTACTTACTCCGTCGAGCAGTTCAGACAGCTCTGATATACGAGTCGTACTCAGCCACGCGAAGCGCATATTATTTTTACCGGTAAAACGGCATTTGGGCGAAGTACGAGTGAGCGAAATGTGAGCACTGCCCGTGCGAACGTGCCAAAGGAGACTCCTGTTTCGTGTCCGGCACTTTTCTAACGGTTCCTCAACGGTGCACAAGCTGATTGTAGTCGGCCGAACTAGGAAGGTATATAGATAAAGAAGGGCCCTGCACATGCACACGCGCAAACGGATACCCCGACTTGGCACGTGCCGCGACGTTCACCTGGCAGTCACCTAGCACCTTCATCCAGAGCAGTCAACATCGCGGTAGAAGAGATGATTACCCTAAAGAAAATAACGCTTGTCTAACGGAGGCACAATTCCCAAGGCATAAGCTTTCAATATCGTTACGTAATCGGGAAGTTTGACACGCGGCACGTGCCCCATAGGCGGCGGAACGGGGAGGGCACCGGGGCACCGTGCCCCCCTTTGACTTCAGCATTTTAGCATTGGCCCTATGGGCGTTGCGTGGAAAGAATGAGACTAAAAGTCGGCAGTGCCCCCCTTAATCGAAGGTGTTCCGCCGCTACTGACGTGCCCCAACGGCCATCCAGAATCCAGATGCATCATGAGTGGTCCATTGCGGGACAAAAGGGATTGGGTTGGGCTAAGGAAAAATTGTTGGGATGGATGTTTGCTCGCAAATATGTCATGATCAGAATTCAGACTAATAAAAGCGTAGCAGACCTGGCCGGGAAGTTCATACTCAGATTCAAGACATGATACATAGAAATATGGTAGAGAACATGAGACAGTTGCGGTAGATGAATGTTACACCGTGAATGGCCATCGTAACAAATCACCATTCTGCAACTATCCATGAGTGACATGCAACTTCTGCATGTCAGGAGAGGAGCAGATCACAGTTACCCCAGTCATCCATTATCACAGATTGACTCGGGAGATGAACACAAACCCACCGGCCACCGAGCCCTCAAGGCATGCTCTCTATACCATACTCGCCGTTTCTGGATGTGGATAACATGGTCGGGGTGTTTCCTCAGGAGTTCCCGATCGCTGTCTGTCCTCTGATCCGTGTCTTCTTCAAAATGGCTGTAAGCTGTAAATCAGAAGAGGAAGTAATTTGGCATTGTATTAAGTTGTGTCATATCCTGCCTTACTGATGAATTAAGTATTACAAAAACAAATTTTTATGTTGATTGAAACATCAACCATTGTCAACTAATACTAACTTATACTTTTGCGAATATTTCAGCTGCCAATATTTTATTATAATCAGAATCTTGCAGAAATGTTAGAGGCTTCAAACAAGACTAAAGTAATTGAGAATGAAGCTAGCCATTATGAAGCTTATGTAAACACAAAATCATTTGCCATAGTGATTAGCTACCTGCCCATTATTCATGATTTACCAAACCTTATGATTGAAGTACTAACAGGCAACAGCAATGCAATCCATCCCAATCCTAGACCTATAGACCAGTCTGCAAAACGTGGCAGGCTTCGACGAGATCTCGTCGGGGCAGACAACACAGGTTGGGGCAGAAATAGGGGCAGGTTTCAGGAAGATTGGGGCAGAAACAGGAAAATCTGGTGCAGAAGTTAAAAAATTGACACAGAAGTGATTTTCTCAGCTTCTCACTGCTTCCTACATCATTATATTGTTACATTATTTGCATCATTAGGGGCAGGAATTGGGCTGCCCCTGGACTCAGCATTCTGATTCGGGGCAGGATTTTGTCTACCCCGAAAATCTTGTCGAGCTCCCTGCCATGTTTTGCAGACTGGCCTATAGATTTACCTACAGAACAAAGTTCCCTTATAACTTGGGCTGCTTATATTTCAATTTTCTTCACTTTAACATCAATAACAAACAAGCACACTTAGATAACAAACTGATATGACATCTCACAAATAAATACCGGAATTTTAAGCATGGCTCAGGCTACTCAGAGAGCTGACGGAAACTTTTGAACTTATCTTCTGCATACAACCTGGGCCATCTTTCATTCATATTGTTGCCAATTTGAATGTATGGTTAACTTATAGACTCTAAGCACAATTGTTTACAAGGAATCTTATATAAACAAGTCAAAATGCATAAATAAGTGCATCTTTTTACGGAAATACTAGAATCTGCGCCACATTTGTCTACACCTAACTTTCACGCTTCATTGTGCAGCAACAAAGAGATTTCGCCTCGAAATTTTCACGCTAGTACATTCCTCACCTCTTTGATTAGATTTTTCTCTTCTTCCTTTTCCTTATCTTCATCGCGCAACGTCGCACGCTTCCTTTTTCTGGTAGCCCTTGGCGCCTCGGTGTCTGCCATGTTTATTTACATGTTGACTACAATCAGCTGATCGTCAACGAGAGTTCCGTCTGTAGCGACCGGGCTGACACCTATCGGAAGACTGGAAACCTCGAGTTTCGAACCCTGCCGCTATCTGAACCCAAACTGAACCTACAGACCCGTAATGCATCCAACATCTGAGCTTGAGGACCAGGGGCCGTATTCACGTCGATCTTTTTCGTAAGAATTTTCTTAAGTTTGACCTACTTCTTAAGTAAATTTTTTTAATCACGTGAACTCCATCGATAAAAACTTAAGAAGTGTCGACGTGAATACCAAATTATACTTACGAAAGAAAATCGACTTACGAAGTCGACGTGAATACGGCCCCAGAACCCTCAGCGCCCCTCGTCGTTCTTGTTCCGTCCCCTATCCAGACTGACGGTCATCCCACCCAGGTGACCGGTGGAGGGCAGCTCCAATGACACCATACCCCTCCGGTTGACAGTTTGAGACTCGGCCTTTTTCGTAGATAGGAACCTCATGTCGCAAGTCCAACGCGTTGCCCGTCTATAGAAACCGGTGCAATGGCGCGTCTATAACACACATCTTGCATTCATGTTATATATTCAAAAACAACTCGGTAAAAACGGCACTGCTGTTATATCACAGCAAACACTAGCGATGCTCTCGGGAGACACTTTATGAAAACGGACGAAACGGTTCCCTGACCAAATAATTTCGTACAATTTCCTGGCAAACGTAACCTCTGCATTGCACGATGCCAACACGAAGCTATTGCTACATGCGGTCGATCATCTTATGATTTGCAAAAGGATAGGTATCGATTTTTATGAAGTTATCAATCGCAAAAGCTTTGGTAAAATGGTCGATGCACTAAAGCATCACTGCCTACATTAGTGAAGTAAAAACACAATCACTCGCGCAATGCCCACGGCACAAACACGCTCGTATCATTCATCGAATGATATATAGGACACACAGGGACACAAACACGTAGGATTGCGATAGCATGATCTGCCACGTCATTTCACACCATTCATACAATACCTCGTCAATTAATAGATGTTTTTCAAGCCCCAAATTTGCGTACTAATCAAACATGCCAACAACTTTTTGTTCCTCACGCGCTTCACCTTGTTACGGCTGAAGACTGAAGTAAAGCAAGTGGTGCGGGCACCTCACACTTTTCCAGTGAAGAAAACTGCGGGGAAGACTACAGACTGGTGTGACCAAATTGCTTGGCTGAGCTTACATAGGACGTTGTTGAAAACGAAAATCAACTGTCTAGATCAGTTGAGTTCAATTTAGGTCAGCGTATATGCCATGAAAGAACGCCAGAGCATCAGTTATAAAAGGTCGGAGAATATTGTCAAATCCCTGGACGAAGCACAAAGACTGAATATAAATTTCTCCGGGCAACCAATACAGACTGGACTGGCAAAACATCCAGCTGAGGTCACGGCAAGGTCACCGCGAGGTCATGTTAAGGTCACGGCGAGGTCACCAGTCGTCCTCGTCGCTATCCTCCTGCCGTCGTCCCCCCAGCTGTGACATGAGCACGTCCCGGACCTTGTGCCGAGGGTCCGACTCCAGGTCCGTCTTCACCGCGCCAATCTGTGATATCATCCACTCCAGCTCTGTGGGGAGGTGAGTGGGGTGGTTAGAATTGAGAGAAGCCGAGTGTGAAATGGTATAAGGACGCCTCGGCGAAAAAGGTCATTTAAAGTAAGCGAGGAAGAGGGACGATCGAACGACTGACGGACGGACGAGCTAAAGAGCGAACTGAGCAGGTGAGATAAAATGGCCGGACGCTGAATGAGAGCGAAAGATGGGGACAGAAGAGGAATAGCTAGTGACGAAGACAGCCTACTACGTAAAAAACGTGATGTTTCTTGTAGACTCTATCTAAATCACTTCAGGACCATCTATATTAACCCCCAACTGTCTTATATTTACCGAAATATACCCTCTAAATATCGAACTACCCCATATCAGCACGCTCTTACTTACATCCAACCCTCCCCCTTACTCACCGTCACACTTCAGGTTCATGCCGCCGAAGGTCATCGGTCCGACGAGCTGGCCCTTCATGTTGCCCTCGTGGTAGACGAAGAGCGTCGGCAGGTTCTTGTCCGGGTAGTTGGGGATGCACGTGGTGGAGATACTCTTCAGGAACTTTGTCGCCGGAAATTTGCCGGCGAGCGATGTTAGATATTGGTTGATGAGCGTGCACAGAGGGATCCTGGAAGAGACGAGAAGGCCTAAGTTAGAAGTTAGATAAACCGCGACAAATAATGCTGGTGGATTGGCGATCGACTGACATGTCAACTACTAATGGGTCATTGGAATATGCTTCGACGTTGCCTTAGCATACATTTGCTAGTGCCAGTTGGCTCTGCAACAGTTTTCGCACTCTGATGAAACGAAATCCACCAGCAAACAGGTAACAAACAAACTTCCGTGAAATGACGAGGACGAATCAAAGACAGCAGCAAAGACCATACAGCAACTGCTCACAAAGCAGACACAAAATAAATCTTAACCATACCATCCACCCTTTTCACAGGCTAAAAAAGTTTTCTGGCCTTCCTCGGCTCGGTAACCCAGCCATCCCCGTTACGTCGTACGTACCCCTGTTTGTAGAGGTGCAGCACCACCCAGATACCGTCTCCTGCCCGGTTCACCTGCTCCACATAGTCCTCGGCAGATATCTCTCGCACCTGCCGCAGAGGAGCCGACAGAATGGCGTCATCAACAGAAACGTCAAGCACAGCGTCGGTGTCATGGACAGATATTGCGACAATGAGATGTTCAGTGAGCGAGACGTGCGTGACGACATGAGTTGAAACTAGCTTTGTTAGGCACAAACAACTACCTAAAACAATTCCTTAAGTCATGTACAATAAACCGTTCAAAGTCCATCAAAAAGTTGACACAACGTCAACGGACATGCACGACTTTCAAACGCATCCCAATGCCCTTCCGTTCATAGTCTAAAATTGGCCATCCCCTATCTCCCACTCCACAATTCGTACCTCTCCGTATTTGGCGGCCTGCGCGGCTGCCTTCATCTCCTGTATCCTCTTCTGGCGGTACTCGAGCAGCACGCGCTCGTCCTCGTCGTCCTCGAGCTCGTCCAGCTCGTCCAAACCCATCTCGTCCAGACCCCGACCTGGAGGGGGACGAGACTCGGTTAGCGCATGGAGGATCGTCTTGGGTGATTCCGTACAACAGCAGCTAACAATTCCATATGTGATAATATGGGCGTGATATTTTTAATGTAATCCGTACAGCTGTCGAAGACCCAAGGCCAAGACCACTGTTATAATGCAAATGTATTCTTTTCTCAAACTACCAGGTTTTCAACCATCTAAGGTTATCTGTGACAAGGCGCACTTCGGACCTTTCTGACATAAGAAACACACTTCCTTGGACCCCAAAACCCGGCCTGTCCTGAAGTCCCAGGACACAACCAAATCACTCCCCCAAACGCCGCCCTCGCCACGTACCATTGACCTTTTTGCTGACGGTGTCCTCGACCATCTGGACGATGTCCTGTTCGGTGATCTCCTTCTCCTTGGCCGGAAGGATGCCCTTGGCGCGCAGCACGTCATTCCACTCGGTGTCCTCGTCCGGGTTCTGCCGCAGAAGAGGAAGTGGTGGTGTAAGAGGGCACAGCGGTCACGAAGCTTTATCGAGGTCACACAGGGAAAGTAGGGATTGCGCTTAGACTTTAACTGGATACAGATAATTGGAAGTTTGGTAAAAAAGCGCAGACAGCGCCTAAAAGCAGAAAAATAATGACAATAGCTTGATCAAAACACATTTATGCTTTATCTTTTTACTTTGTTTGCGTCTTTCCTTGGACCTACGTGTTTTCGTCCACCGATCCGTTTTGCAGAGCAAAGTTCAAATTGTGAAACTCGCGAAAACGCGAACTTCTCTGAAACGGCTTCTTGAAACACAGAAACTGCATCTTTTTATCCGAGACAAAATATCATAACAGCGCTAAATAACCACGGACACTGGCGTAGTATAACCTAGCCAGCGCCGCACCGTCCGCATCACCGCCATTTGGTGACCGACAGACGGCGCACGGCGGCCCGTCCCTCAGACGGCGCACGGCGACCCCGTCACTCAGACCGCGCACAGCGGCCCCGTCCGGGGCGGTCACTGGAGCGGAACGGTTCCCGGGTACCAGACGACCCCATGTGGCGCCCAGAGTCTTAGCTGTGCTGCTGGAGCTGTCTTAAACAAATGGCAGGGTTCACTGCTGTTTTTGAGAGATGCCAGAGACCAGAACTGACTTATTAGACACATGTTAGAGTTGTCTCACATAGCTCCCAGAACCAGAGCTGTCTCTGACAGATGTCAGATGTCAGAACTGCTTCAGACAGGATGTCAAGAGTTCATTGCTGTCTCCAACAATGTCAGAGAAGTCTCAGACAGATGTCTGAGACAGATGTCAGAGAAGTCTCAGACAGATGTCAGAGAAGTCTCAGAAAAATGTCAGGGTTCAGGACTGTCTCAGGCAGATGTCAGAGACCAGATCTGTCTCAGGCAGATGTCAGATATGTTTCAGACAAATGTCAGGGTCAGAGCTGTCTCAAGCAGTGTCAAGGCTCCCTCTGATGGATTTCAGATCTGTCTCTGACAGATCTCAGGGTTCGTTGCTGTCTCAAACAACTCCCAGAACCACATCAGTCTCGCACAGCTGCACTTAGATAGCCCCTCACTGATCCTTGATAACTTTCTTTTCCTAGGATTGATAATTGTATATCAAACCCAATCAGCCAGATGCCATGATTGGTTCAGTGTGGACAAACGATAAATGCTCACCTGCATAATGATTGTGTGTTAGGCACAAATACCAGCTGACTATGTAGCAGCCTTGTCAGCTTATCTCTGGTGATAGTTCAGCCAAGTTTTATCTGGAATAAAGAGATAAGGCAGTTGGCATATGAGTTCCTTCATAGTGGACCAAAACACCCTGAACAACCCAGCACTCATTCTACTGTGCAACACATGGATGACCAATCTGGGAAGTGGGATTGAGCACCTACCAAGTACCACCTGTACCAGAGGGTGTTCACAGGCACCGCACACTGCTGCGTGCGGTGTGTGCGGTGCGTGCGGTGCGTCTAGCAGGCGTGGGGGTAGGGGATGGGCAGACGGTGCTGACGTCACCGCTGCGTGCAGTGGACGGTTTCCTATGGCCGGTCCCGACCGGCCACAGCGGTCGCTGTGTGCGGTGACGGAAGGCTGACGTAAGGACGCAGTGGGCGGAGCTTGGAGGCCATGTGGTCCGACCGCACACAGGGCCCGTGAACAGCCCCTGGGACTGGCCACAGCGGACCGTCCACCGCACGCAGCCGTGATGTCAGAACCGCCGGTATACCCATCCCCTACGCCCACGCCTGCTGCAAACACCGCACGGCACACACACCACACGCAGCAGTGTGCGGTGCCCGTGAACACCCCTCAGGCCATTTAATCCAACCAGCCAAGCAGACCAAATAACTTTGGAAAAAAAAACACTTGCTTCGCTGCACCACAAATGTTTGACAGCTTGAGGGAGGTGCTCAAACTTGAGAAGAAGGACCTCGAAATCACCTGAAACTTGAACTGTCGCGTGAAAGCGTGAAAGTCACCCGTATCTGTAATTAGATTCTCGCAAGGCCGTATGATTCAGGGTATGATTCTAGTAGATCCCTACACGCCCAAGGCATGGATGAAGTACTCCTGGATAGGACACTCCCTATTCCCCAACACTAGCGCCGGCGACCAAGCGGTCGCCCTGGTGGCGGAGCTCCGAAACATCGGCGGCGAGTGCGCCGGCGGCCGCCGCACCGGCTTGCGTGCTAAAAACGCGGTAATGGAGGGCGAAATTAGCGAACTTAAGCTCATAAGACACAATTTCAGACACTTTAAACATAATTTTTAGTCCTTTCTTATCATTATTATGGCTCCATTTAGTCACTATCACATACGGAATCTTTACCTGATGCCCATAAACTGAGCCGGTATTCTTGACTTGCCGATGCAATTTATCATCAAATATCATCGTTCCTCGGCATTCAAACAAGTTCCTATTGATGATTCAATACAAATATCAACTTATTTTCATGTTATAGCATAAAACTTAGCTTTATTCTAACATTAGCTCTTCGGCTGTAATCACGAACCCTCACTTGTCAGCAGAATTTAAGCAACTTCTTAAATCAAAACTGGGAAAAGAATATTTCCATGACATTCCTCAATTTCTGTTCTACCAGGTTCACAAAATTTTCATCAAAATCGGTTATAGGTAAGTAATAAACGACAAAAGTATACCAAAAGACACGCTCCGCCCATAGCCCGCAATGCTAAAATGGCGCCAGCGCCCTCGCCGTCGGGAAATCCGCCGCCGCCGCCGGGTGGTCGGAAAATCGGCGGAGTGTCCCATCCAGGAATACCTTTTTTTTTTTAGTGGCCCTAACTTACGTTACCGGCCTCGCGAGGAGGGCGGCGACCTAACTACGCCGCGCAAAACAACCGGCCGTCCTAACTAATACCAGTGGCCACTTTTACAGCAAGACAACATGGGAAAACCCATATCCATGTACTATGCCATGAATATGGGAAAAAAACCCATGAATTTACGTTAAGACACATAAATGACAGTGAAACTTACCGGTAAATTGATGTTTGTGAAGGGAGGGAAGGAGGAAGTTTGTGAATGGTAAGGTTACGAGAGTTGGATGACAGGAATGGTTTGAAGAGTGGGGGATATGTCGCTGGGAGGGATGGGGTTTGTGAATGTTTAAGCGTCACGATGAAAGGAATGGTTTGGAGGATGGGGAATCTGTCGCTGCTGCAGTTGGCGGCCGACGGTTGTCTGTGGTCGTTCAACCCGGCCGCCGCCGCTGTTCAGCGGCCGGGGTCCGCTGGTGTAGCTCGCTGGGCCGCTGAGCCTCTAAGCCTGCTCCAGCGGCAGGAGAAAACCCGTCTGCCACCGAAGCTCTGTGTTTCGGCACCAGCGAAAAACCCGACCCATCCCGTATCACAAGTCAGCCTGGTGGTAGCGAAACGGGCGCCTGCTAACAGTCAAGGCCGTTAAAGGGACCCTCCCACCTTAACATTAGATTTGAGTTGAGATAGCCAAAATGGGGTCCCTGGCTCACAATTACCGGTTTCGGCACTCACAACATCGAGAAATGCCTTAAATCGGAAATATTGAATTTCAAAATTGCAGCATTTTGATTCAGAGGGGCTAATGCTTAGGAATACCCCTCTGAATGTGTGACGTCAGCGCAAATATCTAACGATTTTTAAATGTTTGACTAAAACGTTTTGTAGCACGCGGTGGTATATGCTATTTGCGCGCAACATCTGCCGCAAGCGCCGCACTTCTAAAATAAAGTCGCTAGAAACAGCGGAGATCCCAAAAAAGTAAACAAAAGTAAAAGTCTAATATCTTGAAAACCGGTGAATATTTTTCGGTGAAATTTGGTAGATATTCGTTTTCGCTCTTTGTGAACCGAGCGACATCACTTTCATGCCAATTCATAAACTTTTTTGAAGGTGGGAGGGTCCCTTTAAAGTAGCTCTGAGTAGGGTGATGTTAGGACGAAATCAAGTACCAGGTTTGTCAATGTTGTGTCGTCCCCGAGAAGCGTCGGGAGGTCGTTTTTAAGGTGTTGTACCGCAAGATAGTTAGTGATGTGTCTTCGTTCGTGATGCAATGCCGTGCATGCGATCAAAATGTGCTCTACGGAGATGCGTGTGTCACAGGTGTGGCAAATCGGAGGGCCCGTCCTATCAAAAAGGTGGCCATGGGTGAGGCGAGTATGACCACACCTCAATCTGGCCAGGGTCACCTCGCGTATCCTGTCTGGTTGGTTACATGTGACCCATGTTCTAAGTTCTCGTTTGATCGCATACATATGTGCAGCATGATGTTGGTCCCATTTGCGTTGAAGGTACTCGGCGAATTTCATTTTTATCATATGAATAGCGTCCCCTTGGGCCATAGGTTCCACAACTGGATCAGGTCGCATTGCAGCCTCCTTTGCGAGGACATCCGCACGTTCATTTCCTGCAATACCGTAATGACCTGGAACCCAAAGAAGGGTCACATGCTGGCCCTCATTGAGATCTGATGTGATCCTGAGAATATTGTAGATACCGTGGTGGGTAACATTATCGGTCCTTTCCAGTGCTTGAAGAGCGGATTTCGAATCAGTACAGATGGTTGCCCGATCAATCTTTTCTGCCTTGATGTGCTCCATAACTTTTTCGATTGCGTGAACTTCGGCACTAAAGACTGTCGTAAATTCTTGAAGCCGGGTCCCAAACCTAAGCCCAGGGCCGACGGCTGCTGAACCTATCTGATTTTCGTGACATGAGCCATCTGTGAAGAAAAAAGCAGAGTCGCAGTTGAGCTCTACATACTCCTGGAAGAGCATTTGAGCTTCCACCGGAGGTATACTGGTCTTCTTATAATCAAAAAGAAATTCAATGGATAGGTCTTTGAGGAGCCAAAATGGAATCATAGGAGGATTTAGAGTAACTTCAGTGCGCCTAATGTTTAGCAGTTGATGAGCTTGCTCAAGGCACCCGGGTAGAAAGCACGATCTACGCAGTGGGCGTCGGGTTATTGGTTTCCTCGCAGTGGCGTATCCAAGGGGGGACCCTGGGGGTCCTAGGATCCCCCCTGGAGCCTAGAAAAAAGTTTTTTTTTATAACACGGAAAAAATTGAAATGACTTCAAGGGCCCTTTTGACCACTTCCCATTTTATTCGCTAAAAGAAAAGTATTGTAGAACTCTTTTGAGGATTATTAGAGGACACATTTAGGCCAATGAGGGACCTTGTGAAGGATACAGAGGGCCCTCTCAGGCACACAGAGAGCCCTCTCGGGCACACAGAGGGCCCTCTCAGGTACACAGAGAGCCCTCTCGGGCACGCAGAGGGCCCTCTCAGGTACACAGAGGGCCCTCTCAGGCTCACAGAGGGTCCTCTCAGGCACACAGAGGGCCCTCTCAGGCAAACAGAGGGCCCTTTCAGGCACACAGAGGGCCCTCTCAGGCACACAGAGGGCCCTCTCAGGCTCACAGAGGGCCCTCTCAGGCACACATAGGGCCCTCTCAGGCACACAGAGGGCCCTCTCAGGCACACAGAGGGCCCTCTCAGGTACATAGAGGTCCCTCTCAGGCACACAGAGGGCCCTCTCAGGCTCACAGAGGGCCCTCTCAGGCACACAGAGGGTCCTCTCATGCACACAGAGGGCCCTCTAGGGCTCACAGAGGGCCCTCTCAGGCACACATAGGGCCTTCTCAGGCACACAGAGGGCCCTCTCAGGCAAACAGATGGCCCTCTCAGGTACACAGAGGGCCCTTTCAGGCACATAGAGGGTGCTCTCAGGTACACAGAGGGTCCTCTTAGACACACAGAGGGCCCTCTCAGGCAAACAGAGGGCCCTCTCAGGTACACAGAGGGCCCTTTCAGGCACACAGAGGGCCCTCTCAGGCTCACAGAGGGCCCTCTCAGGCTCACAGAGGGCCCTCTCAGACACACATAGGGCCCTCTCAGGCACACAGAGGGTCCTCTCAGGTACGCAGAGGGCCCTTTCAGGCACACAGAGGGCCCTCTCAGGCTCACAGAGGGTCCTCTCAGGCACACATAGGGCCTCTCAGGCACACAGAGGGCCCTCTCAGGCTCACAGAGGGCCCTCTCAGGCACACATAGGGCTCTCTCAGGCACACAGAGGGTTCTCTGAGACACACAGAGGGTCCTTTCAGGCAAACAGAGGGCCGTCTCAGGTACACAGAGGGCCCTCTCAGGCACACATAGGGCCCTCGCAGGCAAACAGAGGGCCCTCTCAGGTACACAGAGGGCCCTTTCAGGCACACAGAGGACTCTTTCAGGCGAACAGAGGGCCGTCTCAGGTACACAGAGGACCCTTTCAGGCACACAGAGGGCCCTCTCAAACACACAGAGGGCCCTCTCAGGTACTCAGGGGGGCCTCCCAAGCACACAAAGGGCCCTCTAAGACCAGCAGAGGGCCCCTTAAGACGAACAGAAGGTCCTCTGAGGTACGAGGGTCAATGTCAGGCCACAAGGTACCCTATGAGGCCACCAGACGGCCCTCTTAGATCAAAGATGGTCCCTGGAGGTCACCAAAGGGCCCTCTGAGGTGAACAAAGGGCCCTCTGAGATCGAAGAGATCAAAGAGATCAAAGAGGGCCCTCTAAGGCGAATGGAGGGCCTTCAAAGGTCACAAAGTGCCCTCTGAGGCCACTGGAGGGCCTTCTGAGGTGATATGAGGCTATGTCAGACCACCATGAGCCCTATGAGGTTTAGGCCCTCTGAGATCAAAGAGGGTCCTTGGAAGTCATCGGAGTACCCCTTAAGGCTCATTGAGGCGAACAAAGGCCAGAGGGCCCCCTTAGACACCACAAAGAAGCAAAAAAGATCCCTCTGAGGTCAAAGACAGCTCTCTGAGATGTAATAGGGCCATTTGAGGCCTCCGAGGGCCCTCTGATGCCACAGAGAGGCGCCCTTTGATGCCAAAATAGGGTCCTCTGAAGTCTAAATCCACCAGAGGGCTCTCTGAGGCGAACAGAGGGCCCTAACATCCACCTCAAAGAGGGCCCTCTGAAAATCAACTGGCCCTCGGAGTCAGTGTCCCAAAATCGTATTTTGGCTTGGGTGTCAGAGGGGGAAAAGGTCACCCAAAAGAGGGATAAGAGTGGACAATTGTCAGTCACAGGGCAGTCGGAGCCCTCTGAGAAGGCCACTTGAGCCTTACAACAGAGGGCCCTCTGAGGTGATATGAAGGCTATGTCAGGCCACTATGGGCTCTATGAGGTCATCAGGCACTCTGAGGAAAAAGCTGGCCCTCTGAGGCGAACAGAGGGCCCTTGGACAATCAGAGGACTTTTTAGGCCAACTAGGGGCCTTATGAGGCCAGCAAAGGACCCTTAGGGACACAAACAGGGCCTCTCAGGCACCCGGAGGGACCTCTTTTCTAAGGCAAACAGGGGGTCACCTTAGATGATATGAGGGCTATTTTAGGCCACTAGGGGCCTCATGTACCTATTAGACCAACATACGGTCATTTGAGGTAAAAGAGAACATTTTGAGGTAAAAAGGGCCCCTGGAGAGAAAACAGAGGGACCTTTCAGGTACCCAGAAGGTCCATGGAGGCCACTAGAGGACCCTTTGAGGCCAGTGATGGTCTTCAGAGGCCATCAGAGGGTCCCTCTGAGGGTAACAGAGGGTCCTTAAGACGACCAGAGGCCCTCCGTGAAAATGCGGGCGCCACAAGGCCCGGTTTGCATCAAAGGTCAGGTAGCTATGCCCAGTTTTGGCTCTCTGTTGCCTGCCGACGTGTTCCGAGCTGTCGCAAAAAAAAAAAAACGATGTGGTGGCACCCACGCCCCCCCCCCCCCCCGCCCGGCCAGGGTCCTTCTAACCAGGGATGCGGAGGCGTGGAAATTTCAGACGGCTCCGGCTCCGGCTCCGGAGAAAAAAAAAAACGGCTTCGGCTCCGGCTCCGGCTCCGGCTTCGACTCCAGTACTCAGTTCATCCTTTATACAAATAAATACGGGTGGAAAAGAAAAGATGAAGGATTGGTTCACGTTGTTTCTGTATTTGCATAACAAGGCTATTTTGAATACCACATATTTTACTGCCTTGCAGGCACTGTGAAACCGAACTAGGTCAATAATGTTTTCCTCTTCAAAAAAAAAAAAACAAAAAAAAACAGCCGGAGTCGCCGCCTTTTTTACCGCTCCGGCTCCGGCTCCGGGCTATATTGTTTCACGGCTCCGGCTCCGGCTCCGGCTCCAGGCAAAATATGCCGGCACCGGCGGCTCCTCCGGCTCCAGCTCCGGCTCCGCACCCCTGCATCTATAACTCGGCTTCTGAGCCACGTACCAACACGCCTAAGGCAGTGTTCGAAGGGACGCAAGCAAATAATAATGACGAAATTACGCCTGTCACTTTTTAGATCAGTTCAAAATTCAGTTCACATAGGTCATCCAAGGTTAAATTTCGCCAATTTTCAGGTCCAATTTCGACAATTTTCAACAAACCACCGCATGATTCGGAAATGAATAGAGCTACAGTACCGGGGAAAAGCGTAGTTAATAGCTCTTTTAACACCCCTTTCGCCGTTTCCATCCTCAGGACATTCAAATCCTTCTCCTCCATGCCGCAACCCCTGATCCGGGCTGGACCTGGACGGGCAACTTTATTCCATGCGGGCGGCTCCCATTGGAGCGCACTGCAGCTCCTAAGGAAGCACACTCATAACCGGGTGCAGTGAGCACTTGGGAGGCTGGTCGGCCTGTCCTGTTGGACAGGCTCAGCCCCAGTGAGTCACCAAGGTGCCCGCCCAGACCAATGTCTCCCTCAATTCCTATCATCCCTCCGGCCCTGAAATGGCCTGTCAGACCGAAAGCCGAAAGGGCCTGGGTCCAACCCAACAAAACAAACAAAGCTCTTTTAACGCACTTTCTGTAAACTGTGCTCAGATTTGACCTAAGCCTGTTAATTGTACACTTTTTATATCGGAACATTTTCATGTTCCTACAGCTCTGTAGGCCTGATAGCTCTTCCTGCGAAACCTTTTTTGGGTCGAAAATGGCAGAACATGACGTCATTCTGACGTATTTGCGGCCAACCTATCATAGCCTCTGGAAAAAAAGGTCCTGAAAGTTTGGTGGCGATATCTGCAGTCATTTAGGAGATAGCTACGGAAGAGGACAGGGGGCCGTTTCGCCCCCCCCCCCCCTTACGGGGCGCGGGCTAACGCCCTTTCAACTCAGGCTTCAAGGGCCCTTTTGCCACTTAAGGGCCCTTTCAACCCAGTCAGTCAAGGGCCCTTTTGACTGCGGATCCCCCCTGAGAGAAATCCTAGATACGCCACTGTTTCCTCGCCTCCATTGCTGGTACCGCAATGTGATTTCGAACACTTTTTTGCTCTGTAGTAATAGCGGAGGAAAAGAAAGACGCGTCGGTCATCAAGTGCTGGAGTGCCGGTATCTGCACGAAGCGCAAGAACTGGCGATGTGCGAAAAGCCCCAGTTAGAAGTCTCAAGCACGTTGATTGGACGGCTTCTAGACGTTTGCATAAACTGGGCGACAGTGTGCTAAACAGATAACAATTGTACTCAATCGTAGATCTGATTAGCCCAATATACAACATTTGCAATGTTTTCCTGTCCGCACCCCAAGAAAACCCACATATGCATCTTAGGACATTGATTCGTTTAATACAACGTGCTCTTAGGTGCTCAACGTGTTGACGGAAGGTTAGATTAGTATCCAAAATGATCCCTAGAAATTTGTGTGACGTGTGTAGCCGCCGACGACCTCAGGGCCCCGGATCTCGCGCCGACCGGTAGTGAAACGCGCTCTCCGCCTGTGCTGACCATATATTGCTCGTAGAGCAGCAAACAGAACGGAACAAAGCGTAGCGGTTTCTGGAATCGAAACAAAGGAAACTTAACATATGACCAAACGAACACCAACCAAACGAATACGCAGACACAACAAAGCAAAGAAAAACAAAATCGGCAAACAATCTCACAAACATGAACTAATTTCCGAGGTCAAAATCGCTCACTCACCTACACGGTGCGCCCTTGTGCACTCACGTCGAACGGCCGAACCAAGCCAAACACGACCAAACCAAACCGATGCGCGGCACGCTAACGCCGCCGCGACAGGCCAACCAAGAATGGGCGCTGCCCCGCCGGCCGCCCCTCCACTGACCCAGAAGGTGACGTGGCAGGTCAGCCGGCGCCGGGTCACGTGACCGTAGAGGTCACGGTCAGTAAATCGAACAAATCCAAATAACTTATGACCGCGGATCACAATACAAAACTAAATTACAAATCGATACCTAAAATAAACCAAAAGACACAAGGCACCAAATCAAAAAATAAACATATCAATAAATCGATAGCAAATGGACAACCGAAAATCACACCGCCATCTGTCAAGCGCCCAGACAACTAAAAGTTACCATCGCCAGGCGCCAACGGCGCCAACACTGCCCCCGCTCAACCGACATGGTTGAGGACACCTAACACTCATCACTTAACACTAAACACCGAATAAAACACTTAATTATCACCGCGCCGCGACAACACTCAGTAACTCAGGTCTGAGCCGCAGTCGGCTCCAGACGATCGCAATCTAGCTCAGGCTCCGGTCAGCAGTCGGCAGCAGGACTATCAGCTTATGCACCGGCCGCGTCAAAACCGTGCCACCAGTTCTCAGGGACACCTTTCTCACCAAACCGTCCTTGCTCGGAAACGTCTGCGTCACCTTGCCCATGCGCCAATGACCTCTCGGCACATCCTCATCTATCAGTAACACGACGTCTCCTTGCTCTACGTTCCTAGACTTAGATACCCACCTCTGGCGCCGCTGTAAGATCGGCAAGTACTCGCGCCTCCATCTGAGCCAAAACTGGTCAGCGAGGTACTGGACCCTTCTCCACTGCTGGGTGGAGAACTGCTCGTCAGCAAACCTACCTGGTATGCCTTCACCCCAGAGCCTAGCTCACCAAGTCTCCAAGTCGAGCTCACCAAACCAAAACAGAGCTCACCAAATCCCTGAGCAGAGCTCACCAAACCAAAACCCTGAGCAGAGCTCACCAAGTCCCTGAGCAGAGCTCACCAAACCAAAACCCTGAGCAGAGCTCACCAAGTCCCTGAGTAGAGCTCACCAAACCAACAGCCGAGCTCACCAAAACCCAGAGTAGAGCTCACCAAAATCCGAACAGAGCTCACCAAACCCGGAATGGCGCCGGAATGGCGTCATCCCTGCCACAGGACATCAGGCACAGCTTCTAGACAGAGACCTTGCCGTGCAAGGTGACTGGCGAGACGATGCCCAGCGAGTCGAACAAGCACTCACTGTGGACAAGATGCCTCGTCTCGTCACTGGTCTGCGCCTGTCAACGAAGCGGAAACGGAACGTGTCATCATCCACCGACCACAGCATGCCTAGAGCACGCTCTGGCGTCAACGACTCTACCTGGAGGTCAAGATCCTTCGCGTTGTTGCCCCTGTCCTCACGCGGAACATGCGCCTGTCTGACATAACTGTCTCAAATCGCTGGCCAAACGAACAGCCTCATCCATCCACTGATGAAGCCGATACCAGTGCATCGTCTACATAGACATTCTGATCAACAATCCTAGCAGCCTCTGGATGGATGCTCGGCCTTACCTTTTTCAGCGCACTGCCTCAGTGCAAACCCTGCGACGCTGGGAGAAGACACCGCGCCGAAGATGTGCGATTTCATGCGGCAGACCACCACGTCACCGCCGACATCGCCGTTCCTGAACCACAGGAAACGCAGCATGTTCGCATCAGCAGCAGGCAGTCGAACCCTGTGAAACATCGACTCCACGTCACACGTGAACGCCACAGGATTCAGGCGGAATCGAAGCAACACCCCAACAAGTGAGTTGGTGAGGTTGGGTCCCTTGATCAGCAGATCGTTCAGACACAGGCCATCAGTTTTTGCAGAACAATCAAAAACCACCCTTAGTTTCTTCTTCTCTGGATGCCTAACACCGTGGTGCGGCAAATACCAAACCCTTTCCCCAGCTTCAACCTCAGCGTCGGGGACCACCTCAGCATAGCCCTCATCGAACAGTCGCTGAACAACAGAAGCATACTCATCACGAAGATCGGGGTTGCCAGACAAGCGTCGCCTGAGAGGCTCCAAGCGCCTTTTAGCTGTGAAGTAGCTATCCGGCAAGTCACTGACATCACGGAGTGGTAGACCTATCTCAAAATGGCCCATCTCATCCTTCCTCAGCTTAGATTTGACCATGCTCACCCACTCCTTGTCCTCCACGGACATACTCTCAGTCTCATCAGCTGAGTCCTTGAAATCCTGATCGTACAGCTGAACGAACAGATCAGCCTCAGAGACCTTACCAGGAATGTCGGAACGCGAAACGCCGATCCGGTTCACAGAGTGCTGACCCACAGGATCACGAGCCGACCGATGGGAGGGTCCAATCACGTACCACCCGAGGCGGGTGCGCAGAGCGCACGGCCCGTCACCCTCAGGCTTCCTCACCTCATCCGGCACCAACAGCTGTGGACAGTTTGCACCAATCAGTAGATCCACCTCACTCAGATCAACATCAGTCTCCGGCAGCTCCACACCACACAGGTGTGGCCAAGCACTCAACTCAACTCTGTCACACACATCCTCAGTGGACACAGGAATGCGGTCAAGAGTGAACACCGGAGGGAGCGAGAACAGACCTTCACCCTTCAAGGGACCAACTTTCACATCCTCCATCACAGATGTGGAAATCTCACTCCCAGATCCACACACAGTGTCAACAGAAATGGTAGTGGACTTTGAGCACATCCCAAGCTGATCAGCCAGACTCTTACTCATGAAAGTTCCAGAGCTGCCACTATCACAAAAGGCAAGAGTTTCCACTGTCTTCCCTGAGGGTGACACAACTCTCACTGGAACCACAGGCATCAGAGTACCTGTCCTCTGACCAGAGTCAGCAGTGACTCCACCGCTGCTAACCTGAACTGAGCTGCTGGGAGCAGCACTGGGTCTCACCTGCTCAGCCTTAGGTGGCTGCTCACCCTGCCTGTGGAGGAGAGTAGTGTGCAGACCACCACAGATGCTGCACTTCCTACGCTTCCTGCAGAACCTGGCAGTGTGACCTTCATGCAAGCAACCAAAACACAACCTCTGAGTCTGAATGAACTGCTTCCTCTCATCCATCGGTCTCCATTTTAGCTCCTGACAGTCATCAAGGAAGTGATTACCTCGACAGAACCTGCATCTGTTCTCACCTGATCCTGAGCTTACTGCAGTCGCACTGCACTGCGCCTGCATGCGACCAGAGACCTGTGGCTTTGCCCTCTGTGCAGCCTGTTTGCTCTCCGAGGACCTACCAAAAACTGGGTTTCTCTTAACTCGCACTTCCTTGGCCAAAAAATCAACCAAGTCCCTGAACCTAACCATCCTTCCTTCGCCTTCCATGATATCATCACTTAGTCTCATCCACCTATCCTTCAAGTAGCCAGGCAGTTTGTCAACCACCTCTCTCAAGGTTCTCGGGTGTTCGAGCTCACCTGCAACGTCCAAGTCAGTCATTGCGTGTTTGATTTCAGTCAGGTACAGGGTCAACCTATCTAACTCCTCTACGTCACCTGGAGGGATCCTGCCCCAGTCGTTCAGTCTTTGCACGTATGCATCGACCACCCTGTGTGAGCTGCCATACCTCTGATCTAACAGCTTTCGGGCCTCTGCATAACCACCCTCACTCAGATACATACAGCTCCTAACAATCTGTTTCGGTTTTCCCACAGTCAGCTGCTCAAGGTAGTGCAAGAGCTCGTCATCGTCAGTCGTGCGGGACACAATTCTAGCCTCAAATGACCTGATGAACAGTTTGTACTTCATGACGTTACCATCAAATTTCTCAATCTCAGTAGGTGGCAACAACATCCTCTGCATCTGTGAGTTCAGCACGGATGTCTCATCAGAACGGGGAGATCTCACCTGGTTGTCTGTCTGGATCCTCAATGAGTCAATCACTTCCTCACTTACCTCTCCACTGGGCAACTCAGCCAGCTTTAACTCTATATCTAACTGCTGACGTCTCATCTTAATCCTAAGTTCCTGTTCCTCAAGCTGTTCCATCTCTTTCAAATTCCTCAACTTTGCAATGAGCAACTTAGACGCTTCCGAGCCAGAACCTGACAGATTTTGAGACAAAGTATTGCTATCCAACTGACCTGCTGCCATCCTGACCCGTTCCTGATTTACATCTCCCTTTAACTCAGACATGTCCCTGTCTACACTATCATGCTCATCATCAACAGGCTTGACAACATTCCACAGCCTATCAACAAGCTCCGCCTTTTTACCCAAAGTCGAAAGCCCCCTAGAGCTGAGCTCCTCCACTAACTCTGAGGACTTGAGCTTGGAGAGCTCCTCCCTTGATGCCATTTAGCTACCTTACCCTAATAATGCATCACACAGACTAACAACAATAACACACACTAAACACACAAATGCGTGACACAGTAACACCTTAAAGCTAACCCCAACAGCCCCACTGATGTTCCCCTGAAGAGCACTCAAATTCCTTACTTGAGCCAAAGTTCACTGATACCACTGAGCCAGACTGAGTCTAATCCTGGCACACAGCCAACACAGGGAGAGCGAGTTGGCGGGAGTCCAAGTCCAAAGTTCAAGGCCAAACTGCCCCCGGTTCAAGGCCAAACTATCTATAAGAATCTTGGGCCAAACTACCCGCGAGCAGTAGGTACTCACAGGTCCAAACTCACAGAGGTGAGCCAAACCAAACCAAACCCACGGTCATACCAAACCAGACCCAGATCACTTACCGACTCTGCGCACGTTAGCTCACGCAGAAACTCAGCACGTTGAAACACGCGCAGAGGCCCGGCAGTCGGCACGTGTCGAGCTCTGCTGCAGGGCGAAACACTGTAGCCACTGCAGACCGTAGAAGCTGGTAGAAGCTGCGCGCGTCCGTAGGACAGCGCCGATAGCGCAGCCAGCGCGCGCAGAAACTGCGCGCGTCCGAAGATCCAGCCGGCGCGCAGAAACTGCGCGCTCCCGAAGATCCAGTCAGCGCGCACAGAAGCTGGCGCCGAGCAGCCGAAGACCAGCCAGCGAGCGCAGATGCCGCTCGCGCAGAGCCAGAAACTGGCGCGTGTAGAAACTGTAGCCGCCGACGACCTCAGGGCCCCGGATCTCGCGCCGACCGGTAGTGAAACGCGCTCTCCGCCTGTGCTGACCATATATTGCTCGTAGAGCAGCAAACAGAACGGAACAAAGCGTAGCGGTTTCTGGAATCGAAACAAAGGAAACTTAACATATGACCAAACGAACACCAACCAAACGAATACGCAGACACAACAAAGCAAAGAAAAACAAAATCGGCAAACAATCTCACAAACATGAACTAATTTCCGAGGTCAAAATCGCTCACTCACCTACACGGTGCGCCCTTGTGCACTCACGTCGAACGGCCGAACCAAGCCAAACACGACCAAACCAAACCGATGCGCGGCACGCTAACGCCGCCGCGACAGGCCAACCAAGAATGGGCGCTGCCCCGCCGGCCGCCCCTCCACTGACCCAGAAGGTGACGTGGCAGGTCAGCCGGCGCCGGGTCACGTGACCGTAGAGGTCACGGTCAGTAAATCGAACAAATCCAAATAACTTATGACCGCGGATCACAATACAAAACTAAATTACAAATCGATACCTAAAATAAACCAAAAGACACAAGGCACCAAATCAAAAAATAAACATATCAATAAATCGATAGCAAATGGACAACCGAAAATCACACCGCCATCTGTCAAGCGCCCAGACAACTAAAAGTTACCATCGCCAGGCGCCAACGGCGCCAACAACGTGGAAAAAGGTATTTTAATCCCATCGATGTGTGGGGATCTTTCAAGCGATGGTCGAGGTCCACGTTTGAAGACCATCATGACTGATTTTGGTGCTGACAAAAAGAATCCCCATTTTGTGCACCATTTAACGCAGTGATCAACCACTGTTTGCAATATAGAATCAGCCTGTTTGTAGTTTTTGTGGGATACCCATATTGCTATATCATCAGCAAAAAGCGAATAGCGGACAGAAAATGTTAGAACACGTGGCAGGAGTAGGAGCATATCGTTCAGGGCAATCAAGAACAGCGTAGGTGACAGCACGCTGCCTTGAGGGACGCCATGTTCCATTACAAAGTCGTCAGAAAGTGTCGCTTGGCAACGAACTTTGAAAGTTCGGGGTTTTAGGAAATTTTGAAGAAACGCAGCCAAATGGCCTCTGATTCCGATTGAGTGCAGCTTATAAATTATCGTCGAACTGTGTACCTTGTTGAAGGCTGACATTAGATCTAGGAAAATAGCAACAGTCGGTCGCCTATGTTCCCAGTTTACCTGGATGTCCGAGATAAGGCGAATGATATTGTCTGCCGTACTACGATTTTTCTGAAAACCGCTTTGACATATATCAATGCAATGGTTGCTCTCAAGGTAAAATCGCAGGCGCCTGTTAACCATTCTTTCGAAAATCTTGGAAACACAATTGGTTAGTGAGATTGGGCGATACGAATTTGCGTCGTGCTGGTCTTTGCCGGGTTTGAGGATAGGTATGATTATACTTTTAAGCCATTCATCCGGGAAGTTGTCCTCAGTCCATAGTTTGTTGAATGCTATCAGTAGTGTGGAAAGGTTAAGTTCGTTCAATTTTGTGAAAAAAGAATATGGAATGGAGTCTGGTCCTACCGAAGTTTTAGTGCTTGCCTTTGCTAGGGATAGTTTAAGTTCTCTTAGGGTAAAAGGAGCATTGTATGGTTCAGAGTTTGCAGAAGAAAAATCAAGATTTACTGTTCTATTAACGAGAGCTCGATGCACGCTCAAGGAGTAAATATCTGTAGATGATGTGTTGGCAAAGTGTTGGGCAAATATATTTGTGACGGTAACTGGGTCAGTTACGAATATATTGTTTGAAAGCAATTGCGGAAAAGCACCTGAATTAGTTCGTCGTGAGGCGAAAGCACGAACATGACTCCAAAGTTCGCTGAGCGGGGTAAAACGATTACATTTAGCGGCATAGTTTTGCCATGCCGCCTTCTTTTCTTTGTATATAGTTTCCGCACATTCCTTACGGGCAGCGGTATACAGTTGGGCATGTCTGGGACATATGCATCTCTGGAAGTTTCTGAAAGCTCTTTTTCTTATTGCTTTGGCTCTTTGGCATTTCCAGTTCCACCAGACAAGATTTTTAGATTCATTTGCAGTTCCAATCTTAATAGTTTTTTCTTTTAGCGTTTCACTGGCCGATTTCTTCATAGCCCCCATAAAATTGGAAATGGTCTGAGACAGGCCGTAGGGAGCATGTCTGTTGACCTTTGCGTTAAAGCCCGACCAATCCGCGTTATTTGTTTGCCATACCTTCAGTGTCGGTGCTGGTGACAGCGTGGTTGCACTGGTAAGCATGATGTGAATTGGATAATGGTCTGAAAACAGCGGATCCGATGTTACGGTCCATCTAAAGAGCGGTGCGATCCTCGGGGAAGAAATTGACAAATCAATTGCAGAGGTTGTGTGGTAGCTACTACTGACAAACGTTGGGTTGCCGTCGTTCATAGCTACAAGGGACTGGCGGTTTAGTGCAGCTTCAATTATCCTGCCTCTCGGCGATAAGTGTCGGCTGCCCCATAGTGGACTATGACCATTGAAATCGCCGAGCAGAAGGCAATTTTCTGGCATTTGCTCTAGAAGGTCATTCAGATTTTGCCGGTTTACAACAGTTGCATTTGGCGGCAAATACACTGAAACAACCAACAACTCGCGGTTTAGTAGTGAAACAGTAGCTGCTACAACATTTAGCGGGGAAGCTATGTTTGTTTTCCGTTGTGACACTGAGTTTGCTACATAAAGAGCTACGCCACCCTGTCTATTTGCTAGATTTATGTCCTGTCTGTACAAAGTATATCCAGCCACATTGTAATTGTAATGATCTGTGCTTTTAAAATGAGTTTCCTGAATCGCGGCTAGAAGGGGAGCTTCCTTTTGTATATACTGTTTAAATTCAGACAAATGGGATAGAAGTCCTCCTACATTCCATTGAAGCAAAAAATCCATTGCAGCAGCTATCTAGTTTGTTTGGCGCGCTATTCTGGGATGAAGGATCGTCTGGTCACGACCTGGGTACGAAGGCCCACATTTTTCCTCTCCTTTGTTGAGCGTGCTCGGAGGCGAGTTTTGGGGCCTTCTGCATGGAGGGTGAGCTGAGTGTCGGAATCGCTGTCATCAATGACTGATGGCGATCGCAGGACGGAAGACACGGCGACCATTTTGGGGGTCTCCTCGTCCTCGCTCGTCGTATTGGCATCATAGCATGTGTCGTCGTCGGAATCTGTAGCCCTGGTCCGGTGGAGTGGTGTAACTACGGAGACGCCAGTTGGGTTGCTGGGGGACATTTCACAGGTGCCTGGTGTTTGGGCCTGGTGTCGTGTCCCACCACTTTTGTGCGGGCCTGTTTCTCGCTGATCAACCACGGTGGGAGAGTCAGGGTGGACTGTCTTGGGTGTCGGTGTCGACCGGGCGCAGCCTACATCGATAGACCGAGCGAGTTCCGGCGTCGCGGCCGTGCGCTTCCGAGCATGGGTGCTTGGGTGGTCTGGCGGGCTCGTGTCTTTGCGGGCTGGTGGCGTCAGCTTTGCGTGACGTGCGACATGGGGCAGATCCCGAGGGGGTGGGAGCTCTGGCCACTCCTGTGGGCGGTTTGCAGCCTGGGATATCTGAGCCTGTGTTTGTCCCACATGGCGCGGTACTCCCTCGTGGTGGGAGGTGCTGGGCTGGGTCATGGGGGGTGACCCACCGTGGGTGCCAGCCACGTGTCCAGATCTGCGTTGTGTGGCCTCGCGGAGCTCCTGCACCTTTGCAACCCACACGGGACAGTTCTTGTCAGTCACTGGGTGCGGTCCATTGCATGCAGCACAGTGGGGAGGGGCGACACACCCTGTAGACGGATGCTCCTCTGAGCAACGTTTGCATATTTCAGCACGAGACCTACATGTGCCTTGTCCGTGTCCATAACGCTGGCACTTGCCACAGCGCCGAGGCAGCTGGTGAGATGGCCTGACTTCATAGCGCATGTACACTGCATAAAGGTGTTCAGGCAGCTGTGTGGCCGAAAACCTCACCTTGAGCAGTGGGTTCGGTCTGGAATTTTTTGAAGGGAGGCGTGTGACACTTGTGACACCCTGGTCACGGCTTTCCTCAAGTATGGTTTGAGGAGACTCCATTGAGAGCTCAGGGGCATAGACCATCCCCTCCACCTGGTTTAGGCGGTCTGCTGGAATCACAGAGATGTCCTCCCCCCTGAATGACCTCCAGGCTAGCAGAGCCTCGGTCTGGTACATGTCCCTCGTTTTGACAAGCAGAGAGCCGCTTCGAAGTGCAGAAACCTTAGCAGCTGCATAATGGATCACGTCCAGGAGCTCATCTCGAATTTTGTAAGGGCTGAAGTTCCGAAAGCTTTGGTTTTTTTCCTTAAATCTCACGAGGAGGTAAGCAGGTCCAGTGGGAAGGAACTGACCTTCGTCAGTAGCGGTAACCGCCTTGGAGAACATGGCTGGCATAGCTGGAGAGAACGACACCAAAAAGCGAGATGATCTTGTGAGGAAATTACAAGTCTTGCCAAACAGTAATCGACAAAAAATGAAGACGTGAAGAGGAGGGAAAGCAGACTCACCGTGGAATCTTGCTTTAACAGTGGGAAGCCGATCGGGCAGAGTGAGACGAATGAGACGAAAAGCTGTCGAGACTAAATCCACCAGAATTCAATTTTACGCAAAGACAAGGCTATTTTTGATAAAAAAAAGAAATGCTGAACAGGACGGGAACAGAATATCCCGTAAAAAACACCCTAGCACTTAAGGGAAACTGCAAAAAGTCTACCCCTAATCCATGCCCAATGTATATAAAAACACTACACGCCCTACGCCACGAACAAATCAACGTGCGTGCACGGTTCCGCAAAGCGGTGAGTCACGAACCGACTTTCCGTCAAATTTTAGCCTGAACCTAGCGGCCAAATTATCGTAGTTTTATAAGTAAATATTTTTCCTTTATAATATCGTATCAATTTGCAAACAAAATGGATTAATATTTATCTTAATAATTATCAATAGTCCAAAAAATTAAAAAATACCAAAAATATGAAAATTTTAAAAAATAGACTAGTGGATAAAAACAACACTAAACACCAACCTACAGCCATCAAGTACCTAAGACAGTAATGGCGCAGAGGTGTCAAAAGAAAAAAAAATAAAAACAAGGCCCTACAAAGTGAACAATTTTCGCCATATGAAAGCTTTTATTTTGTTTTATTTCTTTAGGGAAGTTGCTTGAGGGGTAAGGAATAGGCGCTCGGGCAAGAGGCCTTTGGCCCTATCCTCGAAATTAGCTTGCTTCAGCTTCCTTTCACTTTGGAGCACCGATCAGCTAGTGAGGATTGAGGAATACCTATCAATAACATATTCAAGGGTTTTTGTAATTTTCAAATGCAGCATTGTCCATTCTCCCTTATTTCATGTGACTGTATTTTGTTAATTGTTTCCATCATTGTTATGCACTCAGGCGATGGCTGTGTACCGAGGCCAGCATTTGACGACAGCCACTGCTAGTCTGCTGGTGTGTGCGCTGATGCTGTCAGTGCTGGTGGGATTAGAGTTCACCAGTCACCTGAATGCCAGAAGAAAAGAGGACAAGTTTATGTCATATTCTAAAGAGGTTAGTCCACGTTTGGGCGGGATATGAACACAGATTTGCTCTGGGCTGGATCTTCTGAGCTGCTCAAGCTGCTCTTCTGTTTGATGGTCCCAGCTATTATTATGTTATGTTGCATTGTTGGTTAGAATATATTTACCTGATAGTAGCTCATCTCATCTGGAAGAAACACTTCAGGGGCAGCATGAATGGATGTGCAATGTACCTACCAATTGACTAAGCAAACCAACACTCTAGCCTACTGGACTGTCAAAGCCAGCAGTTTCATCTGAGACCAACACAAAAGCTTAATTCTAAATGTACTTAGTTTGATTGGTATATGTCAAGTTTAGGTCCTAACTACAATTGTGACGCTGTTGATACAAATACGAAACAGCAAAAAATTTTGGTTTTAGGTTAGGTTAGGTTGTAGGTTTGTAGGTTTTAGGTTGTAGGTAGGTAGGTTTGTAGGTTAGGTTAGGTTAGGGTAGGTTTGTAGGTTGTAGGTTGGTAGGTTATAGGTAAGTAGGTAAGGTTAGGTCAGGTTTGATTATGTTTTTTTCTTTTATTTGCGAGACATATGAGTATCATTTTTGGATTCAGGATGTCAAATAATGTAAAAATATGAAAAGTTTATCAATGAAATCTTCTTAGGACTTAAACTTGACATTTACCGTTTGATTTACCTTATGAATGCTGTAAACAATAGTGCCACTATCTGAAACAAGCGTGTTGCAGATTGGGATTGAGTTTGTATCGCTGTCTAGTTGTTCTCGATGTCCGGACTGTCGGGAGAGGCCGTCGGTGGGGGCCTCTCCTTGGCTACACTGCGATGATGATTGATATTCGATGCACGGCCGGAAAGCGCACGCTTACTTGTGCCATACATGAGATAGACCGCTATGCCCACGGTTCGTTGGAAGGTCATCTCAGGCTCAAAAGAAACGATATATACCATTCGAAAGCTTACGGTGAGCTGAATCCAAAACTGTATTTTTTATCAAAATCGATCGATGGCCTTTTTTGAAAATTGCGTTTTTCTAAAAACTTCATAATCTTTTATTCAACGGGCTGTCCCGGACATTCTTGAAAACATAAACATGTATTTTTGAGTTCCAGTGAAAGCTGAACGCCAAAAGAACAATATTTAGCGAAGCAATATTTCCAAACATTAATATGCGTCTCCCACAGCCGAAAATAAGGCGCAATCACACAGCTCAGTGTCACGATGGACCAAAGTCAGCCACACAGAAGCGTGAAATGACCCTTATCGACTCGCAGATCCGGCGCTCTCGGCCCGCCTGACCGGCACGGAAAGAACGTTCGGCTCTCGTTTTACTAAACAAATGTCAAAGTTGTCAGTTTAACTGTCCACATCGCTATTAAAGCTATTCAGGATACCTGTGAAGAAAATTCATTGTTCTGTCATCTTCACATCATGCATTAATCTGCATCTGTTCATGTCTACTTTGCTCCATTGAGCTTGGTATCATGCCCATATAAGGAAAATTGGCCGCGCTGAAATGTCAGAGGCTGCACCGGCCTCAGCTCGGGTGGAGTGGGGGTAGCGCCCGGCGGGGCAGGGTAACCTTTGACCGGTCGCACGGCCGAGCAGCTGTCACCAGTACAGCCTCTGACAGTGAAACCCCGCTCACTTCCCCTGCGCGGGCACTGATCGCAGCTGGATGGAACAAAACATGCATAAGAAAAATGTAAATTAAAGCATGTTGTAAATCAAGCAGAACAATGAACTTTCTTCACAGGTATCCTGAGTAACTTTAATAGCGATGTGGACAGTTAAAGTGGCAAATATTACATTTGTTTAGTAGAACGAGAGCCGAACGTTCTTTCCGTGGCCAGTCAGGCGGGCCGAGAGCGCCGGGTCTGCGAGTCGATAAGGGTCATTTCACGCTTCTGTGTGGCTGACTTTGGTCCATCGTGACACTGAGATGTGTGATTGCGCCTTATTGTCGGCTGTGGGAGACGCATATTAATGTTTGGAAATATTGCTTCGCTAAATATTGTTCTTTTGGCGTTCAGCTTTCACTGGAACTCAAATGCATGTTTATGTTTTCAAGAATGTCCGGGACAGCCCGTTGAATAAAAGATTATTAAGTTTCTACAAAAACGCAATTTTCAAAAAAGGCCATCGATCGATTTTGATAAAAAATACATTTTTGGATTCAGCTCACCGTCAGCTTTCGAATGGTATATACCGTTTCTTTTGAGCCTGAGATGACCTTCCGACGAACCGTGTGCCCCGACAGATCGGAAGGGACAAAAAAAGGCGGTAACAAAACAAGTTTCACACTCAAAACGCATTCCGGAAGTGGACTAGGGGTGTTCACGGGCACCGCACACTGCTGCGTGCGGTGTGTGCGGAGCGTCCAGCAGGCGTGGGGGTAGGGGATGGGTAGGCGGCTCTGACGTCACGGCTGCGTGCGGTTGACGGTTCGCTGTGGCCAGTCCCGACCGGCCACAGCGGTCGCTGTGTGCGGTGACGGAAGGCTGACGTAGGGACGCAGTGGGCGGAGCTTGGAGGCTGTGTGCGGTCCGACCGCACACAGGGCCCGTGAACAGCCCTCTGAAAAAACCAGAAGCCATGAAAGCACATCAATACCGTCTACCAACACTTCGATAAAGAGGAAATAATAACGGTACTTAACATCATAAAAGAGCATCTCTAACTGCATAAAATCATAAGATCACAGCATACACCAGCTCTACCCAGTCGCATGACACAGGAAATTATTTCTGTCGTCAGGTGAAGGAGGTAAATGGCATGATGGAGAATCTCGAGGCCCGGTTCGAGATAACCAGTCTGGAGATCCAGGCGCTCCGAAATAGATCGCTACGGATGTCCGGCGAGCTTGGGGCACGCTCAGATGCGGAGAGGTAAGCTGATTGGGGCCTGATTAGGGTCGAGAATAGACCGGGCGATGTTGATTCAATAACGATCAATGATCAAAACAGATTGGGATATGGATGGTACATGTGATCTTGATGTCGATAGTGTCGGGTTTTATTGTGTGCTGGGTTTTGTTTTAACTTGATGCAAGTACCTTTTTATAGCTGTGAAATTTATCATTCTGCCTTGTTCAAGGTTTGCGACCATTGAATGGGCATGAGGCTGTCATTTTGGTGCGGACTAAGTAGGGTACTGTTTGGTGGACATAAGAATGAACGTGGACCAAGAACATGGAGAACGATTTTATATCGGCACCACATTATTGCGTTCATCGTCCACGCTGTCTGACATTTTCACGGTGACTATAAAAAGATATTTTATTATTGACGAATCCCTCCCCTCGCCCGGCAGATGACCCCTCGTCCATCATGCGTCTGTTGGTGCGTAGTTCTGCCGACCGACGATGACAGGTACCGGATGACGTCATTAGGCCTACATAAACACAACGACAGCTGTCCGCCACGTCCTTCCACGTCTCGTGAGGCCGCCAAACCGGTACCCTTGAGGTAGCAATGGTCGAGGTCAAACATTTGTCGTCTGGACGCTGAACTGGTCCCGTTGTGACGTAGATGGTGGACAAAGTTGGATGAATTAGCCACGCCGGCTCAGGATATATGGAATACGGTACTGTTAAATGACATCGAATATGTTGCAATCACCACAACTAAACACCGTTGTTTATGTTACTGGTGTGTTTCCAGGGGGAGTTGATTATATTTAAGTACTTATCGATATTTTGCTGTGTGTATTCGTGCTGTTTTGCGTTTGTTGTTTTGAGTTGTTAATTTATCGTGTTCATGTCTACGTGTTGTTTATAGCCGTTTGAGTTGATCACGTAGTCATTTTCAGATAAGGAAACAATGCTAATGTTTCGGCTGCAAGTTGTGTATAAAAGTCTGCGAGTGATGTTCATCTAACCAACGACACAGCCATAGGAGGGCCAACCATTGCCATCCATTGTTTTTCACTGCAGTGAGGAGTTCGTCTGAGATAACCTGCGCGGGGCAACAAGTATTTGGTAGACGCTCGGCGTTGTTCGATGTTACGACGTTGCTTTAGGGGTTCGTCCATACCGTGTTCGCTGTCTTTAATCAGCCGTCCAGCTGTGTTCCGATTGGGCGTCGACACTAGTGACGTCACGCGTTGTTTCTTTTTTCAGTTCACGTTAATATGTTGTTTTGGCGATAAGAATATCGAAATAGGACGAGTCGTAATAGTGTGTCTTCCATTTCAGAAATGTTGTCGCATGTAATGTTTAGCATTCCATGTTACTCGCTGTGGACGCTTGAAGCTCTGCTAGTAAATTGCCCTTTGATTTGTTGTAGCATGTCCGTCATTATTCGAGCTTAGATCAGTGTCTCCAGAGAAGTTACTGTTATGCTGGTGTCACGCAGTTTGCAGTGTACCTGTTTCTTACCAACTCAAATTGTACGATCGTTGTACGCAGCTTGAGTTCGATATAGCCATCGATTTCTTCCAAGGTCGTGTTCCACAGTTATCGAAAATTGATTAACGTACCAATATGAATTCGTGTGCTGTAGTCATCGTGCTTTCCAAGGTCTTCTTGTGTTTTAACTGTTGCAATAGCTTCATAGTGTCACTGATAGATAATATAAATACTGTTTTCATTATGTGTGTAAAGAATTGCCATGGAGGAAGGAGTACTGGAGTGGCAACTTCATGCTTTTTTGCGACAGACACCTTCCAGCTAGTACCGTTCATAGGTTCTTATCGAAAGCAGAACTACACCATTCAGCCAATCAGCGTTGCCAACCGTCCGTAATTCAACCAATGAGCGCGCTCGTAACCAGCTGACGAATAAAATGACAGACTACATCGAGCAATATCTAATTTTATAAGTTTATAAGTTTATATTTATAAGTTTATTATTATAAGTATAATAATAATATAAATAATATAAAATATTTATAAGTTTTAATGTCAATTTCAACGAGCCGGCGCCTGCCCGTTCTTCCCGTCCTCGTCTCCAGCTGTAGATGTACCGCCCTTCGCGCACCGGATTTGAGATTAATCTGTGAAAGTCGCTAGAACTTGAATGTAACCATGGTCTTCTCCGTTTAATTTCCTGCACGTTGATGTACAAAAATCACACGTAGCGCCCAAAATAATCTTCCTACGCCCTTTTCTCTAAACCGCTGCACGCCATAGCCCGCCATTATAAGCCGACCGCCGCGACCCGCCGATACCAAGGCCATCTATAGAAGGTACAGTCACTCTCCCGCCGACCAATCAGAGACAGATCCTGAGTGACGTCACCCCTGATGCTCGCAAGGGGTACTCCATTCCTTTCAACGTAAGAATGACTAATTTCATTTGAAGATTATTGATGGCACTCTACACATACCGCTCAGCCGTTGATGTCGATGGAAAGCCCAACTAATTTTCCAGCGACAAAAAAGAGCAGCAATATGCTAAGAAATGGCCGGTTTTGAAGATATAGACGATTTAAAAACCCTCTGCAGCAGCAGGAAAGCAACGTAAAAACGCATCGAGCTTATATTTTTACTTTGGATAATTCATTTTTCAGTAAGTTTTTAGATATGGTATAGATTTGAGTTACAACTTTATTACAATATTTTCATAACTTAAAACTTTATTTCAAAATAATATTTTCAAAAATGGCAGCTGTTGGCCAGTAGCTTGGGAGCGATTGTGGCGCACCGCGCCATTAATTGCCCTGAGGCCCCCTTATGATGTCATCAAAAGTGGAGTGACATGGGCCTGGCCGATACTAGCTGGGGCGTTTCGACCCGCTCCCGCTAGGTGGACCCTTTGAATTTTATTTGTAGGCGGAATTCTCCACATAAAAAATGATAATGACGTCACGGGGGCTTTACTCAAAACGACTCAAAACATCGGACCTACCTGTTTCTTATAGGTATCTTGAGGTACGGACCGTGTCTGTCGCTAACGGCCCATGGTAAAGGCATGGAGTTGCCACTCCAGTATTCTCTCCTCCATGGAATTGCCTTCCTTTTCATAGTAGCAACTCGCAACGCATTTTACCTGTTGGTGTCCTGCGTTTTGTTTGTGGAGGCATGGGCACGATATCGTGGGGATTCCAGAAGTGTGAGTTCGGTCCCTGATGCCCGACCCTTATCGAGCTATGATTCCGATAGGTTTTCGCCCGGCTGCTTTCTCGGGAAAAGCAGAAAACAAGTGCAGAACTCCCAGTGCTTGCGTCCTTTCAGAGCCTATTTTAAGGGAATTTGACTGGGGGGGCAACCTGGAAAATTGTCTCTAATAATCCATCAACCCTCGCCCGTATTGGTATTTTCCAGCTGCGAACGTATATAGGGGGGGGGGGGTCCGTTGGACCTTCCCCCTTGCCGTTTCGACCCTGCTCGAGCTAGAGCTTCGTGGAAAAAACGACCGTGTTGCCCGTGATGAAAGGAAGCCGATGATACCCAATTTTAACCCTCGCCGACCCTCGCCGACACAGGGGGGGGGGGGTTGATGCAACCCCCCTAAGGTTTTTTTCGCGAATAACTCGCGTAAAAAGCTGCCGATTGCAACGAAACTTTCAGTACCAGCTCGCATTTATCAATTTTACACCTACCCTGAAAATTGCATGTGACCCTGACCCAAATGACCTTTGACCTGTGACCTACTTTCCGAGACCATGTTTGGCCGGAATCACGATTCGGCGTATGTCGACTCGCATTAGCCGCGCTTTTGCAAGCTTTTCGTGCTTTCAAACGTTCAAACATGTGATTTGATGTTGCTCCCATGCATTAGGGTGGATGTCAAGGTCACCTGAAGGTCAGGTCAGGTCAGTGACCTTTGATGCCCTCGGTTCACTTTTTCGAGTTTTACATGTTTCTAGGCCAGTTTTTGGAGCTGAATTCGAATTTAGCAACCCGATGAACATTTACGAAGCCTAGTTTTAGTGCCTTTACATGTTACGAAGCTGTCAGAGGCGGTTGACACCTACTAGGAATACCCGGCAGGACCCCTACTGGAATTGACCTGACCTGACCTGACCCGACCTGGACTAAATGCATGAAGACATCATCTGTGATCAAAACTCACATGATATCATTCGGATCAGCACCCCGAAAAACCCCATAGCAGCCACACTTTACGACGTTCTAACAGGTCCCGATTTTCCCGATTTTCGGGTCATTGACCTGACCTGGAAGGTCATCCGATGACCTAGGACATTAAACTTGGATATCATCGGCTTCCTCTCGTGACGGGCAGCACGCTCGTTTTTTCCGCGAAGCTCTAGCTCGATCAGGGGCCAAACGCGAGGGGGGGGGGGGGTCGTACCAACCCCCCCCCTTGTGCCGTCGAAGGACGCAAAATGGCCTGTGCCGGCGAGTGTTAAGGTCCTAGGTCGTCATCACTTGACCTTCCAGGTCAGGTCAATGACCCAAAAGTCGGGAAAATCGAGACCTGTTAGAGCATCGTAAAGGGTGGCTGCTATGTTTTTTTCGGGGTGATGATCACGAATATCATGTTAGTTATGATTATAGATGATGTCTTCATGCATTTAGGCCAGGTCGGGTCAGGTCAGGTCAGGTCAACCAGTAAGGGTTTTGCCGGGTGTTCGTAGTAGGTGGCAACCGCCTCTGACAGCCTCGTAACATGTTACGAAGGCACCAAAACTACTTCGCAAACGGTCAAATGGTTGCTAAATTCGAATTTAGCTCCAAAAACTAGCCTAGAATCTTATAGAACTCGAAAATGTGAACCGAGGTCATCAAAGGTAAATGACCTGACCTGACCTTCCGGTGACCTTGACACCCACCCTAATGCATGGGAATTGGGAGCAACATCATATCCCATGTTTGAACGTTTGAAACCACGAAAAGACTGCAAACGAGCGGCTAATGCGAGGCGACATGCGCCGAATCGCAATCCCGGCCAAACATGGTGCCATGGTGCTAGGCCGCCGGTGCATCTGAAAGAACTGTGGGTGCCCCTGACAAGCCTGAAGTTCCAACGACAGGCCCGTGGTGCCCCTGACAGGCCAATGATGCCCTTGCGAGGCCGTTGGTGTCCCTGCTAGGCCGGTGGTGCCTCTGCTAGGCCGCTGGTGCCCCTAGGGGCACCAAGGCGAACCTTGATATCAAGGCGAACCTTGATACCAGTCAGTGAATGTGCGTTGCTGACCTTGCTGACTGCGTTAGAGCCCTGTTCGGCTCCGCGCAAAATATTTTGCAGCGTGTGACGGCACACTTGGATGACGTCAGCCACTGGCTCCGCCCACTCTCCGCCGGGCCGCCAGAGCCGAGGGCCGCGGCGGCCACGGCAGCCATTATTCGACGCGTGACGAACCGTGGCGCGGATGGACTGGTGGTTTTCGTTCAAAAACTGAATAAAATGCGCTCAAATGTGGTTAATAGCAATGTGCCACTGAAAAAAGTGATAATGATACTCAAAAAACAGCATTCAGACCGCTTACAATGTGAAATATAGGACGGTAAACTTTAATTCGCGCCACTTTCGCCTCCTGCAGCTCCTATTTTCTTGTTGCGCAAAACTGAAAGATTTTGCGCGAGCCTACGTCACACGTGTGACGTCATACGCCGAAGGGCGGAGCTTGGCACACGAGAGACCCCAACTGCGCATGCGTGGTGCAAAATTTTGCAATAGGATGCGCTGCCCGAACAGGGCTCCGGGTGCTATTGCAAGATAAACGCAAGGATAAACGTAAATTTGGTCTTTTATTGTGATGTAATGATCAAAATTTGAAGGTAGCTTTGTATCATCGCAAGGAATTGAAGCTGTTCTTGCTTTTGCAGTGAGGTTTCAGTTGGCTTATGGAAAACGTCCAGTTACGGCTGATAAACTTCAGGTCAACTTTCATCATTTTCCATTTTATATTTGGCTACAGCATCAATTAGATTATTGTTCTACAAGGTACTTGAAACTGCCCGAAAAGTCGCTGTAAGGTCCTGAGTATCAAAATAAAAGGAGCGAAAGCACATTGCTGCTTGCCACGGACGTTCAAGTTGAGCTGCGTATTTGAGTTTTCGTGAAAGGTCAGTAGCCGACCCTCATTTATACACAATATCTACATTGTACTATACCTACATTTTCAGTTTTGTGCTTTTGTTTTTTTGATTTTTAGTGTCTGTAATTTGGATAGGTTTTTATCATGGTATTGTATAAAATGTATCATGGTTTTTATCATGGTATCAAGCTTGCGTGGTATCGGTAACCCTGGCGTCACCGGTAGTGTTTTCGTTCAAGGCTAAGGTTTCTTGTATTAGCCTGCCGTGCCAAGCCGAAGCATGCTGTGACGTCACTGGGTAAGAGAAGATAACGTACCACGCCATCAGTATCGACTGAGACTCAGATAGACTCAGACAGACTCAAATTGACTTGACTGACTCAAACCGATTCAGATCGACTCAGTCCGACTCAGAACAACTCAAACTGACTCAGACCGACTCAACCAACTCAAATCGATTCTGGTTGACTCCGACAGACTCTGATTTCTGAACGACTCAGGCAGACTCAAACCGACTCAGGCTGACGCAACCGACTCAAACCGATTCAGATCGACTCAGACCGACTCAAACTAACTCAGATCGACTCAACCGACTCAAATCGCTTCCGATCGACTCAAATCGATTCCGATCGACTCAGAACGACTCAGACAGTCTCAGGCAGACCCAGACCGATTCAGATCGACTCAGACCGACTCAGTTAGACTCAGAACAACTCAAACTGACTCAGACCGACTTAACCGACTCAAATCGATTCCGATCGACTCAGACAGACTCAGAACGACTCAGACCAGGCAGATTCAAACCGACTCAGGCACACTCAAACAGACTCGACTGACTCAAACCGATTCAGGTCTGATGATTCAGGTCAAACCGATGTGTCTGTCTGAGTCTGTCTAAATGGGTTTGAGTCGGTTGAGTCGGTCTGTCAGTTTGAGTCGTTCTGGTCTAGCTGAGTCGGTCTGAGTCGATCTGAATTGGTTTGAGTCGGTCGAGTCAGTTTGAGTCTGTTTGAGTCTGCCTGAGGCTGTCTGAGTCGTTCCGAGTCTGTTTGAGTCGATCGGAATCGATTTGAGTCGGTTGATTCGGTCTGAGTCAGTTTGAGTTGTTCTGAGTCTATCTGAGTCGGTCTGAGTCGATCTGAATCGATTTGAGTCGGTCGAGTCAGTTTGAGTCTACCTGAGTCGGTTTGAGTCGTTCTAAGTCTGTCTGGTCGATCGGAATCGATTTGAGTCGGTTGATTCGGTCTGAGTCAGTTTGAGTCGTTCTGAGTCTATCTGAGTCGGTCTGAGTCGATCTGAATCGGTATGAGTCGGTCGAGTCAGTTAGAGTCTGCTTGAGTCGGTTTGAGTCGTTCTGAGTCTGTCCGAGTCGATCGGAATCGATTTGAGTCGGTTGATTCGGTCCGAGTCAGTTTGAGTCGTTCTGAGTCTATCTGAGTCGGTCTGAGTCGATCTGAATTGATTTGAGTCGTTCGAGTCAGTTTGAGTCTATCTGAGTCGGTTTGAGTCGTTCTAAGTCTGTCTGAGTCGATCGGAATCGATTTGAGTCGGTTGATTCGGTCTGAGTCAGTTTGAGTCGCTCTGAGTCTATCTGAGTCGGTCTGAGTCGATCTGAATCGGTTTGAGTCGGTCGAGTCAGTTTGAGTCTGCTTGAGTCGATCGGAATCGATTTGAGTCGGTTGATTCGGTCTTAGTCAGTTTGAGTTGTTCTGAGTCTATCTGAGTCGGTCTGAGTCGATCTGAATCGATTTGAGTCGGTCGAGTCAGTTTGAGTCTACCTGAGTCGGTACTTTGAGTCTACCTGAGTCGGTTTGAGTCGTTCTGAGTGTGTCTGAGTCGATCGGAATCGATTTGAGTCGGTTGAGTCAGTTTGAGTCGTTCTGAGTCGTTCTGAGTCGGTCTGAGTCGATTTGTATCGGTTTGAGTCGGTCGAGTCAGTTTGAGTATGCTTGAGTCGGTCTGAGTCTATCTGAGTCTCAGTCGATAGTCGATAGCGTGGTACGTTATCTTCTCTTACCCAGTGACGTCACAGCATGCTTCGGCTTGGCACGGCAGCCTAATACAGGAAACCTTAGCCTTGAACGAAAACACTACCGGTGACGCCAGGGTTACCGATACCGCTTGCGTCACCGTCGCCGCTAACCAGACTGTAGATGAAGTTAGAGTAAAAAACATAATCTAACCTGACCTAATTTTACCTACTAACCTACAAGCTACCACCAACCTTCCAACCTACACACCTAAAACCTACCAGCCTATAACCTTGACCTAACCTAGCTTCCTACCGCCGATGGTGATGCCAGTTATACCAATACCCCTATTATTTTCCCATTCCCAGGCTCATAGGCGGTGGAACGGGGGGGGGGGGTACCATCCCCCCTTTGATTTTGGCATTTTAACATTAGCCTTATGGGCGTTGCATGGAAAGAATGGGGCCGAAAGTTCAGCAGTCCCCACCCCCGGCCCCCCATTGAAGGTGTTCCGCCGTCACTGCCCAGGCTGCAAAGCTGAAGCAGGACAGCAAAATAGACAATCGACACCTGCCGGGGTGCCAATTACACACCGGCCCTCACCAACCAGGCTGGAAATATGCACCAGCCTGTCACCACCCTGCATGCACTGAATGTTAACAAGACTGATGATTTCTACTAGGAAGTTGGAGGAATCATTCTTTGTGATGAGAATTATGTAATGAATGGGCAATTACTCTTTAGTTAGTATACCCAAGATTCTTTATGATAGGTATACCCCACAGATGTTAGTAGTTAGTACCTAGTGTGGAAGAAGAGTCCATACCACAGTACCAATCCCCTGGAATCTGGTAAATCAACTCATTCCATCAACTGTAAACCCTCCCTGGCCTATTAGTGGTCTGGAGCACTTTAATTTCAGACTCTCATTACCAGCCCCCCCCCCCCCATCCCCATCACCATTTTTGGGGCTGTGGCATTATGCACTCCCACAGTCCTTCCCTTAAACCTCATTTAGATCCACTATGATGGTGTCTAAGTTAGTGTGAAGTGAGTGGAAAGTGGACAGGCTTCATAGCTCTGCGAATTGCTGCCTTGACCTCACATTCCATAGGTAACTCATTACAAGAGAAGTGCTTTATATTTTTAGCACTACTCAAAGATGCACAATACTTTGTCCATTTTGTTTCATTGTAGGTTCTTATTCAGGTAGGTAAGCACTACAGGAAATAAGGACTTTCGTACTGTTAATTTTTCAATCAATCTTCCTGTTGTGATTGTTTTCTGAATGGATTTCTCACCAAGCATATCAAGTTTCCCAGAATCACACAGCAGTATTGATTGTGACATTGTTTTGGCCTGTGTAATGTTGTTGTCAGGTCCACTGTGCAGCGTCCCTAGCCGGTACGTTCGTTGGCCAACCGAACCGTCACAGACGTGCCCGGGCCACTCCGTCACGAGCTATCGCCGCGAACGGTGCTGTCTCAGCTCCTAGTGCTAACATATACAGCCGACGAAACTAACAAGACTGACCTCGCATAATATTTGCGTGAGTCGACGGTTTTGTTTGCCGAAGTTATTCGCTGATGAGGCCACCGAAGTTGCTATCGAGCGCGTTGATAGGTTGAGCAAACGGGTAAATTTCCAGCGATTTTGGCGCCGGCCACTGGACGTGTCGGTGTATTTTTAGCTCGCCTGTTGGTGTTTCGCTGGACGCTCGTTTGGCACCTGTGGTCAGTATGTATCGTGTGTCGCCGGCGGGCGGTGATTGGCTCGTTTTGCGTCGGTGTTTTGTGGCCTTGGACGTCTGTCATGGTGTGTTAGGGTGATGTTGTTTGTCACGTGGCCTTTTTGCGAGTCAGCCAGTGTTGATAATAACGTTACGGTGTGCTTATTCCTGGCGAGTTATGTGACGAAAGACGGCCCCATCACTGTTTCTCATTATCTTTACGGTCAATGATGAGCTCTCGAAATTGCTCCCGATTCTTATCTTTTCCATACAGGCCTCGTACTGATTTTCCTCTCCCGACGGCGTCGCTCCGAAGAATCGTGGTCGCCGACTCGCTACCTGTCTGTCGAGTCACGTCGTATCTGTCGATTTTGTAAAATAGTCATTACTTCTGACGCTCTCCCCCATCCAGCTCTCTGCCTTGTCCGTGCTCTCTTCCGCGATTGACTGATGGTGCCCGACCGCCCTGGGTCCCTGTCCCCCTGTCTAACTCCCCACTCTCCCCCTCTCTCCACCAGCTCTCTGCCGCCGTCATGTCGGTGCTCTCTCCGTTGATCAACTGCTGTACCCCGGACCCGTCTATGTCTCATGCTGAAGTCCCTGACTCTCCCCTTCTGCCCCCAGCTCTCTGCCGCCACGATGTCCGTTCTCTCCCCTGTAATCGACTGGTGTACCGTGGTCCCCTCTGACTCTCCCTCTCGCCCCCAGCTCTCTGCCGCCAAGATGTCGGTGCTCTCCCCGGTAATTGACTGGTGGACCCCGGACGCCTCCTATGTCACCGCCCTGCTGGTCACGGCCGGCGCCGGGCCGGTGTTCCGCGGACTCGGCTCCGAGACGGCCCGCCGCTGGTTCGGTCTCTCCATGGGCCTCCTGCTGCTGGCCTGCACCTGCGGGAAGGGAGCCGTCCACCCGCTGGCGGCGGCGGTCGGCAATGTGGCCATACTGAAACTGGTCAGCGCCAGGTCAGCCAGGGCGGGCCGGGATGGATGGGAGGGGCCTTGGGCCGTCATTGGATGCTTGAGGATCGTTTTTTGTGTGATCGTTAATTTAATGTGTCGCGCGTTTGTGTATATTTTCGTTCATTCTATTTCTTTCATAATTTTATAAGTATATGCTGACTAATAAGTTGTAAGTCTCTTGACCAGATTTCTTATTAGGTACTCCAACTGGCAACTATGATTACAAACCTGTTTTCGAAGTCAGGTCCTTACCTACCAGCTTCTTCAAGTCCCCTTCACTCTTCTTCCCTTCTCCCTGGCTCTCTCGCCGCCGCTCGCCTAACCTGCGCGTCTCCCCGCAGACACGTCCACGCAGTGAGCTTCGCGTTCTGTTTCGCCTACCTGGCGCTGGTGCGGCTGCTGGATGCCTTCGTCCACGACGTGTCTCCGCTCATCAACGTCATACAGATGCTGCTCAGCCTCAAGGTTAGTGAAAGAACGTGCTGAAAACCGAGAGTGGGGAGACGCTTGGTTTTTGGGGAGTCTTGGTAGCTGTTAGGGCCTTAGTTGTCACGGGAAGATGTTATGCTGGTGATTTTCTTATGCTCTTAGTCGTGTAGTGTGATATGTGGTTGAATAAGTAAGGAAGCACGACCTTCTATATTTTTTGTAGTTTGTCACAGCATCCTCTTCCCGTTTCTTTCTCCAGACGAAATATAAATACAGCATCCTGTGTTTCTTGCTTTGTGAAGTGATACCACCAGCACACCTCACCTCATTTCTTCTCTCTTCACCCCAGTTGGTCGGCCTGGCGTTCGAGGTCCACAACAGCTGGAGGCTCCGTCAGAAGACTGCCACCCCTACCACCCCCTCCCCCACGGAGCCCAGCGGCGGTGAGGGGGACGCTCGGGACACCTCGGCTCGGGACAGGGCCGAGCTGGCCGTCACTGAGGTGACGGTGCCGACAGCCGCCGAGCAGCTCCAGTACGCCTTCTTCTATGTCGGCATGCTGACTGGTGAGACGGGATCGGGTGGTGGGATGGGACCCCATCCGATGGGATGGAGGGTTGGGATGTGATGGTTGGATTGTGGACTGGAAAGGGGCCGTGGACGGGGACGGGGATGGGAGATGATGTGATTTAATCTGGGGGAATGGTGGGGACGTTTGTTTCTCAGGCAGGGCAAGGTGGGATTTTAAATTGGGACTGGGCTGCAGTGATGGCAACCAAGCTGTTGTGTGTTGATTTTTAGGGCTAGGGGAAATTTAAAAGGAAGATGGACTGGGATGTTGATTGTCTGAGGAAGGACTTGCATGACCGCTTAATACGTAATCGCTATGTTACAGGAAATAGAATGGCGTACTTTGACACCACCCCATTCCGCCCCCGTCTCGGCCCGCCCACAGGTCCGTACTACACGTACGTCACGTTCCGTCACTGCATGGAGGGCACGTTTTGGCCGTGGGCCGACTGCGGCTGGGCGCCCGTGCTCCGCCGGGCCCGATTCCTGCCACTCTACATAGTACTGTTCCTGTTCCTGGGCTGGATGTGGCCCATCGCGGTGAGCCGGGCTTGATTGCGGACGCTCTATAATGGTGTTTTGGCAATCGTATGCACTGTAGACGGTAGTTAAAGTGATTGGAAAGTTGTTTGTTGGAAATGAGCTATCGATTCTGTTGAAATGTAACGTAGGCTCGCAGTGTTGGTCTTTTTACTGGAAAATCAGGAGGATATTTCTACCGAGGTGTAGGTTCTGTCGAAGAACTGCTTTCTTTGATATCTATCGATCAACAGCGTGCTCACGGGCGTTTGGGCGGGATCTAAATTGATGTATCTTCTAACACAAGTCAGATATTTCCACGATATCACATCGTATTGATGCACTTGTCACATTTTGCCCCAAGGTTTGCCCGTTCAACCGGCGTGACAGTCACCCTCCGGCTAGCTTGTTCGATTGATCGCTCTTCTAATCTCCAACATCCCCCCTTCCGCTTTCCCCTTCGCTCCCGGTTCCAGGACGCGTCTCGCGCCTCGTCCTGGCTGTACGGCGTGTGGTTCATCTACCCGGTGTTCACCCACTTCCGGATGCGGATGTACTTTGGGTTCATCCTGTCGGAGGTGGCGTGCATTACCCACGGCCTGGGCGCCTACCCGGCCGGCAGCCTGCCGCGGCCCGGCAAAGGACCCACCGACTACGGCAGACTGGTACAGATGTGAGTACTGAGTACACAGGCGGGGCAGGGGATGGGTGGTCAGCTGTGAAGGTAAACAGTGGGATCATTCAATGATAACACGTGCTGGACATTTGTCCTTACGTTAGCCCCGCTCTGCATAAACATCAACGGATGTACTCCCTACCCATCCAGTCAACCATTTTTTTTTTTTTAATGAAATGTTTGTAGCAGCCGTCAAGAGATGAAATGATAGGTGGCGTGATATGAACCTAATTACTCCGCTTCCGACCTTTCACTAGCGTGTGAGGCAGGAATTGCCTTCCGTGTCTTCATACTTTTCACTGTTTTGGTGGTTTAGCGTGTTTTTCTTTTTGCAAGCATGATATTCCTTCCATGAGACACTAAAGTACTGTCTCCACGTGTAAACATTTTCGGTTTTTACGCGTTTTAGCAAACGAGAGTTTTGCGCTTTTTTCGCTTTTTAACAGACGCTTTTGCGAGTTTTGCGAGTTTTTCGCTTTTTACGGTTTTAGTTTGTCAGTCTTTCAGAACAATTACAATTTCAGAACAATTTCAATTTCAGAGTAAGAACGTCTTTCTCCTCCCATCGTGCGCTGTATGCCGTGGCCCTCTTGTCCCACAGGGCAGGTATCTGGCGCACGGCTTCTATTAACCCCTCGATTTTCGCTGTAAAGATACTTATAGGGGTATCATCACGTTACCCTATTGTTATCACCGCTATGACATCAGTTAATTATCAATTATCTGAAATGATCTGATATCGTGATATCTGTTATCCATAGACTCACTATGTAATTATTTGACATCCACATCGTTGGAATAGCAACAGAAGTTATTGGTATGGTTGTCTGAGTACTTGCCATGATCGGCTTAATCAAATTGCGTTTCATCGCTTTCCACACTTTCCATTGCATCTATTTCACCGTAAAATGGTATTAATAGCAGAATGATTATCTCTTAAGCCTTCTCAAAAACCGGAAAACTTTCATTCGATCCAAATGTTTGGATAAAATCGCGCGTTTTTACAAATGAGAGTTTTGCGCTTTTTAAAAGTTTTACGAGTTTTGCATGACACAACTGACGCGTTTTACGAGTTTTGCAGTTTTTTAATTTTATGAAGCCACGCGTTTTTCGATTTTTGACAAATCTTCCGCCGTGGAGATGGCACCGTGTAATTCAATGGTACAGATCAACGCCGGATCATGAAAAACTCGCAAAACATCAAAAAAGCGTTAAAACGTCATTAAAAACGCGCAAAACATGTACCGTGGAGAACGACCTCATCATCAAAAAAGCGTTAAAACGTCATTAAAAACGCGCAAAACATGTACCGTGGAGAACGACCTTAAGAACACAGAACAACTCTGCAGTCGACTTTTGGCCTGTGGGTCATTAATTTCGGGTTCTCAAGGTGAAGCGGATGAGCTGTCTGTGACCACAACTGGAACGCAGAACTCCCCCCCCCCCCCCAGTGCCAGCAGCTGTTCCGACTGTGCCGCCATCTGTGTTGGAAGGGGAGGGGGGCACAGGTGCTCATCGCCATGCGCAAGGGAGAGGATAATAAATTAATGGTGGCGATATGATGACCTTTGATGACCATATAAAGACATCATGTGATATCGTATGTAAGTTTAATGAGCCGTGCATTTAAGGCGAATGCCTTGTGTATAGGCCGGATGTGCCACCACTTTATGACCAGACACAAGTGGCATATTTTCCATTGTGACAAGTAACAACAATCATCGTGGCTCACACTTCAGTCTGTTCCGAGACTGGTACGATGTACACTTTCTAAATCCCTTAATCTTCCCGGCAGCATGGATGACAAGAAAGAGCTGGCTACCGCCGAGTACGACTTCGAGACTGTACACAACATCCGCGAGGGGCGCGTCGAGCTGGACGTGACGATGACGTCGGTGCTCAAACAATGGAACACGACGGTACAGTACTGGCTGTACTACACCGTCTACCGGAGCACGCCGGGCACCAAGGTGTTCAGGTGAGACTGTGTACATACTGGCTGTACTGGTAACTGTGTACAGTACTGGCTGTACTACACCGTCTACCGGAGCACGCCGGGCACCAAGGTGTTCAGGTGACACTGTGTACATACTGGCTGTACTGGTAACTGTATACAGTACTGGCTGTACTACACCGTCTACCGGAGCACGCCGGGCACCAAGGTGTTCAGGTGAGACTGTGTACAGGTACTGGCTGTACTGGTAACTGTGTACAGTACTGGCTGTACTACACCGTCTACCGGAGCACACCAGGCACCAAGGTGTTCAGGTGACACTGTGTACATACTGGCTGTACTGGTAACTGTATACAGTACTGGCTGTACTACACCGTCTACCGGAGCACCCCGGGCACCAAGGTGTTCAGGTGAGACTGTGTACATACTGGCTGTACTGGTAACTGTGTACAGTACTGGCTGTACTACACCGTCTACCGGAGCACACCGGGCACCAAGGTGTTCAGGTGAGACTGTGTACATACTGGCTGTACTGGTAACTGTATACAGTACTGGCTGTACTACACCGTCTACCGGAGCACACCGGGCACCAAGGTGTTCAGGTGAGACTGTGTACATACTGGCTGTACTGGTAACTGTGTACATACTGGCTGTACTACACCGTATATCCCGCGAGTTGCTGGGGGGGGGGGCGTTAAACGCCCCCACTTTTTTCGCCGTGCCATAGCATAAAAACGGCGCGCCGCAGGCGCGCCAAATTTTGGGTACCTGTAGGGAATTGATTGAAGGTTATTGTGACGAAGTTTCAAAAAAATCGGTCGAAAATTTTTTGAGATATCGAGGTTTTAGTGACGTCATGATTTCTGAGTTTTCGACCAAAAACGGCATATGTTCAAAAAATCATATAAAATCACAGAATAATCATACAGACATGCCGTAAACGCCATTAGACTGCCAATACCATGATCAATCAAATGGCTATCTTCGATTATTGATTATCGTTCCGCATTTTCCATAATCTTGAACTGAATCTTGGCAATTTTTCGTGACTACTTCACGACCATGATACATGAATTTATTAAATTGAACTTTTTGAGCCAAACACGTACACATATGATAAAATGAATGTCACCATCGTGTTCTACGCCCCAAATTACCTATAAAACATGTGTCACAGGCTGCGAATATCAGTTTTGATTTTCGGGGATATGTGCCTACCCGGTTGACCTGACCTTGACCCTGACCTATGCTTGACTGATCCCTACATGGAGCTGACACTCTTGTAGGCCTTATAAGATGGATTGTGCACCGTTTTGACACAGTTTATGGCGAGAGGCGCCCATTGCGAAGTCCTGAAGTCCATGCTACTGAAAGCCCGATTTCAGGTGTTTGACCTGACCTTGACCCGACCTGTGACCTCAAAATTCAACTTTAAAGTACTCATCTGAAGCGTCTCGTCGCGCTCTTTCGTTTGCCGCCTCGTGCGTTTCGCTGCGCCTATTGGTTCTCGAGTTATCGGCTGGGGGCGTTTAACGCCCCCCCCCCCCAGCAAACGGTGATTGGCGAAATACCCCAGCAACTGCCGGGATATAGGAGCACGCCGGGCACCAAGGTGTTCAGGTGAGACTGTGTACCTGTACATACTGGCTGTCCTGGTAACTGTGTACAGTACTGGCTGTACTACACCGTCTACCGGAGCACGCCGGGCACCAAGGTGTTCAGGTGACACTGTGTACATACTGGCTGTACTGGTAACTGTATACAGTACTGGCTGTACTACACCGTCTACCGGAGCACACCGGGCACCAAGGTGTTCAGGTGAGACAGTGTACATACTGGCTGTACTGGTAACTGTGTACAGTACTGGCTGTACTACACCGTCTACCGGAGCACCCCGGGCACCAAGGTGTTCAGGTGAGACAGTGTACATACTGGCTGTACTGGTAACTGTGTACAGTACTGGCTGTACTACACCGTCTACCGGAGCACGCCGGGCACCAAGGTGTTCAGGTGAGAGACTGTGTACATACTGGCTGTACTGGTAACTGTGTACAGTACTGGCTGTACTACACCGTCTACCGGAGCACGCCGGGCACCAAGGTGTTCAGGTGAGACACTGGACCGTGGGCTGTACGTGGGATACTTTGTGGCATGACTTGACCTGAACGACTTGGCTTCGAGTAATGAGGTGACATTAACTAGTTACGGCCGGAGTCCCACTCAATCTCAACCGAGCTTGTTGACTCATAATGTCATTGTTATGTCATTTATGCATAATAAATTTACTTGAAGCGTATTTATGATCTTGCGAACGAAGAATTTGGATTTGTGATCGTACCTGCCCATGTCCCCCCCCCCTCCCGTTCGCCCCCTGTCGTCCATCTCATTCTTCATGCCATCGTTCTGACCCCTACCCTCCCTCGTCTCGTTCCAGGGCGTCGGTGACGATGCTGGTGTCGGCGTTCTGGCACGGTATCCACTCGGGCTACTACCTCTCCCTCCTGACCTGCCCACTCTATATGGTGGTGGAGGACCTCTGGGAGCGGCGACTCAGGAGGAGACTGCCAGAGTCGGTGAGTGGGAGGAGAGAGAGGGCGGAGGGAGGGAGAAGAGACACGCAGGGTCGTCGCAGGATCTGGTGGCGTAAGAGTTGTCTGCTAGGGGTGTGTGGAGTGAGTCTGTATCTGGAGAGCTCTGAGGTTGGGTAGTTGACGGTTAATTTAGGAGTTGAACATTGCTGGCTACTTTCTTACGAACATTTTATCAATTAACTTTGTTGGTTGATATTGTCATGTAAATCTCCATGCTACTTTTTGTGCATACCCCTGTCCCCTACAGTAGGATTGTTAAAAACGAATTTTGGAAAAGTACGTAGGCTCATGGCTTACGTGGTTAAGTTTTCTTTTCCGGGTCTAACGATGCCCTTTATAAGGAAAAATATTGAATGCTAGGGGCTCCCCAAACGGCTTGAAGCAGACCATGTTTCGCCCGGCGTGCAGTTGTCTACAGTTGTCAGTCTGCTGCAGTGTTCAGTCTCGGCCATCCCCCTAACCGTCTGTTCTGCCCGGCAGCGTCTGTGGCTGTACGACTGCGTCACCTGGTTCCTTCGGGTCAGCATGTTCAGCTACCTCTGCATGGGCTTCCTACTGCTGCGTGCCGACACCACGCTGGCCTACTGGCGCTCCGTGTACTTTGTCGGACACACGGCGGCGGCAGCGCTGTACGCGCTGGGCCTGGTGGTGCTGCCGCGGCCGCCCCGGCCGCCCAAACCCGAGTGAGACGCGGGAGGGATGGAGAGAGAGAATATGTTTGGAGAATATCGGAAAAGTGATGGTAATGAGACACGGAATATGAGGGGATGGGGGCTGCAAAAGGGGAACATTTGATTGCAGTGAGTAATGGAAGAACAAGGAAAGGGAACATCTCAGAAGAGATGGGGTAGGAGGCGTGCATGCACGGGAAAGGAGTGGTGAAGAGGTAGAAATGGAGAGTTGATGTAGAATGGAGGGGGAGGTGGGAAACTACGTACTGCCAATCATCAGGTCAAGGACTGGTGTCGGGAATGAACTGGGTGGAAATATGAAGTGGAATGGCCAAGATAGGTCGATCACATTGACTCGAGATGACTGACTAAAGCAGTTGAAGGAAACCGCGGACGGAAAGTTGATTGAACTAACCAAGCTGAGAAACACAAACGGTTGCTAACAGCTAGGTGCTGACTTCTGTAGCTATGGGGTATGATGTAAGGCCTCGACCGGTGCATATGCAGTTACAAGTTATCCCAACACTGTCTAGTTTGCCGGCACTGGTTGTTGTTTAGCCAACCACTAACCGTAGCCTGACTATAATAGTTCACAGGGATGTTGCGTTTACATTAACCTTCCTCGGGTGGCTCTGTAACTGACAAGCTGTTCACAGGCCGTCGTATACGCTGACCGTCTCGGATGGCTCTTAAACAGCTATAGTTCACAGGATTGCTGCGTATACGTTAACCCTCTCGGGTGGCTCTCCGTAACTGCCTAGGTGATACTCTGGACCACACTCGGGCTTTCCGAGCCGACTTCTGACCACAGAACTCGTAACTTCCGAGCGAACCGTCTCGCGACCGCCGCGTCTGTCGCTTTCTGCGGTGGCGAGGTTTTGTCGCCTGTCTTGTGGCGCTTTGTCGCCTGTCTTGTGGCGCTGCTTGGCGCAAAGTTTCAGCCAGTTGCCGCTAGGGGAGCCATCGTCGCCGAGGCGAGCGTTTGTGTGTGGTCCCAGGCACACGAGACCGGACTATGGATGTTCGCAGTAAGAATAGAGACCCACCAGGGGAATTGGTTAGTGGTTTAGATGGACCCGTGTTAACCTATGGCATAATGCGGCGAAACTAACCGTTGCTGGGTGTTCGCTAATATTCAGAGTTTGCAGTTAGCACTGTGCTGGCTACCAGTGTTGGATACGTCCAGTGCTAACAGCCGATATGACCTGTATCAGGATTAGATCAGTCTGCCTGGGGACAGTGGTAGACTACAGACTAACCTCTCGCTGAAAAGCGCGGGGCGATTCACTAAGCCAGTAGAGGGGCGGTCTCACGTATTCAATGTAAGATCGTACACTTCCCGGGCGCGTACATGGGGTGCGGGTGCGGCGTTCCGTCCGATTTTCACGCGCCGCGCGCACCCAGCTCCTGTTCAGGTTAGCCGCGTGCGCCCTCTTTTCGGTGTTGGTGTTCGTGTTGTCTGTATTTGTGAATACCGTAGGTGGTTAACTGGGGGAGCTGGCTGGGCATTAGGGAAGATAGTGGGTGTAAGGACGGACTGGGGGTAGTAGGCGGCGTGGTGGTGACGGTAATTGGACAGGGTATGACAGGGACCCACGACTTCACTAAAGTCGCGATGACGACAGCTCGGGAGGAGTTGACATTGGGTCGAGATGGTCTCATGAAGAGCGGAGAGTGTGACAAGGGTCTCGTAATGGGCTGATTTTGGGACAATGGTCTCCAAAGGGCCCGAAATAGGGAAGAGGGTCTTCTAGGTAGAGAGCTGAGATAGGCAAGAAGGTCTCCTATAGAGGGCTGGATGATGGCTGTTGTTGGCTGTACTTCTCACAATCCATTACAATAGACATCAGACTTTTTGTGTCAGTCGAGTCGGTTTTCTGGGTGATATTCCAGGTGGACGAGGTTTTTACTTTCATTGCTGGCATTACAGATAATCCCAATATTATTGTTATATGCCCTAATTGCTTTCATACCTGAAAACAAAGGTAGTTTAATGACAAAATTGTCGCCGTTTGGGGATATAGTAGAAATGAAGCACAGGGACTGATCATTATTTTGGGTTGTGAGACACTTGCCCCGGGGGATGGTCGTCCCATTTCATGGTAGCTCACCTGAATCATAATCTTGCCAATGCAATATGCAAAGCCTTTACACCGTCTGAATGTATAGTCCCGGTCCTGGGAGGTCGCTGCTGTGTAGCCCCGGGGCAATGACCTGACCTGGGGTTCGGGGCGGACGGGCGGGCCGCGCACTGGGGTGGCTCCATAGTCGGTCAGTGGTCGTTCTGTTACGTGTCTGTGCCAAGTTAACTTAACTCCGTAGATTGGGAGGGCGAGGATCGGCTGCGATCGCACTGCTCTTCGTTACCATAGCAACGCTACCGTGTGCTACCAGTGTTGTTGCTATAGCAACTGCGCCAGCGAGTCAGGGCGTGCACGTAAATTCTCTGAAGTTATGTGGTGAGCGGTGGGGACGGTCTACTGGCATGCTAACCCCTCATCAGCATTGGTCGTCACGTAAGCCGTGCCAGGGTGCTCTGTGCGGTCCTGCCGGTTATTTTGTGAGACTGCTGCTGGGTGTTGCCGGGCAGAGGTAGGGCCTGCTCGTGACAGGGAAGGACCGGCAAAGGGAACGTCGTGACGCTGCGTTATTCGGTGTGCAATATATGTTCGTTTGCATTTCGGCGTTTAGAGGGTGTATCAGTGTTTGAGAGGTTAGAAGATGAAGCGTCTGATCAAACATTGGCCGCAGAAAACACCCAGACATAGATGGAGAGTGTATTGCCGAGACAGACAGCGTAACATTGTAAAGACGTGCATAAGAAGGTAGTACCGAAGGGAGTGACGGACACACGAGTCAATACTGGTAAACAAAGTCCTTAGAGTGTATCAGCAACATTACTCCAGTAAAGGTACGGCTGAACGACTGCGGATGTGAAGGTCCTAAACTGGAATGCTACGCTACGTGCTGGTGCATATGCAATCAAATTCAATAGATAAGAGGTGATAATATTCTAGATAATCATTACCGGGGAAGATCGGAGGATCAAATAATATCTATGTGGAATGCCTAGCACGGAGGCATGGACAAGATAGGAACTACTGGGATGAAGCTAAGAAACAACGGATTCCACGAGCACTTTACCCGTTACTACGATTGACGGATCTAAACCGATCGCGGATGACTATTTGTTCTACAAATGTGGAAGCTAAAAGACCTACCTACCTACATAAACAATATTCATGAAGCCTATCTCTCGACAAATACTATCACTCATCTTGTCTAGACGCAATCGGGGACTGTTTATAAAGCACGCTACGCTCAATTTTACTTTACGGTGCAACGTACTTCATTAGCAATTTATTGGGCCAAGAATTATTATCCTTTTACTTGAGAATCGATGGAGCGTGATGTCATTTATAAACAGTCCCCGAAACATGTCAATAACCTATTTCTATCACTGAATACGGCCATACACTTTCAACAGTTTTCATTCACTCTCAGCATCATACGATAAACCCCATGACAGTCGAAATGGCCAAAGCATTGGGATCTGCATTTTTCACATACATACACAGCTGATTATAACACCGGTTCGTCAAACATTACACCCGAGTGTACCTCACGGCGGATTGAAACCCTGAACACCAGATTGAGCTGTGCAAGCCGAGAACAAGCCACGGGCCTCTAGGGACGATCCCGTCCCTGAGAATTGTCAGATACCAGCGCTTCACTTGTATAAACCGGCGATTGAAGGGCCCCGATCCGAAAAAGGGCCCACACAAGGTTGCCGATGTATTTTGTCAAGTCACACCTGACGATTATTTGACGAGCTTTCACCGAACTTGTTAATTATGTTCGAACTTATTTTACAAGGGCATCACTTCTTGATTGCACCCAGGCTCGGCCAGCGTTGGCAAAAAATGCGGTGATATTCGACAACTCAGACAAACTTATGAAATAATGGCACGCCGAAATACCCTTATCAACGAGGCAAGAATCGTCAAATCACTGCCGAACCACCATCTTTCCAGAAATCAATAATGAAGACGTCCAGCGCCTTCATGTCACTTGATGAACACAACTAGTCCGGGACACTCGTATATAGACTAGGTTATCACAGGACACTCTATCACCACACTCAAACGGATACTCAAAACAATCACTCGAAGACTAGTCTGGTGGATCTGACTGACTGCTACCGTCTGCGAGTCTGCCGCTCTTTGCCCGGTCATCAGTTCTCCGGTCATCGATACTACACTTGCCAGCGAAAGAAATTCTCAAACGAGCATGCAACGAAATCGGAAGATACGACACTACATTCTAGGAATCTAAGCATCTTGGCTTCGCTCTACCGCGGCGGAAAATGCCTTTCGCATGCAAGGCATGAGTGAGAAACTCGATCTAAAATGGCACTATCATGCAGATAAATGACAGAACAAGAAGGAATCAAAACCAGATCGAGATACCTGCTCTCGATCGGGTAGTAAATACTAATATTGGCAAAGGTTATTGCGGGCTTCCTACCAGTCTACCCGGCTACTGCTGAGGTGTTTCAGTCACAACCGACTACTGTATCTTCGTATCGGACAAGAGGCATGCTGCTATAGACAGCGGAGTATTTGAAGTATCAACCCACTCTGCAATCGTTCCTATAACCCCCACAACAGCAGCCGGGCAAAACCTGTAAATCCTAACGCGTCATCCTGCCTTCTATCAGCAGACCATCACCCTGACTCATCGTACAAACTAAACTCAAAGTCCGCGAGTAACCTGACTGCGGGGCATACCACGCGGGCGAACCCTGGCGTACCACGCGGGTGACCCCTGCCCTCGGCCGGCGGTGCCCGGTCCCAGGCCGCACCGCGGACCAAAGTCCACCGGCGGCGGCTATCGAGCGAGCCATTTCATCGCCGCCGTCCGCGGAACGTTCGATACGAGCCCGCCGGGCGACCGAAAAAGCCGCGGCGGCGGCGGCGGCGGCGGCGGGGTAGTCTGTGTAAATTTCCCCGCTGCCGGGGGCGCTGGGTGGGTGACAGAAGGTGCAAGGTCCGATGGCCCGACCAGATGACCAGACAGTTTGTTCAGCCAACGTGGTCTGGTGATTGTGGTGGACAGAGCGCATGCTTGGGCGTGGTTGGGGGAGAAGGAAATGAAGGTGTGGGAAAGAACAGTTGTCCTCAGCTGGTCTTGAGCGGTCAGAAATGCAGTTATAATACAAAGAGGAATGGTATTTGGATAAAAAGCGATGTAACTTAACTGCAGAGTTGAAACTGGAGAGAATCGGATGTGCTTAATGGAAAAGAGTAAAGACTACGGCAATGTGTCAAATCAATACTGGGAATTAGGATGACCGTTGGTGGCACGTGAACTACATGTGCAAATGCAACGTAAACAGTTCGAATAAACCAGACGCACTTGTAAAATAAACCATCAATCGAGACTAGAATTCCTACCTACGCTCCAACTCTCAACAAGCTGCTAACATCGACCTAAACTTTAACTGCGCCTACCTAAAACAATCTTTCCAATCACATACGTCCTAGAGCTCATCTCCAACATACCATCCTCCCTCCTAGCTTCACCCTCTCTGCCCCTTCACTCCCTCCTGTCGGTCTTTCACTCTCTCCCCTCAGCTGCCCGCCCTGCCGCCTACTGCTGTATCAGCTCCGGGTTGGCCAGCGCCGCCCGACAGTACTCGGCAAACACGCGGTCGATGTAGTTCTGTTTGAACGGCAGCATCCCCTCCATGAAGCCGATGTGGCCGCCGTGCGAGGTCATCACGATGGCCACGTGCGAGGTCTGCTTCACCTGCTCCAGGGGTACGCCTGGGGGCGGAAAGGGGGAGCGAGAGATGAGGTCGAGGGTGTGACAGCGAAGAAGTGACAGCGCTTCTGGTTGCCGAGCGGGATGCGATAAAGTCGAGCTACTGTGGCAAATTGGTGATTAACAGCTGTTAATTCATTCGAAACATTCGGTGCGTCGTCGACATGCAAGTGCCAGCTTAAAACCGGACTTTTGGACTTCATTTTTTCCGAGCATTACTCAGTCAGCAATATAACTTGCTGAGCATTGCTAACACACGCTTACAGCTGGTACCGAGTGCCTATCGCAGCAGAATGGCACATCGCAATGCTGATTTAGCGTTTATGACGGGTGCTCAACTGATAGGTACAAACAGGTTATCAAACCGATAAAACAATACAGACAGAGCCACTGTAAAACATGAAAGCCCCCTCTGCATGAAACCCTTGCTATATCGCGTCATATAAACATCGACTGTCCTGCACAGCTCAGTAGATCAAATCCCCGCTAGACAATCAAACACCATAAACCCTCGTTATCTCGACTTCCGCCATGTTACCCCGCGGCTCTAGGTGAAGGAATTCCCCTCTCACCGTTGAAGGGAATGAAGGGATCGTCGGCGGCGTTCAGACCCAGCAGGGGCACCTGGATGCGGTGCAGCTTGTCGTTCAGTGAGGCTGCCGTGTAGTAGTCCTCGACGTCACGGAAACCAAACTGTTTGACCACAAACGAGGCGTCGAACTCGCGGATCGTGCGGGACTGAAACGGGAGAATAATTGTGGACTGAGCGCAAAGCTGGAACGTGTTTATGGGTATATTCACTGAAATAACAAGCCACAATAGACTTGAAAATAAAAAAATCGCTAGAATCAAACGATCGAGAAAAAAAAGAGGATCGCGTGATCTTTGGGAAGATGGCAATCATGTGACATTGAACAAGATTGGGTGGAGATGGCGGAAGTTTTAACAGCGAACTTGATAACAGCTGTGGAGGACATGCGACAAGGGCGGTCACGGGATATCGTACGACGTAGGAATTATGTAAGAGCCCAAGAGGACATTTGACATAATCCTAACATGACAAATACCATACAAGCCACGCCCGTCGACATTGAGGCGTTCATGAACTGTAATAAGTTGTCAACTGTAAATAGATAATCGAACTATGAAAATACAGGTAACGAAAGAGGACACATAAACCAGTTTATTATTATATCTCGATAAGCGGACAATTTATTTATCTGGTTACGAGCGAGCGAGCGAGCTCATACTGAATTAAGGGAAAATCCTGAGTATGAGCGGCCGGCCGGCCGGCCGGCCGTGGGGACGCTCTTCAAAAGCTTATATCTTAGGAACGGGACATCCGATTGACAAGCGGTCTTCTTTACTGAATGTCACTTGGACGTAAAAGTTCTGTGGTGTGATGGCCACCATGCGTTCTTGCCAACCACCGCACGTGGCGCGTGGTAAAGTTGGGCATTTTTTTAAGAACCCCAAAATTGCAACCTCAATAACGGCACAACGGTTGGGCCGATTGAATTGAAACTCTGTACACAGTTAGGTCTCCATCAGATAATTCATCTGCATGCGTTAAGGTTGGGGTGCTACAGCACTTGCGCACGTGCAGGGGGCGCTCTTAGATCTCGAGAACGGCTGGGCCGATTGCGCTGAAATTTGGTACATACACGGTTGGGGACCAGTTAGTAGGGTGCCGTGCAAAAGTCAGTTTGGACCCCGCTTGCACGTGCGCACGTGCAGAATGCCGCTTCCAGATCTCAGGAACGGCTGGGCCGATTGCGTTCAAATTTGGCACACCGCTAGCGACCGGTTAGAAGGGTGCTTTGCACAAGCCCGTTGGAAGTACCCTCTCGCCCTTGCGCACGTGCAGGGCTCACTATCTCGCTCGCTCGTTCTTCGCCCAAAAGGCGTTTTACTGGTTTTTATCATCCTAATTTAATATCAGTCATGACACAACTCATTCCCTGTACCTCACAAACCACGTTCCCATGCACCGTACCTTGCAGACCTCCTTCCAGTTCCAGGGGGCGTTCTCGTGATTGATGACGTCCTCATGCCTGTAACAGAAATTGGAGAGGGAGTAGTTTAGTCTGACAGCGTGGTTGGGCAGAGGTCGGGGGCAACTTGTCCGGCCGCGGGTTAGTACCGCCGATAGCAGTTTTAGTACCACCACAGCTGTGAGCCCATCCGTTCGCGGCGCGGACGGATCGAGCGCGGACTCTGCGCTCGATATACAGAGACCAGCAGCTGGCGATAGTGATTGACGTAGGTTCACGCTGACAGACACGTCTAAACGGAGGGCTCGGGGATTTGACGGAGACGTAAACATACCGTCACTGCTTTGTGAAGAGTCGTCCGAAATAGTTACTGCCACGCGATCCATCACATTCAATATCAAAACTCTTAGGTCTTCAGATCTCTTAAGACAGTTGAATCGATAATGTCGATGGAAGTCGATACGACCTTCTCTCTCAACTCTGTTTTGGCACAATTCTTAATTGAATGTTCGGTAATCGACTTCATTAGTTGATATTTAAGTTGAAATTCGACTCAATTATTGGAATTTGACAAAAAAAAAACACCTATCACATGACTAATTGTACATGGCAAGGTGGTTACAAAATTGAGCGACAATCGGTCCTCCCAAAAAAGACATGCAAAACACAGCTACCTCCTATCGCCTCCCCTTCATCCCCCATCTCCCCCCCCCCTTCCGTCAGCTGGCGTTCCGTACATTTTCACCGAGTCGACGAGGCAGTCTGCCAGGTGTCTGTTGAGCATCAGGTTCAGGTGGGGCGTCTCCAGACTGGCGCAGCCCACGAATACGTTCCACGGCACGGAGATGATCATGGCGGCCAGTACCTTGTCGACGGCGGCGGACGACTGCTGCTGCAGATAGTTACCGACGATCATACTGAGGGAGCAAGAACGGGGTGATAATTGTCAAATGTTGCACTGGCCACTTGGGAAATATTTGAAATAATTATCAACGACTGTAAGGGGAAAAGACGTGGGCTTAATGATAGACCATGGTCTTTCTGTGGAAAGAATGGGTAATGCGGACTAATGGGTAATGTTCCGAAGGATACGTACTAACAAAGCTAGCATTGCTAATCTAGTAACGCCAAGGGTGATCGAGAAGTTATGCAGTGGGACTATCTGTCCTGCTTTCTGCTGCCCTCCAGGCTCCAACAGTTAAAAATGAAGCATATTACCCCTTATTGTTCAAACTGCCCGTCACTCTCCCCAATGTGACGGTCAAGGCAGAGTGAACAAAACACGCCCACACACTTCCGAGACTCCCACCTACTCATGACTCAACGGACCAGTCACGACTCAGCGACTCCCGCTCTGACTCACCCTCCCAGGGACACCCCTGTGAGCATGAGTCGGGCTCGGGGGAATGTCTTGTGAAGGTGGTCGATCACAAAGCCGAGGTCCTCGCTGTTGGCCGCACAGTAGGTCCGCGGCGTCTGAAACGGCGGCCAAAATACGGTGACAACCGCACTTTGCGTTCGGTAACTGGATTATGCTGACGTAAACAGTGAGAATGCAAAATGACACAAGCTTCAAACGTTTTGCGGAAGGCGCGAAAGTCGTTAGATAAATGAATCGATATTCGTGGTACGACTCAGGTGGAGCGTGATTTATCGTCCCCGAAAAATATGAAAATTGATTGTTAGTCCAAACACGCTTTCGGGTTTACTGTCCACAAACTTTCAAATATAGAATATCTTATTTGGTAATCCGATACCTACACGTCACACGACTATAGCCGCCGCCACTTACCTTCAGTTTCACGCCGCCGCGACCCCGCTGATTGAGCACCACACAGCTGGCGCCGATCTTCTCCGAGACGTGGATCAGACTCCGGATGTAGTCCGACTGACTGCTGCCTGTAAGGAAAGGTCAGGTCAGACAATATAGTCGGACTGACCAGTGACCACTGCCTGCGGAGAGATCACGTCGGGTCAGGTCGTCTTCGGCATACCCTGTCACCGTCGAGAGATTGGTATATGGAACTTGAGCAAATGACAAATAAGGGGCATAGATATGGACAATCAAGTGAGAAGCGCAAATCCAGCTCCATAATGCCAGCATGCCAATTGCCATGATCTCCGGCGGGGAGATAAGATGAAGTAAAACCCGGTTCGACCGGCACAAAAGCACATGATCATACCCATCCCAGCATATTATCCGAGTCTCAGTCCGTGTAAGGTATTAGGTACAAGGGCGTTGCTCCATGACATTACGTTTCTACTAGCAGTACCATCATGACTCGACGTCCCATCAATATCTCATGTCGCCCTCAAGCACCCGCGCACTTGGAAGTGCTGTCCTAGCGACCGCCGCACCCGCCTAGCAACGGCCGCGTACCTGAGAGATTACATCACCCCATTACCATGACCTCAGGCACTGCGATAGAGACGTCCGTTCGCGCGCAAAAACCCGTGGCGCCACCCGGGTGCAGGGTGACAAAAGCGCGCCGACAAATACACGTCATGATGACTCAGCAGATTGGGCGACGGAAACGGCGGAAATGTACTGATCGTGATCGGGGGGAGGGGGCGGGGCGGGGCGGGAGGCGGGATACTAGCCGGAGATCATATGAGCAGTCTAGTGGGGCGTGTGGAGATCATATGCGGTAACGAAAGATCACTCGGCAAATGAGAGGATATTTGGGAATATTTCCAGAAAAATCCGACCGACGAGGAATGTTTGGAAACCATCAGCTTTAACGACAGTGACTGACGGTAATTTATTGTCAATCACCGGAAAGAGGAAAAATCAAAATTATAGCACGACGGTAATTAGCCCTTCGTGATGAGCTGCGAGGAAAATCACTCACTAAATCCTACCAAATGTCCGTGAGAGGTGCGGTCTACAACATAACTCCATCCAAACAAGATGCAAATCTCGCACTAAAACAAAGCCATAACCAGTTTCATCCAGCTCTCGGCATAGCAACTCTGACAAACAAGTATCGCCCGCTGTAGCCTCAAGGACAGCCGCCCAGCTCTAAGCGGCTTTCCGCTCGTCCGAGCACAGATTTAGCGCTGGATAAATGCGACCGCACCCCTCCCCTACCCTCGCGTCTGGGTTGCGCAACGAACGGACCAGCTTCATCTTCAAGCTTCGGCGTTGGGTAAACACGACCGCACCCCCCCCCTTCCCTCGCGCCTCGATTGCGCAACGAACCTACCTGTGAGTCCGGGGACGAGCAGTACGATCGGATGGGGGTCGTCCTTCTTGGCTCCCTTGAATGAGGCGCGATGCCAGTCCAGAGCCACCACACCGCCGTCAGGAAGGTCCACCAGCTCTCTGAAGAGGAGTAGAGAGGAAGTTATGAGCAACGCTGGGTTGAGATGTCGGAGTTAGGCCATTTGCTCACGGGGTAGGGTTGGGTTACGGTGTGAACCTTTTCACGAGTTTTTGTCCATGGCTACAGTTTTTCGGCCGGGGCTTTTTTCTGCCATGAAGATCGACCGTGACTGTTTGCATTTTCTTGAGGTGGCAAAGTAGAGCGATATAATATCAGCCTAAAATAAAGGTACTGGAAGGTGAGGTGGTGCAGTATAGTTGCCGGATTAAAAAACGACATTTTAATGAATAAAAAGTATAACGGCGGATGGACCTTTCCGAAGAGGTGACTAATCTCGTAGCCATCCGACTGTTAGCTTCGCTAAAGCGCTGCAGATTGTCTGAACGAGCTCAATGGGTCCCGCTCACGAGCGCTGCTTTAGACGCCGCTATTTGAACGTCGTCAGGTCTTCGCAGCTCATTTTGCCAGAGTCATGGCACCTACACATCGGGATTGCTTCAGCCAGTCTTTCAATTTTCAACGACATGGGTATCGTCATCGTCTCACATAACCTTTTCTACAGATTTCTCCATGTAAGGGGCACATAACATACAGAAGCCAACAACGCGACACAGTATTTTTCGTATTAGCGCAAAAATCACGGCATATCGCGGCAAAATCCCTCACCATCGATACCGACTCACGGCAGCGCTAGCTACATTTTAATAGCACACCTTGCTTGACAGCCATACCTGGTCACCGCCTAGGTAAACCGCTGGAAACTACTCAGCCGATATTTCGCATCGCGTTGACCCTCCTGCAACGCCATTCACACGCCTGCAACGTCACGGTTCATATTAGATGCTTAAAAAGCACCAAACACCCCGGGTGTCGCTAAATTCAGTTCCTATGCCTGCGGATTTCGTGAGCTAATATTCCCGAGTGCAATGTCGGTAATGGATGTAATATGATCGGATCACATGTCAATCAGCAATTTTGCGGAGAGAAATCCTGGACCTAAGCTATATCCCACGGTCCTCTCGCCGATTATGGGATCGCGGTCTGACCAAATGTCAACAGGGATTACTCTCCACTTGGCTCATACCGTGTATAACGGAGTCCTATAGTTCTGAGCAGATCCCATTTCGGATCAATACTGTGCCTAGTCACCTTGGTGCCGCCACTGACCTCTGGTAGTCAATGTTGGGCAGCTGGCTCCTGAACAGGCTGCCGAGCACCGTCTGCAGGCGCGCCTCCAGGCACCAGGGAGTGGGCCAGTACTTCTCCTGCAGGACGCTCAGATGTGACGTCAGGAACTGGGCAAACTTGCTGTCCGGATTCACTGCCATCACTGGACGCTGAGGACGGAAGGAGGGAATCAACAAAAATGTTTTGCATGCCCTGTACCACCAAGCCTTGTGCTGAACCTGTGTCCCAAAGAGAAGATGCAGAGTGCAAGATAGAAATATTGGCTTTCAAAGCTCACTTCGATGAGACATACCCAAAATATCTCAGTTTTCCCCCCGGAGAGCTACCTACCTTCACAGCAGCTCTAATCGACCATTCCGAGCTTTGGCACTTGACAAATGACAGCAATAATGAAAAAACAAACAGTTGACAAACTCAGTGTAAGCATGGTACTTATTCGCTCACCTGAACACATTTAGATAAGTAGTAGGTGATGTAGCCTGCCACCGACAGCGCCATCCAGGTACCGCCGGGCACGCCGAAAAAGTAAGAGTAGAATAACGACATATCAGCAACCAAAAACAGAAACCGTGAGAAGCACAACGCCAAGCGGTGCTAGTTTAGGACTGTTCGCACACAGAACCCGAAATAAGAGTGCCAAACCAAGGAAAAGATCCAGCACCACGCGCCACGCGCCTACCGCGTGCACTCCCGCGAACAAAAAGGGACTCAGCCTTGAAAGGAATGTCGATCTCTAGGTCATCGATAATCATGCGCGTATATCACCACACCGCCCACTTTTCCAACTGCGGCTCGACTGTCACATCTGCGCCATAATTTTTAGTAATGCTAAGTTCATACAACGGATATTTGGTGTTTACAAATGACGTAACTCTTTCGTTTAGCACTTAAATTTTGAGTTTTTGGGTGGCATATGAATAATAAATATTCATCCAAATTTTGCTTATGTTAATTTTGACTCCCACCTACTCTATTGCATTTTTTGACAAGAGAGAACACAAAAGGTAGCTTTTAAAAACGCTTGAGGGACCTGCGAGTGTTCGTGATATGAACTTCATGTGAACCAAGCTATTTAAATCGATGAACATGGCTACTAAATTATAGATATTGTTGTGACCAGAATGTTTTGTTGTCAATTTGTTTTGTGTTTTTCAGAGGTGCAGTATCATGCATTCACTCCACGATGAGAAAGGAGTGGTGAAGTTGTTCTTTGAAAATTATTCAAGACAGGAAATTGTTGCAAAGGTGAGCATTACAAATCTGGAGCGAGACGTGTCATCAGTTCAAGGTTTGCATCATTTTATGACACCTGCATAACTAAGCCTTTCTGGCATGTCAATTACCAGAAAAGCCATGTGGCATGTCTTTTCTGGTAATTGGTATGATGTGATACCAATTACCATGATGCTGCCCATTGCTAATGACAGTAATTCATCATAATTTTGATTTCAAATAATAATTTTTAAGGTTTTGGACTGTCACATTGAGTAATTAGAGCTTCAAGTGTCTTATGGTATTTTTCTCATTGAAATCCCTCAGTTGCCAACAAAATATCTAAAACAAATGTATTATATACCTCATTCCAGGCTGCCAGTTCCGTGTCTGGCCTCTGTGACCAGGCATTCCATGATGGCGTGCTGCGGCTTCTGTACCACCTGTACTTCTCCCCACTGGCTCTCAGCTGCCCGCCACCTCCCAGCCTCCGCCTCCGGGTGCTCGGAGACCTTATCAAGGAGGTATTTACTGGATCAGTGTGCTGGGATGGGTGAGGCTACTATAAAGACTAAAATCCTTGTGTATGTTCTCAGAACATACACAAGGATTTTAGTTGCAATAAAACTTGATCAGGCTTCACAGAACATTGTTCTGTGAAGCCTGATCAAGTTTTATTGCATTGTCTCTGATGCTGACCATTCCTTTGACTTCAGTGTAAATAGCTTTAGTGATTGTCAAATGAATTCCTTGATAGCCCTTTCCAGTTGAACCAGTCTATAGTTACACCGCATTTGCTTGCCTTTCACAGAAGTCCTGTATTGTTCAACATCCCTTTCTCAGGCTGCAGATCCCTCATCAACATCCACCCCTAATGTCAACCCCAAATGCGTCCACCTCTTCTCCCCTGTGTTTTCAGCTGGAGACCACGGGCCAGGAGGTGCCAGAGCTGGCGTACCGGCTGCACGGCCAGCTCAGCTCGTCTCCGCGCGCCGCCAGCACCGACGGTCACGTGGTGTATCAGCTGACGCCGGTGGTGTCCGTGCCGGTGTGGGAGAACCGCTGCCTGCTGGCGGCGGATACCACCGGACTGAGGACCTGGCAGGTAATGATGGAGACGGGGTGCAAGGTGTGGGAGAGGTGGGGGCAAACGGACTGTAGCAGGTGACGCTGGGTACAGAGTTAGATGTGTGTGATGTGTGAGTGGTGTGGGGACGGAGAAGGTACAGAAAAGTGTATTACAGACGATAAGGACGAAACTAAGTCGAAAAAGTGCGTTACAGACGGTGGGTTACTAGCTTATTTCTTACGTATCTATTTCGTAGCCATTCTATATTTCTCCGAATGTCATTTAGCAACAGGGCTAGGAGATATGCGGCTACGTCGAACATCAACTTTTTGCAAGCATGTAGAAAAATAACGATAGTCATTTCTTTCCGTCTCGATTTCATCGCACCGTCTCTGTCTCCCTCACCAGGCGGGGAAGGCACTTCTGGACTGGTATATGCTCCGACCTGACGGACTGAAGGACCGGCGAGTGCTGGAACTGGGAGCCGGACTGGGACTCACAGGTCAGTGTACGACCTTATAAATCAGTACAGGACCTCACAGGTCAGGTTACGGTACTTGACCGTTCCTTCGCTGGACCGCCCCTTCACCCAACCGTTCCTGGCCGGACCGTTCCTCACCTGACTGCTTCTTTTATTTATTTATTTATTCGCATAATCACCAACAGGGTGCCAACCACTAATAAGTGAGGTCAGTTTGTCAAACTGTTTCTCACATGCTCATTCACTCACCTAAGAGCTTCTTTTCATAGCCTTTCTTCAGCTGCTGTTCTGCTGTGTGTGCCGATGTCCGTGCCCCCTCCCTCGGACTTGCTTCATCGCGTTGACGCTGCGTCGGGTTTGTGTACTGGAAGTCTTCATCTTCGACCCTTCGATGGTAAATTTTATCACTCGCCACTTTCCATTTCTATCCGACACAGTCCTGTTCCGCGACCGAGCGTCGTATACCCGTTCAGACACCCCGAACCCGGCTCCCGCTCCCGGTCCGCAGCTCGGTGTGGCCCCGGGCGGTGACGTGTCCTGCGGTACAGTCTGACTCCCAGGCGCTTAGGTGCTCGGCGGCGCAGTATCCAACGACCATACCACGCGGTGTTGGTGTATAAGGAAAACCAGCGGGAAGCTCCGACCGCGGTCGTGCTGGAACAGCAAAGCACAGCATAAGAACGTCTCACGCGATGCACAAACATCAAATAAAAATGTGTTTACGCTCTCTATTTTCATTCTCATTATCGTTGTCGTGCATTGAAAGCTGCCATGGAATCGCATGAAAGCCCTCCGTGCCCATGCCAACGACGGGGGCCGGATAGCATCGCTCCCGGGCCCTGTTTCTCCGGTGATAGCAGCTTCCACGGGGACGTCAACAAGCCTATTCCTCCAACACTACCAGAAGTGTGACGTCAGCTCGCGAAATGGAATAGCAGCGTGCTGCTATCACCGGTGAAATAGGGCCCCCGATAATGACCTGAATTTGTGTTGACCTGTCACCCCCCCCCCCCCCCCCCTGCTCTCCCGACTTCCGCTGATCCATCATGATTCGCAATAGTTCGTCGCGGTATGCTCCACTCTGAAACTTGTTTATATCGGTAGTGAGTGTGCCCCTCCCTGCCCTGCTGACCTTGTGCCTGTGTCCCCAGGTCTGGCACTGTGCCGACTCTGCCAGCCAAAGTCGTACAGCATCACCGATGGCCACCCGCTGGTCGTTCAGGTGAGCATCATGGTCTGAAGTCTGAACCCATCCTATCTTACGAATTGGTGGGATTTTGAGCTACTTGTCAGTCATCCGGTTCACCAATGATAGTGTGTCGAACGTTTAACGTGCCACGGGTAAAACAGACAACCAAATGTTGCCCCGGAAATAACGTGACTACAAACTGATCTTGGCTTCGGAATTTCATTGCAATCATTTATTTTAAAAAAAATGGATACCGGCCCTGCCTTCCTGACCTGGGTCATTGACTGTAGGACTGATGTAATGTGGTGTGATGATGTGACTGACTTACCTAATTGTCCTTACAGATGTTGAAATACAACGTCAACAAAACCCTCGAACTAGTCAAAGACAACCTCGTCATGGAAGACGATGCCGCCTGCGCCGAATTCGTCGCATCTGCGGCGGACCTTACCGACCTGCCGGAGGCGTCCGCGGGACCGCCGGAGGGAGGCGACACCAGCGACCCTGGCGGCGACCTGCGAACTACCCTGGACGGCACAGAGCTCACGGTCGGGAAACTCGACTGGTTCAAATTTACCGCCGAGGATGCGCGGAAACTGGATATTGACCTGGTTCTGACGGCAGGTGAGAATGGACGGGAGATCGGGTTGATGATGTCATTGTTCAGGCGGTGACGTCATCGCGAAATAAAGTGTGTTGAGATGGTACTTATATGAACGTTGTGTCTCGAAAATTGTAACGGCTGAATCGGTTCTATGAAGCGCGGTTGGGATACCATGCTAAGCTGAAGGAGAGATCACTAATTTAGCGGCCTTCGCCGTTATTCCTTTGAAATAACAATAATATGCACGACGGCGCAAAATCTGAGACGTCCGCTTAGTTCGTTTCGAGAGTATGTTACATCGTCACTTCATAAATCGTTACATTCGACGTTTTCCTGGCTGAACACTCCCCTTCCCCTCTCAGTATTGACCGTGCTGACCTGTCGACATCCCCTCCTTCTCTTCCAGACGTGACGTATAACCCTGAGCTGCACGAACCGCTGGTACGGACCCTGAGTCTGGTGCTGGACAATGTTCAGCCGGCGCCGCAGGTTCTGCTAGCGTTAACAGATAGAAACGAGGATACCACGGCCAGACTCATGAGGGAACTCGGTGAGTTGAGTGAGAGTTTACCGTCGTTGGTAGATCATTCAGCAAGGGAACAGTGATAGGTTCACTCCTTAGCGATCTTTTCTTCTGATGTTTTCTCCACTGCGTACCTAATATTTTTTTCGAATGATGATTGGTTCCACGAGATGATTTATATAGCCTAGAAATATATTCGTGTGATCAAAGTGTTTTAGGCTTTCTCGGAACGGTTCTATTGTCGCACAAATTCAAAGCTTAGCCGTTTGTGGTTTTCCATTTATGTTACTTGAGTTTTGTTCTCGGACTGTAAAATATACCAAATGTCTGACACCGGTCGCCCTACCCGCAGCGTCGCAGGGTCTGAAGCAGCGCCTTCTGGCCACCCCCGCCAACAACCAGTCGGCCTTCCAGATGGACGAGATGTCCAAGGTCAAAATGTTCGACATCACCCGACTCGAGGAGTAGCCGGAGAGCTGCTGGTGGAAGCGAAAGCGTCAAAGTTGTTCGATGTGATGATGCGGTGTGGTGCAATGTCGAAGTGCTCTAAAACTGTGCCTTGGTCAAAATATGGAAAGTTGTGCTGCTCGGTGCTCAACTCATACCTTGCTCAATGCTCACCGATGATGTTTTCTTGAGGTGACCCGCTAGTCATTTTTGGCTTATTTTCGAGCCCATTTACGCGCTGTTTTGTATTGAGACTTGTGCTGTGATGCCGACCGATGTTTTCTAAATGGATGACCTGCCGTGTGTTTCTACCCGTGCGTTTTTATCAACGCAGTTCTTATTGGAATGTGACAAATACAATGCCCTGTAGGAAGATCTTGCTGTTTAGTAGAAGGTGTTTGTTGTCGGCGAATGCAGCAATGCGACTACGCCGCGTCGATAGCGGCGTGTCTCACAAGTTAAATACGGTAACAGACGAACTTTACATGGTGATTTGCTTTGTTTAGAATTCCAGTAAAGAGTGGACCGCTCACCAGTACCTGCCTCACACATGAACGGTCTCGGCCTATCCCTGCTGCCGCCGAGGTGTCTGTGCCAGCGAGGGCCAAGGAGGTTGAGATCGCGCTGAGGCTAAGAGGGGATTCCGACTTCCCCGCTATTCGCCACCGTACAACATGTTCTTTTCAGTGCACTGGAAACTCCACGATTCCATCATTTAGTTGCGTGATTTGAATTAACAAGTAGCACCTGGCCCAGGACCCAGTTCCGCGATTGAGGTATCCTCCCATGGTGCTCACGTGGATCTGCGGATTTTTCCCAGATTTCCCTTTACAGCATTTGGTAGCAATAGCTACCAAATCGAGGCGCGTCGCTTCAAAAGGTAAACAAACAACAGACAGGTGCGCGAAAGGTGGCGTTTTTCTATATTCTTGCATATTATGGTATTTTGAATATTTATGTATGTGCGAACAACTGAATGAGTAATATCTACACAATGTGTCCCTTCAAAATAGTGTAATCTAATGCAGTGTTTCATGGTATTTTTGCAGGCATTACAGGAATAATTCTGTCATCTTTGATGAAATCCAATCATGAGTGAATCAACAAAGAAAATACGAAAGAAAGGTGAGTTGACAGTGTTTGCATTGTCAGACTGTAGTTTTGTGATGACGGCAACCTTGTGCTGCCAGCTGCATTGAAAGCTGCAGTGTTGACTGTTGTTTTGTTGTAAAATGTAAAAGAATATCATGCTAAATCTGTGAGTAAAACTATTTACTATGCCATTTGCAGTTACGCCAGGTCCCAGGTATATTAAAGTTACTTGAAATTGTGTTTTTAATGCAACTGCTATCAGCGATTCTGTCCTGCCTCAGACTGTGTTAAGCTGTCCAACAAGATCATAGAGCGGTGCAAGCTTCCGATCCCGCGAGTGACCAGCATTGATGGCATTCGCTCCAACCTGTTCACAAGCCTACTGCAGGTGCTTTACCACAGGCTGCCAGAAGGTGGGTAAGAGGGACAGGAGCTGCGCCTTCAGCTGGAGAGTTTGAGATTGTGGATTGCTCTTGCAATATAAACACGTTTTTTGAAACCCCACTTCTGGTCTCCCGTGAGCTTCCAGCAAGTTGGATGGAAACTTTCAAAAAAGGTAGTCACTCGATTTTTCTGAAGTTTGTCTTTCTTGGCAGCTCAAGCAATGCCAAAACAAGCTTACGAACACACATTCGATCAGGATCAGAGGCGATACTGACTGTTAAATAAGTTCATGAGCTGGCCATCAAAATTAACAATTTGGTAATCTATTACAAACTGTCAACGTATCTCCTTTTATCAGGTATTATCGACGACCCGGCGAGCACCGAGGATGAGATCGCGAACGTGCAGGCGATCATCAACCACCTGGCGCTGGACCTGATCCACATTGACCTGTCTCACATCTCTGGAACGGAGGTGATCGCCGGCGAGCCGCGCGCCATCTACAATCTGCTGGAGATCTTCTGCGGCCTGCACAAGTACCTCAGCTCCACGTCCATCGGTCAGTGCCCGAAACCGTGATGCTGAACTCTGAGCATAATAATCTCCCAATCACTGTCTCATTGCTGTATTTATCGGTAAAAGTCTCACAGTCTCATCGTGTGCGTCATGTCACGGCCCCTATAAGCCACACAGATACGCATCGGTACCGGTGCATACGATGTCGCTATTGATGAGCATCAGTACCGACACGTTAAAGGGCAGGCTGATATACGTATGTGCTGCTGGTTTGTTGTATCGTAACGGCGCTTAATACCCGACCAATCCAATGGTTTAATGCCCCTAGCAAGTAAAAGTCGAACCGTAATCTCTCAACGGTTAGATAGGGCGCGGTATTGCTATGGCTGGAAATGGTACATTAAGTTGCTGATGTGTCGTGTCGACTCACTAACATAAATTTTATCCATCTCGATTCTCGACATTTTTGGAGACGCACAACTGGGTAATCAGGAATAATTGGTTATTCTGACATTTACAGGCCGGTGGAACCTGGAGGAGAGTTTATCAGAAGCCAACAGTGAGCTGAGCAGCCAGCCGTCCTCTGAGGAATCGGCAGTCGGAGGACGGGACCAGGTGAGGACTGAGTCCTCACAGAGGACAGAATTGTGTCCTCCTCCCCCCGGCCACTGGGCATTTACCGTGTGAAATGTCTGGTCTGTCTGTCTGTCTGTCTGCATGCATATATGCATGTATGTATGTATGCGATGTATGCATGTATGTATGTATGTATGTATGTATGAATCTTTGTATGTCTGTCTTAAATGATGTCAGCGTTTCCGTAGTGTAGTGGTTATCACGTCCGCTTCACACGCGGAAGGTCCCCGGTTCGATCCCGGGCGGGAACAGCTTCTTGCTCATTTGGAAATTGTTTCGAGGCTGTCAGGGACCTACGTTAGCGGTTTTAACTACTTGGACGTTGACGGGTATAAGCATATGTAGATAATTTGCTGAACGATTTTCAGAAATCGTCCTTGTTTTTGCATTGAAATAGCTATTCATTCGGTCACACGTCCAACTCCAACAGGTGTGTATACGTTTTTACTGTCCCGACCCTTGCCATGCTAATTGCTAACAGCAGCTGGCGTGCGTGTGTGGCAGGACGCACCGCCGGTGGACGCGGACCCGCTTGGAGACCCGGCGGAACAGGACTCCTCGCCGCCTCTGTGAGTGCGAACGGGTGAGGGGAGTTATGGCAGGGGCAGCAGCACCTGCCGCGGGTGGAAGGAGTAGGTTTTAGGTTACGAGTTTACTCACTTTATCGGCCGGAATAGTGTTAGGAAAGGAGAGGATTATGCAGGCGTTTGAATTGTGATGGATCGATAAATGAACTCGTAAAGATGCTTGTGGTTAACATTCAGTCGAAATTGTCAATTGATGACTTAAGAAAAAGGCCCTCTTGCGTCGTAAATGTAAAAGTAAAAAGATGTTTTATCGTAAATGTAAAAGGAGGTATTTCTACTTTTTTTCTCACACCAGATTTAGAAGGCATCACCACCCTACCTCCTAACCCAGCTCTCCCCCCCCCCCCGCAGCACCCGTCCGTCGTCGTCGGTGGCCCGTGCCGGCTCGGCCGGCCGCGTGCCCTCCGTCCCGTCGGCCGGGGCCGTCTCCGCCGGCCGCTCCTCCTCTGCGGCCCGGGTGCGGTCCTCCGCCTCTGGTGTGGCCCGTGCGCCTTCCTCCGCCTCCGCGGGCCGGCCGGCCTCTGGCAGCGGCTCGGCGGCCCGTGTGCCGTCCTCCGGCTCGGCAGGACGGGTCCGGTCCGGCGGGTCGGTGGGGATGGCCGCCTCAGGAGTCGGATCGGTGGTCAGAGTAGCGTCCGGAGCTTCGGCGGGAAGAGTGGCGTCGAGTGGATCAGCTGGAAAAGTGCCCTCCAGTACCTCAGCTGGAAAAGTGCCCTCCAGTACCTCAGCTGGGAAGGTGCCCTCCAGTAGCTCAGCTGGAAAGATTGGCTCGGCTACAAGAGTTCCCTCCAGTGGATCTGCTGGGAAGGTGGCTTCGAGTACCTCCGCTGGAAGGGTGGCCTCCAGCGGCTCTGCCGGTAAGGTACCATCGGCCGGCTCCGTGCCTAGAGTTCCCTCGGGTGGTGCGTCTGTCACCAAAGTCGCCTCCACCACCTCTGCCGGCCGGGCGTCCGCGCACAGCTCTGCCACGCGCGTGCCCTCGTCAGGCTCAGGGCTGGGCCGTGTGCGCTCCAGCGGCTCTGGCTCTCGTCCTACTAGCTCTGGCCCGCTACCCACCAGCTCTATCAGTGCCGGAGGGGAGGCGGAGGCCTCTATGTTCCCCAGTAGTGAGTCGGCCACCGTCCCAGCCGAGAGGAGACGGTCTGCTAGTTCTGGTGGGGGATCCGGCGGAGCGGGAGCCGCCGGGAGCAGCGGAGCCGGAGCCGAGCCCGCCTCATCGCTGGAGGGACTCGAGGGGAAACCGTCCCAGGCGTCACGACACTCGCTGCAGCCGGAACTGGCCGGTAAGGAAAGGGGAAGGAGTGGGGCGATCGGCGCAGGTAGGGAATAGGGAGGAAGTGAGACTGAACGATAAACTTATATAAGGATTAAGCAACGTAGGTCTTTAGATGGCAGATGCCTTACTACGCGCACGAGTAGGACGACCAATTAATTGATAATAGCACGATAATAGCACCTTTTTGTAAATGAGCGAGTGAAAGGAACGCATTCTTTACACAAGCTCCCTCGCTCATTCATTCATTCATTCACTCACTCAGTCAGTCACTCTTACACTCTCACACTCCCCCCCCCCTCCTCCCCCCCCAGCGGTGGACACGGAGACCTCGGAGGACGACCCGTCGCCCATCCGCGCTCCCTCCGGCGCCGCGGCGGCAGCCGGCGGGGAGTTTGACGCCCTGGGCCGCTCGTCAGTCAGCCGACCCAGCGCCGGAGGACTGGGGGCGGCCGGCGGGGGCAGTGGGGCGGCCGTACAGCTGAGCGGCAGCATTGAACACCATCACTATCATCACTACGAGGGAGAGGAGAGTGGCGAGAGCGGGCAGGTGAGAGGGGAGAGAGCGGGAAGCAGGTGAGTGCGTGTTGAATAGTTGCAGAGATGGTATGTGGTTTACCCATCGATGTAGTCATCGTAGATTGCGTGTATACGCACCGTAGGATTGTTGTGCAGTTGTCGATAAGTTCAGCCTCCATGATGTGTGGTAGTTACTACCATACTGTATGACATTCACTTGTATATTTTAGACGAACTATCCAGTAGCTAGTTCATTTTCCACTCTGCTATTCGACAGTGCCATCGACTTACCATAACAGGCGCCCCTGTTTTGCGGCTGGCCATTTCCCGCCACATCCCATAGGCTCAGCAGCTCCGGTGCCAACTACAACTGAACCCCCCCCCCCCCGTGATGACCCCTCTCTACTTTGGTGACGGTCGTCAGCTGACGGAGCTGACAGCGGACACTGAGGAGGAGGAGGAGGAGCAGGGGTACGGCTCCGAGCCCGGGGAGGAGGCGCAGGGGTACGGCTCGGAGCCCCAGGAGGAAGAGGAGGACAGTCAGCTCACAGAGGAACCGGTTAGACACACATCGTGCTACACATGTGCATCATAACATTCACTCGAGAATGCGTGCCGATGAGCGCAATTGACAGTTCGAATCCCCGTAAAACGGAAAAATTATCCTGCGTGAAAACATGGACGGGGTTATAATAACGCTCACTGGTGCCGTCCTACCAGCTGATCACATCACTCTCCTTGTTACTACTTTCCAGCTTATCAGGCTGGATCTATGCATCGTCTGATCTCGATTTCCAGTTGTCCATAACGCCCAGCATTTTCTATTGACTCGTTATTGCGCTCGTTATCGCACACGCCGAGTGTTGAGTAACGCCTGCCTCCCCGCTGTCGCCGGCAGACGGCGGACAGTCCCGAGGAGACCCAGGGAGAGTCGGAGCCCGACTCCCAAACTCCCTGGGAGGCTGACGAGTCCCCAGAGGAGGAGGAGGACGGTCAGGAGGACACTGCGGGGGAGGAGGAGGACGCCGGAGGACACGGCGACGTCAGTCGGCAGCTCAGTGAGGAGATGGAACTGATGAGAGCGGCCGCGTCATCACCAGAGCCCCCGCCGCCGCCGCCCGTGCAGAGGGCCTCGGTCACACAGCAGGTAGGGAGAGGGGGATGGGGAGCTACGGAGAGGGGGGAGGGCTGGTGGATTCGCTTGAGGTAGGCAGGCAGCTTAAAGGGACCCTCCCACCTTAACATTAGTTTTGAGTTGAGATAGCCAAATTGGTGGCCATGGCCTGAAAATACCGGTTTGGGCATTCACAACATCGAAAAATGCTTTAATTCGAAGATATGGAATTTCAAACTTGCAGTTTTCGGATTCTAAGGGGCTAATGCATTGGTATGCCCCCTTAGAATTTGTGACGTCAGCGGAGATCTAACGATTTTTAAATCTTTTACTAAAACGTTTGGCAGCACGCGGTGGTATATGCTGCTTTGCGCGCAACAAATGCCGCACTTTCAAATAAAGTCGCTAGGAACAGCGGAGATCCCAAAAAGTAAACAAAAGTAAAAGTCTAATATCTTGAAAACCGGTGAATATTTTTCGATGAAATTTGGCAGATATTCATTTTTGCTCTTTCTGAACCGAGCGACATCACTTTCATGCCAATTCATTAACTTTTTTGAAGGTGGGAGGGTCCCTTTAAGGTTTAGTTAGGGACGGGACTGGATAGTTTTATTTTATTTTTGAGCCGATAAATGTATCTTGTATTGCTGGCGATTATAATGTGGGGGACTTGTTTATCACGTCAGATGAAAAATAACGAGGGAAGAAATATGTCGGTTGGGGCCAAGTTGTTTTGCCTTGTAGCTCTTCGGGTAGAAAGGTACTCAAGTGCGCAGAGATATTTGCGCGGCAGCATTTCCGTCGCATCTTTTTCTCGATTTGGTGGCAACGTTATAATCAGTGCACGCTCGTGCCTGCGTGTTTTATTATTTTTCGAGAGTGTCACCTTATGCTACGTCGGTTTGCGTCGAGATCGGGCGAATTTTGTCAAACTTTGAGTGTTTGGGCTCTTGGTTTGGGCTTTGGACGGGGTGGTTGGTGGGGTATGTGACATACGCATCTTTTAACTCGTTCATATTGAACTATCCAATGTCAAAGCTCTTAAACCTAGCACACGGTCATTCCAAGTATCAGTGACTTGTTTACGATAAATATTCCGACTGTCAACTGTGAAACAAAGTGTTTGGAATCGTCAAAGCTTCATGTGTTTCGTGCCGGCCTTTTCTGCAAGCGAAGACGTTTGTTGTGTCAATTGAGCTTCAGGGCATTTTAGCAGGTAGATTCGTAGTCTCGAAGCAACTTTCTACGGCGCTGTAGCGTAGCGTTGCTGCTAGCCTGTAGTTGGTTTGGATGTCCCTTGGTATGTCACCTTGGTGTGACTGCTTCAGAGGAGGGGATCTCGGGGTTTCAATCACGAGACCTCTTGTTTTTTGCCTTTTCGCCGTTTCCGCCACATTTCGTGAATTCACTTTAGTTGGTTCTGTTGCTTTATGTTAGCGTACCTTTTTGTGTTTGCTTTTTCATTTGAAGTTATTTTTTACCTTTTGTTTCCTTCTTGGACGTTTCCTAGTTTTATTGGTGCTTAAATTTCACGTGTTTCGTTGTCAAAAACGTTATCTTATTCATTTCTGTGCATTTACCTAAGCGGAAAGTTTTCTGCTCGGTTGGAATATTCTATCGGTAAGAAACTGCATTGAATTCTAAACCAATTTTATGACTGATGTGTCATTTACTTTATTTGTGACTGCTCTTTGATTCATAAAGAACTACGTTAGAATACTCAAAACTCCCGATATTTATATTGTGTTATCATTTATTGGAAGGCATTTATCCTTCGGTTCTTAAAGTAACCCTGAACTTCATGGCCCTGTTCATGAACCCCGGCGGTCGCTGCGGCCGCTGCGGTCGCTGCGGCCAGCCGGGTTGTTACGTCACAAAAAGGGGCGGGGCTCATGTAGTATGACGAATGTATGACGTCATCTTGCTGCGGCCGCTGCGATCTCTGCGGCCGCAATCCAGCGACCGCTGAGCCTCAAGAAAACTAATTGCACTGAACTTGGCGCACTGAAGTCAAATAGGCGCAGGCCGTGTTGTCATGGAGACGATTTTGTAAACAAATTATCTACCGGTGTGCTTCAGTTGTAAACAATTGTCGGAAACTATTTCGGCAGCAGACGCTGTTCATGGAACGCTGCTGCGGCCGAGTGAGTGATGACGTTTCATAAATGGGCGGAGCTTAGAGCCTGCGGCCGGCCGCAGCGGCCGCAGACTTCATGAACAGGGCCCATGTGTCTCAGCCAGCTATTTAATCGCGGCAATCGTCACAGCAGCTCATTTTGTCCGCTCCCACAGTCTCAGTCGCCACTGTATGACGATTGTGTCCTCCTCCCTCCCCCGTCCCTTCCTTCAGCAGCAGCGGAGTGTGAACACCTTCCGGAGGGCCTCTCGGGACACCGACTCAACGGTACGGCTAAATACGCCGTCGGACGGGGGCTAGTGGATAATGTGCTAGAGTAGCACTGTCTTTTTTACGCAGCCTTTTCCCGGAGTTTGTCTGTCTCACGATGGTTTAGAGAATTGCCGTTTAGTTGATAGTTAGGCTTGTTATGAGCGAGCGAGCGCAGCGAGCGAAGTGAGTCTTTTCAATATAACGGAAAAATCTCAGTATGAGCGGCCCGGCCCGGCCCGGCCCAGCCCGGCCCGGCCCGGCCCGGCCCGGCCCGGCCCGGCCTGTAACGCTTTTGAGAGGCGTATATCTCAGCAACCGCTGGACCGATTGGCCTGCGGTCTTTTTTGTTGGGTAGCCCCATCCCTTCTACACCGTAATTGACTACTTTTGATACATCTCAGTGACCGTCGTGGCACGTGCCACGTGAAAAGTCAAGGGTGTTCAAGCTGTTTTGCAAAAGTAGTGATTTTGAGAGGCTCATATCTCAGCAGCCGCTTGGGCGATTGACTTGCGGTAATTTTTGTAGGGTAGCAGCATCTCTTCTACCCAAAACAGGATACTCTCGATGCATGTGGGTCACCCCCAGTGCACGTGCAAAATACAACAATAAGAGGTGCCAAATTTGTTCCCATTTCAGTAACTCGGTAATTACTTGGGCGATTTCGCTGAAACTTGGCATACAAGTAGGCACCCACCAGGCAATGCATTCCCATGTGTTGCGGTTAGGGTGCTACTGCACGTGCGCACGTGCAGGGGGCGTTTCCAGATCTCGAGAACGGCTGGGCCGATTGCGTTCAAATTTGGGACACGGTTGGGGACCAGTTAGTAGGGTGCCGTGCAAAAGTCATTTTGGACCCGTTTGCACGTGCGCACGTGCAGAATGCCGCTTCCAGATCTCAGGAACAGCTGGGCCGATTGCGTTCAAATTTGGCACACCGCTAGCGACCGGTTAGAAGGGTGCTTTGCGCAAGCCCGTTGGAAGCACCCTCTCGCCCTTCCGCACGTGCAGGGCTCACTATCTCGCTCGCTCGTTCTTCGCCCAAAAAGGCGTTTTATTGGTTTATTCAATTCTTAATGAGCATGTTAAAATACCCATTTATCCTCGTAGTTCGCGTTCGTTGCATTTATCTCTAGTCTGCAAGCTACTGAATTGTTGGCACTTTTCGGTGCCACCTGTCATGACCATTTTTCTTTCTTACTTATTCGTGCATTCCTTAATCTCAGTCCGTACCACTCTTCTCTCAGGACGGTATGCGTCGCGCCACGGCGGACGCCGATCGGCCGAGTCGCCGCGAGCTCAGCGCTCCCGCCCGTCGGCCGTCGTCCTCTGACCGGCGTCGGAGGCGACGCAGCGACGACTTCAGTTCGGCCAGCGAGCCGGGCATGGGACGCCGCTCGGGCGCCCGGCTGCCCACCAGAAACGTCGAGACCATCGCTGAGGTGAGAGGGGAGGTGTGGTGAGGGGTGGATGAGTTGGGTTATAAATGTGGAATGTGATAGCTTATTGTGAGAGTGAGGCTGACTTTCTGTCTGTCGGTTTCCATCTGTCCGTCTGTCTGTCTGTTTGTCTGTCTTTTTGTTTGGATGTATGCGTGTATGCATGTATGTATGCATGTCTGTATGCATGCATGTTTGTCTGTTTGTATGTCTGTTTGGGCGGCTGTCAGCGTTTCCGTAGTGTAGTGGTTATCACGTCCGCTTCACACGCGGAAGGTCCCCGGTTCGATCCCGGGCGGGAACAGCTTCTTGCCCTGACTGAACCGTTCCTTGCTTCTTATCCCCTTCTCTGTGTTTTGTGGATCCGTGCCTTGTAACGGCTGTACCCCAACCCTGTCACAGCCTGGTCTGTCAGGGACTTTTTTTACCGGGGATACGTCATGAGGTAGAGTAAAAGCATTTCACAAACAGATTACAATGCTGAGTCTATGTGCTCGCAGATCCGTGTGACGGGCACGGTGGTTGTGTTCTGTATCTGTGTTCTGTGTTCCCAGATCCGTGCGAATTAAGCAGTGTTTGTGTACCTGATAATATGTTGTGTTTGCGACGGTGATTGTGCTCTGTAACAGGTTATGTGTTCTGTTTCCCAGATACGTGAGACGAACAGCTGTTTGTGTTATGTGACGGTGATTGTGTTCTGTATCTGTGTTCTGTGATCTACGTTCCCAGATCCGTGAGACGGACACAGTGTTGTGTATCTGACAGTATGTAGTTGTGGCTGTGTATTTGTAATCTGTAACAGTGCTCTGTGTTCTGTGTTCCCAGATCCGTGAGACGGACGCGGTGGTTGTGTTCTGTACCTGTGTTCTGTGTTCCCAGATCCGTGAGACGGACGCCGAGCGGGCCATCACGGAGACGACTCGGGAGCAGGCCGGCGACCAGCTGCACAAGGAGACGGTACGACGCGAGGTGCGCAGAAAGGTCTCCAGCGCGCCGGCCACCCGGTCCAGACAGAGTGAGTCGGGAGTCGGGAGTCAGAGGGAGTCAAACAGTGAGTCTGGGGTACGCAGAAAGGTGTCCACTGTCCAGCACGCCGGTAACGCGGTCCTGACAGAGTGAGTCGGGAGTCAGCCAGGGTCCAGAGAGTGAGACAGAGTGAGCCTGGAGTCGGAGGTCGGTACAGAGTCGGACAGAGTGCGTGGAGAGTCCGACCGGTCCCGGACCGAGTGCCGCAGAGCTGGACCTGTTTTATAATTATCAAAACCGGTCCGGGCACGACCATCTCAACTTCTCCGGGCCGAATACCGGTCGGCGTTTATTACAAGCGTTTCCGTAGTGTAGTGGTTATCACGTCCGCTTCACACGCGGAAGGTCCCCGGTTCGATCCCGGGCGGGAACAGCTCTTTGACCTGTCCTGGGCCATTCAAGGGGGTTTTGCAATTTTCATTTATGTGCCCTGCGTTTGGCTGTCCTTTACGCTGCATTTCACAATTTTCATTATCCTTATCCAGATAAGGCTGCATTCGTCAATGCCTTGGTTTGATTTTTTTTTTGTTTCTGGCCTCACTATCTCTAGCTCTGTTTTTTTTTTGGGGGGGGGGGCTAGGCCCTTTCGGTCCAATGCGACCATTTCAGAGCCGGGAGTATGATAGGATATAGGGGGAGACATTGGTCTGGGCAGGCATCCTAGTGAGTCACCGGGGCTGAGCCCGTCCAGAGGACAGGCCACCCAGCCCCAAGGTACTCACTGCACCCGGCTACGGGGTGCGCTCCCTCGGGAGCAGCGGTGCCGCTCCAAGGGAGCAGCCCGCATGAGGTAAAGGTGCCTGTCCAGCCCGGAGCGGGGTTGCGGCGTGGAGGAGAAGGATTTCAGTATCCTGAGGATGGAAGCACGGAACGGTGTACCGGCAGTGTCGTACACGAAGCAGGCCACGCGGCGATCGGTGTGCAGTGACGGCGTCACCGACACCTGTCCCATGCCCTTACACTCCCCCCCTCCCCCCCGTCCCGTTTGACAGTGTCGTACACGAAGCAGGCCACGCGGCGATCGGTGTGCAGTGACGGCGTCACCGACTGGCTGGAGTCGCAGGCCGACGACACCAGGCTACACGTCGACGGAAAAGGTAACTACAGTAACCGGTTGGCATTTTGGCTAGCATGAGGTAGTGAAGGAGTTGGGGGACACTGCTAGCAGCAGGAGCTACAGCTCTCCCGGCATACCTCATATACAGGGTTGGGCAGATAAATTGGGACAAAATACGTATTTGCATTTAAAACGCCGTAGCTTAGAAATTTGTAAACATAGGCATTTCAAATTTGGATCACATATTGTCACACCAATTTTACACATTTATCACTAAATATGGTCACCGTGGTCCACCTGCATCAGTCCTTGTCGGTGCCTGGACTGACTGCACGCGCGGCGAGATCTCCCGTCTGAAATGGCTCGTAATTGTAGCCGACTGGCACTGCTGAGGCTCGCCACAGTCACATGGGGACGTTCGTTAGACTCACCCGCAAAAACGCCCCAGCAACCAGAACTTGTGTGGGCTGAGGTTTAATGAGGAAGGGGGCATTTTCCCCTGGGTACAGTTTGCGGGATCCTCCGTTTCAGGAGATTTTGTATTTAATTTACTGTATGCCGGGGAGCTGACTCCTCGAAGAGCATCACCCCATGCAGGATGTTGCCTTCTTCCATCTTGTTGGTTCGAACTGCCGGAATAATGGTTAGGTACCCTTTAATGGCGAACCCCCTCCCGATTCCGTAAAATAAGGGGGCCCCACGTGACCGTCAGAAGTCACCCAGTGGAATGCCATCACCGATGTCTGCTGCATGTTTTTTTGGAACTAATATCACGTCTTCTGGGCTGGTTGCGATGTTACATGGTGTTTGCAGTTGTTCATATGCTCGGTTATGGGGACACCATCGTCAGAAATGACCTGCACGTGCTTGCTCGCTTCTCCAAGCCCTCCAAGAGGAAACAATCTTTTTAACGTCACAGCTGCTTCAACATCAATGTTAACAGGTTGATATGCATCAATGCATAAGAGTACATGTTTGAGGTGCTGGTATATCGCTTTCTCATGGCGCGGCTACCTTCCCTGTAAGCTCGCGCCACTGTTTTCGCGAGGATCCTCTGATTTAACTGAATTTTGCCTTTTAGCCCCCCTGGAAAACCGGGGGAGCGGCCGGTGTCAACGCAATAGGTATGTAATATTGAGTCAATATCATCTCTTCCTCCAACGTTTACGCCTGTTCGATACACACCACTTTCAGCCATTTGATGGAGCATAATTAGAATATTGGCATGCATGTTGTGGTGACGTAGCCCTTTGCCCTCTGAACTTTGTGCAGTAGACTAGGTGGCGCTGAGCTCGTTGCGCTCGTGGGCACGGTGCGGCCGTGCACCAGTCGGGCAGCGGCCCCCGCCGGATACCGATCACCAATACAGGACTACGTTATTCAGAACGCTGTGTGAGATCGCGGACCGAGATCGCGGACCCGGAAGCTGGAACGAACTCAGCCGCGGATACTAGCGGCGTAACAACTTGGCGACGAGGACGAGATTCGCTTAGTGGTGATCTCGGAAGGAAAAGTGGCGTTCTCACGGATTTGGCGTTCTGGTGGTGCGGCTGCGGCACCGGTGGCCGACGCGGATATACGTCACGGGGAAGTGACAGCGTCGGGACTCGGACAAACTCGTTTGGCGTGCTGGATGGTACAGTGCGCGGCGGTCGGCGCGGATATACATCACGGTGAAGTGACAGCGTCGGGCCGGGTGATCTTGCTTAGTGCTTAGTTCTGCTTAGTGCTTAGTATTTTTTTTTATACTGCTGCATAATTTTGTGCATTAACGCTGTAAGCTCTGCCGCTGCGTTTCGCTGTATCGTTGTTGAAAACATTTGTATTGCACCTCCGTGTTGGGTGAACAGTGGTGCGGGCGGCGACGGCGGCCGCTGGACTCTGAACTTTGGACTCTGCTCGGTGTGGCGTGACTGGTGAGTCAGCGCGGTCAGTGCAGTGTGCAGTGCCCGACCCCGGTGCAGGCTCGGGGCGGTGGCAAACATGGCGGCCGGACTGCCGAGCGTGGCTCCTTTTGCAAAGGGGATGGACTTTAGCCGGTGGCTGAAGGGTCTGGAATTCTACGCCGAGGCGATGGACATAACAGACGACCGGCGGCGGACTGCAGTCCTGCTCCATCTAATGGGGCCGGACATCCAGGACGTGTTCGACACACTGCCGGAGCCGGCTGCAACGGCTGCAACGTCACAATACGACACCGCTGTGGCTAAACTACGCCAGTATCTACAGCCGACGTCTAACCTTATGGCGGAACGTGTAACGTTCCACCGCACGAGCATGTACGCCGGCGAGTCATTCGACGCGTACCTGGCTCGTTTGCGGGCGGTGGCTGGGCGGTGCGGGTTCCCGGCGGCTGACCTCGACCGTGAGCTCCGGGACAGGAGCGTGGCCGGCGCGACTCCACAAATTCAGGAGCGACTGTTGCAGACGGTCGGAACCAAAGGAGACAACTTTTCACTGCAAGATCTGCAGGCTACGGCTCGTGCATACGAGCAAACGCAAATGCTAGTGACGCAGTTCCGTAACGCGTCTCTGAGCACGGACGGCGTCGGACGGTCAACTACCGCATTGGACGAGCGGCCAGAGGTCGATGTGGTGACCTCGGGGCCGGATCAGCTTAACGCTGTCCGGCCACAGCGCACGGCTGACGGTAACCGGAGCCGCCAGCGGCGCACGGTCCGCTGCTACCGCTGCGGTGCGGCGGGACATTTTCAGCGGGACTGTCAGGACAGCCGACGCCCGGATGAGTCAGCGCGTGCGGCACCAGCGTCACGGCGGCCGACGGGGCCGGGGCGCCGGGAATCTGACACTCGTGGGTCCGACGGGGTCAGACCGGCACCGGAGACGCGGCGGTGCTACCGCTGCAAGCAGATCGGACATCTGCGCAGTCAATGCCGACAGCAGACTGCCACGGCGGGCATGTGGGGGCTGGGGCAGATAAACGCTGTTAACCTAACGGAGGCGGTTAAAATGACTTTACCGGTGAACGGGGTGGCCATCAAAATGGTGGTGGACACCGGCAGCCCTATCACTGCTGTGGGGCGGGACACGGTCATCCCGCGGCTGCGACTGAGACCTACTCAGCTGCAGCTGTCGTCTTTCACTGGTCACCGGATCCCTCTCCGGGGTGAGGCAGACGTCTCTGTAAGGTTTCGCGGTCGGGACTATCGACTGCGACTGGTCGTGGTGGACCTGCCTGGCGATCGCCGTCTGCTAGGCCGCGACTGGCTGCGGGCTCTGGACATAAGTGTGGGCGGCGGAGAGACGGCGGTGATGGACGTCACTCCGGACCGAGGGACGGCGGACCTGGAGGCGGTCTGTAACAGGCACAAGTCGGTGTTTGACGGCACACCGGGGCGCATCAGTGGAGTAAAGGCGCACCTGACACTGAAACCGGATGCACGGCCGGTGTCACGGCCGGTGCGCTCGCCTCCATATGCACTGAAACCGGCCGTCGAGCAGGAGCTCGACCGCTGGGTGCAGGCCGGGATCGCGGAAAAAGTCGGTCCAAACGACGCGCCCGGCTGGGGAACACCACTGGTGACGGTGCCACGGGCTGATGGCGGTGTGCGTCTGTGCGGTGATTATCGACTAACGGTAAACCCGCAGCTGCAAATGGCGACGCATCCTACGCCATCCGCCGAGGACATCTTTGCGAGCGTCCGAGGACGGCGGTTCTGCAAACTGGACCTGAAAGACGCCTTCCTGCAGCTGGAGCTCGCGGAGGAATCGCGGGATATGACAACAGTCGTCACGCACCGAGGACGGTATCGGATGAAATCCCTACCGTTCGGCATATCGGCGTGCAGTTCGGTGTTTCAGGCCGCAATCGATCACATCCTGGATGGCATAGACGGGTGTGTGGCCTATCAAGACGATCTGCTGGTGACGGCGGCGAACATGACGGACCTGTGCGAGCGCTTGGATGAAGTGCTAACTCGGCTGGAAGCTCATGGAGTGAAGCTGAAACGGGAGAAGTGTCAACTTGGACTCGACGAGGTGCAGTACCTCGGCTGGCGCATCTCAGCACAGGGGCTGCGTCCAGTACAGGAGAAAGTTGACGCAGTGATCGACATGCCGGACCCTAAGGATGTGAAAAGTCTGCGCAGCATCTTGGGGAGCATCAACTACTACCAGCGGGTGCTTCCCAACCTCTCCACGGAACTAGCGCCGCTGTACGATCTCTTACAGAAGGGCGCCACGTGGAAATGGACTAATGTGCACAAAAACGCACTGGTCAGAGTGCGGAAACTGCTGGCAGGGGACACAGTCCTAAAGCGGTACGATGCAGAGGCGCCGCTCAAGCTCGTCACAGATAGCAGTGAAGTCGGCGTGGGAGCCGTGCTTCTGCAGCCTGACGAGGAAGGACTGGAGCGTCCGGTGATGTACGCCTCTCGGACACTCACAAAAACGGAAAGGAAGTATCCGATGGTAGAGAAGGAGGCGCTGGCGGTGTCTTTCGCCGTCAAGCGTTTCGGTCAGTTTCTCTACGGCCGGAGGTGGACCCTGGTCACGGACAACAGGGCGCTGTCGCGCATCTTGAGTCCGGAGCGTGAACTGCCAACGCTGGCTGCGGCCAGGCTACAGCGGTATGCGCTGCAGCTCGCGGCTTTCACCTACGATGTGGAGCTGCGTCCATCAGAAGATATGCACCTGGCGGACAGTCTGTCTCGTATGGCAGTGCCAGGCGGAGAGGTCGAGCCAACGGATGCTGAAGACGACAACAGCGGCGGCTCGTACCTGCTGTTCATGGACGGAGTAGCTCCGGTTCTGACGGCCAAACAACTCGCGGCGGCGACACGCCGCGATCGGGTACTGTCGCGCGTCCTGACGTACGTGCACAGTGGGTGGCCCGGACAGGTGGAGCAGGAGCTGGCCCCGTTCCGTCAGAGGCGGGATGAGCTCTCCACGGACCTGGGATGTCTGCTCTGGGGTGGCAGGACGGTGGTTCCCCACTGCCTTCGGCAACAGGTGCTGGCAGAGCTGCACCAAGGTCACCTGGGCAGCGCCAAAATGAAAGGTGTGGCGCGCCGATACGTATGGTGGCCGGGCATGGACGCCGAGCTGGAGGCCCTGGCGCGTGACTGCGCGGCTTGCATGGAAAAGCGCGGGGCACCACCGCGTGCTGAACTTCACCCTTGGGAACCGACGGACAGCTGCTGGTTCAGGGTTCACATCGACTTCGCTGGACCCTTCCAGGGCTCTTTCTTTCTGATAGTGTATGACAGCTACTCGCGCTGGGTGGAGGCAGTGCCGATGCGTGAGACCAGCACGGAAAGCACTGTGCGTGTTCTGCGCGAAATGTTCGCCAGGTTTGGATTGCCGGTCCAGGTGGTCAGCGACAATGGACCCCAGCTGACCGCCACTGCGTTCTCCCAGTTCCTGAACTCGAATGGGATTCGGCACATCAGGACAGCGCCGTGGCATCCAAGTAGCAACGGGGCGGCGGAACGCGCAGTTCAAACCGTAAAGAATGGCTTGAAAGCTGCACTCAAGGACGGAGGAACGCTTTCTCAGCGCCTACAGCGGTTCTTGCTGGCATACCGGGTGGCGCCACACGCGACCACGGGGAGGTCTCCAGCGGAAATGATGTTGGGACGGAACGTGCGAACCAACCTGGACCTCCTAAAGCCGGATGTGCAAGTGCGGCAGCGCGAGGAAAAACTTCGCCAGTGGCAGGCCGGTAGGCCAGGTCACAACAGGCAGTTCTCGATCGGAGACCACGTCTGGACACGGGCCTACGGTGGACCGTCCAAGTGGCGGCGGGGCGTCATCACCGCCCGGACGGGCCCGCTGTCGTTCGAAGTGGACGTGGGGAGCGCGATCTGGTCGCGGCACGCCGACCAGCTGCGTCTGGCGGGCACCCAACAGGCTGCTGCAGCGTCCGATGGCGCGGAGGAAATCAGCCGGCAGCCGACGGTGGCAGCACCGAACCGTACTGGACAGGTTCCGGTGGCACCCACAGGGATTGGCGAACCACCGGTGACCATCAGACCGGGGGTCATCGTCGGGACAGGTGTGACCGGCGGGTCGGAAACGACGGTCAGGTCACCGGCCACAGACGGACCAGAGGCGACGGGCAATGATGCTGTGACAGCACCTGCTACCGCTACCGGTGGCAGCTCCGAGGAAGCGCAGGTAGCTGCAGGCGGCGACGCTGGTGCCGAGGAGGCGCAGGTCAGCAGAGGTGGCGGTGTGACCTCATCGGCGACAGGAACAGGAGCTGGATCAGCAACTGGAAGCATCGCTCAGCGTGTTTCCGTCAGGCAGCGGAAGCAGCCGCGTCGCCTCATAGCCGAAATGTGACGGCGACACAAAGTCGTGTTCGAAGCGACTGGCTTTGCTTTGAAATAGTTTTAGACGGATGTTAAGTCTTATTTCGGCCAGTTTTTGTGTTGTCTGCTTCGCCACGACTGTCATTCCTGTTGAGGGGGGTAGTGTGTGGTGACGTAGCCCTTTGCCCTCTGAACTTTGTGCAGTAGACTAGGTGGCGCTGAGCTCGTTGCGCTCGTGGGCACGGTGCGGCCGTGCAGCAGTCGGGCAGCGGCCCCCGCCGGATACCGATCACCAATACAGGACTACGTTATTCAGAACGCTGTGTGAGATCGCGGACCGAGATCGCGGACCCGGAAGCTGGAACGAACTCAGCCGCGGATACTAGCGGCGTAACACATGTGGGCGCGGACTAAGTTGATAGTGGCTTGCTTAAGGCCACGTTCTGTGACCAGCCGACTTAAAATTACAACGCAACCTGCATAACATGGAAAAATATTCATTAGCCTATATTTATGTTCAAAAATTATCTTTATCACTAAAAAAAATAGTCGTTTTAGAGGAAGTTGAAATTTGTCCCAATTTATCTGCCCAACCCTGTAGATGTGTTTAGCACACCCCCATTGTCATTGCGATGTCATGATTCAAGAGAGATGGACTTGTTGAAGACCTCCTGAGAGCCTCACATGTCTGACGTGTGCCCCCTCCTCTGTCACTCGTGCAGCTGATGCTGATATGTCTAATTATCCTCACGGCTTAACCCTCCTTGCTCACATCTTTCAGAGGCTGACGTGTTTGAGTACCTGCGCCGCGAGTTTCCGTACGTGCACGTGTCTGCTGAGACGAAGCGCCGACTACTCGCCCAGTACCGACATCAGATGAAGTACATCATGAGCCTCGTCGAACCCGTCGAGTCGCGCAAAATCAAAATACGGGTACGTGGCGATTTAAATGGCGAATAGCTTTACGGTTTGAGGAGTGAACGGTCGTACCGTGGGACTGCGGTTAAGCTGTACAAGGGCTCGCTGTATTATTGGTTACAAATATTGGAGGCTAAAAAGGATATGATTGAGGTTAAACTTCGCGTAAGAGCTGCTTAGGGTAGAGATTGCTCGAATTTTTGTCATAGAAGTTGAAGTTGAAGCTGTCCATGGAAAGAGGCCCCTTGCAAAGGGCCTGCGACTTCCTCACTTTCACTTTTACTTTCTCTCCACGATATTCCTTCGTTTGGATGCTTTTCAACTTTGTGGCTGATTTTGACGATGCATCAGGCAAGCTAATTCATTGCTTGAACTGAGACGTTGCCCAAAGCTGATCGATTTCTTTCTTAAATTCGATAAGGGTTGGGGCAGTAACCACTCTTTCTGGAAGAGCATTCCAGTCATTTAAAACCCTCAGCGTCACAAAGTTGCGTCTTTCTCTTTGCAAAGTTGTGTCATGAATAAATTATTTACTTTTGTGTTGTTCGATACATAGAGATCTTATATACATAGAGATGACATGCACTTAAAATCGTGGCGATTCAGTGGGTCTTTTTAAGCAACTTATTTTCAGCCAGTAGCGTGCCAATATGGCTGAGGCATTGTTAGTCTGAAGAAATTATTACGTAGCGAGCGAAGCAAGCGTAGTCTTTCGTAGATTAACGGAAATATCTGAGTATGAGCGGCCGGCCGGCCGTGGTTACGCTTTTGCGAGGCTTATATCTCAGCAACCACTTGACCGATTTACATTCGATGATTTTTCTAGGGTAGCTTCATTCCTTCTACCAAGTATTGGACTATTCTCGATGCATGTGGGTGACCGCTTATGCACGTGCCACGTGCAAAACGAAGAGGTGTCAGTTTTGCAATTGTTGCAATATCTTGGTAACTACTTGGCCGATTGCGCTGAAAGTTGGTATGTAGGTAGGCACCCACTACGCAATGCATATCCATGTGTCACAGTTGGGGTGCTGCTGCACGTGCGCACGTGCAGGGGTCGATTCCAGATCTCGAGAACGGCTGAACCGATTGTGCTGAAATTTGGTACATGGTTAGGGACCAGTTAGTAGGGTGCCGTGCAAAAGTCAGTTGTGAACCATTTTGCACGTGTGCACGTGCAGGGTGCCGCTTCCAGATCTCGAGAACGGCTAGGTCGATTGTGCCCAAATTTGGCACATCGCTAGGGACCGGTTAGTAGGGTGCAGTGCACAAGTTAGTTGGAGGTGTCCCTTGCAAATTCGCTTGTCCAAGGCCCACCCTCTCGCTCGCTCCGTTGGTCGCCCCAAAAGGCGTTTTACTGGTTAAAAATATTGCTGATCTTTCCTGGCTGATTTCATTCCTGAGGTAAGCAATGTAATTTGTAGCATGATTTCATTTTGTGTTTTTATTGAATTCCTTAAAAGCTCGCCTAAAAGCATTCTCTCTCATTCAGGCTCTCATCAACCCGGCAGGCGGTGGACCTCCCGGCCACCTTCCGCGCGGTGGGGGGGGGGGCATTTTTGCCCCCCTCCCGTATCTCCGAAACTACCGGACGGATCCGTAACATTCAAACGATGTTCGATAGCCCTGTCAAATTTGTCGATGGAACTCCAATTTCATTGACCTCGGGGTCACCGATGACGTCACAGGTCAGGTCAAAGATAAAATGTTTCGCGTACGTTAAAAATAGGGCGTACGTTGCCTAGTATATATGTTGCTATTAGAGATCACTGATAATACCATGTCAGGTCACAGGTCAGGTCACCAAGGGTCAGCACATGAACCAACTTTACTATTTACTAGGGTTGTGCGATGCATGTTTTATGGCCCCCTTGACATGGTCCCCCCCAAAAAAAGGTTACAGGTCTAAGGTCATTTGGGTCAGGTTCATGGAATTTTCAGGGTAGGTTCCTTGAGATTTGGTCAAGTTTGGCGCTTTCGGTCAACCGTCGTGAAAACGGCTCTTCTGAACCTTTCTGAGCACGGTGCAAGCTCAAATATACATATGTTGCATGTTCCCATTCAATGACACATTAACCCTCGCCGGACCTATTGGTTTTCTACATACGCGCCGGCCGGGGGGGGGGAGGGGGGTTGGTTGGTTGGTACGATTTCCCTCGCCGTTTCGCCCCTGATGAAGCTAGAGCGTCGCGGAAAAAACAAGCGTGTGCGCCGTTACAAGACGCAGGTACTGGTACCCGATTTTAAGGTCTCTTGAGGTCAGGTCAAGTGACCAAGGGCCAGGGTTCAGTTTTTCATAACTTCGCAAAAAAACGGTCGGAGAGCCGCGATTTTGGCATCATCGTGTTCGCCTCGCTCAGGCGCGTCGAATGGTATACTTTTTGTTCGGGTGAGGTCAACTTGAGGTGTTGACCTCGGGTCAAGGGCAGGTCAGCTCCCCCAGATCACGAAGCTGGTTGACAGAGGTCATGTTACATATTACTCGAATCGGCAGGTCTTCCTTGAGTTTATTGGTGGCTTTCCCGACTTGCTAACTCAATTTGATGGGGAGTTATTGATGAAAAACTCTAATGACCCAAGTATATAACTGCAATGAAAACCGTAAGCCTCACGCTAATAATTATATTACCTAAAAATAGGGCCAAGAAAATAAGACATGCTGGGCAAACTGACAAACTGACTTTTTTCAAACCGTCTTACGGTTTTCATTGCAGTTATATATGTAATCATGAGCCTCAAAACCGCGCTTTCTTTAATCAATGATCCAAGTGACCATAAATGACGCCACGCAATGTCAACAATGCAAAAGTGAAGCATCGGACCTTGCAAGGCGTGAAAGAAATCACGATTCCATGTGCTGGAGACAGTTTGAGATAGTTCTCGGCGCTAACATAGCAGTTTTCATTTTTTCCCCATTGACTTATACCTAATGGTGAGGTCACGTGGCCGACCTGACCTCATGTGATTTTTAGGGAAAATCCGAGATATATGTACAAGTTGTGAGACCTCTGGATGATACTACATCCTGTAAGTTTCATCTCCCTGTGAAAGTTCCTCTGGCACTGACGGCGTTGCGAAGTTGCGACATCTGAGGACTGTGCAGAGGTTCACATATGACGTCACAGGTCAGTGACCTGACCTGACCTGAAAATGCGGTTGGTGTCACAAGATGCGACTTGGATCAAAGGTCAGCTATGCCAAGTTTCAGCTCTCTATCGCCTGCGTGTTCGGAGCTATCGTGAAAAAAAACTATAGGGAGGCGGCACCCGCCCCCCCCCCCCGTCGGACGGCGAGGGTTAATGATACATGCAGTACCTGATACGAGCATAAGGTTAAAACATGCCTAATATCATTTCAATAATAACGCTCGAAAGCGTCACAGCTAGACAAAAAAGAAAAACTGTACTTAAAAATAAACGGATGTGAACACAATCTCCTTGACCGAATCCTTATAAAATGCAAGTCACGGGCCATGGCACCCCAGAAAACCTTGCTTAAAAAGACCCACTGAATCGCCACGAAATCAAGTGCTTTAACATAGGCGTGTCATCTCTATGTATATAAGATCTCTATGGTTCGATAATCCTGAACGGATCGTGTGACCTCCCGGTATTACCTTGTATGTTTCATGTGATACGCCTTTGACCTCTATGTGACCTCTGAGTGATCTGTATGACCTCCGCCGCAGCGTCAGGACGTGCTGAAGCGGCAGGCGCTGATGACGGACATCATGCGGCAGCAGAAGGCACATGACGACAGGTTCAAAAAGCTATCGGACGGAAAACGGCGAGAGGCCAAAATCAGGTGGGCTGGATGTGATGGATTAGAACCATGGTGCAGGGTCAGCGCTGATGGTTGTTTTTTGTTTGGTGCCATTTCAGTTGGTGCCAAGACAGTAATACTTTGTAGCTAGCATGGCTTCGCGATGGCTGAAGCATGAATCATTGGTGAAAAGTGCGAATATTTTTCGTGATGATTTGTTTACTTAATTGTGCCGTCATGAAATGAATCTAAGTGGGAGCTCCATATGCCGCCCAACTTCGGTGCGATGGCGCCTGCGGACTAGTCTGACGCTAGCTATGCGTTTGTGCTCACAGGAACATGCCTCGGGACAGCAAGATCTCGTGTCTGCGCGCCCAGCGGTACGTCAGCTCGTTCCAGCAGCAGTTCCAGTCGCGGTCCGCCTTCAACAAGAGCAAGGAGGAGCTGGTGAGAGGGGCAGGGGATGGTGGGAGAGGGTTGGACGGGGAACTGGTGGAAGGAGGGGACAGGCACGTGTGTGAACATGAGAGGAGGGGAGAATACTTGAATGGGAAGGGTTAGATAGGTCGCAACCCTGGTTGTAAAGGTTTATGTAAGCCGGAGCTCCGTTGCCAGAAGATCCTTTGGAAGTTCTCACTGCGCAATTTTGTGTAAACTTTTTGGCAAGCCTTTTAGCACCGCAAAACATTCTCTATGACGACTCGTTCTGTCTGTTAGCTGCTCATCAGCTGATATCACAGTTGGTCACCCGATCTGACGTCCTCGTCTGCCCATCCTCGTTTCCGCGTGCAGCTGCTGCGGGCCGTGTTTGAAGAGATGCTGGAGATCCAGCGGAGCCGTCTCCGCGCCGTCCGACGCCTCGAAAAGGAGTCCATCGACGAGTTCTACGACGCCAACGGCTACACGGCCGACCTGAACCGCGTGCACCAGTACTACGAGGCCAATTTCCGCGAGCTGGCAGAGCTGCTGGCCAAGGAGCGGTCCGATCTGATGCGGACGCAGAAGCAGCAGAAGAAGCTCAATGACAGGATCAAGAGGGAGTTCAGGGAGTACATGGAGGCGGACGTGCGCAGTCTGAACGACAAGATCGTCAACAGCTGGCAGCCGCAGTTCAGGTAACGTGAACGGGGGGAGGGAGAGGGTGGAAATACTGGGGATAAGGGGGTGGGAGAGGAAGGTCAATGATACTTACGTCGCTTCGTTGTGGCCGTGCTTATAGATCTGCAACTACCTCCAGCTTGCAGCGAGGTGTAAACTAGGCTACATCGCTTGCCTTTTCCCAAATGGGAATCACCTTGCCGCTCACGACGACGTAAACTTACCGAAACTAAGCCATTTGGTGGATTGTAACCCACGCCATTGCCACTACCCACAAGCATCATGTGAGGTGGCAGCTGCGCTCGCTATTGATGACTTCATTTCAGCCATCAGTCGCTGCAATGTGGGTGACAAACTCCCTACTCCGTCCGTTTTCAGGGAGCTGGACGCCGACAGAGTCCGCAGCGATCTCTATGAGGCCAACTGGAAGTTCTGCGTGCAATAGCGCCGCCCGATCGCCACCGTCGTCCCTTGTTAGTTGTTAGTCTGTCTCCCGTTGATACGAACGACCCTCGACTCTGCCCTCTCCCAGGGCTCTCATCTCCCTATGTATGTTAGTACGATGTTTGGCCGGGCGGTGGGCGGGCGGCGGGACCCGTAACTAGCCCCCGCCGCCCCAGCCGTCGCCAGCGTTCGTGATCTCCAAATCACCCCGGCTCGGCCGGGGGTGCGCGACTGCAGCGCCGCCACCGCGCGGCGGCCGCATCAGGAAACACAGTGTCTTAGTTGTCTGTAACAGTCGCTCCGAGTTGTCGTGCGCTGGGGACCCACTGTTTTATACCAGAGTAGCATTGCCCAAGGGATGCATTCCGGCGAGACAAGTGGTCATATTCGGTGTTCAGAAGTATTGTCCCGTTATCAGTTGAAGTATTTTAATGTTTTTGTTACGTGGAATAAATCGTTTCCTGATGCACAAATCTGTTTTCCTCTTGCGGGTCGTAGAACGAGATTTTGAACGCCGTCAAGTCGGGTTTAACTGTTGCATGGAGCAAGTAGAGGAAAACTTAATTTTATAGCGTTACATTGGTTCCGGATGCAGAGGCGGATCCAGCTCAGAGTTTGGGGGGGGGGGGCAAACCATAACAATTTCTTTTCATGCCTCGTCCATAGGCGTAATGTTAAAATTATGCCGTTTGGGAGGGGCAAATGCCCATTTTGCCCCCCCCCCTGGATCCGCCACTGTCCGGATGCATGTTGCATGTTGGGACAACTTTTTGTAACTGATATGATAATATCATAATCTGGTCGATTCTGTGGATTGGTCGTTTTTCTTTTTCAACCTGTGTTGTTGAAACAATAACTTAACTGTATGGTTGAGAATCAAAATATCGCCCTCATTGTCTTCATCATCTTTTGAGGTCGCTTCATGCGATGCGCCGAAAATCGTTAGCACGTTTGACGTCATCCCAGCTGTATTGCCATCCTGTTTCTGAAGATGTACTGCCAACGAACAGCATGGTAGGAAATCCGCTCTGTCAAAAGCCATAATTGATGAGCTGTTATAATGTAGGTCGGTCTTCATTTACCAGTTCTTGCTCAAAGCTGGAGGACTTACGATCAACATTTCAGACTCAGCTGTCGGATATCGTGTCGATTTGCTGCGATAAATGGATAGAGAATCTGGACGGTGCGCACTTGCTGATGGTTCCCTGAGGGGCATAGAGGGTAATCGGGGCCATCCAAACGGCAAGATTGATAATACCGCCAGGCGTAATTCCACCCTATAATCACCGCTAGGCCGTTGACCTGTGTAAGTTTGAAAAATGATTGAAGATGGAAAATAATCCAGGTCACCCAGACAGGCAACATTAACTATTCCTTTGCGCGCATTATATGGACACGTGGGTTGTTTGAGCCGACACCAACATAACTAGTTTCAGGTTCCTGTCCCGTTTGCTAGTGTGCCCGATGCGGACAAAATAGGCAAGCGTTCATGAGCGCGGACCAGACCCGTTGGGGAGTTCACACGGGTCACTTGGAAGGCGCCTTGTCCAAAGTGGTGTTTTACTTCGACAAGCGCAGCCTGAGGAGCGACTGCAGTAGAATGAATCTCGAAACGGTTTGCTAAATCGTGCCTTATACAGGCAGTCGGTGAATGGTTTGCTTCGATCTCGTAGAGAATTACTTTGGCTGTCTTTAAACTCCTAGCCGGTCAGGCTGCCTCCGTGCTCTGTCCCACCAAACACTCGTCCTCACACCTAACCATTAAACACGCCTTACCCTCCCTCTCGGTCCTCTGCCGTGCCCGTCTCGGTCGTCGCCTCGGTCATCGCGACATGTCTGTGTGCCGTGGCGGCCCCCGCCGCGGTCCGCCGCTCTGCCTGACTCTACTGCTGATGGTCACCTGGTCACGGTCCGTGGTCAGTTCAGACATCTACTCCACGGCCGGCCGGCGTGTGCTGAGTGGCGTGCAGCCGGCCGACCCGCCCGTCTCTGATCTGGCCTCGCCCAGTCTGGTGGCCTGCCTGCACGCCTGCGTGGCTCGGCGCGGCACGACGCCGGCCTGCGGGGCGGCCTACCAGCACGGCGGACGGTGTCGTCTGTACCGCTACCCCGCCTGCCAGGCCGGAGGTGGGGGCCTGCAGATGAGTCCCGCGCCGGGACACTACGTGGAGCCCCAGCTGCTCTCGCCACTCTGTCCCACGGACGACCTCTGCTCCCCGCTCTGTCCTCCCACCGGGCGAATCCTGAACGGACACCCGATACCGGAATCTACCGACGTGTGGACGGGCGGAGACATCTGGACGCATGTCTGGAAACGGCTCGCCGAAGGACAGTGCCGGGTCAAGCTCGCGGCTGCGGGTACTCCATCCGGCCAACTGACAATTAACCTGGCCACCGCAGCTAGCACGGCGAACAGCACGCTAATGTTCATCGCATCATACGACTACAGCATTATCTACCCGGTGGGGGCATTGGAAGATTCAGTCACATCCATCGTCGGACTGCAGGCCGACCGTCAAGTCACCCCGCTCGAAGTCAGCTGGTGCGACGGTCAACTGACGCTGTCTGTGGCTGGCGAGCAGGTGGTGTCCCTCTCCAGGGCGGTCCCAACCCTGCCGTATCTTCTGCTGCAATCCGTCGGCCCGGCTCTGTGGCGGCTGGGGCCCGAGCTCACCGATCCGTGGCTGGTCCAGCCGGACGGCTGGTCCCAGCAGCGCGGCTACACGCTGGCTCCGGTCAGCGCCATTTGGAGGAGATTCCCCGAGTCGACCAGCGCCAGCGTCCTGTTCCGCTGCTCCAGTGACACCGCCTGCCACGTCTTCTTCCGGGAGAGCTTCGATAACGCATTTCAAGCCGTCGTAAGGCTGGCTCCCGGCAGGAACTCGAAGGTCGGCCTGGCAAATGAGACCCACGCCGTGTGGCAGGAGCCCTGGGACGCCGACTGGGCCGATGGCTCTCAGCCACACCGCTTCAGAGTCGAGTTCAACGCCGGATCGCTGGGTATCTACTCCGCAGCCCCCACCAATGGCACGATGCTCCACGTCCGCGAGGAGACCCTGACGACGCATCCCTGGTCCAACCGTGTGCCGACCTCGGTGCAGTACGTGGGTTTGGGCAGTGAATTCACTTCGGCCACCTTCTGGGTGTTCGAGCACGACCAGCAGTGGGGCTTCGAGCACGGCTTCACCGCCGGCGCCGGACTCTTCACCGCTGAGGAACTGGAGAACGCCTCGGGTGCTGCTTGATATTTTTTTCTCGGAAAGGTTAGCTGGTTAGAAAAAGATTGTTTCCAACATTTATCATTGTCGAAGAATGCACAAGCGAGCGCGTTGGTACAATAGAGCGCAACTGACGGACATTGAGCCGAACATTATAATTACATTTAAGTAAATAAATAATTAATAAACAGTTAAATTTAGCTCAAAAAGCCCCTATTGCAGTTGCGGTGACCGTTGGCATTCCTTTTTGGCACCCATCTTGACAAAGCTCCCTACACCCTAGCCAGCCACCCCAAGCACGCCAATTTTTTTTCCCATGCCCGTTAGTCGCCGACGGAGCGGCGATGTTTGAGCCGATCGACGAGATAAACGGTGCATTGTCGATCAATCCTATCATGCATCGTAAGGGGTGACATAGGCAGCACTTTGGACCTGGCACCTGTTTCTGAATAGTTGCCATTAAAATTAGCAACCGTGTGTAAAATAGAGGCTGGACTTCACCTAGAATTCGTGTTGCAGTCAGGCCGAACCATGCATCCCCGTCTCGTTGCAATCTTCTTTCTTTATTTTACGTGTTGGCGATGCCGTTGAGTTCGAATTCGAGAGAATTATCAATTGTTCGAGATCAAATATATTTCTCAATTATTTGATATGTATATTATAGGTAGGTGGGTTTCATTCGTAACAAGCGACATTCTACAAAAATATGGTCATGCTAAGAATGCCAATATGATATGTTTCAATACCGGAAATTTGAAGCTCGATGACAATGGGATAACAATGCTACAAGATGGACGGGGGAGTAACGTGGACGGAACGTTGTATCTAACATGACTTCATTGTCCCCAATCGTGTTTTTTTTTTCTCGGGATCGAATAGGAACAAAGACAAACGTTAAACATTTTTTAACAGCATAGGGTGGGGTGGATAAAGGGCATGCCTCCCGGTAAATGTAACAGACGTGCCGTCACTCAGCACAACTTGCCATTTTTCTATCGTCTCCTCTATAAGCCATTTTCGTCACGGCTTGCGACTAGCTGACATTCAATTTAGCCCACCGCAATCACACGATTCTGATATCACAGACACGCGAAAACCGTCCCACAAAGAAATTGGGAAGCTGACTAGACGGTCGGACGTTGACTAGACGTTGAGTATGTATAGTTGACTAAGCGCTGACTAAAGGTTGACCGGAGTGCCTAAATCTGCAGCAGCAGGGCGACTCCGGCCAGGACCCACTTGCTGGCCTTCTCCTTCGTTTTCAGGTTGAACGTCCAGACGAAGGTGGGTCCGCGCATCCGCGTCTTATAGACGGGACACTCGTACACGTTCCGGGTGTCCTGCTTGTCCTGGGTCATGGCCTGGAACAGACAGTGCTGTCAGTCACCGAACAGCAGAGCGACACGCACACTGATAATCTACAGAGGCTACGATGAACGACATAAGTGATAAGTCACAAAAAAACATTTATCCGTTTCCAGTTTCCATTTCGTAGTCATAACAGTTTTCCCGAAATTTATTGATCCAAACTCCCTCCCCTCCCTCCCCCCCCCAAAAAAATGTGTTGGCGTTTTTACCCTGAACTGTGTCTACGTTTCTACACCCACAAACGTTTTCACCACAGCATGCGAGCCGGATGAGCATTTACCTTGATAAATATGACCGGCATCATGGGGTAGAGCTCCTTGAGCTTGGAGTCGACGATGGATCCGGCGCCCGTGTCCCAGCGGGCGCCCTCCATGAACAGACCGTGCACGTAGGCGCCCTCGCGGGGCGCCGAACTGCAGGAAGGGGGGGGGGGGGGCGGTCATACCGATACAGAGTTGTTAGGCCAGCTGAGACAGAATCATCGGCTGGTGGACACTGGACAATCAACTACACATGACGGAGTACATAATAACCGGGGCTAAAACGACAAAACCACAACAATAAATTATGAACGTTGTTTTGATGTCATATTGTCAAAATATTCCCTACCCCCTAGTCTCGACCCCCTAGTCTCCCTAAAGTCTCACTCACTCACTCACTCACTCACTCACTCACTCACTCACTCACTCACTCACTCACTCACTCACTCACTCCCTTCCTCCTCCCCCAGCCACTCACGAGAAGTCCTCCTTGTTCTTCTTAGTGACGTCGCACTGCAGACACATTCTGTCCAGCGGCCACTCGTTCTTTCTGGCCGTGCTCTGCATGATAGCCGTGAGGAACGACTGCGGGTTGAAGAAGCCCGCCAGCCACACAGAGGCCGGCAGCTGCAACACAGACACAAACAAGGGGTGTCACACAGGCCCGGCCGGTTGGCGTATTATTATGCACACCGCAAGAACGTCTCGGTGTGAATCTAGGACTGCATACATACTTACCCTGCATGGGAACCTTGCATACAGTCATGAATATATTGCAAATCAATCAATACCACTAAAACATGAACCACAGATAACAGTAGTATTAACAGTAGTACTACTGTTATCTGTGCATGAACAGAAAATCTTCATAACCCAGAGATCAAACACATAGCCCGCATCCTTCCATAAAGTCTCCATTCCACGACTACCGCACCTCACACCGTTCTCACTCCAGCCTCCCTCCTGCACCACATGCCCTCGCACGCACCTGGAAATCCGAGGTCCAGTTCTCGAGCTCCCGGACCCTGAGCAGCAGATCCGAGTACCACACTGTCAGGCCGTGCATGGACGCGTAGGCGCGCTTGGTCCACGAGGCGGGCACCGTGTCCATGAACAGGGAGTTACTGAGGTCCTCCATCTCGGCAGTGATGGTCAGCTCGCCCTGGAACAGGTAAGAGACTTTGTGAGACGGACAGGCCGGGATCGAAGGACGAACGGGCCGACGGTGTTGACACAGGCCGAACGAGACGGCATGGCCGACACTAACGCGTGACAGAGAAGCCAGAAAAGGACCATGGAACTAAACGATTATCGCATGACGTATCGACGTACACGTCTCACAGACTTAAAACATATTCTGCTCACTGTAGGAAACACGCCATGTCAAGCCTTTGAGCCTACTAAAAGAGGTAAGGGATTCAAAGCCAAGACCCCCGGCTACGGGTAACATCACATCGATAAGGCCTCCACGATATGTCCCCAACTGGACATACCCCGAGTGGGCCCACCTACCTTGAGCCCGAGGTCGAGCTCCTTCAGAGAACGTCGGATCTCCCCAGTCAACATGTTCATCCGCTCACACTCCTGAAAACAGCAACGAGAGCGTTAGGCCTTCGTCTCAGGACCACGACTTCAATAAACAGCGGCAGAAAAACACAAAGTAGGAGCGGGTAGAGATTCTCTACCCGGCTTCTGTGTTTCTGAAACACCAAACTTATCAACAGGCATTCCGTCACCTGGCATTACTTGTAACAACGTTTCGTGCGTGGCTTATGCGAGGGAGTTTCGCGCACGCTATTCGCAGCTGCGACAGGAGCTAGGAGCTGGCTCTCACCTGGAATGCGACGACCACGTAGGGCGTGCGGTCCTCGACCTTGCCCATGATCTCGGCCATGTTGAACTCGTCGGGCAGCTTGTCCACGATGTCGTCCAGGATCTGCTTCACCTGCAGCACATCCAGAAGGAGGGTGACGGGACTGTCCAGTAAGGAACTCGGAGCACTGGTGGGATAGGATCGGTGGCTCACGCTGATGATGACTAGATTAAATTGCACACAAGATAGTTAAGTGTTGAGCTAAATGTACATCCTATATAGAAACGTATGCTTGTGAGCCTGAGTTACCCCTCCTCTTCCCTCCCCCTCCACCGGATTCCCACCTTTTCCTCTCGTGTGACGGTGACTCCGGCGCCTCCCCCCGAGTCGCGCGGCTGGAGCTCAAACACCGTCCGAAACAGGTTATCAGAGGTGGCCGTCAGAAATCCTGCCAAATCGCAGCGGACCGTCAGCGGTCAGACGGGAGAGATCAGCGCGTTAGGGAAGTTGGGGGCGGATTAAAGGGGAATATGTGGATGGGCAATCCTCGATCATTTGGATTTGGAGCTTGTGTACCCGCTACCCTTATTAGGGTGTCGGTTGCGGACATGCTGATCGTATAAGTTCGGGCCGTTTCACATGCAGCTGCATGCACCTCGCACTTTTAAGTAACATCTTAGCCTGCACTCCTTGTAAAATGTCTATGATTTCAACGTTCCAATGCCTTATTTAAGTAGGTGCGTACCGATTTCGGCGTTGGGGTGCAGTCCGTACAGGTAGGGCGACTCGGGCGGCAGATTCTCGTCAATATAGCCGTGGTAGCCCTTGAAGTCCGAGTTGGGCGGACTCGGGAAACCGGGAGCGAAGAACAGGTCGCCTTCCAGCTGAAACATGGTGAAAGCGCCGGGTCAGCCGATGGCATTCACATATCAGCAGCAGCTGCGGTCGCCACTGAACGTAACAATGGGCCTAATACAAACTCGTCGGAGCTCCATCGCTGGCTAGACGATGTTGGAGCCATCCAGTCATGGAGTGTTGCCCGTCCATCACTAATCTACCAAACACTTCCCTTCCCGCCTCGGCTGTATAGCGTTAAGAGGACAGCCACCTTGACCTAGCGTGACCACCGCCCCTTAATTTCGCTCCCTGACAATCCTCCCCCCTCCCGCCAGGTCCGTACCTGATCAGGGTGCATGTAGACCTCCAGATAGGTCTTGCAGAGCCGTCGGTCCCAGTCGTCAGTGATGTGTCCTCCGTACATGATCTCCCCGAAGAGATACCGCAGGTCCTCCCACGGCACCTTGCTGTTGGCCTCCAGGTAGTTGTACAACACGTTGACGCTGATCGTCAGGTCGCCTGGGGGCAGAGGAAGCGGTACTCAGTGGGGGTAGTAATGTTGGTACATACTCAGGGAAACTTCTATTGGTAGCGTAAAATTATACGCGCATCTAATATCAGCCGCAGTGAGAGGCGGCGGCACGGCGGTCGGATTTGAGTCCTGCGGTGCAGTCTACGTTTCAGGCGTTCAGTAACTAACGCCATCTATGGACGAGATTGTCTAATCACTAAACGGCACAAAACTGCGTAGTACGTGGCCTCGGGCATGCATGCTAGCCCAGCGGAAAACCTGAAACCCGCTGGCTGTAGGTTACATCCACCTCGATAAACAAGTCACGCTCATAACATTTAACAATCATCCGTTTGCTTATCCCAGACGATAAAATCACACAAACTAAGTAAAAAATAACTCGGTGCCAGCGCGGCCCCAGGCCGTCCGTAATCACCCACCGACGTTAAATGGATAGTTTCTGTTCCATCCCTGCGGTCCGAACTTCCTCCTCTCGGCCACCACGGCGTGGAAGTAGCACAGCGAGAACAGGATCGACTTGAACTCGGCCTCCTTGGAGCACATCTCCAGTGTGTCCTGTGAAAGGGGAGGGAGGGAGGAACCTGCATGTCAACCACAATGCATGCTTTGACACTTCTCGCCGACAACAGTGCTTTATGTAGTTCATACTCAGCTGTGGACCACGACTCCAAGGAAGATCCACAATGTAAGAGTCTTGTCAGGCGGCGTTCACTTAGCACCACGACGGTAAATCACAATGACCTAGTAGGGCAGCCCCGGTTACAAAACAACAAAATGCGGTGGCTCAGCTGCGTATAAGTATTCCCCTTACCTGGTTGAAGTTGTCCAGCGCCTTGTGCAAGTTGGCAAACATCCCAGTCGGCGGCTCGTTGGTGATCTTAATGGCCGACTCCAGAATACCCTGACAACACACAACACACCATCAGTAAACCATGGTCAACTGGAATTTAGATTGAATTACAACTGGTTGAAATGCTAGCAGGAGGATGGACCGTGGGCCGTAGCATATTCGACATATATCGTATCACGTTCTCATCACACAGAACAGATAATCAAAAATAGGCGGTACAGCTGGAGACATCAACTGACACGGCGACAATACGACCATCGCGCGCCATCCGTCACCTGCGGTATGATGTGTGCGTCGGGCGTGGCGGCCGGCTCTGCCGACATGAACACGCGGTACTTTCTGTGTCCGTTCAGGCTGTTGGTCTCCATGCGCTTCTCCAGACGCGGGAGCCAGTTCTTCACCAGGTGGATGTTCTGTGGAAGCAAGAACAGTAAAGAAGGCGAAGTAATTAGTAATCTTACAGCCTAAGACATGGCTGGTCAATATTACCGTAGTCCATGATGCCCACGTCCAGTCCTCTCTCCTTGCTCGTGTTCTCTCTCTCTCTCTCTCTCTCTCTCTCTCTCTCTCTCTCTCTCTCTCTCTCTCTCTCTCTCCCTTTCTCCCTCCCCTCTGACCTGCAGGATGACCCAGTGGCCGTGTTTGGCGGCCACCTCCAGCGCCTCCTCAGCCACCACCTCCTGACCCTGGCCCAGCGATACGCTGTGGAAGTTGCGGTTGTCGAACGTGAACTTGAGCTTACGGCCGAGCTTCTCCACGTCCTGGGGGAGAGCGAGGAGCGTGTCAAACTTGTAACACGTCCAGCCCAAGCAGGGCACACGAACAAATGCAAGTAGCCAGCCGGAGTGATTAAGGTGAGCTTCAGGGGTCCCTCACCACCAAAACCATACAGGTCTCTGTCTCTCGTAATCTCCAGCCGTCGTTCGCATCCGATAGCCTTGCGAGCGATCCTAACCTTTGCACTACAATCCACGGTGCTATGATGGCTATACGGTCTCAGGGCATCACATCCTAGCCAGTGACAGCTCTTTAGACTGTAACCCGGTCAGTCAACGGCTGCCATCAGCAGCCCGTCTGCTTCTGCTCTTATGACCCAACCGTCCCCCACTGACACAATCCTACCTTCAGCGGGTCGACGCCGGGCGACAGAATGAAGAAGATGGGTGTGGACGGCCCGGACTCCTCGAACGACTTGGCAAACTCCACGCTGCGGCCCTCGATGTACTTGAAGCCCAGACGCTCCTCGATGAAACACCTGACGCAATGACGAGCGGGAAGAAAGAATAAAAGTCCACGACGTGTCACGCAACAAATCATTAGAACGATATTTCTGATTATCCAACCATCGAAGTCGCGACTGACTCGCAGAATGATGCTCCGCCCATGTAATCATGTAATGCATTCCACTCTTCAAACTTACCATCCTTCCACACAGATTAAACACCTGTGCAGGCCAAACACCCCACACCAGTCCGAGCCCCAGCCGTCTACCCGTTCCCTCCCTCCTCGCCATATCTCCCCACCTCACCTGACGGCGTACGTCATCCGATCGGGACGGAGCGCGCGCATCATACACAGACGCTGCAGCGCCGTTTTGTTCTTCCACTCCTGCGGGAACTTCTCCTTCTCGGGCAGCTCGGACTCACAGAACTTCTTCCAGCGCTTCGCCGAGCCCTCGATGTCGCGGTCCAGGTTTCTAGCGCACACAGGATTGTCGAAATTATCAAAAAGATATCATATTTATTCTCAACTCAGATAGCTCATTGCTTTTTCAGGCGACCACTCAAGACCTATAAATATTCCGGAAGGTCTCCATGAACAAAAACTAAACGAGCGCCCCCAGTATACCTATTAGTTGCCCCGATTCTCGACAAACTACAGTGCGGAAACTCTCGCAGAATCATTAGACTATCAGACATCAGCGGGCAATCGCGGTCGCGTTACTGACTTGAACTCATCCATGCTGCTCAGCGACTTGATGGCGCCCCAGAGCACGTTGGTGAGGAAGTCCACGGGCGACGTGACGTTCGGCGTGATGGGGAACCGCAGCAGAAAGTCCAGCTCCGGGAACTGGATCTCCTTACTCGTCAGCAGAATCTGAGAAGGGAAGAACAGGGCAACGAGTCAGCGGGAGACGTTAATGTCGGTAAATATTCGCAAATCACGCAGTATGAGGTGATAAGCTGTGCTTTTTGCGGTTGTAGCATTCTGCAAGGCAGTCGGGTTCACACATTTTTTAAAAAGAAAATAGCATAGGAGCTTTACGTCGTAACCTAAACATGCTCCTAATAAAAGGCCAGGTCAGCGCCAGCACACCAAGCCATCCCTCCAGCACTTGAGACCACAGCTTATAACTCGCCTGGAAAGCCATCTGTGCGGTGAAGATGAGCTTGTCGCACTCGAAGAGGCCGCGTGTCGTGTACATGAAGACGCTGTAGGTGACGCTGTCGATGAGGTTCTCCACGCGGTCCTTGACCTCCTCGGCCGGCACGGCGTCTGTCATCGCCTTGTGGAACACCACGCTGAACGCCTGCACATCGAAGGGGCGGATAGGTCAGACACCAGTCAATGGAAATTGCAGCCACAGAAAGGGAACTGCTCGAAACCCCGAAGTTAATGTTGGAGATTGCATGCAAAAATAGTGTCAGAAAAACTTAGATTACCTGCAGTCTTTGCTGCAAAGAATAGGGACTGGTGTATTGCACTGCACCACCAGTTAAATCCCAGGACATATTTTATGATCGCGCTCGATGCGTAACGAAACTAAAGGTATTATTACTGTTAGCCACCTTCCAACACACTCGATTGTTCCCATAACACCACAAGTTGTTCGCGCAGCATCGCCCTCCCATACCTTGAGCGAGAACTGGTAGATGGGGTTGATTTTGTGCAGGTCGTTGAGGATAAAGTAGAGCAGCGAGGCGCGTGTGGCCGCCGGCCGGTACAGCTCACGGGCCTCGTCAATCTTGATGGACGTCTCACGGCCCTCTATCACCTGCAGCGAGACGGAACGGCTCGGGGTCATAGATCTGTCAAATGCACGGCTAGCATCAGGATGTAAGTCTGGACTAATCCAGCATATTTTTAAGCCTTGCCGTGATTTAAACATGACAGCCGTAGGGTCCATTTTTCGCAAACTACGTTAACCCGCGCCCCGCTGGGGGTCCTGGATTTCCACGCCCTGCTAGGGGGGGGGGGTGTTTGAACACCCCCCCCTTGTAACTCGGCTCCTGGGCCACGTAGCGATACGCGGAAGGCGGCGTTCGAAAGAGCGTCAAAAATAATGACGAAATCACTTCGGTCAAATTTTTGGTCAGGTCAAAGGTCAGGTCACTAGAGGTCATTGAAGGCAAAATTTCGCCAATTTCCAGGTCCAATGTCGAAAATTTCCAAGAAGCAAACGCATAACTCGGGAACCAATAGAGCTACAGCGCCGTGGAAAAGCGCATTCGATAGCCCTATTAACGCCCTTTCTGAGTAATTGTCTCAGATTTGACCTAACGTCAACGGTTTTGCCTGCAGGGGGCAAAAACTGCAAAAATAGCCGATTTTTTTCGGAAACAGTTTTTCTGCAATAACTTTTGACCCAAGCCTTGTACGAGCTTACTTTCACCAGCATCGTGTTCCTCTCGTCAAGACGCATCGAATGAACTATAACTTGACCTTGAAAGGTCAACTTGAAAATTTGACCTCAGAAAATTTGACCTCAGGTCAAGGTCATGACCTGACCGGAAAGGGTCATGTTGCATATCAGTCGATCCGTATCGTCGTATCGTCGAGCTGAACACATCTAAGGCGTTTTTATCGCTCTAGCATGCCTCTATCAAAAGTTATTTGCGAAAAACTGTTAAATACCATTCGTGACCTAAGATGACCTCAGGGCATAAACAAGGGTCACGGACACCATTTTCATGTTCAGTGTGTCTAAACCACTTGTAATTCAGTGTTTGGGAGTGTTTATAATGTCTTTCATCCAAAAGAGGCGCATTTCAATTTTCTCCCATTGACTTATAATGGGGAGGTCGCAAAATTGACCTGACCTTAGGTCATCGATATCAAAATTCTGAGATATACGTTTTGTACATGCTATTGCTCTTAGCAATCGCTGAAAGTTTCAAAGTGATCGGTCACTCGGTGTAGCTAGGACAGACATTGAAACTTTTTATGAGGTGAGGTCATTTCAAGTGACCTGGTGACCTGACCTTGAATGACCTTGGTCTGAAATTTTCACAACATGTATAGAATTGATGTATGATAAGGTGTACCAAAAACGGCGGCGCTCCGCGCCGCCGTTTTTGAGATATTCGTGAAAAACCACAAGGAGGGGTGTTCAAACACCCCCCCAGCAGGGCGCGGGTTAAAGTACCAGTTTCTTTGTTTGCGCATCTACACATTAACCAGGACCAGGAGTCTTTGGTCCTACATTCGTCATACCTTAGCTGATTTCTTCATATTTCCCTCTCCCTCTCCGAATATCGTCGCCGCTATAGTGTCCGCGCCAGACTGACCTTATCCTGGACCTCGGCGGCGGTGGCCTTGGTGTACTCAAGGTTCTCCACCAGCTCCGTGTCTCCCAGGAAGTTACCGCCCGCAGACGACAGGCGAGACAGCAGGTTGTCCTCCAGCTTCTTCAGCAGGATCTTGAACTCGTTCTGCTGCTTCGTCAGGTTGTACTGAAAGAAAAGGCAGGCGCAATGGTTTATGAACGTTCGACTTTATTTTGGAGGTCGGGTCGCAAACACAGGTTTCATGGATTTGTGACTGGGTATACTCGGCTAAAGCACCTCAGAGCCTTCACTGCTTTCCTCTCGACAAAGGTGAGGTTTTTTAAGGTTTTCCTAAAGGTTTTCTAATGGTGAGGAGTTCTCGACAAAATAGGGTCGAGAATTCTCGTATCTTGAATTCTGGTATCGAGAATTCTTCACCATTATGTGGGTCCGTTATGGCTATGAAAAAAAAAAATCCAAACGGTTATTAACTACCTCGGCATACAATCTTTCTATCCACCAGCTTCGTCCCTCTCTCTCCCCATCTGCCTCCCTGGCCTCCCCTCTCCCCCTCTCTCCTCTCTTTTTTCCTCTCTCGCTCCCGTGCCGCACCTTTTGTTCCTCGAGGTCGGGCCGCTCTGCCTTGACCACCTCAGCCAGCAGCTGGTCCTCCAGGCCGTCCCGCGTCACGGTGAAGTTGATCAGCGTCGTCTGCGCCTGCATCTCGGGCTTGTAGTGCGGGTTGGCCAGCTTGGTGTGCAGGATCAGACGGAAGTTGGGACTGTACTCCACCTCCTTGTCGCCCAGCTTGATCGCTCTGAAAGGACAGGGGCGACAACGTAATGCAAATTATAATTAATTGACTGACATGATAGTTCCACTGGCAAAAGGAAGAAAATCTTTCGAGAGTATCCGTTTAATTCTTTCGAAAAAACGAATATTTCCACAATAATAGCGAAATTACTTCCAGAGTAACATCTTAAAACTCCTTACAAAAGCTGCAACAGTGTTCTTCCTAGCCCCGTCGTAAGTTTGCATCCAATCTTCCATTACCATCCAAGCCCCCTCCTCCCACTGACTCTCCTCAAAAGCACCCGTCCACAACTCTGACTAACTCCAAGTCACCCATCTCCCTCCCACTTCTCACTCACGTCCCCTTCCTGATGAGGTTCCTGGCCAGCAGAGGGTCCAGCACGGGGTCGACCGACTCGCCAATGTTCTCAATGAGTACCACCGATCCGCCGGAGATGGCCTGTTCGACAACGTCCATATAGCCGCGCTGGCCCAGTCGGATCACCTGCAGGTCGGCGCCGTAACGCGTCTTGATCCACTTGATGCCCTGCAGCTGTGGGGGGAGGAGAGGGAGGAATGGTAAACGGTGGAAGGCGGACAGGGCCCTAGTGTGGATACCAAGATGGCACGGACACGGGGTATGTATGTACCTAAAACGAGAGTTTAACAGAGGAGAGGTTAGTCATCCACGGGTTTCCACGAATTCTGAATACCTAGCGATCAACCAAACGCTTTCTCCAGATACTCCATTGGATAGATCAACGAAAAAAAAAAAATTATTGACCTGCCACCGATTCTCCATACCTAATTATCTGGACACACCCTGAGCTTTTCTTCCGATACCTCCCTACATTGTGTGAACCCACCTGAATGCATCCCACCGTCAGTATATAGTCACGTTCTGGGGTCGGTCCTCATGTGCGGGCCGATCACGACCTTTGCTCGTGTCGGTCCCTACCTGCGGGTCGATCATGACCTTTTCTCGAGTCGTCCCCTTACCTGCGGGTCGATCATGAGCGGCCATCGGTCCGAGTTGGTCAGTATGGTGGCGTTCTCGGCCGACATCCGGTCGTTGGGCAGACCCTCGTTATTCCAGGTAGCTATCTGAGCCTCGTCCGTCAGTAGCGACAGAGGGTCCAGCTCCGGAGTGGTGGCGATCTGGGACAGACAGAGACGGGTAGAGAGGTCAGATTGTGGGTATACACGGCTGGTAGCCTAGGTGGAGACAGGAGAGGCCAAAGAGTGGTGGGGAGGCCAAAGCGTATAAAATATAGCACCAGAAGTATTCTGAGAAAGACAGTCTTCCGCGATGGGACGAGTCGCGGGACGTTTATGTTGACTAGAAGAAAAAATTACCCCACAAACTTTACCGGCATAGTTTCTCGCCACGACTTCCGCTGACCCAAGTCTAACCTAGCGATGACACGTTACCTCGAGTTTGTTGATGCGCGGGAACCACATTTTGTCGAGCAGCTCGGTGCGGTACTGTTTGGTGAAGCAGCCCACGTACGAGATGAAGGCCGTCACCAGCAGCACGTCGCCGGGAATGGTCGTCTCCTGCTCACGGAACCTGGCCGAGGGAGCGAGGGGAGGTCGGTAGTCGCGGGCCGGCAGCAAGAGTCGGAAACAAGGCCGTGAAACCGAGTTTGAATATCAACTGGCTCGGGGCTCCGCTTGATAAGTTGGATTTTGTTCATGCACAGCGGATATTAACACGCGCACTGCAGCGGGTCTGAGCCGAACACGAACTGCAGGGGGGGGGTTGAAAACAACCCCCCCTGAGATCTCGAAAACGGTGTAACGTAGCGACAAACGGTAAACGGCGTTAGATAGGTGGAGATGTTATTTAGAGGAAATACTAGGTCATTTTTGTCTCAGGTCAAAAGCGAGGTCACCAGAGGTCACCGAAGACAAAATGTTACGATTTTCACAACAGGAATTTCGCGGTAGTTTTTCTTGAATAATTTGTCTTGCACACAAGATACAGGATCGATTCGAACGCCATCGTTCTTAGAAAAACACGATAAACGTCAAACGGAGTCTCTATCTCTATTCAATCTCAAGTTATTGAAGAAAAACCGCTGGTGACCTCAGGTGACCTAAGATGATCTGGAGATCACCTTCCAAAGGTCACAAGTGATATGTTTCGGTGAAATCACCAACAGGGAACTGTAATACTATGATCCTGAGCGTATTGAAGTCATAGGATGGCATTCAGAGTAAGTTGAAATTTCTCCCATTGACTTATAATGGGCCGGTCGCAAAAATGACCTGACCTTAGGTCATCGATATAAAAATTCCGAGATATACAAGTTGTAGCTCGTGATGACTTTACTATTTCCTGAGGGTTTCAAGATCATATCTCAACAACTGTTGGCTTGGTGGGATTGCAAACTTCGAAATTTACGTTTCGAGGTAGGGTCACTTGACCTGACCTGGTGACCTGACCATAGGTCACCTGGGGTCAAAAATTATACTCAAGGTGTGCAAAAGTTGGGAGAACAGGTATGAAAAATTTGGCGGCGCGCAACGGCGCGATTTGCGAAAAATCACAGGAGGGGGTTGAAAACACCCCCCCCCCCCCTGCAGTGCCCGTGTTAAGAAATCGTCAATTCAATAGCGTGTTTCGTTGAAAACACTTTCTCCTCGCCTAACTGCAGCCACAATTAATGCACGCTGATGGTCGTCTCCGAAACATAACGCACTAGTAACACATTCGGATACCACGCAGGAGCTGCCGCATTCTGTATCTTCACCACACGACCTACAAGAGCGAACCCTTCCTTTCTAAAACTGACACCACCCTTCTAAAAATCCAAAATCGTGCGAACCCTCATCTCACCACCACGACCACTCACTTGGCGACGCTCTCTGCCCATCGGACGTTCTCGGAGGCCAGACCGCCCACCAGCCGGTTGGCCAGGTCAATGACGTACGCCGTGGCGTCGGCCTCCTTCTGACACTTGATCTTGTCCGAGGTGGCCTCCTCAAAGTCGGCAGTCAGCTTGCCCAGCGTCTCCTCCAGGGCCTGGAAGGGAAGTGGGAGAGGGGTAGGGTATAATGGAGAGCGAAATGTTAGACGAAAGAGCCAGACATATATTTTCGTTACGTTGCTTGTCTCCTGGTGACACCATGTTATCAGAACGGTCTGGACTCTGGTGAATGGTGAAAAACGGACGCAGTTAATAAAAAGCAAACTTTGACTTATCAAACATTGGATTTCAAACGAGATGAGATTCAGTGACGAACAACTTCACACTTCCGAAATAGACGAGACTGAGTCACGCAGCAACCAAATTCAACCAAACGATACATTCGACACCCGGGCGCTTTCTGACCCCCGGGCCGGCCCCTCCCCAACTGACCATGACTCTGTCCTTGATCTGTGCCAGCTTCTCCTGGGCGGCCGCCAGCTCGGCGTTGGCCGCCTCCAGAGCCAGTCGCTTGGGCTCCACCTCGCAGTACACCTCGTAGAACTTGATGATGTTGATCACCCAGGCGCACAGACCTAGGCGAAGGGCGGGGAGGGAAAGGTTGTCAATCACGCGTTGGAACCAGATAGTTGCGGAAACCACAAAGCTGAAATATGCGTACTGCTTAATTCTGTTTAAAGTTAATTCCTCCCGCCCCTCTTGCTCAGTCCCCATAACCTGTCCTTAATGCTCTCCTCATTATCTTCCTTTTTTTGCTCGGCTGCTCGTCCCAAATCATCTGCAGCTCTCCAGTCAGTCCTCCTTAGTATTTTTCCTCTAATGGTCGTTGACCCTACTCGGTCGTCTTACCCAAAAATCAGTCACATCCCTAAACGTCCTTACTCTTCCAGCCCTTCCCTAGTCTTTTTCAGTTATCCACTCCCGTCTCCAATCCTGCCTTTCTTCTCATATCCCCTGCCCCTCCCTAACCACCCCCCCCCCCCACTTCCTTCTCCTCCCCCTCCTAAGCTCAGCACTATACCGGCGGCGGCCAGCGACTTGGAGCGTATGAAGTCGGCGTTGAACTGCGGGTCGGCCAGGTACGGCCTGATGGCCTTCAGACACTCGGCGTGGATGTTCTCCTTGTCGTACGTCTTCAGCTCGTCCAGGAAGCTGTCCACCTTCGCCATCATCACCTGGAGGGGGTCGCAGGGTAAGGACAGGGGAGAACAGGGTGAACGCTTGTGTCGTTGGTGTCGCGAATGCCGTAAAATGTGTCGGGTGTCATACACGCCAATGTGATTTGAGAGCCGACAGCAGCGGTTAATCCACGAATGGCTTTATTCTACAAAAAGCATGGCTAAGCGATAATTATTATTATTATTATTGTTTATTCAGCATCGTCATGCGACAAAAAGATACATACCCCCCCCCCCCCACCCCACCCACCCACACACACAGTTAATCAGCACTCAGGAGGTTAGTAGTCTTAACAGGCGCCGCGAGGCCTGACAGTTGCTTGCCAAAACCATCTTCAAACTGTCTATAAGACCGCTTTCTTGGAGTGGTGCCCGGACTATGTCGTGATCGACGTACCCAGCAGCGATGTGCATGATAGCGCCGAAATTCCCACCACACAGATTATATACGTGGCCAATAAACGACCCATCCAACTGCTCGGGGTACGTAGCAAGTCTGGCCAGTCCAGTGACGTAGGCTTGGCGAAGACGGTGGTCAGCGCGGAAAGCATTACGGAATGCGCGGAGGGCATCACCTCGCAGCACCTCACCGATGCGAGGCACCCCAGCAGCAATCAAAAGAGCCGTATGGTGCGCAGAACGCGGCAGACCCAGCGCTGCCTTGATCAGCGAAGCCTGTCGCGAGTCTAGACGCTCAATGTCGGCGGAGCTGAGGGGAGCCGTCTCACAGCCGAAGATCAGTGCCGGCAGCACTACTGTCTTCCAGAGGAAGATTTTGTCAGCAGCAGTCAGGCGGTTGGTGAAATTGCCCAGGGGTGTGAGGCCATAGAATGATGCACAAGCGCGCCTGATGCGCTGAGCCACGTGGCTGTCTGTGCTGAGGTTGTCATCAAGCACCGTACCGAGGTGCTCGGTCGTCTGCCGGATCTGCAGCTGCTGTCCTGACAGTGTCCACCTCGGTGTGCTCGTGAATAGTTCCTGTCCAAATATAATACAATGGCTCTTGGTTTTTCCCGGTTCAGGGTGAACGAAGTCGAGGCGCCAAGTAGCCGCGAATTCTCCCACCATCTGAAGCATTGCACCGAGGTCACGCGCGTTCGCAGATATAAGGAGAATATCGTCAGCGTAGCAGATAGCGGGTACGTGCTGGCTGTGTAGATATGCTCCACGACCGCTGCGATCTAGGACCTCAATAAGAGGTAAGAGGAAGATGTTTGCAAGGGTTGGCGATAAGATGGCCCCTTGTCTGGTGCCCCTGCAGACCAGGAACGCTTCAGATGTGGCGCCACCAAAAGTCACCCTTGCAGAGAGGTGGCGGTACCAGGTGACCATGAGGCACCAGCAGTAGTCGCTAAGATAGTCTTCCAGACGGAAGAACAGACCGTCATGCCATATTCGGTCAAAGCATTTCCTCGCGTCAAGGTTTGCGACAAAAACAGGAAGACCCCTGGCTCGATTCTGCTGTATGGTCTCTCCAGCCAACAGAGACGCTTGCATGGTGCCCCGATTGAAGATAAAACCAAACTGCAGATGATGAGGTTCAAATGAGGCGTTCAGTTCGTCTAGCACTAGCAGCTCGAGCAGCTTAGATGCGCAGGTTGTGATTGAAATCGGTCGATAGTTGTCCAAGCAGTTAGGGTCCGATTGAGATTTCTTCAACACGGGTACAATAACGCTGTCAGCGAAGGTAGCTGGCACGCTACACGTGGACAGGCAGACAGAGAGAAGGTGCGCCAGAGCTGACAGGAGACAAGGCGACTGCCCATAGAGAAGGTGCTCCGCCGTGATGCCGTCTATACCAGGTGCCTTCCCACGCTGTAACCGGTGAATGAGGCCTGCTACTTGTCCAGCTGAAACCGTTCTTTCGGATGCATCGTTACGGATTCTCCTTAGTCGAGAATCTACATGTTTAGCAATTTGGAGCTGGTCCAGAGTCAGTTGCCTGTGACTATCTTGGTGCACAGTCTGGAAGTGGGTGCGGAAGTCGGCGGCGGATAGATCAGAGGCCGACTTGAGTCCATTACGCCGTATCTGTTGCACACGTCGCCAGAAGGCTGTCAGATTTTTGTCACGGCGGAGCAGTCGGAGAGTGTGGGCCTCGCTCTCGATCCGCGTCACTGCTGCACGTCTGCGGGCGTGACGGTAAGCAGATCTTGCAGCCTGATAGCACTGTGCCACTGCTGAGAGGGTAGGACGGCCACAGTTTACCCATATCTGATGCCAGAAACGAGTGCGATCCCGCGCCACTGCCACATCAGGCGACCACCAGGGCTTCGGGGGACGTCGCGACTTGGAGCATCCGGCGATTCGCGCAGCGGTATGTATGCATCGTGTAATTGCTTCGTCAATCTCATCCGGGGTGGCACCGTTGGTGAGCTGACAAGCACCAATAAGCTCGTCCAGAGAAGACAAATATATCTGCAGTTTTTCTGGACAACTCCAATCTAGTACTTCTGAATGGATGGAACCCATATTTAGTGGAGGGCTGGAGACATCGAGACTGGTGCCAGCTGAGGCAGACGGCAGCACCACGCTGCAAAGGACCGGAAGATGTGGGCTCAGGTTGTCCACACAGGGGGCTACGATGCGACAATCATGAACTTGAGGCACCAGACATTGCGGTACAGCGATGTGATCGATGTGCGATTGGCCGTCAGCTCGAGCATAGGTGTACGCCACTGGTTGCGAGAACCGGAACTCGGCGACTGTCAGTCCGTGGTCGTCCAATAAGTCTTGCATTAGAAGACTCAGCGGAGAGAAACCCCGAAGACGGTGCCAGCCCGGTGGGCGCAGTTCTGGTGACAGTGGTGGCAGAGCACAGTTAAAATCGCCTACAAGCACCACTGGAGCTGAGGGTCTTAGCGAAGAGAATAATGCATCAAGCTTCCCCGTCAGGATTGTGTACTCTTCAAAATTTACGGCAGATGAATTCCAGTACGGCATGTAGCAGCCAATTATCGTTATAAGAGGATGGCTCAGCTCCACAATCGTAACTCCACAGATACGAGAATCATTACACTCTACAGCGCGAAATGTGCGCCCCGCTTGACGGCGGCAAACAAAAGCCACGCCACCGTGGGGTCTGCCATCTCCAGTCCCTGGTGGTAGTTCCATGGCGAATTCTTGAAATACCTGAAATTCTTCGGAACTTAGAGAGGAGAGTGCATGCTCCAGATAAGCACCCTGGGCACGGGCTAGCCAGGTTTCGCATAAAAATAAGATATCACATTCAGGTATTAGACAGTCGGCGATATACTGCGCTCCTGCGAGAAATCCTTCGCAGTTATAAGTGCCCAGAGTGAGGCTCATGTTCAGAGTTACTTTTGCGTCCACAGAATTACGGCACTCCGCTCTGTCATGCTTCACAGCGGTGGCAGCAGGACAGGGATGGCCCCCAGGAGTAGCCATCTGGGCGCTATTCCCAGGAGGTGGCCTCTCGTGCGCACTGATAGGGCCACCCACGGTATCCGGATCCGTCACATTGCGAAGCAGTCGCCCTCCAGCCGTTGCCACCGTGTGTGGCGCCTCCTCTGACGTGACGGGAGGCAGCTGGAACCCAGGGAGCGCCGGCGTCCTGTTCGCTGCCTCGACTAGGGGCGCCTGGGCGGTGAGAGGCGGCTGTTGCCCAGTGTCCGTCTCCATCACGGCGCTGATAGGTTGACACCCATTCATTGTCATCTTGGTGTCCATGGTATCTAGCTGGCACGAATGGTCCATAACGGCGCGGCCTTTCCTCTTCCCAGCCACCGTCACCATGTGTGGCGTTACTTCCGTCGCCGCCGACAGCGTCGACCGCGCTAGATGTACCGACGCCGTGAGTGCAGTCTCTGTTCGGGGCTCTGGAGCGCTGTGAGGTGACTGCTTCCCGGCGGGTCTCATCTTCGTCCCGGCGTTGGGCGGCCGCCGTCCAGGCAGTGTCACAGTGTTCAATGCCTCTGACCACATCACTGTAACGGCGCGGGGCCGTCGCCTGCCAGTTAGCATTGCCATGTTCAGTTCTTTTTGCAGCACTCCGGGTCGTCTGTGATCTTCCAGATGAGGCCGCAGGACGGCGAAAACGCTGTCCTCGGCGCCCAGTGTTCACAGGGTGAGGTAAAAGACGCACAACCAGGCCAGTCGGCCAGCTGGACGGGTCCAATATACGATCGGTGTCCTCAGCATCAACCTCAATCTTGAACGCCTTGCTTACAGAGGCAGCAGGACCGCGGCGTGACACCCTTTGGAAATCATGGAGATTGCGAACAACCGTCCAGACCAGACTCCGCACGTCACTGTCAGCAACATCCACACGGAAGCCCTCCAGGATGAACTTCTCCTTCCGAGATTCTTGACGAGGCGGCTCCTGAATCAGAGCCGATGGGGGACCAGAGCCGGTCACCATGCCCTGTCGCCGTGTCGGGCCGCCTGGAGCCGCGGCAGACGTGTCGCTGGTCGGTGCCGCAGTCGGCACTGCTGCTTGACTGTGGTTCGCGGGCTGCGCTGTCCTACGCTCAGACACGGTATGCGTGTTCTGCTGCTCTGGCTCACTGTCTGAATCGCCGACCCGCCAATGCAGGGCACCAGCGATCGCCTCACCCAGGGCACGCAGATCCAAGTTGGCGGCAATCTCGCGGGCGGCGGTGCGGTCAGAGTGAGCCTCTTCAGTTACAGCAGTAGCATCATTAGCAGCGGACCTCGCATCGCTGTCGTGTCGCCCCGGCTGCACCTGTAATCCAGGGGTGACTGGCCGGCGTGGCTGTGGGCCCTCACGGGCTAGTAGCCCCTCTACAAGGACCTTCAACTGATCAATCGTGTCATCTCTAGCAGCACATTCTCTGCGGAGACCAGTTATTTCCAGTTCCAGCTGTTTCAGACGAGTTTTGTAAGCATCCTGGGTAGCTTGACGAGCGTGAAGCTCCCTAATTTCGTTCTCCATTCGCAGCTGGGTGGATATGATCGCCTCGAGTGACGAAGTTATCGCGCTGGGGCACGACATAGCAGAGTCCGAGGGCGCGCTCCGGGTGGGACCGGGGGGTGGCAGGGGATTGCGACCCGCTGGCTTCAGAGTGGCAGCATTAGCACGCTGTGTCAGCATGCCTTGAGCCGCCGAGTAGCCCAAGGTCCAGCAGTCATCCGCTAGGCCAGCCAAGTTGCCGGTAACACGGCGGCAGAGAGGACGGCCGGCGACAGCCGGGATGACCGCAGACAGCGCAGCATGCAGCAGTTCTCGGAGCTCTCTCAGGTCGGGTTCGTCCATGGATGCCATGATACAGCACACCGCGGCTGGGTCGTAGCGCCCACTGAAAATGCAATCCGACTCAGCGATTAGACGCTTCTTGTCGGCTGACGTCGCACTAGTGGGGATCAGCTGGTCCAGGGTCGGCGCCCTTGCGCTCGTCATCACCCTGTCGTGGGATGCTTTGTCGTCATTCTCACCGGTATGCGTAGAGTTAGTCGCACTCGTCAGCTGTTCGGGGGTCGCGGTAGGCTGATTGGTGAGAGGAGAGGTAGGACAAAAAATGCTCTTCGGTACAGTTTCTTCAGCGTCCGTAATCGTTGATGCCACGATTTTCGCCTTGCTTATCCTGCTCCGTTTGGTCTTTCTCGCCACAACCCATTCTCCCACTGTTTGATCGTAGCCACTAACCGAGGTGTCAGAGTCTGACATTATTGGCTATAAGGATCTCTCTTCAGAATTAGCACGAGACTTACTACTAGAAATCTAGAGCAGAACTAACGCGGTGGTGAGTCTAAAATTTCAAAACTGGGTCAAAATAATCAATTTTTTAAAGCCTATAATTCAATTATTTCACCATTCAACTCAACTGCAAATACCACCAAAATATTCTACGTTAAATTAAGATTCGTTTCATGCTTATCTCAGAGTCATTATGCGGGTCCATTACGCCAAAATAGGCAGTAAACTAGAGCACTGCTAAACACGTCTGCTCATTCCAAACTATTTCTCCAAACTGTCCAATGTGTCCAATGTGTCCAATGTTCTAACTGCCGACCATGAACCTCCACACATAAATTGCACTATCTCCCGATAGCAGGTACGCACCTTGCAGGCCTTCCAGGATCTGTCCTTGGGCACCTTTCCGCCGGGGGCGAGCAGCACCATGACGGCGGCGGTGACGTTCACCACGGCGGGAGGAGGCGAGCCGAACGACTTCAGCTCCGTCAGGTTATTCTGAAAACCGAGACGGAAGGACGTTGTCAGGGGTCAAACTAAAAACTCTATATGAAGGACAGCACGCATAATAGCGCCCTCTTGAAGGTTGGTTTAGGGCGAGTGCAGGTTGGCTTATATTAATATCAATATTTGTTATAATTGGGATCGTATAAGGCAATGAGTGTTGCGATTATTTATAACCTGTTGCGCCGGCACCAAACTAGATTGCTTTTTTCTAGTTGAATTTACGCAAATGAAAACCACTCCTGTCCGTCCTCTATCCGTCCTCCCGCCCTCAGTCTGCGCTTTGTTTCAGCTCTCTCACCTTGTTGAGTGTGTCGAGGGCCTCTTTGGCGGCGTCCAGCGCCGGCTGGGCCTTCATCAGGTCGGCCTCGCACTCGCGCTGCTTCTTCCCCACCTCTATGGTGATGACGTTCACCTTCTTCTCCTCCTCGTCGGCTGGACAGGAGATGACGAAAACCGTGACGGGGGAAGGACAGGTTAGAATATATCGCACAACAAGCAGTTGCGTATCAGAAAAAATTGGACACACGACTATCGGTGCCTGAGTAAGGAGAATGGTAAGCATGACTTACAAAGGACAAGAATGTTGCAGATTATCTCGTCGCAAAGCTGGGTGAGTTAAGCTCATGAGTCACACGGGTCATAAAAATTTATAGCGAAATAGCGACAACAGCTGCACCGACCAGCTTATTGACCGGAGCATCGTCTGTGCTAAATCAGCCGGGAAGGCCGCACATTACCGATGTTTTTCTCCTTGGTGACAGTCTCTGTCTCCCTGCCGACGATCTGGATCAGTTTGTCGGCCGCCTCGTTCTTGGATTTGAGTTCCACCTCCTGGGAGGCCAGCTTGGCCTTCAGGTCGTCCACCTGGTAAAGAACGACAAAGAGTCACCGAAACGATACCAGTCAGGTAGTTTACAATACATAGAAGTCAAGACAACTAACGAATTGAGACTCTGTCTATCATATCAATTATTGATGTGAAGGCTAGTCAGTGGAGCGGCAAAAAAGAAAGGCTTGGAGTTTAGACATTACCCTGAGATTCATCTCAGGTAGTGTTGTGCCGCGCTACCAAAGAGCCTCGCCCATCTTCACAGACCTCCTGTACAGACCCCAACAACCACAAGTCGACCTGCAGACCATGACAGGACTGCCAAATCCCGTCTATGACCGTCATGTCATCATCACGACCCCACGGCCCACACCCACCTGCGAGCTGGTGTTTTTCAGTTTCTCCAGTCCGTTTTCCAGCCGACTGATCTTGGACGTCAGGTCCTCGACGTTGAAGCGCAGCAGCTTGCTGTACAGCGCGATCTGCTCGAGGAACGACTTGGGCGTGGTGTAGTTGTATCGCTTGTCGTTCTGAAGGTACACCTTGGACATCTCGTTGACGGACATGTGCACGTAGGACATGAACTGGGCTGCCCGGGCAGATAGGTCCTCCTGTCGGGGGAGAAACGACGTCAGACATGGACTGCAAAGAAAGGCTGAACATGGTGAGTTGGAGAGCCAGGTAGACGGATAGATGTCAGCAAGGGATGGCATCTGCGCATAAAGTATCGGTGAAGAACACGTCGATTCCTACGTCTAACCATAAAAAGTAAGTGAATCGATAAGTCAAAGCTCAGCATGCCATCAAAGCCGGACACAACACAGTCCCACTTATTTGCCTTTAACCACCGTGATCCGATGCCCTACCAACACCTAGAACACAAAGAGGTCATGACTTATACAATTTGACTGAAGGCAGTGTCTCACTCACCGGCAGCTCCTTGACCTCGCTGAGGAAGCGCTGCGACACGGACACCAGCGCCTCTTCCGGCCACTCGTGGAACCAGTCGATGTTGGTGCAGTTAATCAGCGCCGGGAACTTACGGGCCCTGACGGTAAAAGGCACCCACACAACAGCGTGAGGACCAGTCTAAGCAAGTTCGACGTTCAATCGTGTATGCAATTGTATCATGGCAGGCTGGTCAAGATACCTCGAGTGGAATTGGAGACTCGAGGACAACCTCGACAGCAAATCAACATGCAAAACCCCATATTGGGGTAACACCCGTTGGTGATAGAGGAATAAATGAAATGAAATAAAATATGCTTCACCCAGTGCAACTGATCAAAGACCCTTACTTAGTTTAGTACTTAGTCTGTCCGAGGGGGTCGGTAGTTACTGACCTGACCCGGAGCGTGGTGCCCACCGGTGAGAAGCACAGCACCACCTTCAGCATGCGGCGCACCTTGTCGATGAAGAAGCGCCAGCAGTTGTCGCGCGTGTCCTGAAGACCTGCAGCCTTCACCTGGGAAGGAAGAGGGAATGACAGTGTCATGTTTAAGACAGTCGTGGCACAACAAAGAGGCTTTTGCCAGATGGAAAAAAAAACTACAAAAATATCAAACATTCGTAGCTACATCCAAAGTTCATATCTTCCTAGCCTCGTACCCTTTCAAAATTCATGACGTCATCCCGAGAACAATGGCCTTCCCAGCCTGAAGCCTCATATATTTGTCTCACCTCAGCTTTCTTCTCATGCTAGTGTTCTCCGAATCTATACCACAACTCAGTACATTCACCAGCCATTGCCTGAAGCCTACACTGACCTCGTTTCTGACGGCTCCGATGATGTTCTCGACCTCGTCGTCGGGAAACAGGTCGGGGATCTCGCCGCTGGCCAGCAGGTCGTTGATGAGCACCAGGAACTTCTCCTCCGCCACCTGGCTGTCCGTCATCAGGAACACGGTGCCGACGTTCTTCAGGCCCGACTTCTGGTACAGCGCAGCCAGGTCCGCCTGCCGAGAGATCGGGGACAGGGGTTAGTGGAGGGATGAGAGGCTGGAGGGGAACGTATGGAAATGAGGTGGAAAGGTATGATACAGCACTTAGGTGTCATTGAATTTATGTAGGCATTAGACGGTTCAGTCTTGTAGGGAACAGTCAACAACAAAACATCTGCTTCGCGCCCGGAACACAACACCATTCCGACGGACTACTCATGGCTTCTCCGTGTCCCATTGTGATCCTCTACCTAGCAAACATCTTACAAAAAAAAAAAAAAAAAATACCTCCGCCCCTTCAGTGTCACTACCAAGTGCTCGTACCGGCCTCCGCGTGGACCCACCTTGAGGTCGGGTATGCCGTATCCCTTTTTCAGCGTGACCTGGAACACCTCCAGTCCGGAGATGAAGGCCGCCAGTCGGGAGAGTGACTGTTTGCCGCTGCCGCCGACTCCCACTAACAGCGCGTTACCGCGCGGAGACTCCAGGATACGGTTGATTCTGCGGTGAAATAGTGGTCAGACGATCAGCTGCAGTACAGGGTCAGGGATGAACCGGTAACATAATTAGATTAGGTCCAAAATATGACATATACATTTGAAGGAATTATTTTCGGTGCAGCTGAGCCACGCGAACTTTGTTCCACATGTTCCACACGATGTTTCGAGCCAACGCACAGTGGGGATTTTTCCGATCTAGCACGTATTTATTCGTAGAGGGCAAATCATAGGTAGAATTGTAGCCAGATTGTGCACAGATGTTGGCTGGTGTGTCCTGGTGAGAATTTTACCTGTAAATGTGCATAATCAACATAGTATGGGGGTTCCATTGGACCCCCCGCTCAGCCGTTTGGCCCCTGATCAAGCTAGAGCTTCGCGGAAAAGTCAAGCGTGCTGCCTATGACGAAATTAGGCCGAATATATCCAATTTCAAAGTCCAAGGTCATAAGCTGACTTTCCAAGTCAGTTTAATGACCCAACTAAAGTTGGGAAATCGAGACCTCTTGAAACTTCGCAAAGTTAGGGTGTTACGGGGTATTTTGGGGTGCTGATCACGAATTTCATGTTAGTTTTGATCACCGACGATGTCTTTATGCATTTAGGCCAGGTCGGGTCAGGTCAGGTTAGATCAATTAGTAGGCGTCCTGCCGGCCATCCATAGAAGTGTCACCTACTACTGATAGCTTCGTAACATGGAACGAAGGCACTAGAACTACTTCGTAAATATTCAAATGGCTGCTAAAATCGAAATCAGCACCAAAAACTACCCTAGAAACAAGTAAAACTCGAAAAAGTGAACCAAGGTCATCAAAAGGTCAATGACCTTGACTTGACCTTCACGTGACCTTGACACCCACCATTATGCATGGCACCAACATCATTTCACATATTTGAACGTTTAAAACCACAAAAAGACTGGAAACCGCGGATAATGTGAGCTGGCATACGCCGAATCGCCATTCCGGCCAAACATGGTCTCGAGAAATATGCCACAGGTCAAAGGTCAGTTGGGTCAGAGTCATGAAATTTTTAGGTTAGATGTAAAATTGATGATCTCGAGGGTACCGAAAGTTTCGGCGCGATCGGCCGCTTTTTGCGCGAGTAATTTGCGGAAAACCATGGGGTTTTATCCGGCCCCTTCCCTCTCCCCCTCCCCACAAGTGCGATGGTTAATAAGGTTACGGTATGTATAATTTACGCTTGTCATCCTATTCCTAATGAATGTGTCTCAGAAAATATGCATCATATAAATCACGAAGTAAAATTATTCGCCTATGTCCGGAACATACCTATATCGTGCTGTTTGCCCTAGCGCTCCTCGAGTGGGGTGTTAAGATACTCTAATGTGAATATTCCGTGTTCAGGCAAGTTTCGGCAGCCAAACTAGGCGTTGTCTTGTGCAGAAGAAAGTGGCGAATTCGATAGGATATATTTCGGAGTGGAAAAGTGTGGAGAACATTGTTGATTTCCTACATTTATTTAGAATACCATTCTTTCAATATGGTGTCTGTAAGGGTTTTTTGTAAAGGGCATTTTTGTGACCTTAGTAAGGTTGTGGCATACTTTCTGTTTGCCATTCCATTCCTAATAAAGGTGCCTTTCAGACGATATGCAACTTTAAGACCTCACAAGATTAAAACCAACAGGACAGGACAATGAAATTGAGCTATACTTTCGGGCCTTGCTGAGCCCATTGAGTAATCACGCATGAGTGTGAACTTTGGGCGCATTTTTCCTAGTTTTGCTGTGGACATACAGATAAAACAATGCCATATATGACAAATTCAGACATTTCTTAGCCCTACTGACACAAAAAATAAACAAAATTCCAAAAAATATTTTTTGAATTAATAGGCGCTAGATCGGAAAAATCCCCACTGTGCAACGTTGAAAGGCGATCAGGAGGATATTTTGCGCTGCTGTGGCGCTACAAGAGTAATGAAGCGGAAGCTGGTGCGCTGTGTGTAACGATGATGCGTTTCACTGCAAGGCATTGTGTTACGTAGTCGGTATGCCGTCAGTTACGCACCTGCAGACGTGCATCATGGCGTCCTCGAAGAGCACCAGGTTCATTGCGGCGTTGATCTCGTTGTACGACTCGAGACCCTCCTTCAGCAGCCGGCTCAGCATCGGCCAGCCGTTTATCTGGGATGGACGTCGGCGATTTAAGCAAGGACATTTGAATTATCTACATACATATTCAAGGCAGTCTCCAAAAGAACCACACTACCCCGAACTGGGAGAACGATTTAATTATACAATTCTGCAGTCCACACAAATAAATATCCCATTATTGCCGGCAATTATATTTGCACTAATACGTAGATTATTTATCACGATGCACAGTTTAATTGCTATATTTCGTCTAGTCTAAAGGGATCAGGATCCTTTTAATCCATGAAAGCTACCATCACTTAGAACGGGTTTTCCATGATGCTAGTCAATGCAATGACCGTTTGCCGTACCTCGTTGTACTTGGGGTCTCCGATTCCCTTGGCGAAGTGGCACCAGATGTTGGGTTTGGCCATCACCACCGACTCGTCCATGTCCTGGGTCAGTCGGCAGTCAGACACACCGTGTCAGTGACATGACACTCGCATGATATAAGGTGTCAGTGATGACACACATAACATGATGACATTACTGTGACAACACGTCACGGCAGACAGCCGCGGCCGCGGTTAACTTTTCGAAATTCGAAAGGAGCTCATGTTTGAACGGGATGACTCCAGAAAGTAAGTAGCGAATAATTACACCTCGAGTAACGACAGATTACATAACAAACAGAAAAGACTATGTAAAAACATAGCGACGTGAACGGGTTAATATTCTTTGCAAGTGTTATAACATGGTAAACTGTTGAAGCCAGCTGGCCATGAATTCTGCCAGTATTTACATAAACTGGTTTTGTATTACTTACGGTAGTACTTACGGTACCAAAGAGTCATACTGTATGGCTATCAAGTTATGAACTCGTTTGGCCTTTACTTACGGCACTTAACGGCACCGTCCGTACCTATGTGCTACCGTTCAGTTGATGCATGTTAACGTGTTAGGTGAAAATACGATAGCACTAAACTGTACCACGTTTCGGTGTAACATGATGCATGTCTAACTGCTTGCCGCATTTAAGTCATTTTTCACCAAACAACATCGAGCGAGCAGTTTAAATCCACGCCCCATCGACCATTAGTGCTGAATGTAGTGCGGTGCACTGACATTAACTACACCCACTAGTTAGTTTGCTATCATTACGCATGCTGTACTGATCCTAGTTATGCTGTTGACACAAGACGCACACACGCAAAGTGCACACACACTGCAAGTTACCCGGTAATCCAGTGTAATGGGCCATTTTATTTAGCGACTTCACTCGCATCCTACGCCGAAGCAGTGAGTGTGATTTTGCTAGAAAGGTTCGAACCGATTTTAAAAGTGTTCCGGACGCAAACATTTCTCTGCAGTGCGGGTGGGTGACGGTTCCATATTTTCTGCGCATTGTATTATCGTGTGAAGATCTGATGTTTCAGCTAGATGACGTCAGACTAAACGGTAAGAATTTAGACATCAAGGATAATAAGTAATTCACAGCTTCTTGCTTCACTCGGGATAACTAACATAAAGCTCATGCCTGGAAAAAGGTCCATAACCAACGCACTCAAGCGAAGGTTTGAGAAAAAAAAAACTGGGAATGAAGCATATCGCCACATCCCAACAGACATCAGGTATCCGTTCACAATGCCACATGCAAATCGAGCATCCAAGTCAAGTTGCCATTGCCGGACCTCACTCCACCAACAGTGCTGTATGCGTGACCAAGACAAAGATTATGTGAGGGAGAACAGAGGGCGGGTGAAGAGGTGTGTTCGCAAGATCAGGGGGTGCCGCAGGGGGGGGGGGGGGCACTCCGGAGGGTGCTACTTGCAGAGCTGGCGCTGAGTGCCCGCGGGGAGCGCGGTGAGGCACTCGGAGTGCCGGTCACTCCCTCGACACTCAGCAGAGACACGGCCGAAAACTGTAAGAGCAGGCGACCGGCCGGGACACTGTGACTAGCGGGTCCTTTATGTAACCTCAATGACCCAGTCACATGTCGTGCCCTCGGAAGCCAGGTTTACATTCACATAGAGGGAGTCATTCCACATAGGGACAGCCCTCGGCGACCGGCGCCAGCCAGGGCCGGTGGGAAGCGAGCTTTACATTGAGCCGTCGTCGGACACACATTTAGGCCAATGCTGCATTGAGCGGGTGGTTAGTACTCTCGGTCTATCACATACAGACGTTTATGTTCACGCACATACACATAGGGCATGCTTTAACATGGGCCAAACACGCAAATATGAATGTGACGCCTGTGTCACGGTTGGCGTCTTACTATTCACTATTGAAAAAGTAGGGACTATTCACATCGCTATAAAACTTGCCATGGTCATTTATCACAGGCCACATTGATCAACGAAGACCCGTATACATGTAGGTATAGCTGCAGCTGCATTCAAATATACAGATATGCGTTGGAAACCTTAATGATGCCTCATGGTTTGGAATGCGTGTGTGCATTACAAAGTTTGCATATGCGTCACCGCGTTGGCACATTAGGTTACATAACCCTTTAGCGGCTTCACACCGTCATAGACGGAGCAAAATGATGAATGTAATGTCGTTTAATGCAGCTTGTGTACCATTAGGAAGTTTAGTTGGTTACTTTAACTACGCTTAACGCACTATGTTAATTGTATGTATATGTTTTACATAGTGCTATGTTTATGTTTATGACCCAGCTTGCACGCTATGATGAACGAAGAACAACGTTATCAAAGTGAAACTATGACATTAATATAGCAATTTTACGCAAAGTTTATCGTTGACAATCAAGCATAAGCTGTTTGCTTTCAAGTCACTACTTCAGTGAAAGTTACCACTTACTCGCCCCATAAACGAAACGCCAGCGTGCAAGCTAGGTCGTATAAGGCGCCTCGATCGGTTTAAATGTTTGTCTTTTATCATAGGTACATCGAAAGCCGATGTCTTACGACTCTTTCGCCTTCGGTGTCCTGAAATTACGGCGGTCAAAGGTGTTAACATTCCAACGCAGGTTAACACAAACAAGCAACAATGTTATGGCGTAACTTCCTTCTTCTCATAAAAAGCGCATCAAGTCACATCGCCACGAAACGTTGTGCAACAAACCATACAGTCGTTGCTATTACTTTTTTATGACGCATAAACACATTGACGGTCATTTCACAAGGCTGATTTTACGAACGTGGGTGACAGTCAGGCTGACACGTAGTATAGTAAGCATTTATAATAAATGGCCAGACACGGCTTCTCCTGATCAAACACCCAATCAGCTATATGCAAAGACGCTCTAAAACCGGACACAGACATACCGAACCTCTCACAGCAGTGTCTAATGTGCATGGGGGAAGGGGGAGATCCATCCTCACCATCATCAATCCCACGGGGCGGCCCGACCATGATCACCACCGTCACCTGACTCACTGCACTTTGATTTGTCACCATCATCACTTTATCGTCATGACCAACGTGAGTACGCTAATCATTAGCCGACATCATCAATCAAGTATTCACAAACAGACAACAATCATGACCACCACTTCCACCCCTTCTCCACCAGTTTAACCCAAGAATGTGCGCCCACCACCTACCTCGAATCCCTTTTTGACGATGTCGGTGAGTATCTTCTGGAAGGAGGTGTTGTCCTCGTCGTCGACCAGTTTGTCGCCGTACACACGGTCTGATTCGTGCAGCCACACACGGACCAGGTCCATGGGCGTCTTAACCGACTCGCTGTTACAGAACAACAGGCCCTGGCCGAGTGGGGCGGAGGGATATCAAGCGACTGAGAATTCGACCTGCGGCCCTTGCAGCATTAATTAAACATAATATTGAAAAGGTGTGCTTTAAAAAGTAGTGATTTTGACGGACATTGAATAGCATGTGACAGGTGACAGGTGACAGGTGTGCAGAGCAACGAAGAGGAACTTGGTGCTTTCTTACCGAAAATCACCTGACAAATCCATCCCACTCTCAATGCTTCCCATGATCATTCCCACATGAATGTTGTTTACATCGGCTCCCCACAGCTGGCAGACAGCCCCTCCTTCTACCACACCTGGAAGATGTTGCTGAGGTCCCGCAGGTTGAACACATAGTGGAACTTGATGGCGGTGGGCAGGAAGCTCTGCGACACCTTCTGGTGCAGCGTGAACGCCGACTGCACGATGCTGTTGCACATCTTGACGATGGGGTGGGCGAACTTGTTGAGCGGGCTGCTCAGGTGCTGGTGCAGGATCGAGTTGTAGATGGTGTACAGAGACTCGGCGCCCGGAAAACTGACGGACGAGGACGCAGCGCAGAGCGGCGTCAGTCGACAGACGAGTAAATCAACAGTTTTGTACCTGCACTGTCTAACGAGAAATATACCTACAAGAGAATAATCGGTAGCGGGAAAGCGATAACGTTTGTAAAAGGGTACAATTTTACAAGGCCTGGGTTGGGTAAGATGAGTTCTTGAAACATTAGAAACGTAATAGCGAAAAATAGGCGATGCAAACCATGCAAGATGGAATCATGTAACGCATACGTATAAAAGGGTCGATTTTAGCGTTGGCTTTCTATGTAATTAGGCATGCATAGCCGGCGTGTCACAATCGCTTTATTGTGGATTTCACTTAATAAGAGGTGAAGAAGGCCTGCAAGCGCGTAATTTCTCTTGGGAGCCAAGTGATTCTACGCACGTTTAGATCCGCCGATTCGTGAGCGGACTGGATTGTTCTCGGGTTTTTATCGATGTATCATTTTCTTGACCAGTGTAAGCATGTACTATTTCAAGTATCGGAGGCTTTAGCTGTATGATGTTTGTGTAAATCTGAAACATTCAGTAAAATGTAGGAATGCCTTTTTTAAAACGGTGTAGTCAATACTTCTTACCTTCTCTTGGACTGCTTATTCCGCTCTACAACTAGTTTTATATATCAACTACATTCAAAACGTCTCAGGACGCTGTCGCTAAATGTCTATGTGGTGGTTACGTCTGGTTTAGTCACTTTTAGCACTTGCTTGGCAGTAATTTCCTCACCGATCGTTGGGTGAGCCCAGCGGACTCCTGAGAGGCGCAGAGATCATACAGGCAGGTCTGTACATTGCGCAATCACTGGGGTAGAGTCAAAGAGACATTCGTACAAGGTGAGAATAGACAGGGTTTTGTACAGCTGTCACTGAGTGTCCCGTACAGGAAAAGATCATACGCGTCAGTAAATTGCACTAAGTCACTGGGAGTCCCATGCACAGCGTGACAAGTATGGGCGGAGATCATATAAATAGGCGAGAAGCATTTACAGCGAGTGGATTCTTTCTGGTATCGGAATCACATTCAAATGCAGGAGCGAATAAGTTTTGTCGACCTCAATAATGAAACAAAATAATAGACTTCCTCATAATAAGTCAAATATCACTACTTAAGCCAAATATTGCGATTAAATATTTAAAAATATCGATGAGTATTAAATCGGCATAGCGCTAGCAGCAATCAACTACCTTCCAGACATAAATCTCCACGAAATCGTCCAACCGCTTCCTTCCTTTCCTCTCCTCCACAAAATCCCTCATCGATTCCCGAATCCTCTCCCATCCACCCCACCACCGCAGCCAGTCTCACCTGGTAGCGAACACGGCAAAGTGTCTCTGCAGTCGCGGGTTGATGGTGAAGCTGCCGGCCGTCGGGTTCATGGCCGCCACGTACTGCACGTTGTGTATCTCCTTTAGGGAGAGCTTGGTGCGGTCGTACCAGTGGCCGTAATCCAGGTGTTGACGCAGCATTGTGTGCGGCTGGACTGTGTCGTACAGATCCACCTGGGGAGGGAGGACAGGGGACAAATCACACTCCTCCAATCGACCCCTGACCCAGGCTCGACGATCGCCTTTTTCCTACGTGGATAGCAGCTCCTAAGGAGCATGGCGGTTCACACTGTAATAGGGCGATCGTTTGCGAGGTTGGGAGATCTGCCTATGCCCCGGCGACGCACCACGGTGCCCGCCCAGACCAATATCTCCCTCGGATTCCTAGTATCATCCCGGGTCTGCAAAGGTCTTGCTGGATCGAAACTGTAAAATCCCACAAAACAAACAAACTAGCCCTGATCGTTATTGCCCTTGTCACAGCTGGTCAAAATATCCTCACCTCCGGCATGTTCATGTCGTCCACGAAGTAGACCATCTTCTTGCTGCCGGGCGGTCCGTAGTTTCTGCCGGCCTTCTTCTCCAGCGGCCGCTCCAGCACTCGCTGCAGCATCTCTGTTGGTAGGTAGGAGACGTGGTGTAAGTACTGTGTACAGCCGGGACGGGCGCGGCTACGGTAGTGTGGTGGGGCTGGGCGATACGGCTGGATGAGGTAAAAATAAATGTCTCGGAAATCTCTTATCTCTCAGAAAAGCATCTCTCAAAAATCTCTAAAAAAAAAAAACGCACAAAGGAAAATAATTGCGTACCACACTCACGATTTAGAAATGATAAAAGTGACCTTCATTCAAAGCAGACACTGCACAAAATCTCACTCTCTGTGGTCTATCCCAGCGTGACATCTCACCGGATGTGGTGTAGAAGTTGAACGGCACTCGTGTCACCATGTAATCCTCGGAGAGCTGACTCAGTTTGTCGTTGATGAGCACCGTTTTACCGGAGCCCGGCGGGCCGACCAGCATCACCGGGTGCCGCTTCTCCATCAGTTTGTCCATGAAGAACCGCAGGCGGGTCGTCTCAGGCGTCGGTACTTGTACGGCCTGATGAAGAGGTGGTACCGAGGATTCAGTCGGAGAACCTCGGGGAAAGTCGGCAGCATAAGTTGCATTCATCGACTTCTGATGGCCTGCTCATTCATTTAGTCAATGAGTTGTTAAAAAGCATGCGAGCAATGCTTCGACTCTGTTCAAGGACATGAGCCGACATAAGACATTAAGCCCGATTCGTGTGCATTCGTTCCAACGCACGACCCTGACAGCCATGTCACTTGCTGTCCTGTCTCGACCTTGGTGTATGGACTGCATGGTAGTCATAACTATCAACATGGCCTATTTCCCACCTGACTTATAATCCACCGAAAACACAACATCCCGTCTCAGTCGGCTCCATACCACCACCTCCCGTCCTGACCTGGAGCGGCATGTCGGGGTCCAGCTCGAACGAGGACACGTTGGCCGACCACGGCATGAACTTCTGCGACTCCTTGTCGATGTAGTAGTCGAACACGGTGCCCTGAGCGGGGAACTTGACCGACTTGAACTCGTTCATCCACCAGCGAGAGAACTCGGTACGGTAGTCGCCCACCTGGGTACGGGGTGGGTAAAGGAGAAGGGAAGGTCAGAAACGGAACGGTGGCATAGCTGGGTCAGACATGGATGGACATCACTACACTCTGTTCACGGTCCCAGAGCCGCGGTAGGAAAATAATGTAACAATAAAACCGAGCGAAAGCTTGTCCAGGTAACCCGTCAAAGTCAGTATTTACGGTAGCTCGCTCGAATGTCAGTGCATGAAGACAATTAGTGTATCAGACGTTCACCATTATAATTATACACCGCTGTATCCTGTGTTTTGCGATTGTATACTTATAGCCGTACCTGGTCCTGGAACATGCTGGCTCCGAAGGCCCAGACGCAGCAGAAGCAGAAGTAGAGCTCGTATAGCTCCTTGGGAGAGTCGGCCGGCACTCGGTCCGGCGTCAGCATACAGTCTGTGAGGGGGGGGGGAGGATGCAAACAAACGATCCGTAATTTGCTTGATTTTTAATTTGATGCTTGCATATTTAGTAATTGGCATTGCATATTTCGAGCAGAGATTAGAAATTGTCAGCGCTTCAAAATGAGCTGGATTACTTGAAGGACTTCAAGGTGTCATCAAACGTAAAGTCGACTAAAAGATATTAAAGTTCCTACATAAGTGCGATATATTTTCCATAGATCACATTAAACATGAGCCAACACAGCAGCCTAAAGTGAATCCGACGTTCACAGAGGCGTCCCGAGGAGTCCCGTCCTTACCGAGCAGATTGCAGAGCATCTGAATGTGCGATATCTCCGGGATGGGGGTGATCTTCTTGAGGCGCGTGCGCAGCACCTCCAGACAGGCCGGCACGTATTTGTCAAAGAGGATCATCAGGTTGGCCTTCTCCGACTGGATGTCGCGCGTCTCGATCCAGCTGCTCACGAAGCTGCAATAGAAAAACGAAGACCGACCACTCATAATTCCGTGAAAGGAACGAATGGACAGTCATGATAAAAATTGAGGTACAGCTGAACATGTAATACCATCATTTCTCTCTTCCCGTCCTTCTGACTGTCTCATTCTTCCGCTCTCCCAGACTGTCAGTCGCGTATCACCTCACGCCCTCTCTTCCTCCTCCTCTTCATATAGTCCCTCCCTCTCTTTCCTCCCTCCCTCTCTCCCACCACTCACGGGTTCCATCCGAGGTCCTGCGGGTTCAGGTAGAGTATACCGGCCCGCGACACGGTGGCCGGAGTAGCGTGTTTCAGAGTGGCGATCTCAAACAGCAGCCGCATCGTCGGGGTGAGGGCGATACGCTCGTTGGAGGCCAGCGTCAGCACCTGGAGGACGGTGACATACAAAGGCCACGGTTAGGGGAGGGCTCTGATAGTGACAGTATAATACAGTACAGCACAGGCGAGCGAAACTACAAAAAGCAGCAGGATATGGGAGGGACGCGATCCGCCGTGACTGGACCTAAAATTGCAATGTAAATAGATAAAGCAGCAGGCTGTCTGGGAAATACCAGTCAATGAATGCATACAGTGCTCAACAGGCTGCTGGCGGCTACGTATTTACATGAGCTGACTTAACCACCAATAACTAAAAAAATCACTTTGATATGTCATTCAAAGTTCGCCTTCTACCCCATCATTCACCAGTGCCCCAGCGAGATCTTAAAAAAAAAAAAACAGAACCATAACGGCATATTTTAGCGGCGCATGACGTAGTCATTTACAGGTGATGCCACTACGCCACGTTACCACGATCCCTTCCAACAGTGAACACCCAGCAGCCCCCGCCCCCGGCCACTCTCATCCTGACCTTGTTGTCGTCCATGACGGTGTTGAGCGACTCGATCCACATGGGGTCGATGTCTCCGTCCAGTACAATCCACCGCGGGCCGTCCGTCGTCAAATTAGCCATGTCGCGCATCAGAGTCGACAGAAGACCTAAAGACACGGCGGGGAGGTATGGGGTTAGACTGACGAGCATGACAGGTCCGGTGGGGCTGTGAGGTGATGCCACTAGGACAACGAGGTTATTGAGTGATGCGCTGGTCAGTATGATCGGAAGGTGGTGAAAAAGGCCACGTCATGCATTTATGATACGATTCTGGACCCCCGAAATGATGGCAGAGCTGGAATACTTGTTCCCTATGACACCTAAATAAAAACCAGTTTCTACACAAATAATTTCCCCAGTTTTACCCCAAAGCCCTCGCCCCTCCCCTTAAGTCACCCCTCCGCCCAGACCCCGTTTCGTCACCCACCGTCCTTCCACTCTCGCGTGGCCGGGTTGATGATGCCGAACAGCTCGTCGTTGGTCACCGCCTTGGGGTTGAGGTCGTTGAAGTAGGGCCGCCGCTTCAGGTTCTGGTGGGTGCGGAAGAGCGTCTTCCACACCATGGTCTTGCCGGTGCCGGCGTTGCCGATGATGAACACCGAGTGTCGCACGTCCAGCAGCTCCTGTAGCTGCACCACCTGGAGATCGGGGATAAGGTGTCAGATGGAGGAGAAACGGGTAGAAGACGGGTGATCGGAGACGGAGAGAAAACGGAAGGAGAGAGGAAGGGCTGTATAAATTTGCCGTGTAAAGGCAAAAACTACCCGGACCTCACATAGCAGTTTTTGCCTTTGCACAGCAGATAATGAGCTTGTCATACGCTCAAACCTTAACGTTAAAAAAATACAAGAAATCGATTTATCGGTATAGCTCTGCTAAAACTCATTGTTTAGGATAATTGAACTACCGGCACATATCAAACGTGCTGTCATAAAGGGCGAGCAAAACAGGTGTAGAGCACCTCAAGCAGCTCGTATTCTACAAGGTACTTACGATAAGTCCAAGCTATAGTCTCTCGCATACGCAGTCCCACTTAACCCCACCCCTCCCACCCTCACCTTGAGGGTGAATCCGTCTTCCGGCTGCAGCTTGAGATCAATACACGCTTTTTTAATTGACTTCTCAAAGTCCATGTCTCGTTTTCGCGGCACATCCAGAGCGGGGAACAGGTCAAAGATCAGACCCATGAAGACGGGCACGTCGTCCGTCACGATTTTGGGCACGTTGAAGTCTCGGAGGGCCCTCATCAGGACCTGGTCCTCCGGTCGACCGCGGTCACTCCGCTGAGAAATGCATGGATGAGTGAATGAATACGTGTATTATGTATGAATGAATACGTGTATTATGTATGGTACAAACACGCAAATGGTCAGAATGGACGCACTATGAATAAAGCCAAAGCTAGACGTACGCAATGAACGGACCGTTAATCCATCAGCTTTCGTCTATAGGCAAAGGGAACTACCGTCTTTCAGAATAATCAATGGATAATTGGATGGCCTAACGGCATCACTGAAAAAAAAAATAAATAAGTGAACGGACCGAGACGAGCAAGTGGTGGGTCGCATTCGTTATGGATCATTACCGAGGTTAGCAGCCGCTTATTTTTCAAAAGCGTCACAAACACACGTGACCTGTCATAACCGTAAAAATTAGGGACCCAATTTGAGTACACAAGGTCTGCATTAGCACACGCTACAAACAGCGTGTCTTAAAACTCGTCACAAAAACAAATAGCTCCATTTAAGAGCTTACTGCGTCTCTGTACCTTCTAAATTGAATACATTAGGTACAACAACAACAACAACAAAACGTCCCCGCCTGGACGGTCCTGACTGTCCCTACCTTGAGCGAGCCGGCCACCACCAGCACCGACTTGACGGCGCGCAGCCCCCAGTCGTAGTGGTCCTGTTTGGACAGCAGCTCCTTGCACAGCGTGTAGAGCGTGATGAACTTCCTGGCCAGCAGGCGAGAGTCCACGAACCCCTCCGACACCAGCATGATCTCGCAGATGAGTTCTATGTCGGGTACGACCATGGCGCAGGGCCTGGCGGTGGTGGGGACGGGGTATGGTTACGACCTACCGTCACTGCTGAGAGGTGTACTCTATGGAAATTGAAGATAATAAAAAAGCGGGTAGTAAATTCTGGCTGAAATTGATACGGTTTTTAAGTGCAGCGAGCCTATTTGGCCTAGTAATTTGAACTTAAGTTTACGATCACTAAAAAGGCATAAGCGAATAATGAAAATGATCATAGCGATAGGCCAACAGACTCTTCAAAAACAATTAACGACAAACAACACTTAAAGTTACTGAGCTAAGTAGCCACAATTAAGTGCTTAAACTTATACAGAAAAACAGTCCCTCCCCCGTCAACTCCACTATCACGCGTGTAAGTCATACACCTCCCGACCAGTTGCTGCACTGCTGCCCCTCCTGCCGTCCGTCTCCAAACTCACACCTCCCAGACATCCACCCGCCGGTCCTCACCTGAACAGTGCCTTCAGGTTCTCGGGTAGCTCCGTCCGTCCCGCGTAGCCGGGGTTCATTGTGATGAAGATGCCCACACTGGGCACGCAGACGATCTCGTCTCCAAGGAAGTTGAACCGGTCCTTCTTGTCACGAATGGCGTCCTGGTGAGACAGAGAGGCCGGACAGTGGGATCGAATGAGGGACTGCCGTGGTGCGCATTTATACTCGTACAGACAAATGCATTTGATAAGGAATTTCTTACAAGCCATTCAAAGCAATATTCTTTTTTTATATCCCGCATGTCGCATCCGAAAAATTACATCTGCGAACCATAAAGAATTTTACCGACACAAAACTTTTCACGACTTGACATTCCCTTGTTTTTTTTTCAGACGAATCTATTTCAAAGAATGTCCACCTGATTGCACGCATCCTCTCCCCAGTCCCCACAGTTCGTTCTTCAATCCCTCACCCCCTTTCGTGCGTACCTGGACCGACTTGACCTGAACAGCCACCACGGAGAGCACCTCCACAGAGATGCGGTTGAACTCGTCGAAGCAGCCCCAGGCGCCCGTCTGAGCCAGGCCCTTGTAGATGTTGCCGCACGACTGCCGGTCAAAGGACAGTAACAGTGATTGATAAATTGGTGACGATGTCGGGCGTCGGCACAGAAGTCGGTCAAGAAAAGTGAGTCAGCACGAACTTATCACAAGGAAAGACGTTCTAAACACTATAAGGCCATACGTTTGGTCGCCACAAAAAAATAGCGACCGAAGTATTGTGATTTTAACCCCACCGGTCCGCTGTCATTTAAACATAATTTAAGTCGCCCACCTTGTAGTCCATCTGTTCGGAGCAGTTGAACACGTAGACCATGATGCCCAGCGCCTTGCCCAGGTCCTTGGTGGTCTCCGTTTTGCCAGTTCCGGCCGGGCCGGCCGGAGCGCCGCCCATTATCAGATGAAGTGACTGGACGCACAGACACACACACACACGGTGATCATTGCGGGAGGGGCGGAAGGCGAGGGCACCGCAGGCTGCATATTTTACCCTGGGCTGCACAGCACACAGCAGCCGGACAATAAATGCAAACGTTGTTGGCCATTCTACTTGTTTTAGTGCAGCTCAGGGTAGCCTCAACTGCAGCCTATAGCGACGTCTTCCACAGTTCACAGCACTACCCGTAATGTGAATGCTTTTAACTAACAAACTAACACCGATAAAAAAATGCACCAACAAAAAACGCCCAACACTCCCTCCCTTTCCACATCCTCTCATACTCCGCATCAGTCAACCTTCTTCTCACCATCCCACTGGCGTCTCACCTCTCACCTGTGTGAGAGTGATGTAGCAGCGGCGTGATGACCCCTCTTACCCCTTTTCACCTGTGTGAGAGTGATGTAGCAGCGGTCCGTGAGTGGCGTCTTACCTCCTACGGTGAGCGGCGTCTCACTCCTATTTTTCACTTACACCTTAAACAGTTGCCGACCGGATGACACCCATTGTTTGGTCACCCACGCCATAGTATGCATCATGGGTGCGCCGAAATGACCAAAAGTCCCAATTTCCGGTGTGCAGGGTCATTTTCAACGGCACGTGGCACGTGGTTCTGGACTTTTCCGGCCACTTTGCGACATACCCATGGGTAGTGCACCGAATGGTGGTTGATCCGCATGTAAGAAAATGGGGGGTCGTTTGGATCGTTTTCGAGCAATCTGCCGTGGAACGCATTTTTTCATTTTCCCCATTGGCTTAACACGGGAATTTTTAAAGTCACGTGGCACGTGCACCAGATGGTCCGCGGAGGGGAGACCCATACCAGAACGTAGATCACCTGGCCCACTAGAAATCCTGAAAAAATCAGAATTTTTGGACCAGCCGTTTTCAAGAGCATCAAGTTGTACTGATCTCAGGCAGCTTTTGCCAAATTTGCTACTGCTACTTTGCTATTTTGCTATTTTGCTTATTTGCTATTTTGCTACTTCAGCTCCGTGTGAGTGATGAAGCAGCGATGAGATGACCCACCTCACCCCCTCTCTCACCTGTGTGTGAGAGTGATGTAGCAGCGGTCGGTGAGCGGCGTCTAACCTCCTGCGGTGAGCGGCGTCTCACCCCTCTCACCTGTGTGAGAGTGATGTAGCAGCGGTCGGTGAGCGGCGTCTCACCTCCTGCGGTGAGCGGCGTCTCACCCCTCTCACCTGTGTGAGAGTGATGTAGCAGCGGTCGGTGAGCGGCGTCTTACCTCCTACGGTGAGCGGCGTCTCACCCCTCTCACCTGTGTGAGAGTGATGTAGCAGCGGTCCGTGAGCGGCGTGATGACCAGTCGCGGCGTGTTGCCCAGATACTCGTGGCTGTAGCGCAGCTGGGCGTCGCATATGTTGGCGTAACAGTCCTTCATCTCCTCGTCCCACCTGGAGAGAGGAGACAGGGGAGAGAGAGGGGGAGGGGGGGGGCAAAATAAGTTACCGTGTCAATTTATCATTAAGAAGTGCAATTTATGCACCGTGATACCTTTCGTCTGTCCCTCCAACCATCAAAGTAATCCTTAATTCCTTTCGTCATCTATTTGGCGACGACAAATATGGATAAAAACGTCGAATTAGCTCTTCCATTACTAATTTCTGCATTTATCGGCTCCATACTTAGGCCTAGTGAGTGACTGCCGCACTCTCCGACGGCTTTCCCAGGCGTGGAACAGGCACCGCAGTGCGAACTCAGCGTGATGATTGACAATCTTAGGTCGGTTTGCGGAACCGGCAGTCTCTACATCTGACACACAATGACGGCCATATAATATTGAAAAACACCTCTTGAAACGTAAATAATGTATTCACAGAACCGGAAACAGCAGTCAGAAACTTTCCCAGGATTGCATATATCTACAACAGATTCAACAAAATCTTACCAGCAATGTTGTACTAACTTTCTGACAATTATCACAGGTTCATTATCAAAACAAGACAGTAACAATGAATCTTCATGCAACAGATACAGCCAAAGTATCTGAACTTAAAATATGTAGCTTTCTTTTCCTTTAAACCTTTAAAACGTTGCACCTTCAAAGCCGTATTTAAGCAATTTTAAACGTTACCGTTTTAATTGAAAGAAACTCAACAAACGCAAAATACACCGGACTAACGGAGCGGCGCGAATTGTTTTGTTTTTGTTTTGTTGGGTTAGGCCCTTTCGGTCCAATGAGACCATTTCAGAGCCGGGAGGATGATAGGATATAGGGGGAGACATTGGTCTGGGCAGGCACCCTAGTGAGTCGCCGGGGCTGAGCCCGTCCAGAGGACAGGCCACCCAGCCCCAAGGCACTCACTGCACCCGGCTACGGGGTGCGCTCCCTCGGGAGCAGCGGTGCCGCTCCAAGGGAGCAGCCCGCATGAGATAAAGTTGCCTGTCCAGCCCGGAGGGGGGTTGCGGCGTGGAGGAGAAGGATTTCAGCATCCTGAGGATGGAAACACGGAACGGTGTAGAGCGGCGCGAAGCATAACACTCAAAATTCAGAAGGAGGAGGTTGGTGTGTATTTCCCCAAACGTTTCGAAACTCCTCAGCGGTGAAGAGTCCGGCGCCGGCGGTGAAGCCGTGCTCGAAGCCCCACTGCTGGTCGTGCTCGTACACCCAGAAGGTGGCCGACGTGACGTCACTGCCCAGACCCACGTACTGCACCGAGGTCGGCACACGGCTGAACCAATGGTGAGTCGTCAGGGGCCACTGAGTGTGGGACGCTCCGTTGTCGGTGGGGTTTTCAGCGAGGACGGTCACCCAGCCGCTGGTGAACTCGACTCTGAAGCGGTGCGGCTCGGAGCCGTTGGACCAGCCGGCGTCCCAGGGCTCCTGCCACGCGGCGTGGGTCTCATTCGCCAGGCCGGCCTTCGAGTTCCTGCCGGGAGCCAGCCTTACGACGGCCTGGAATGCATTATCAAAGCTCTCGCGGAAGAAGACTCGACACGCGGTGTCACTGGAGCAGCGGAACAGGACGCTGGCGCCGGTCGACTCGGGGAATCTCCTCCAAATGGCGCTGACCGGGGCCAGCGTGTAGCCGCGCTGCTGGGACCAGCCGTCCGGCTGGACCAGCCACGGATCAGTGAGCTCGGGCCCCAGCCGCCACAGAGCCGGGCCGATGGATTGCAGCAGCACATACGGCATGTTCGGTGGTATCGGATGCGTGTGGGCCAGAGCCAGGGAGCCTGCCGAGTACAGTCGCAGCTCTCCGGTACACCAGGAAATCTCCAGCGGAGTCATCTGACGACCATTATCCAGGCCAGCAGCGCCTGACACGATGCTGTTTTCTCCGGGGACTGACAGATAAGTCTCCTGATAGCCGATGACGAATGTTGCCAAAAAGGAGCTGGTACCGTTGGCTGCGCTGGCCAGAACGATCGACAAAAAGCCCGGCGATGGTACGGCCACAGCCGCGAGCTTGATGCGACACTGTCCGTCAGCGAGCCGTTTCCAGACTTGCGTCCAGATGTCTCCGCCCGTCCACACGTCGGTAAATTCCGGTATCGGGTGTCCGTTCAGGATTCGCCCGGTGGGAGGACAGAGCGGGGAGCAGAGGTCGTCCGTGGGACAGAGTGGAGAGAGCAGCTGGGGCTCCACGTAGTGGCCCGACGCGGGACTCATCTGCAGGCCCCCACCTCCGGCCTGGCAGGCGGGGTAGCGGTACAGACGACACCGTCCGCCGTGCTGGTAGGCCGCCCCGCAGGCCGGCGTCGTGCCGCGCCGAGCCACGCAGGCGTGCAGGCAGGCCACCAGACTGGGCGAGGCCAGGTCAGAGACGGGCGGGTCGGCCGGCTGCACGCCACTCAGCACACGCCGGCCGGCCGTGGAGTGGATGTCTGAATTGACCACGGACCGTGACCAGGTGACCATCAGCAGTAGAATCAGGCAGAGCGGCGGACCGCGGCGGGGGCCGCCACGGCACACAGACATGCCGCGATGGCCGAGGCGACCGCGGAGCATCGTGGGGTTGATGAGACAGAGGACAGAGGGAGGCTAGATAGAGAGCAGCAGCGGTGACTCGTGCGCGCCCGTGACTCGTTGGATATTCGGTAAGGGATTCAGCGCAGGCAGCCAACTGTCAGGGCCAGGGTGGTGACTCCTGAGCGCTTGCCAGCTCTGTCGGACGACAGGTCCAGGTCCTTCCCAAATTCACCAAAAGTCCTCCGACCGGCCAGTACGCGTTCTATGCAGATCTCAGGCAAACAGAGGCCGCGATCATCTGTCAAGAACGATCTACCCTGGACAGGGTCTACGTTAGCTCTGGCCTGCACCGATCGAGCACCATCCATGCCATTCTGGAAGGCGCTATGCAGCCCAAAGACCCTCTCTAAGCCGGTCGTTAACATGTTCAGCCGTGTTAATTTCGCGTTTGCTCTATGATGAGGTTTCGGCTGAATCCGCATGCTGAAAAGTGATGATAAGGTATTCATAATTGGTTGTGCTGGCTATTCACAGTAGCAACTATTACTTTGTCACGCCGTAAGTACATGAGAGTAGGTGTTATAGGCTCACCGCTACGGCTGAGATTACATATGTTAGTCCGAGCAGACTACCCCACGCTAATTCAGTACCCAAAGGAACCGTAGCAGGCCATCTTCTTATATGTATAGAGCCGCCAACTCTGTGGCTTATTCGCTATCATCAAAAACACATTAGCCATCTTAAATGCAATCTTTGTGGAACACGACAGCGCAACTTCGAATGAAGGTCCAGTGTCCGCCGTTTGGTACACGGTATCATTTTACTCATGCTGTATGTAAATAACCGACCGTTAAGTGTGTCACGGTGTGGATTACGCACGCAGAGGCAGACCCTCCGTCACCGTTTGCACACCCACTACGCTGCTACCGTGACAAGCTTGATGGTATTAGGTCGTTCAATAGGCAACGAACAATCCGTCATAACTTCTTTATTTCTTTATTTAACACTTTCAAACTTTCACAGATTATAGATCAAATGTTTCTTAATGTAGCCTTTGCCTCAAACCAGTCGCCGCCCGCCTGCACACACTTCTCCCAGCGTTCCGGCCAACGCCGGAATTCCGCCCGGAAAAACGCGTTTTCCGTCTTTTTCACCCAGTTCTTGACAGCCCACCTGACTTTAGCGTCGGTCTCGAAGTGTTCACCACGGAGGCCATCCTTCAGGGGACCAAAGAGGTGAAAATCTGAAGGAGCCAGGTTCGGACTGTAGGGCGGCTGGGGCATGATATTCAGCCCTGTCTCGCGATCTCCTCGCGTGTGGCGTGAGACATGTGCGGACGAGCGTTGTCATGGTGTCATCCTGGTGGGCTTTCTTGAACCTGGGCGGACTATGGACAGCGGGCCGCTACATCACAGTCCTGCAGGAGACTGAGAAAAGCAATCCTGAAGAAGAGGCGCGGCTCGGATGTCAACAACATCACCATACACCATGACAACGCCCGACGACCAAATATCCTGACGTCATTTGTGGCCAACTTATCATAGCCTCTGGGAAAATTTTTGGTCACAATGTGTAAAATTGATGCCCGGAGGGGTCCTGAAAGTTTGGTGGCGATATCTCCAGCCGTTTAGGAGATATCGATCGAAAAGGACAGGGGGGCGTTTCGCCCCCCCCCCCTACGGGGCGCGGGTTAACCCTCGCCCCGTTGGGGGGGCCATTTTGCCCCCCCCCCCTGTGGTTTTTCCTGAAAAGCAAGAAAACGGCGGCGCGCAGCGCCGCCAAATTTTCAGTACCTTCCCAGTTCCCGGGCATCAATTTGACACCTTCACACCAAATTTCAAGTCTGAGGTCACCTTAGGTCAGGAGTTATTGAGGTCAAACTGAGGTCATGTTCGAGCAAAAATGAGCAAAAAACATGCAATCTTGAAACGCTCACCAAATCTACAGTTATCAAGCAGTTTCAAAGTTCTTTGGGTCTAGTAGACAAAAAGCGGCGCTACAAAACTGCAATCTCGGATTTTCAAAATTTTGGGTTTTTGACCCCAAAAAAAAATTCGAAAAATTGATTTTTTTTGAAAAACTAAAAAAAAATCCAAAATTTTTCTGAATTTCGAAAAAACGGAATATATGTGATAGTCCCTGCGCTCTTCTATATACATACCAAATTTCAGATCGATATCTCGTTTTTTGGCCAAGTTATAGCGAAAAACTATTCAAAAATGATGACGTCAAATTTTTGAACTCAATTTTTAGCGATTCTAGACCACGTACGGCAAAACAAAGACCACCATTGAACTCCCCGTGACGAGCTGCATCGATTCGATACCCATTTTATGCAAAAATATTAACTTTGAAATTTGACCTAATTTGACCTGACCTTGACCTGACCTTGACCAAAACGTGACCTAAGCTGGCCCCAAAGGCTGCCTGACCCACATAATCGCATTTGTCATGTAAAATGGACCATAAAACATGTATCACACGACACTTTCATATTGTGACCCCCCAGTGACCTGACCTCTGTGACCTGACCTGGTATCAGTGACCTCAAATAGCAAAATATGTGTTTGAAGAACATTTCCCCATCGATGATTTTCAATGAAATGCATTTTACTCGATTTAACAACGCACTTCTTGAAATGCCTGTAAACGGTGAAAATTGGACCTTTGACCTGACCTGTGACGTCATCGGTTTGACCTAGGTCAATAAAATTGGGTCACAAGGTAGTTCCCTGATAGGGCTATCCAACACCATTTGCGGCTTGTCGCTAGGTTGCGTGGTTCTCGAGATCTTAGGGGGGGGGCCAAAATGCCCCCCCCCCAACGGGGCGCGTTGCTCGGCAGAGCCCAACGGGGCGCGGGTTAAAACATAGGTAAAAGTCAGAAAATGCAACTGATACCAAGGCTCTGAAGAGGTCAGCCAACAGATGCCACTCGGCGTCTCACGTCTTGGGTAACAATAAAGCTATAACAAGTCAAATGATACACATTTATTTGTTTGTATGTCTGTCTGCCGAAGACATCATCGTTTGCGTAGTGTAGTGGTTATCACGTCCGCTTCACACGCGGAAGGTCCCCGGTTCGATCCCGGGCGGGAACACTCTTTTGCTCTGGGTCAACATGTTACTCGCTTGTATGTATACCATCTGTATACTCATGAATCAATTCAGAGGGTGGTTGTGGCTTCCGGATCATTGCACCAGTGTTTTGTTTCCATTCCTGTAACATCCACATTGATAAGTACACTGTTGAACCACCGGACGACTTACTAAACTGAATGTGTACAGTTTTGCGCCACACCCATGATCCACCGTCGACGCTTGGACAAACTCGATTCGAGCTACCGCATTCCCTCTGAGGCTACAGTCACGACTCTGGGCGCTTCACACCTGGAAGCTATACTGCGCCGCAGGGCACGGCTTGTTTACGATTCCACCGGTAGATGGCACCAGTAGTGAGCGCCTGAAATCATGCTGTGCCGCCGTACACGACAAAGCGCTATTCAACTAAAACGTAGTTCACAATTGCCCGTAAGGTCTGCCGGTGACGGGCCCGACACCGTCAAAACGGCCGAATCTGACGGAGCGACGGCCGTCAGGTCGACGGGCATGTGTGAGCCGGCAGCGTTTGACGGCCGGCAACAGCTGACTGCGCCGGCGCCGGACCTGACGGCCGTCGCTTTGGAAAGTTCAGCAATGTTCAACTTTTGACGGTGACGGGCCCGTCGGTTTGAATGTCTGCGTGTTGGAGGAAGAGGAAAAGGAACCTTCTCATGCAGCATGAAGCTTAAATGCATTTTCAAGAGCATTTATACCATTTTTTATCCATTTGTTGAGATGAAAGTGTTTATTACGGCACGATATCTTGAGATTCGATCCCTGATTTAAGTCAGCGAACCGCTGCGTCTTTCATTAAAATAAAACTGCAGCATTATTTGACATAAAAATGTAAATGCGTGGTATTTAATTTCTGTAATTCAAAGAATATATTTAACTTCTCGGGTATTATTGTCACAAACATAACAATTCTCTTTACCTAAACCAGTGTTGATGTTTACATATGTGTGCCGCTCTCCGCTTTCCCCTGAGTCGTTGGCGGACCCGAACCCGCCATCCAGCCCCCCCCCCACTTCCCCTCCATTCCTGACCACTCCTCTGCCGCCTGCCCATCCTGTCCCACCCCGTTCTCCGTCCGTTCATCCGCAAATCCCATACCCCACTCGCCGGCCTGAGCTGTGTCCCGCTAACTGATCTGTGTCGGAGCTGGGCCTGACAACTGAATGCGCCCTGATTCCCTCTCCCCTTCATCGTTCTCACGGACTGCTCCCTTCCCACCCCGCCAGACACAGCCATTTCCCTGCCGCCCGCCCCACAGCAGTGCCGCTCTCGACTGACCTATGTATGTCGGAGCTGGGCCTGCCAGCTGAACGCCTGGCTGCTCTCCACTTCATCACACCTCGCAGACCGCTCCCTCTCCACCCCGCCAGCCATAACCAGTTCCCTGGCGACCCGCCCACCCCACCAGCAGCTGAGCTGCCGAGCTGTGCCCCGCTCTCCAGACTGACCTGTGCCGGAGCTGGGCCTGCCAGCTGAACGCCTGGCTGCTCTCCACCTTGGCAGCGATCAGTTTGCCAACCACGTCACTGCCGGAGGGAACACACAGTCGTCAGACGTATGTCAAGGTAATTACACAGATTACAGAGAGCTTGTGATGTGTATGATAAAAAACCGGCTCCAAGACACAAGATTGACTGAAGGCGTGAGGAAAGAGAAAACGCATGTTCCCGCCCGGGATCGAACCGGGGACCTTCCGCGTGTGAAGCGGACGTGATAACCACTACACTACGGAAACAGCTGGAAGATATGGAAACGTACATGCAGACAGACATACAAACAATGACTATAACCCCGCCGCTGACAGACGTTTTCCAAGCGCCTTCCAGTCTGGACGAGTTCTCTTACCGGGAGTGGACGTCGATGGTGCAGATGGTGGTGACCTTCTGACGCTCCTGTTTGGTCAGGTCTCCGACCAGCAGCGTGATCAGAGAGTTCAGCTGGTTTATCTGAAACACAGCCGGTTGGAATGTATGTCGAACGTGTACGTCTACTGATTCCGCGCAAGAAATTCTCACTGATCCCGTGTGCTAATCAAAGAGAAATGTTTTTTCTTCTGTTAAACGTGCTTGCCACTGCCAAAGCAGCATTGCAAATATCTTAGTTGTTTTTTTTTTCGAGGTGACGTCGATTCGTGGGGCAATTGCCTTATTTCACTGCCAATCAAACACGTTAGGCAATGACATTGAATTCCCACTGGGCCGCCCCACCTGTTTCTTGTTATAGTCCTTGAGGGCGTTCTCGTATCCCTCCTCGAGCCGGCCGAAGCTGATGTTGACCTCGGTGGTCCACCAGATCTGAGTACCGGCCAGTGACACCTGCGAAGCGTGTAACGAGGGTAACACCGGGGTTACACTCGAGGAGGGGTGAGAAGAGGGATTAAGACACCCGAAATGGGCGAACATGCATCCAAGGCTGTAGGCAATAAAAAGGACGGTGATACTATACCTTCAAAAGAGGTTATGCCTAACAAATTATTGCACAAGGAGAGCAAAGGAAACGGACATTTACTGAGCCTTTACCGAAGAAATTGTGGACACAGTAACTTCTATCGCAGTTTATCCTTATGATTGCGAAAAAAAATCATACACGAGCATCGATCGCCGCTTAGTCTCACACCCATCCAGCTCCCCTGGTCCTCCTCTTACCCACCTGCGCCGGATAGTCGAACAGCCACTGCTCCCTGGGTTTGTCTTTATACCTCCCCTACCCACCTGAGCCGGATAGTCGAAGAGCCACTGCTCCCTGGGTTTGTCCTCGTATGTGACCACCGCCTCTGTCATGTAGTAGCGCACCGTGCACCGCATCCGGTCCAACAGCTTGTTGAGCCACTGCTCCACCTAAGACGTCAACGGGAGGGGTCAAGGTCAAGCCAGTTCATTGAGGCATGGTAGGACCTCGTGAGGTATGTTCGGTAGGGCAGCTGTTGAGCCACTGGTCTACCAGCTGAGAGGTCGACTAGGCGTCAGTGGGGTCAGTTACAAGGGAAGGATAGCGAAGTGGTGTCACCGGTAAAAGTGCGTAGGCATTTATTTTAACTAATTCATAATTATTGAAGCTGGATGTGACGTAGTTGCAGGCATGCTAGTGAAATGAGCTGGAATAAAACTCGCGCAAGCTGTTTCACAATTCCATCGATGAAAACAAAGGACGAGGAAAAATGGATAGCTATTCTGACGAAAAAAGCATGCTGAATATGAAGGCGCGCCATGTGACATCACATGCCTCATAACCACGCCCCATGACGTCACCAACAACCATCCCATGACGTCACCGCTATGACGTCATCGCTATGACGTCCCCCGCGGGTCACTGACCGGTCCGACGCAGTCGATGGCCTGGTCGAACTCGACGTACTCTCCGTCCTTGGCCCACATCCCCATCGCAACAGTGCTGCCGCTCTCCTTGAACTTCAGCTTGGCCATCGAGTCAAACAGCTTGGTCAGGTGCCTGAAGGAGGCGGGCGGGAGGTTATGTTAGGTCAAGGGATATATAGGGCCCCAGCCATTCGAACAGCTTGGTCACGTGCCTACGGGAGGATGGGGCGCCTCCAGCGCATCCAACCTCCTTCACCCAGCCTCATTGATTAAATTCGGCGGTGAGTCACTATGCCGACTTACTTGGCGACCAGCTCCGGCTGGTTTCCGTTGCTCAGAATGTCCAGCAGATCAGCCGACGAGACGAAATAGAACCTGGCGAAAGACAGCATTGATCAGCAGCTGAACGCTTTAGTCACATTCATAAAAACTGCGGATATCAGTAGGTACACACACCCACGAGAAAAAAGCAGCCCAAAAAGCAAGAACAAAGCAGCAGCTTCTCCCAAAAACCGGGTCGAGTAAGCGTGAGAGACGTATCTTCCTTCCAGCAGCCACCAAATCAAAACACAGCCACATCAATTATCCATCCCATCCTCGCAATGCTCCAGCCACCGCTCCCACCGACCTGGGGAAGGCGAGCCGCTTGGTCTCTAGGTACTCTGCCAGCGCCTTCTCGCAGAGAGTCAGCTGTCCCTGGAGCGCCTCCAGCCGCTCGTACAGACCCTCCTGGTTGGTGGCGCCCACCACGTTCGACGTCACGTTGATGTCCTTCACCAGAACCTCACCGAGGAAAGGGGCAGAAATTACTCAGGTGGGATGTGACGCTTTGTGTTTGTCTTCATTGCGGAGACCTCCAAATTGAGATATTTAATATCCAGCTTAACCCTCGCCCATGTAGGGGGGGGGTTGGTGCAACCCCCCCCCCCCTGAGGTTTTTCGGAAATAGTGCAAAAACGGCGGCGCACAGCGCCGCCAAATTTTGGGTACCTTATGGGGCAAACCTTGCGCATCTTTTGATAAAAAAATTTGACCGGGTCATGTCAGGTCACGGAGTTATGACGTCACAAAGGGAACAGCCTCCGGCCGGATTTTCACAAACTGAGTGCCAACGCCCGAGGTTTCCTGCCGGTGGTACGGACATCGGTTGATGGATCGTGATGAAACTTCCCATGCATGTTGGGGCAAGTATTGGCTATCATATGGTATAAGAAACTTGACCGGGTCAGGTCAGGTCACGGAGCTATGACGTCACAAGAGGAACAGCGTCCGGTACTATTTTTGAAAAGCGCCCGAACCACTATTTTGCTAATTCTTGTCACCTCAATGGGAATATGCAGCAATATTAGCTTCTATAGGGAGCAAATGGACCTCCCAAATCCAAAAATACAATCAGATTTCAAAAATTTAAATTTTGATTTTTCGAATTTCTGCCGCCGACTGTGACCTTGCCGACTTCCGGCGCTCCCAACGCGCCATTTTTAAAGCTAGGGAAACGAAATACATACCAAACGATAGAGAATTGATCAAGGAACACGATAGTGAAGGTTTCAAGTCGATATCTCCCACCATTTTGCCGCAATCGCCGCGGAAAATTTGAAAAAGTCTATTTTTCCGAAAATTTGACCTTTGACCGGTCAAAAGTAGGTCAAATGTTGACCTAGGACCAAAAAATATACCACCAATCGCGAGATCTCGGCGAGAGCAATCCGTTGGTCTTTTCCGCTAAGCTCTACGACGCTCCGTTTTCAAACGCCAAGGGGGGGGGTCGCACCAACCCCCCCCCCCTGCATGGGCGAAGGTGGCAGATCGCCGTTTACGGGCGAGGGTTAAAATAAAAAATATAACTAAATATAATCACTAAATCACTACCACCATATGGCGCTTACAAACACTCCTCCTTCCCTCGACTTCGTATCCCATCCACGACTCACCTTGAACTTGGTGTCGATCTCGTCGAAGCGTTTCGAGTCCTCGGGCAGCTGCTGCCTGATGTCCTCTGAGCCGATAAAGATGCTCTCCAGGTGACTCCAGGTACGCTGCACTTCGAACCAGATCGAGATCACCTGCCCAGCGAGGCGAGCGGGAGGATATATTCAAAGGACATCGGCATGGAAATATCGCTGGAAAAAAAATCGACTCAGACGTATCACAGGTAGACCTCGGCCGTGATGTTTTGGCACATTCCGACGAACAATGGAAGCGGGAGATACTATATTTCAGCATTCAGACAGCGATGACGGTACCTGATCGGCCATGCTCAGTTTCTTCTGCCACGTGGATACTTCCTCCAGGAAGAAGCTGATGTATTTAGATGTCATCAGATTCTGCAGTTGGACCTGTAGACACACCACAAAATAACACATCAGCATAAACAGAGCGGTTTATTTCACAAACGATCAGATGACGTCAGCCAGTGGTCTTCTAAAACGTCCCGTCCTCACCAGCTAGTTGTCCTCATATGCCTTCACCTCCCTCACTATCCCTATATAGCATTGCAAACCTCACCTGGTTATCCTCGAGCGTCTCGATGAGCTCCTCGGAGGCCCTGAGCAGCATCAGCCCCGTCCGGTCGTGTTTGTCGTGTTCAAACTCCATGATCGTCCAGGTGGCATCCAGCTCCTACACGTGGCCGGCGGGTGGGAGAGACGGACACGGAGACGAGTGGTGAGAATATAAAGTATTGTACAGTGTGTTCCGAATAAAGTCTAGAAGAAATTAATAAAAGAAAGTTCAAGAAATACATTCAAGCTTTCAGCAAATTTCTATCAAAATAAAAGAAAAACATCGTAAATGGTTAATCATTTTGGTTCCGAATAAGTAATAAGTCAAATAAACAGTCAGGGCGACTGTCGAATTTTTTATGCAATCACAATGCCAGGCTACGACAAATGCTCCGACACGACCCTAATCCACTCACTGAGGCTCGCCCCACTTCTCCACATCCACCCAGCTGTCACCTACCTTGAGAACCTTCTCCATGGACATTTCTTTGACGGCCTTGTCGACGATGTTCTTCACCTCGTCCTCGAACTCGTGCAGGTTGAGGGCCAGCAGGTCGGCCAGCGTGGTGTTCTCGTCCATCACAAACTTCACCTGAGAGAGTCACACATCGAGGCGGACCGGACGGCGAGGGAGGGGAAGAGTGGTTAAAGAAGGTGATGGGGAGGGGTTGGTGCGCCAGCAGGTCGGCCAGCGTAGTGTTCTCGTCCATCACAAACTTCACCTGAGAGAGTCACACATCGAGGCGGACGCCGAGGGAGGGGAAGAGTGGTTAGAGAAGGTGATGGGGAGGGGTTGGTGCGCCAGCAGGTCGGCCAGCGTAGTGTTCTCGTCCATCACAAACTTCACCTGAGAGAGTCACACATCGAGGCGGACGCCGAGGGAGGGGAAGAGTGGTTAGAGAAGGTGATGGGGGGGGGGGGGGTGCGCCAGCAGGTCGGCCAGCGTGGTGTTCATTACAAACTTCACCTGTGTGGGGGGTCACTAGACGGAGGAGGAGGGGGAGTTGTTAGAGGGGGTGGGGGGTGGTAAGGGGAGGTGGGAAGGGGTTAGAAAGGGGCGGAGCCTCCGCCCTTTTCTCCACCGCAGAGGTATGGCATTTTCATGGAGTTGCGGGGTGTCGTCACTGTTTTGGAATTAGAAGGGGTACGAATACGGTGGGGATGGGGTAGCTAGCGGGCTGGCAAGTAATGTTCGTCCAAAGTTTTCTTGAATCACGAAGATCCAGAGGTTACAGGTTTCCGTGAAAAAAATATTCAGCACATGTTAACGTTTCCTGAGTTCCAGCCGGTTACACTCATCGGGCATACATGAACGGCTAACAGATTTATTACAAAATATTTCCGAAATACTCTTCACCATCAAATGCGCGCACAAGTTGTGTATGGCCAACTTTTATGTCTAAATACATAAATACGTATATCGCTTCGCATATGCAGACCTCCAAACTGACGCACTTCAGTCGACATTGACAAAACACATAAGGCACCAATAAAATAGGCACATAAAGAACGAAGACAAGTCTATAAAAACAGGCAACCGATAACAGACATGCTTTTGCTAATTTACGCACATGCCTATAGGACAATCAACCACATTCACGTGCGGAGAACATTCATACGAACATGCTGCTATGATGGAGCCAACAAGCGCGGCGGGTAAACCAATCGCATTTGAGTATGTGCCTGTAAAACGTCAGATGAAAACTCCCAATAGCTAGATCGTACTACAGGATTCAATCTTGCAAGATAAGGCGAAACCATGCGAATGACTCGTTTGTTGCAGAGAAGGTAGCTACGTCGATGACAGACAAGTTGGTAGGTGCTGGAACCGGTTCACTGCTCGATCAATGGCTATGCCATGACTGATGACGATAATCATTTGTAAATTATGGTACAGTTGTACATCTCTTCACCTGGCAGGATCATCGGCGTAATAAATATATTCATAAACACGTCGGGTGTCCTGGATCCGGTGTGGAAGCACATAAGAGTATTGGACACTTCCAGCGGCCTACTGAAGGGCCACCGAAGAGGGAAATATCCCGGAGATCGAACTGAAAAATGTCGACGGAATCCCAGACAAATTGCCTGGTAGCTGTAGCAGGACTTAAAAAAAGACGGATCGGCAGATTGAACAAAGAACCAGCAGCCAGAACTGATGAGTCACGATGGACAGTCTGGAATGGGATACTCCAAATGACCTCAATGCTTGAACTCCAAATGACATCAATGACACGGTGCTTTAAAGCTCAGACTGACGACTCACAGACTACCTGTGACGGCTCTGTGAGTCGTCAGCCCATGTTGGGGGCTCAAGTTTCCATCGTTCAGTCCCAGACGGAGACAGTCCATCTAACCCAGACTGTCCACCAGTCAGTCTCAGACTGTCCATCTGTCCGCTCAGTCCACCCCCTCTGACCGCCAGGACCCGTCACCTGCGACCCGGTAGGCCAGTCACGAGGAGGCGGTCTCCGGTGCTGCGGCACCAGCCAGCGGGACCGACCGCGCAACAGCCGACTGCGGGCCGCCCAGCGGGCCAGTCGGCGGGCCCTCCCCGCCGGCCCGGTCACCTGTCACGGCGGGAACCGGCCTTTACTTACTACAGGGTGGGGTTAGTGGGAATAAGCCTTTATTGCGGGGTAGGGGCAAAGGGAATCAGTCTTTACTGCACGGTAAAGGGTAGGCGGGAAACGGCTTTAGATACATTGGTTTAGGACAGTCGGAGAAAGCCTTTGCGGGGTGTAGGGAGGTAGACACGAGACTAGTGTATAGGGTAAGTCAGCAGAGGGAACCAGCCTTTACTACACGGGTAGAGGGTCACGGAGACGAAGCATTTACCGCAGGGTGTAAAGCCCGGGCTTCACTACAGGTTCCAGAGCTGCGTGACCCGGCCTTCGCTGCAGGTATCGGACCACGGAAACCAAACTATGGACAGCGGGGTTTACCGAGGCTGCGTGGCTGTGGAGGGTGTGGAAAGGTCCAGGGCGGTGAGGCTGTCGATGTGAGGCCAGCTGGTTACAAAGTCAGCGGTGATTTTGCCAGTTCGGTTGCCGCTGGGTTTGCTGTGTAGGTTAGTCGTGCAGGAACGCAGCGGCCGTGGCGATCTCTCGGGCTCTCGGGCTCAGTCGAAGCATCGATTAGTTGAGCCTCAGACCAGCTGTGCTAAGGGTAGGTAGGTCGGCCATTCCGTGGCTGTGTCTTCATCAGCGGTCACCGCCGGGTCTGCCGGTTCCTTCCACCCTCCATCCGTCTGTCCGTCACTCCGTCCTGAGACCGGAGCGTCTTTACAGCCCGGACCGACCATACAGCCGTCACACGGCCATCCTGTCCACCCCGGCCTCAGAACGGGGCGGGGACAGAACAGGACGGGGTGGGGAGGGTCTCTCCAACTTACATCATCCCCGCCCTCAGCCAGTCGACTCAGCGCGGCCGCCACGCCCGACACGCTGGCCCCGCCCACCGGACCGCCCACCGCCGAAGCTCCGCCCCTCTCCTCCTCCGCCGGGGCCGGGGCCGGGGCGGGGGCGGGGGCGGGGGCGGGGGCGGGCTTTCGGCCGCGGCGGGCTCTGGCGCCCATTCTTCTGGCGGCGAGTCGGGCCGCCCCGGAACCGCCGCCGACGCCGGACGGCTGGTCGGGCGGTTGCTGCGGAGATAATGTGCTGAACGCTGGCTCAGGAGTATAGCTTGGAGTTGGAGCTGGATGAGGTTGAGCGAGGAGTCTGGAAGTTCTCATTAGCATACGCGGAAGCCTTGTCAAAAGTTCCAGCATCTTACGTTCGGTCTAACGGCTGTAGGTTTCGTATCACAAAGACACAGGATCATCGGAAGTTCAGGGGGCTTAGGATCAATCTGTCAAACAATCAACACCAATCTAGCCACAAATGAGCAACAGGTCAGCCAACAGACACACAAACACAGACACATAAATCGACACATATCACAGTCAGCGCATGCACTAGGCGACACTCCCACAAAGCAGTTGCCAGAGAGCCACACATATTTTATCCTACGGCCAGTCAGCTGTTAATCTAAACACCCGACTGCAACAATCAGCAGCAACAACCGGAGTGGAAACCCTCAAGCCAAATGTTAGTCACCACACGTGAGACATACTCCTTACCAGGAACATGCGACGCATGAACGTTTGTCTCTGTGACGACGAACGAAAAGCGCCAACAGTGCCGGACGGTTAGGACAGAACACACACGGAGACGGCGAACACGGTCACCAACCAATCAGCACGCGTTTATGGCCGGACGGTTCACAGTTTAGAACACGGAACACTGAGCGGCGCGCTATCGTACAGATATGCATGCTCGCCTAATGATTAGTGACTTTGCCCGCCGGTGGACAGTTGACACGCTCTAGGTTCCGCTTCCAGCAAATTAGCATATTTTACGGATCAAATAAACCGAGTCAGACCATCTGAATATTATGTTTGGTAATGCTGACCTTTTGTTCTTCACTTTCGTGGATTTTTTTAGATCTCTATGCCATCACCACCCAGATCCACCCTGCCGCTCCAATTAACCGGGATGGAAACCTCCTAACCCACACCAGTATCATACTACCCAGTCTCACCACCCCTGTCAGCTCACACCTCCCACCCGTTGCCCTACCTTAGTGGCGACCATCAGTTGCTTCCAGTGCCGGGTGCGGATGGCCGGGTTCTGCAGCTCGGAGACGGCCTTTAGCGAGGTCAGCATGTTCTTCACGGTGGCCTCCAGCTCCAGGTAGGTGTCCCAGGCGCGTACCTCCTTGTCCATGCCTTGTGTCCGGTCACACGGGGTCAGCGCAGGGGATGGGGTAGAAGGAGACAGGGGCGCAGACCCAGCACAGCAGCCTACCTAGGGTGGGTTCAGTACATATAGGCCGGTGGGCTATGTAACGACAGCATGGCTTCAAATCATAGCCAAGTAAACAGAGTATTTACGATGCAATCAGAGGAAACAGACTTATATACCATCACATGTAGCGAAAAGTAAATATCGACCGTCATAGTAAGTGCGTATACCTAGTACCTACACGATCCAATCTTATGAAACATGTGCCAATGCACATAATCAATGGACTAATCATTCAGATTATTAGTCGATCTACTTTCAACAGCTGCAACGTTAGACTGTTGTAATTATAAGTGCGCTATAGCCCGTCGAGGGGGCCTTGGTCGACGTTATACTCCAAACTGGTCAGCAGTTATGGAACTCAGCACATACCTACATATCGAACTGTTCTTGTGGAGTATCTAAGTCTATTATAATCACTAATCAGCAACCATCTCCCGCGAATGTAGGAGGTGAAAAAGATGCCAGGTGAGCTTGCAGGCTATCTAAATACGGGGTGATCGCATGGAGGTTGTTGAAATCCTTACCAGGGAATTCCGAATCATCAACCATACAATCCGCAAAGACTGCAAAACGTCATACATTATGGTACAGATCGTCTTGCGATCAGAAGTACATTTACTAACTACACAAAAGCAGATTGAGAGTAAAAAAACGCTGTTCGCTTTAAGAACAGTTCTAGACCAAAAGTTGCAGAATAAATAACGTAAAACTTTAAACATAAGCAAGGTGACGATACAATTTGTACAGAAAATCCGAGCGTAGGATCACAAACCGTAAAAAAACTTCTAAAACTAAGCAAAAAAGACGATTATGTTAAAAATGTTCCTCGAGTATTATACAAAGAGCACGAACAGCAGCAGGTCGCCCTATTCATGGTGCACACGTCTTACACTAAATCATCAAGTAAATATAAATGCCCACACCTTAGAATAAGCAGATATAATGTTTATGTACAAAGGAACGCACATATAATTCTTATGTACAAAGGACACAAGGATGTTGCATTGGCAGATACTTTGCCCACACAAGTGTAGGTTGGTGTGCGCTTTCTGTGTAGCATGTAACACACACCCTAAAAGCGTGCTGAAATATAGCTGATTTGACCGTGGATTTAGTCGTTTCCACTATCTACAATTCGCAAATGTAGCGACACGACTTGTAGCGAAGCTTCTAAGACACTGCTGAGCAAATGACCAAATGTTATTTGCCAAATATACAATGAAGTTGTGTTGAATGAAAGTTTTGGCCGATTTTTGCGTCCAATATATACAAAATAAGATAATATATGCGGCGGCGTGAATTTTCTACATAATGGCCATGACCGAGCCCGATTAGCTACCGACTGAAAGTAGAGCTAAATTCCTACTGCACTAGAAAATATACAAATACTACCTACGTACCCATTTCTGGAAAAGGAAAACGAGCACAAAATGTTCATGGCGTTGCACGGTGTGAGAAGATCTGTCGACGTCACAAAAAATACTTTGGGAGCATTATCGTTCGGGTACCGAAGTTAAGGGTATTTATAATTAGTATACACATAAGTATGCTTTTAGGCACGTCAATTTAGCTAGCATTAAAAACTATAAAAAAACTTATAACACCTGCATAACAAAACTTGTGCGGTGACCTTTAGGTACATAAAACACCACAGGCACACCTTGTCCTCATCTCGAAATTAAACAGGCCAGCATCAGACTAAAACGTTTAAGCAGACAAATGACAATTGCATCGTTTAAATTTCGAACATGGACACAATTAATGAATACAAAGAACACGTCATATTCACTTCTCAATAACTTTACGAAGATATTTTGTGTTACAAGAAAGATTGACATGCAAATGAGAAAAACGATTCGTCAAATTATCGCAAAACGGAAGACAGATGACCATTTGATACGACGCTGACCGATTTTATTTCGAGACGAGATCAGGTGCACGTAGCAAAAATAGGTTAGTCGCACGGCGCGGTGCTCCAAATCCAAAACAGCAAACAACACTGGGATAGCCCAACGACAAAACACCAACCCCGCGACTGAGTCCACAGGGGACCTACCTCGAATGTCCTTGGAGAACTTTTTGCACTCGATGTCCATGTTTTCGACGTTGATTTCCTTCCACGGGGTGCCCTTCCAGTCCTCGATGCTGTCCCGCACGATAAACACCTGATCCCAGAGGTGCTGCGGACACAAACACGGGGCCGAGCATGATTCGGTATTGACTGTACAAAGCGACTTGCACTCTGCTATCAGGAAAGCGGTAATAATGCAGGAATTGGTACAGTGCGAGGGATTAATTTGTTTAGGAGACGATTATTTACACTAATATAAGTTTTTATTTTGACCTCGTAACAATATTCTAAAACAGCTTATAAGACATACAACCCCGCACCGGTCGCCTACCTTGGCGAGTCGGACTTCTTTCCTGCACATTTTCAGCTGTTTGAAGTCGGGAATCTGGACCTCGAACAGGGCGGCCGAGGCCGAGATCTTAGCCAGCTCCGTCTCCATGGCGTGAATGGCCAGGTGGGTGCTGTCCAGGATCTCGTACGGCGTCGAACAGTCGTACCTGGCGAGGCAGGGGGGAAGGGAGTGGGTGAGGAAGCTGGTCCTCTGAAATTTTATTTGCATTTTGGTGTTATACGATAGGCAAAATATTAGTGGCCGTTAAGAAAGATGATGTTGGGTATTTGGGACAAAATGTTTGATTGTCGGCTCCTTTGGCGTGGCATTGCTTGGTTCTTGGCATGGGCTACTTACCACAGAAAAACAAGTAACTGGCAAGAAGCTTTTATAGAAGTACTGCATTATTCTGCTATGATGTGCTCCCATATTTTGACTATCTGGAGTTCATACCTACTCTAAAACCTATAGATTGGCAGACAGGAGTGCCAAGGGCTTTTATGGCACCTATTCACATTTACTATTCATTTTTTACTATCTGCCCTTCAACCTTCACGGGCCCTGAGCCAGCGGCACTGCAACCAGCCACGGAGCAGTTCATGGCTGCAACTGGCATCGAGACTGTTCCAGAACGCCCGGCGGCCAGCCTCCAAAAGACCTGGGACGACATCGCGTCAACTGTCATCGCTAACCGCCTGATCGCCGGAGCCAATCAGATACATCGCGCTCGTCTCGGTGCTGCTTGTATGCCGCATACTGCAGCCTGGCTGCAAGCACCTCCAATCCCCAGCCTGGGACTGTACATTGATGATGAGACCATTCGTATAGCGGTAGCCCTCCGACTAGGCCTGCCCATCTGTGAGCCCCACCAATGCAAGCTATGTGGATGCCCTGTGGACAGGCTGGGACACCACGGCCTATCATGCAAGAAGAGCGCCGGTCGCTTCCCACGGCACGCAGCCCTAAATGACGTCATTAAACGAGCACTGGCAAGCGCTGGCGTACCATCGGTCTTAGAACCTGTGGGGCTAGACAGAGGAGATGGAAGGCGCCCCGACGGACTGACAACGTTCCCCTTCAGTGCCGGTCGAAGCCTCACATGGGACGCCACATGCGTTGACACGTTTGCTGAGTCACACGTGGTGAAGTCTGCAGTGGATCCCGGCGCAGCTGCAGCCGCCGCCGAGAACCTGAAGCGCATGCGCTACGCCAGTCTTGCAGACCGCTACATCTTCACTCCAGTAGCAGTGGAGACTACCGGCGTAGTCGGAGAAGCAGGGTCAAAGCTGCTCCGGGATATCGGCGGTCGGATTTCTGCGGCGACTAAGGACCCCAGAGAAGTGTCCTGGCTTCTACAAAGAGTCTCGATAGCAATCATCCGGGGAAACTCCGCCGCCATCCTCGCCACAGCCCCTCCTGAAGCTGGTCCCCATCACGTTGGGTGTGTCGCAGGACGCGCGTCTGGCCCGGCAGAAGAGTCGGACTCAGCCGTAGACGCAGAAGTAGCTCCACCAGCTTCTTCATCAAAATCCAGCGTATTTGGCCAGCTCATCGAGAATGGGAGAAAGCTAGCCCCAAGCGACTTCGAGGTTCCATGGGGCGAAATATTTGGTGCAAAACCAAAGCACTAACGGCATATGAGTGGTAGTGTCTAGTGTGTCATCAAACGTACAAGGAACTGTAATAACTATGGAACCATGAAATGATCAATAATCATACACTAAAGAGCTTTTACAAGTAACTCAAAAAATGGCGTTGGTATTATGCAACTATTTTCAAACTACTTTAAAATCATTTGCTTATGGCACAAGTCTAAAAAAAAAATACATGTCAACGCACAGGACTGGAAGAAGCTTTTTGTTTTGTTTTCATAGATCGTTTATCCACAATGCCTCAAGCAGATATTTTTACATCATTAAATACAGCAGCTATGTTGCAGTATGTCCAGATCTGATAAGCACGTCACTACAACTATTGCCGTAGAAACAAAGCGTTACGAACAGAAACCCACAAACACATACAAACACATACTGGTGAGAGACGAGACACGGTGTTCGCTGGTGGAGTAGAAGCATGTGTTTACAATAAGTGTAGATAGACACGGACAGACACTCAATGCACAGACAGAAACACACAGACGGATACAGACAGACAGACAGACATACAGACGGGCACAACAGATGGACATACAGACAGACACACAGACGGTCACACACAGACGCAGATTTCCACAAAGCGGCCAGTACTAATTACGGTACCGTGTGGCCGCCTTTCCCGACTTTGTGAACTGCAGCGGACGCGTGTCACTGAAATGCCCACAGCAGTCAGCAGAGGGTGAACTTCACCGCCGTCATTACACTCGTAGCTAAATGGACCAGAGATTTTCAGCCATTTTCTGTTATCAAGAGCGAGTGCGGTAAAATGCCACGGACGAAAGCGGAAAATTATCCTGTCGTTCCGGTCAACTTTATCAAATATGTCGCGATTCATGCCTTAAAGGTGAGCAAACTATCCCTTTTGAACTTAAGTTCAGTTAAAAGTTCGTAAAAATCAGGCAGCTTCGTCACGGGTCCCGCTCAAATATTGGTCTGTCAATTGTAATTCCCAGGCACCTCCATCGTTCCTTTCCAAGAAAGACCCCCTCCCCGTCCCCACCGGTCTGGCCGACACCCACCTGAAGACGAGCAGCTTCCTGAAGGCCTCCCTGTACTCGTGCTGTCGCAGCTCGAAGCTGGCGATGCTGCGCCTCACGTTGGCCACTTCATTGGCCTGCAGCGGCGCCACCTGCTGCTTGGCCTGTATGCCGAGCTTCACTGTGTTCCGCCACTTCTCCGGTAACTCCTGGTGGTGGGAGGGAGGGGGAGGGGAGGGTCAGATCAGATGACTCGAGGCGGGACGAGGGAGGGCAAGGGGCGGGGCTCAGACGCCAGGGCAGGAGGGAGTGGAGATCGAATGACACGACCGAGACAGGACAGAGTGGAAAGAGGGGCGGGGAAAGGAGAGTGACGCCGTTCGGTGACAGGAGCGGGGTCGTGTGGCCGGGACGGAGGTAGGGGCGGGGCGAGGTGAAGGGTGAGGAGTGCGGATCCAGAAGTGGTGCCGAGCGAAGATAAACGCGGCTGTTGGTCACTTGGTTCGTCAGTGAGTAGTGAGAACCGGCAAAGAAGAAGCGCAGACCATACGGAGAGACGGTTCGCGGAGAAAACATTCGCGTGGTATAGCGCAACAGCGGAACGGTAAGTAATCACGCTTCGAAAGTGTTAAGAAAAATGAACATGAGACAGTCTAACTGCCCGACTGACGAGACGTCATCAAATGTGACACAACCTGGAACGACCGCCCCCCCCCCCCCACACACACACACACTTATGCTCATCTCCCTTCCCTCCGACACCAGCCGTATTTTTCCGTCCCCACCGACCTGCAGCTGGAGGTGAATCTCCTCGGCCATCTCGACATCATACGTCTTGAGCAGCTCGATGGTCTGTTTGAGCGGCTCGAACATGGTGTTGGTGGCCTCTGTGCGCTCCTTGACGGCCATCAGGTGGGCCATCATGGTGACCAGGCCCTGGTAGTCGCCCTCCTGCACCTGGTTCAGCAGGCCCGCGTCCGTCACCGTGATAAAGTCCGCCAGACCCTGCAGGCTGTGGAAGGGGGACGGGGAAAGGCAGGAGGTTAGAGTGACCAAAGACTTGTATTCAAACGAGTATATCGCGGGTATAACATTCGCTCGGAGTCTTCAACGGTCTTCAGAGTCTTTCACGCATGCTTCATCCAATGCTAAGTGATAGTAGAGTGTTATACGTGTACGGGGTGAAAATAATTCGAGCCGGCAAGATCTTAGTGCCGTTATAAGACAGCCTGTGATACTGGAGGTGTCGTTTCGAACAAGCAAAAATTATGTCAGTCGTCTTCACATTTTCAACTGCAACCACACAGTACCCTGCCCTCTCCTTACTCACCTATTCGTCACATGGTCGATGAGATACTGTTTGAACAGCAGGCTCCATCGTTTTATCGTGTTGAGAAGGGCCGCCTTGAACGGCTTACAGTCGAGTCTGAACCAGGTATCGAAGGTAACCACTGGCTCGACTTGTTCCATCTCCAGATAGAGCTTCTCGTAGCTGTCGATCTGTTCTTTGAACTGGTCCAGGGTGGGCGCGGCCTCGGGAATACCGTCCTCACCGAACTGTTCGATCTCGTCCGGCGTGATCTGGTGGCCGTACCTGAAGGACGCAGAATACAGTGGTAGAAAAGAGCGTGAGAGGAATAATTTAGGGTGGGTAGGAAGAACGTGGTAGATTGGAGTGTATTACAGGGAGCGCAGTGGACAAAAGGTGGGTAAGTGGGTGTGGTGGATGGGGCTGATGGTGAAAAGCGGAACAGCGTCGGGCGGTCGGAGCCAGTACGGATATAGACTTACGATTTCCAGAGAATCCATGCATATTCCACAAGTTACAAACGAGGCACAGCAGCTCACATCATCGACTCAACAACAACTCAGACTCCCAAAGGCCTTAACACTAGGTTCCCATTTGCAGTTGTCTCGGTCGCTGAGCAGGGACTCACTTGAGGAACTGTTCCATAAACTCAGCCCGGTCGTCGGTCCACAGGTAGCTGTGCTGGTCCAAAGAGTTGCGGTAGTTCTTGGCCTGAGCAGACACACGGAACGATGGGTTAGGCGGGCGCACCGCAAATAAAATGAAAAACACTTAACACACTCATACTTTTAAGCAGCTGGTAATTGTGACCGTGCCAATTTATATGTAGTTCAGCAGCTTTGGCCAATGGCAACTTCAGTTGACAAACCCAAATTGTCATGGCCCTTCCCTCACCTCATTCGGCTGATTGACGATTTTCATTTCACTTCCGTAGCTTACTTCTATCTTTCCCTTTGGCAAACTCCAAACACTGGAATCCCCTCGCTCCTGACATACCTGGCTGATGACGCTGTGAATGTTATTCATCAGCAGGTTGCGCATCTCTCGCAGCCGCTCGTTCTCCTCCAGCTCCTCCAGGTAGGACTTTTGGTGCACCTTGCGCGACAGCTTCTTCATCAGCGTGGACATGTTGAAGATGTCGGACACGATGCCCTCGGTGATGTCCAGGAAGCCGTTCTCGTCCTGCAGAGACCGGAGAGACTTAAGAGCATGGACAGTGGACACGCTGGTAGTTTGCTAAAAACGTCGGACGTCGGACGGAGGACAAAATATCTCCGCTGTCCCTGAGCTCGTTGGCGTGACATACGCTAATTTCTATACAATAACCGTTATTTCAACATCAATGTAAACAGGATGGCAGCAGCAGGTCGACAGCTCCGTCTTCAAATCCGGCTGAGTGGACTGTCATTAGTAGGTTGAGCAGAAGATCTTTATCCGATTATACTCAATGGATTTTATTGTGGAATGAGTCGGAGCTGACCTGATAGTCGAGTGACGGTTTGAAGAGGACGTTGGGCTCGATGAGCTCGAGTCGCGCCTCCATCAGTGGCTGGGTGTTGATCTTGGGGTCGGTGTTGTCCAGTAGGTAGCCCATGCTGCACTGCACCACCTTGGCAAACTCGTCCACCACAATACCTGACGCACGGTGGAGGGATGTAGCTCAGATTACGCTAAAAAAGCACGGCTGACAATATAGCATCAAGTAGAGGATCGTATCGGTTAATGTGCTTTGAAGGCAAGTGAAGATGCTTGCGCTATAATTCATGAACATCGCCCAAAGTCTTTTACGATATATAATAAGCGATCTTACTTTATTCTCGTAATCACTAGCCAGCCGGTCGCCACCGCCTTACCGTCGACATAGTGTACGTAGTGCCTCCAGGCGCGCGACTTTCCGTCGGCCTTCAGGTAAATCTTGTTCTCCCGCACCAGTCGGTGGATCTTCTCACCAGCCTTGGTGATGGCAGCGTACCTGTAGCGAGTGACGGTCGGTGGGTGTGATAGATAAATACGAGAGAAGGGTTGGTGAATAAGGGAGAATCTCAGTGAAAAGCAGTGATGTCGAACTTTATTTACCGGTGACCTGCAAGGGTAGTGAAAGAAGCTCCTAAGAAAAAAGGATTTTCATTACACTTGGCCAAAATTAAAGCAAGAAAGACGAACTCGAACATAGTCTCGGCCTTCATTCATCATAACTTGTGATCGACCCTATAATTAGCTCGATATTGATTAAATCTCACGTTTTCTTGAGTCTCTCCTCCTTCTCCTCGAGGTTGAGCAGTGTGTTCTGTCGATCCTCCTTCCGCTCAAACAGAGGCTTCGAGGCGAAACCGAGCAGCATCTCTGAAAACCAACGGACAGATGTAAATCTAAATACCGCCAGCACATGCTGTTATATTTACAAACGAGGCATTTCATGCTTTTTAATGTATCATTGTATTCTGTACTGTCAACCCAGCTGCATCTGGTATGTACCATGGGTTAACCTTGGCAAGAGTCGGTACGACTTTAGCTGCACTGGTCACTGTTTTCTCTCGCTGCGCTATACAACGCGTTTCCAGCCACGTTCATGGTAAGAGAAAAGCCATAAAATGCGACATACCTCGTATGACCTCCAGGTTTCTCTGCGACTTGGATACCCGGTTGGACAGGTCCATCACGAGGTCTCGTGTCTCCTGAATGTAATCCCAGGCGTCTGGAGCACATGAGAACACATTAGACTGAGTCTGTCTGCAATGAATAATTAGTCGGGTTATCACAGACCAAAGTATCATGAATGGTGAGCGACAACTCTCTTCTGCTGGATAGCAGTTGTCCCATCTTTATGAGCGGTATAAAACCCACTGAGCATGGTGTCTCATCCAGCACAACTTTGTCAGCAACTAGCCAACTAGCCACTCATTCCCCGGACCTCCCTCCCCACGCTCGCCCCTACCGCACTCACCGTCACTAGTCCAGCAGAGTTCGTCGACGGCCTTGGCCAGCTGCTCGTCGATGGCCTTCACCTGGTTCTCGATCAGCTTGAACTCGACCCGCTGCGTGTTACGGCGCAGGTTGTTGTATCTGTCACATACAGCGAAATGTGTCGTTACAGCGGGATGTGGAGTTACAAGGTGGTCAACTGAAAGCTGAAGCACAGCTCTGTGAGTTGTTCAGATTGCTATAAAAAAGATTTCCTCAACTAGCCAACACCACCAAGCATATGAACACTTCTTCACAAAATTACTATCGAGCTCAGCAATGTGTCACTTTTTAAACTGTACACAAGTGTATTAATTGGAGACTCTTTGTTTCTCATCACTGACTGAAGCCTCCGTACATCAGCTCTCCAACAACTGCGGCCGTCCGGCCATCCCAGGCCGTCCCGCGCGCCACTCACGAGATACAGATGAGCTCGAGGTTGGAGACAAACTGTCTGTACATCATGGCGTTGTCGTCCATCCTGCCGGCCTCCTCCGGTATGTCGTCCCGCTCCAGCTGCCGCAGGTACTTGACCTCGCGAAGGATACTCACCAGCTGGACGGGCGCGGGGGAGAAGTGGACTTTTAGTAGGGACCTTACGAACTTCTCAAAAAGCTATATTGGCTTGTCAAGGGGTTCTATGAACTCCTGAAAGGGTTGTATGGACTCTCGAGACTCCACAACTCCGGGATCGCGATGAAGCCAGGGGCAAGTGCTACAAGTATAGTGGCAGCGCATCGGGATCAGTAAAATGTTAACGCATTGATCAGTCAGTGATAAATTATTCACCCTGTTTTTACCGACCCCATCGTCAAACTCATTAGCCGTCACCCGGCCTCCTGGATCCAATATCCCTTCACCTACCTGCAGGTCGAAGTTGACCTCGACCACGTTCTCGCTCCTAGTGATGAGCGGCAGCTGCAGTTTACTGAGGATCAGCTCCGTGACGCCAGCCTGCCAGTCGTCATAGACGGCACGCTCCCGTTCGGCCAAGAGTGTTACGAGGTCGTCGTACTTGGTGTACAGGTGCTGGGCCGAGTCGCACTCGATCACACTGTCAGGGGACAGGGGAGCAGGGACAGGGAGGGTGTTATGTGATGGATGTCCGCGGTTTCGATAGGACGAATAAAGTAGACACATCAAAGCCTGGAGAGTGAAGCATTTTTTTTCACAAAATGGTAATAGATTTAATGTCAAACATTGGTACAAAAATAATGCAGACCATCCGAGACTAAATGATATAATAAAAGTAAAAATAGCGATTTAGTTTGAGCAATACTTCACAGCGTGACAAAGGACGGGTAGAAAACAAAACATTGATTTTGATTTGCATGCAACTGAGAGGTCATTTCGCTCAGCTCGCACAGAATTAATATCGTGTGAAGGAAAGTGGCTTGATATTCACATGGAAAATAAATAACAATTGGACCTTAGAATTATACACTCGCATCCTCAATGAGCATCTGTTATGAGGACATTTCGATAAATATAGGCGTGGTTGTAAAGGCATAACGCTAATAGGCTTCGTAGCACAATGATGGATTGGTGCGGCATATTCAATTTAAACCGAACGATATAGGTAATGTTTGCAAATATGTACACACATTTCTTCAATGGCGTCGAAATCACTTCACTGGTCGACTCGAGTTAAAAAAAAAAAAGAAGGTTGGGTAGAAATAATTTTTTACAGCAGATGATGAAAATGTTTCCACCATTACCTATGAGGAAGTTTTGTGTAGTATGCTACATAATAATTGCACATGGTGAGGGAGAATCAGATGGTCAAAATACATAAATACACAGCCTGGGCAGCTGGGTCGTTGCTGCTCCTTGTTTACCGTTGAGGAAGCAGCGGCTTTCCAATCTGCCTGTGGTCAGTCAGTAAATCTCAGCACGTAAGTCGATATTCTTGCTACGTTGCCAGTCGTCACCGACTCACCCTCATTAACATTCACATGACAAAGTTTCGGGGAACCAACTGATCACAGCCTATCAAAATACACATCTTTCTGCTTCAGATTTCCTGCTACACAAATACAGAACAGACGCATTAATTGAGGCGCTTTCAGTAACAGCCGGGTGTCTTATTGCGCCCACATCCAAACATCAAAAACAGCTGATCAATCAATAGTACGGCAAAATCACCTTACAAAATGGGAATTCCAGGCTAAGCATCACTCTGAGCCCAGTCAACATTTTATCCCTTCCACCCACAGACCGTAACCACTACAGTCTCGTCTACCCAAAAAGCATCCCTCTCCCTCCCCTCCGGCCTCCCCCCCCCCCCCCCCCCAGCTACCTCTCGTCCCTCCCGCCCACTCATGACTCACGGGTGCTCCAGTCCTCGGAAGTTGCTGATGGTGTTATCCACCCGTCCTCGCAGCTCGGACATCCACTTCAGCAGGCCGGCCACCGGCGGCATGTTGTGTCCCAGCTGCACCGAGCCGGCCTCGGCCAGCGCCATCTGACGGTCGTACACCACCTGTACGGACCGTATGCGGCGTTAGTACGGCGTGGGATTGTACGGACGGAAAGGGTTCAGCCAGGTTGACACTTGTACGATTTTATGGCACGCCGACTCGAGTCGTGCAGTGCGCAAACTAGCCGTAAACTGACATGAGCTATGCGTAAACTCGTCGCGACTGCGCACGATGTCGGGACGGAAACTTCGAAATGTTTAAAATTTTGTTAACGACTAAATTTTACGACCGTGGCCTCGTTTCATAAAGCGAGTCCGTAACTTACGCCGGTTTTTGGGCTTGTATTGCAAGCGCATGTGAAGCGATAAATGTATTTCCCCTTCTCCCTTCTGTTCTTGCTTGCAAGATAAATAAATTCAACGATTCAAACTATCGTCATCGCTTAACATGCACTTGCAATACAAGACCAAAAACCGGCGTAAGTTACGGACTCGCTTTATGAAACTGGGTCCGTGTCGCAAACTATTCACAAACTGTTCGTGAACTCGTTCCGGGTCGATGCGGGGAATGTGTGCCAATGCGTGACAAAGCGCGCCATGCCACGACTTTCTCGAACTGCCACGAAGAGCTTGCGAACACCCCACGTCGCATTCACGAATAGTTCATGACATGTTCACGAATCGGTGGGCATCGCAACTCGTCAACAGCCTTTCATTAACAATTTTCACCTTTGCCTCGTCCAGCTCGGTGTACCGTGTAATTGTGTATCATCTGAAGCAACAGCGTGTCATGCTTAGTGTCAGTGTGTACTGTGTGCTGGGTGTCAGGGTTAACCATGGTGTCAGGGTGTCACGTCTTATGATGTCTTTACCTTGGCCTCGTCCAGCTCGGTGTGTATCATCTGTAGCAGCAGCGTGTACTTGGAGTCAAAGTTCTCCCGTATGACGGGCCGCTCCAGCAGCGTCCCGCACATCGTGATCAGCTGTAACGAAATGCAGACACGGGACTTAAGATGAAAAGAATACATCCCACGAGGAAAGAATAGGAAACAAAAGCAATCAAATACCTGGGGTACTTGACCTGGTTGCTTGAATGGTTGTGAACAATTACCTAAAAAGATCAAATATCGTTGCAGTCATTATTCTTAAATGCCATCACAGATATCATATATTACCATTACATATTTTGACACACGGTCACATACACAATTCATCACTATTCGGAGCACCGTCACATTTTTGTCCAATACCTTGAAGGCCGACTCGCTGCAGACGCAGTCGTCGTAGGCCTGGCAGACGCAGGTGGCCATGCGCCGGTCCAGGTCCAGCACCCGGGCCGTGAACTGTTCGTAGTCGGCTACAAACGACTCGTCGTCCGGGTCCAGACAGTCGTAACTCTGACGATGAACGGGCGAGATGAGGGGTTGAATATGTAGAAATAACTGTGATGAGGGATGTAGGCCTAGCGAGAAGAGTGCGAACTAACTAGTTCGGTAAGATACGGGTAAGACTTCGATAGCTTGCTTTGGCAAGTCTATCGAAAAAAGTCAAACTGTTCGAATAAAATTAGCTTGAAGTGGGAAATCGCGATCCTTCCTTGAAATGAGACGTTGAATAAAACGTATTTGAAGAAATATTTCTAAGAGACGAGGGCTTATAGCTAAATGACTTTTGAAAGCCTCATGTAGCCATCTATCTAATATCCTCGCCAGCGGCACAGCATGCACCGCCCAGTCCTCCCTTTAGCCACTCACCACTCCGGCGAAGTGGGCGTAGTGTTCGTTGAACTGGTTGAAGACGACCACCACCTCTGAGCTGAGCGCCTTGCCGCGGATACCACCCACCTCCACCTTCTCCAGCTTCAGAAACTCCAGAGACGTCTCGAAAAACTCCTATAAGGAGGCAGGAGGGCGGATCATGAATCGGTGAAATTAAGTTCAGCCGTCACAGACGGCTCATCGAAGAGAAAAGAATCATGCTCTCGAGGTGATTTTAGATGCCTCCTAAGTTCTTAGACTTCGTTCTAAGCTAACTGAGATGTCTGAGCTGTCCTTTGATTTCTGAGAAGCACCGACTAATAACTGATATATTGAAAAGCCGACACATTAGAGCACATACCCCCCCCCCCCCCACTCCTTCTTCTCTCCTCTTCACACCTCCCTGGCCCAACCTCTCCCCCGTTACCACACATTCTCACCTTGATGGTTTCCAGCCGCTTCACGAACCGGTTGAAGCGGGAGAACACCAGCTCCGGCTGGAACTCCCACAGCTTGACGTGCTCGGCAGACGGGAAAAACTTGGGCAGCTTCTCCTTGTACTCCTCGTATACTTGTCTGCCGATCGGGGGCAAGGTGTGACCGGTGAGATGTTGAACGTCAACACAAGATACATACATATGCGAGATTAGTATCCAGATGATGCTCAGTTGATCTAGCTCAGTTGGTTAGAGCGTTGGACTCCGCGTGGTGAGAGCACGCGTTCCCGGTTATGACAGTCCGTGTTCGAAGCGCGACGGGCGCTCGACATTTCTGGGCCTCCTGACAGGTATGATTGCGGTTGGTGGCAGGCCGTAGCCAGGCGAAGTCAGCGAGGGGACCGGCCGTGCGCGGCTTTGTGCGCACGTTAAACTTTGGACTCTAAATTCTGCCATAGAATCGGAATTGCGCGATCGGAGGGTAGAGGGCAGGGTCATCGCAACAAGCTTCGCTTAGCGGTGGCTCTGTCCTTGTGAATCCTTCCCATCAAAAGGTTCGGACTAAATTCATAAAAAATGATGTTTTACTTCGACTGTATAAAGGCAATATTGGTACGCCTGCACTTAAATGACACTAAGAAACATATTAGTGCGAAGTCTGACTAGCGACGCATGACGGTTTAACCCGCGCCCCGTAGGGCTACCGGCGGACCCTACCACCCGTAGGGGGGGGGGGCCGTTTCGGCCCCCCCTAAGATCTCGGAAAGTTACCGGCCGATTTTCAAAATTCGAACGGCGTTCGATAGCCCCACCCGGGAACTACCTTGTGACCAAATTTCATTGACCTAGGTCAAACCGATGACGTCACAGGTCAGGTCAAAGGTCAGATTTTCACCGTTCACAGGCATTTCAAGAAATGTGTTGTGAAATCGAGTTAATTGGTAATTTATTGAAAGCCATCGATGGTACATTGTTCGTCAAACACATACTTTGCTATCTGAGGTCACTGATACCAGGTCAGGTCACAGCGAGGTCAGGTCACCGGGGCCACAATATGAAAGTGTCGTGTGATACATGTTTTATGGTCCATTTTACATGACAAATGCGATTATGTGGGTTAGGCAGCCTTTGGGGCCAGCCTACTATGCATTTCAGACCCCATGAGACCCTAATTTTCGGCGATAATTTCTTCAATTTTTGTCCAATTAGCTTGAAATTTTGGCAGACGATATTTCAGCTCAAGCGCCAATTTTTGTCAATATGGTCTCTTAACAAAATATCAAAATTTAGAGCACTTGTCGTTGGCTCGTAATGTTAATCAGTTTTTGCACCCGGATAGAGGCTCGCTCGCTACCGCACCGGATTGGATAGGAGCGCTGGCCAATCACGTTGCGCCGGGCCCAACTAAACTCCGCCCACTGGCCGTGACCGCGATGGGTCTATGCCGCTTCAGTCGGTGTCAGCACCGCGGAGAGGTCGGAGCGGGACCACATACTGGAGACAAGTGAAGCTGGCAAAGTTGTTTCGGGACGAAAGCCAAAAAATTATCCGTTTGAGGGCATTTGGTATCCTCTTCAACTTATTTTGGTATCTAAACGTCGAACCAGCTCAGAATATTCAGAATGATCAGAATCAGGGTAGGATCTATTGGAACGGAACCGGCCGTAGAAGGAAAGATGGAGAGACTCTTGGACTCTGAGCATTTATTTAAGCCGGAGTTGCACCTATCTCATCGTCAGGTTGGGTCAGGTCACTAGCCGATTACCTATAAGATCATGTGTAAGCCTCTGCTTGACCCAAAAATATTGATATATTTGGCAGTGCCTATAAACGTTTCTGAGGAAGGCGCAGAAAGCAACCAAGTAGGATGAAGAGTCTCGGGCACGGCCGATTGCCTGGGGCATCGCTCCAGCGAAACGACCGTATTCGTGATTCGTGAAGCGGTGCGGGGCGCCGGGTGGGGCAGCAGCGTAATGTGTCGTATGGTAGAAATGGCCTTTATCGCGGTGTCATGTGTGTGTTATATTGTTAAGAAGTGCACAAAATGAAATAGCAATGTGGCAGGCAGACGTTGGGCACTACACGAGAACGATCATCAATAAACTCGTATCTTTTTTGTAAAACTTAAGTAACAGTAGGTATGTCCTCAATGGTGAGAAAACTATCTCTAGGCTTTTACTTTCCATGTTTGCATTTCAACACACAAGCTCTGGGGGCAAAGTTAGTCTGGCGACCTCCTTAACCTAAGTCGATGATGAAATGGATTAGTCCTGAAGGTGTTCAATGCTTAGTTGCACCGGGATGATATAAATCGATCACGCCGGCATACATTCCTAATCAAATTTCATATATCAAATACATAAATTGCATCATGTTAATGGTGATTCTGTTTTGCAATTTTGACGTAGTCTGACGCGATATATAATCTTACGCAATCATTTGAAATCAACAGCGTTTTTTATGCGCGTTTTTTCACAAGCCCCGAATCTTGTGTGGAAATATACATTTCTTGTGACTGAACAAGGTGTACGTACATTTGTGATAGATACGATTAGTCGAGGGCTTCAGCTGGTGCGTTAATTATACGCGCTATTTAGCTCATTCGATGAAATTACGGCTGCAACGACAACTGCACGGCAGCTACGGCCCATGCGAGCCGCCCCGGTGCGACAGCTACTGCCCCGCCCGCTCCACGCAGCCGACTGACCGGCCAAGGTCACTACCCCGTCCGCCGGGAGGGCGGAGCTTAATGGTCACGTGTTTGTGACGTCACACCTACGCACGGATAGCCTCTGCTCCACTGACGGATTTACGGAGCCGATTTTAACATTACGAGGCAACGACAAGTACCCTAAAATTTGATATTTTATTAAGAGACCATATTGGCGAAAATTGGCGCTTGAGCTGAAATGTGCATTGTGAAAATTTGAAGCGAATTGGACAAATAGTAAATAAATTATCGCCGAAAATCAGGGTCTCATGGGGTCTGAAAAGCATAGTACAGGGTGTCCCAGAATTACCCGGACATTGTTAATTAGCGTATAAAATAAGGCAAACATGATTGCGCTTTTTTTCTTTTTATTGTCCTATATAGTCAACTAGGGTGGCTGTGAAGTAGCACATGCAATAGATGCGCTTGTTACAAGATCAGCCGACAATGATTGAAAATGCCAGCCATTGCTGGTCTCAGTTGTTTTACGGCTCTCCCGAAACTGGGTGAAGGCCTGTTTTCTTTGACCTGTTGCCGGAGGATAATACGATCATATAAGATAAACTTAACATCAAAGTGTTCCCAGGTCATAAGGCATTATCCCCCAAAACAAAAATTGCTGCCTACACCACTTTTGCCGCGTTTTTTACATCTGAAGTGGAGAAACTCCATGTCTGAACATGGCAGGACCTTTGGCTTCCAACAGATTTGGTTTCCAAAACAAACCCGTTCATGGCCATTTGGCTTACGGCATCCAGTTTTTTTAGTGGTAGAATATTACCGCAGTAGTACTCTGTGCTAACGGTTGTCTTTGGGCCATCATATCAAGCCCAATGAGTGCACGGTGGCTCAAAATGTCTCACAATTTGATTTTCGACGGGTGCCTGGCCGTCTCTGCTGTTGGGGCGTTGTAGTCATCTGACGTTCACACACGCCTTTTTCGGGCGGTTCAAATGACAGAATACCTTCGTTAGACCACAAAGTGTGTGCTTCAATTTAATTTTTGGTTGTATATATTATATTTTTGGGGTGAATTGTAGTGATTTTCGCTGCTTTTCCCGTAGTTTTCGCATATTTTTCAGGCGAGGGACCCCAAGGCCCAAATTCCAAAATTTTGCGAAGATAGTGGTGGAAAGTAGACTGATGTTCTTTAGATAATCCTGATCTATCGTTTAGCTAGTTTTTAGCTAGATCAGTGTCCAGTGACGTTTGTTGTCCATGACAAGCAACCACCCGTTTGACAACTGGTGCATGGCCCTTTTTGGCCGAGCCCAAGCTTGTCAATCAGGTTTATCTCTTGCTCTCTCTGGCTTCGTTAGCTGATATAATTGCGCTTTGCTCAATCCTAACTGCTTGCAGATGAGCTGCTGAAGCTCTCCAGCAAAAACCATGCCGAAAGTCCGTTTACAAAGTTGAAAACGGGAGTTGATTCACCATGGTTGCCTATTAGTGGCTTAAGCTGAAAACGGAAAAGTACTACTCTTACTTGACTCTGGATAATACTTGACTCGAGTCGTTACCGGTCACCAAAAGCACACAGTCCCCAAGCTCGATAGCTAAGGGATATCTTATAAAAGTATGATGCTTGTATATCATTAGAATCGAGCGCAATCGTACTTTTAGCCAGAAAATAAATGTCCGGGTAATTCTGGGACACCCTGTAGGTCACGTTTTGGTGAAGGTCAGGTCAAGGTCAGGTCAAATAAGGTCAAATTTCAAAGTTGATATTTTTGCATAAAATGGGTATCTATTCGATGCAGCTCGTCACGGGGAGTCTAATGGTGGTCTTTGTTTTGCTCTACGAGGTCTAAAACTGCCAAAAATTGAGTTTGAAAATTTGACGTCATCAATTTTGAACAGTTTTTTCGCTATAACTTGGCCAAAAAACGAGGTATCGATTTAAAATTCGGTATGTAGATAGAAGACGGTAGGTACTATCACATATATTCCGTTTTTTTTTTTTGAAACTCAAAAAACTTTTTGGATTTTTTGGCTAATATATCTAAAAAAAATGTTTTTTTTGATTTTGGGGGTTCAAAACTCAAAAATTTCAAAAATCCGAGATAGCAGTTTTGTAGCCCTGTCAATTCTACACCTTTTATGTCCTGATCATTTTTCTGTATCTTCAAAGCTGTAGGCCTGACAGGTCTTCTCGCGAAGGTCTTTATTCGGTCGAAAATGACAGAACATGACGTCATTCTGACGTCATTTGTGGCCAACCTATCATAGCCTCTGGAAAAAAATTTGGTCACAATGTGTAAAATGGATGCCCGGAGGGGTCCTGAAAGTTTGGTGGCGATATCTGAAGCGGTTTAGGAGATATCGACCGAAAAGGACAGGGGGGCCGTTTCGGCCCCCCCCCCCTACGGGGCGCGGGTTAACTCACCTGAACAGTTTGGACATTCGCAGTGAGGTGTAGACTCCCTGTATCGCTTCCTCGGCCTCCGTTTGGAATATCGATCCCGGATCGAGGAAATTCCGGACCTAAAACAGAAACGAAGGCCTTCGATACTTTCAACAGCGTCGATACTCAATAAATTCAGCAGACCTCCTTACAAGAAATACATGCTTTCAACAACAGCACCACACAGTATCAGCATCAGCCTCAACGTAGCAGCGTTACCAGCAACAGCATAACCACCATCACCATAATTCACCATACCCACAAATCATCACCTTCTCCTACACGTACCGTCTGTATGAACATGTTGCAGATCTCCTGCAGCAGCACAATGATCCGCCCGGGCGTGCTATAGTAGCGCGAGTTGGCCCACACCAGACACACAGTGTGGATCAGGGGGCGGAGCAGCACGTCCACGTCTGTCAGATCGGCCGACTCGAACGCCTCGATCTGGGGCACCAGCGGCTTCAGGTGCAGACAGATGTCCTGGGACTCGGTCAGCGCTGTCGGCAGCGACAGGGACGGCCGAATAGGTATTAGTAACAAGCCAAGACTCAAGGCGTGCGTAAAATGAAAGCAGCTTGAGCCCAGACCTTTCAGCGTATGAATGTGCGCATAAAAATCACGGTCATGAGCTGTTATAAGGGCTCATAGGTAATTTATCAACAGCCTTGGACCTACGTATACGTCAAAACCTACCACCAAAAAAAAAAAAAAACTCTCCTTCGACATGCCCTCTGATGACTCTCCCCATCTCCTATCTCCCCGTCCATCACCCTCATCCCACTCCCTACCGGAGACGACGTTTCTGAACATGGCCTTGAAGGCGGGGAAGTAGGCGGAGCGCGACTGTTCCAGGATGATGGCCATCTTTTTGACGTCACCCTCCTTCATCTGGTCGTAGATACACTCGAGGTTCTCCGAGCGGCTGTTCCAGAACTGGATCTCTGCGGACGAGAGAGGTGGGGGATGTGTGAGAAAGGGACTTTTAATATGAATTGTAGCGACTGCCTCCGAGACGCCAAGATCGCCATCATATATGTCAGGGCCGAGATTGTGTCATTATGCAGCCCGGCGGCATTTTTATCCTAGAACTCGCATGTTGCACTGACCGTTCAAGCATGATTCTTCTCTCATTATCTTTTCGTCTTTCCATTCCTCCCTCTTCCCTGTCTTTTTCCCATTTTTACTAATCGATCACCTACCTTCATCGTTTCGCGCGTCACACTCGCTATGTCCCAACTCACCGACCATCGGTCCGGGACTCTGGCCACCGACCAGTGCCGCCGCCGAGTCGCGCTTCAGCACCTCGTCCACCTGCGTGTTCCACTTGATCACCATCGACTCGATGGAGCCCTTCAGCTCCACGTCCACCAGCTCGCCGCTGGAGGACAGGACGGGGACGAGGAGCAGAGTAGTGGTGACGTGTGAGGGTATATTTATGGTCGTCTTATAACCGATGCATTGTATAATTAGGTACGATGTCAATGGTCCGAGACGCTAGACGGAGTTTTTTTTGCGTTCTTCAGCTGTACGTATAAATGAGTGAAAGTATGGTATTTTACGGAAGCAATGCATCTGCATATTATTTTCGCAATTGGCCTTACTTTTCTAGAGCGCGTCTCTCGGCCTCTGCCACGTGGTCTCGGTTGATCGGCATCGGCAGCAGCGTCTTTCCTTTGATCTGGCACAAACAAACGCATCAAATTACACATCACAGGCTAAACACGGAAAAAATGGCACAATGATAACAGCCGGGTTTTCACTGAATGTCTATAATTATCGTCTCTCACAAGATTTACTCGTAAGCACGCAGCGAACCTTTGCAACCATGATATTTTGCGATCAGTGAACAAAAGAATGCATGGTCTACGAACCTTGAACGACTAAAACGTCTCCAGCCACTAGAATTACATCACGTTCCCACACGGACCTGTCCGACCATCCTGTAGATGGTGCCTTTCAGCTCGTTGATGTGCTTCTCCACGTCCTGACAGACCACCTTGGGCCAGCCCTTCTGATTCTCCGGGTTCGTCAGCAGCGGAACCATCACCTGTACGACGATTAACAAAAATGCAATAATTTCTTTGCGTTTTCTCCACGTCGTATATACATTCCTTCTTCACATATGAACTCAAGTGACACAGAAAATTAACTAAGTGACGCATAAAATAAATGCTGACCAAGTTTCCCTTTACTGTTCTGGGACGAGCTGAAAAAGCCCGAAAGGAAAGGCGCAAAGGTCGAAGAAGTCAAAGCTTACGAGAGCAAATCAGACAAGTTTTGAGGGTACAGCAAATAATTATGGTTTTTTCAAAAGGCCCAAACGAGATGACCCGATCCTACCACCACCGAGGACACTCACGTTTTCCACCAGCACGGACAGCTGCTCGAGCGGGTTGTTGGAGAGATCGCCGAAGATCAGCGCCTCGTGAATGTCCTTCCTGGGCAGTGGTTTCTTCTCACGTTTGAGGAAGTAGATACTCTTGGCTTTCGGTGCCGCCGGAAACTCGTTAATAGGGACCAGACCGCCTGAGGCACGGCGTGGTGCAACGTCAATGGTTCGTCATATGTTTTCGCGCGTGGAACGTAAACTTTTATGGAAATGCGTCGCACCCAGCACTTAATAAAGCAATAATCCCTTCTCGTGTTCTTTCAAATTGCAGCAAGTACCGATAAGTAAATAAAATGCTACTTCGTTGTTAGAAATATTTTGTTTCGCCGAATGTCTACGCTAAAAATGGCGTGCCTAATTGCCTTATTGTTTGCTAATGCGACAAAAAAAAAAAAATCTAGCAGGACCCATGAGGACTCTGCCCAAATCCACTCATCCCGTTTCGTCATTGTCTGGACACGGAAGAAAGCTAGCCATTTCTCCGTCTCTCTCGCTTGCCTTCTCTCTCATTCCCTTCCTTCCTTCTTCCTTATCCCTCTCTCTCTCTCTCTCTCTCTCTCTCTCTCTCTCTCTCTCTCTCTCTCTCTCTCTCTCTCTCTCTCTCTCTCTCTCTCTCTCTCTCTCTCTCTCTTTCTCTCTCTCTCCCTCCCTCTCTCTCTCCCTCTCTCTCTCCCTCCCTCTCTCTCTCTTTCTCTCTCTCTCTCCTCCATCTCATCCTCTCCTCCCCATCGCCGCACTCACCTGCGCTGGTCTGGGTGATCACCAGAAGCTCCTGCTGGTCCTTGTCAATAAAATCCATTATAATGGCACGCGTGTCCGTCGAGGACATCATCTTCTGCCACTTCTCCAGCTTGACGCGCAGGCTCTTGCTGATATAGTCGGAGAGGAAGTCGAGGCGCGGGTCGACGTCCTCGGCGGACGCCGACGCCGACGCGGCCGGATGGTCCGGGTCGTCGCCGCCCATCGTAACGGCAGCGACGCCGACCGTGTGCTGCTCTCAGCGCCCGGTTATCGCTGACGTGGTGTGAGACCGAGAGGCGTTAAATTGGGGAACGGTAGGATAAAAACTGTAAAAATCATGTAGGTATTCAAATAACTGAAATAGGCTGCTTGTCTGTATAATTCGCAAACAAATTATTATATATTTATATATATTTATTATATATTTTCATGTTTTAATGAGGTATTTGAGACGGATTCACATTAGCACAATCCTGCACTTCTTATAAGACGTTTTATATAAGAAGTGCGGATGCCGGATGGAATGGTATAGCTTTTCTCGGAACCAGCACCGTCTGTCCGATAGGTATTGGGCACTAAAACCTCTTCACAGCACCACTCAATATTTTACCAATTTACCCCCGACAACCCGCCTCCACACCACCTGATCACCCCCTTCACACGTCCGAACCTGCCACTGTTCTTTCTCACCGAGTATAGGTATGCTCCGGCACAAACCGACCTCAGCGCCCGAACACGACGAGCTGGGCCGGCTCGGCGGCCCGACCCGCCCAGCCAGCCCAGACCTGCGACTATTGACCAAACGAGCCCCGCCTCGGGCGACGCACTCGGTGGTACAGAAGACATCCGCTGTCTTTGGGTAGCGGAAGGTGCGGCATTTGTAAATTCACGGGTGTGATACCTGTTCAATAGCTTGGCTAAGTTATGTTTACCTTTCGTAAAATGAAGCACGCTGGCTAATCGTAGATAATCGAGTGTTAAAACCTGGCGTAAATAAAAAACAAGGAAGAGCATTCCAGGTGACTTTTTATGAATTTAAAACGCTATAATAGTACACTACTTATTATAATTTCATTTTATTTCGTATCGTAACCTAGTGATCCGACTTTTCCACACCCGAGGTCGAAATTTTAGCACAGCATAACGACACGCCAGCGAGTTAAATGCACAGCGAGTTCAATTGAATCCCACCCTGTTACATGCAAATTTGGGCATGTTGTTGTTTGTCATGCAAAACATGGCAATGGTGTCGACGAGACGCACCGGCTAGGGTGACAAATCAGCACTAGCCCGAACTGAACACTGAACAGGACCTGCATTTCTTGCTACAGAATTTATATATCTGCACATGTGACAGGACAAAACTGCAATAAAAGATCAAAATCTTCCCTGGTAGACCCCGTTATGCCTCCTGTGCATCACTTTTTTCTTGACAATAGTTCACCAGCATCAGATATCAGTACAGTACCAGAATGCACCCGCTCCGCTCCACGCAAATTCTGCGTGCCACACCACGGTAGATCCGTACCGCACGTCGCAGCGACGTATTGCCCCACACCCATGAAATCTCGTCGAGATTGTCATACTTTGCAGTCTGGACCTGCAGCCTTGGTCTGGACGACACGGTGTATTTCGTGTCGCACCGTTACGCTGTTGCTTGAGCTATGACTTATGAGGAAAATGTTTAGATCAGGAGATTTGCCGATGTGATCCATTGTTCGATCGTTCATAAAGAAGCTCCATCGTTACGGCTCCGCACATGCCGTCACTCGTCAGACGTCATCCCATATCCGTACCCAAGATTCTTACAGATATCCGTACCAACGCGTTTTTAGGTTTGCATGCATATTACCGGCACAACCTTTTGATTTGCAAACCGACGGAACGGGTCAGCGAAAGTTGTATCGCTTTCTCGGTCCGTATAGGTAAACCTAGGGCCTTGGGTAAACCGACAGCCGACAGGAAAGGATATGCATAACATTGTAATGCATTATTTGTCGTCACGTAATATAAAAATGCCTTTTCCTAGTGGATGTCAATGCCCAACGATAGTTATATATAACAGCACAAGCTACAAACTACTTGAAACATCAAAAAGACTTGCAAGATGCCACTATATGGCTTTGCTCCACAGTCCAAGCATGAAACATCCAAGAGTTCATTTTTGTTTTGAACCTATTTTATAAATCTCTAAAAGGAATTCACTTACCTTTTAGTCAGAACGACAGCATCCTTCGGTGCACATATTGTCGCTATTCTATATCCTCGGATAATCAAAGATTACAATTATTTTAGCAAAACCTAATCGCATTTCACCGCAAACCAGACGCCGCCGCATAATTGAATCAGCTGTGAATATGGCTGCTTCCGAGTTTCGGTTGCCATAGTTACAGAACGTTGCCATGGCGACGAGGTGCTGCCAAATAGAAGATTTTTTTCTGTTTGACAGGTAAACGTTTGAAATGCATTGTAGGCATGTAAATGGTGTAAATGTACCATTATGACGATCATAAATAATAACAATTGTCCTGCATGATTCGATGAGGAGTGGATAGAGATATTGAATTGGAGGTGCAGTGATGCATGTCAAATCCATCATCTAAACTTGAATTTCTTTCATAGAATTATTCATACCGTTGATCAAAATGAGTGAAGAAATGGAAGCTATATAGGAAGCTTTAAACATTCCAAATGTAAGTATGCTTTAGAGGTGATGTGAACGGGCAATGCATTTATGCATAAAGTGCATACCTATTTAGTAATCACACCGCTGCAGACCCTCGCGCGTAAAACCAGCCGGCCGGCCTGGCCGCCTGGGCTTCCCTCCTGGCCCCCGGGCCCCGACCACCGAGCCGTCTGTGGGGGGCCACGTGAAGGGGAGATGTTTGGCTTGCCGCCGGAGGAACTAATGCAAGCGATTGGAGGAAACACAAGTTCCCATGTGCAGGTCTGACTAAGCTTTTGGTGTGTTGAGATAAGACGGCTTTGCGATACAGCATCCCTGCTATAATCCAGCTGTACCGCTAAGCACACACCATCCTGCTTATCTGACGAGTCACGAATCGAGCTCAAATATGACCGTATTTGGGCAAAAGATCTGAGTGCATGCTCTTTATTCGCTGTACGTACATACAACAGAAGTTCACTTTCGGTGTGAACTATCATTCGTTGGTCGTTAAATGCCACGACGAGCCCTTCTATGCATCACCTTTATTCGTAGCTCGGTTTGCTTGCAGGAAGTGTGTGTCGGGCCAGTCTTTATATTTTCGATGGGATAGAAATTCACCTGATAAAACTACAAACATTGATCAACAGACTATAAAGTTGTCCCAAATGAAAGCGATGACCCAGCTTCATATAGTTATGCAATTTGTTTATCTCTGGATATCATGAGTTGTTCATAAGCTTCAAACATTCATCGTGCTTCGGCGGCGACATACGTCACGGAATCGACTCGCGGCGGCCGACGCAGGCTGAAGGCAACGGTGAATGTCTGAGGCTGCTGAGCGTTTGCGTGACATTCAACCAGGAACAAACCGGTATCAAGCGATAGGGCTCATCGATACCTTGCTATTGATGTAATATGTTCGGTGGTAAAACTTGTCACCTTTGTTTTATTCGCTGTATTCACTTTGGACGGGCTCCAACAGAAAACGCGGAAATCGGCTCGAATGTGCTTGTGAGAGGGCCAACTTAAACTCGTATACGGAAAGACTGACGAGGGGTAACATGACGATACTCGGCGATTTTGTAGCTGAATATTTGTTGTTTCGAATGGTGTTGCATATTTTTGTTCTCAGTCTGTCTTGGTTCCAAAATTCGACGTTATCTCCAATGTTATGATTTTTCAGACACTAGCAATAATCTGTTTAAGCCTTTGCAAATGCTTTGCTAATGAGCCGACGTCTTATAAACTTATTCTGCACGTGCCTCAATATTCTGTCAATCGACACAGGGACCCAGATTTCGTTCATATGGCGTTGATAATACTAAATGAGCGATTTTTCGTAATCAGAAGCACAGTTGCCGGCTCGCGGCTCGCGGCTGGCGGCCGACCGCCCACCGCAGTCGGGGCGGCCCGACAGCCGTCCGCGCCGAGGTTATAAAAGCCTGTCCTCGGCCGCGCCGGACGTAAACGTAAGCCAGCCGCCGTGGTGAGTGGATCACGCTCCGTCTGTGTCGTATCGCTCAGCAAACCAGTCATGTCTGACGACGCTCCTGCTGCGACTACTGCTGCTGCTGCTGCTGCACCCGCTGCAGCGCCAGCGAAGAAAGGCCGCAAGCCCAAGGAGGGAGGTGCCGCCAAGAAGAAGGCGTCCAAGCCGACCCACCCGCCTACGCTGGAGATGATCACTAAGGCGATCGCTCACGAGACGGACCCTAAAGGTGTCTCAGTGATGGCTATCAAGAAGTACATCCTGGCGGAGTACAAGGTGCAGCCGGTGATGCTGCGTCACATGCTGCGGCGTGCCTTCGACGCTGGACTGGCTGCCGGTAAGCTGACTCGACCCAAGGGCCAGAGCGAGTCTCACCTCCTGTCTGGACGCTACCGGCTGGCCGGAAAGGAGCCCAAGGCGAAGAAGGTGGAGGTCTCTCCCAAGCCGAAGAAAGCGCCCAAAGTCAAGTCCCCTGCCAAGAAGCCGGCAGCAGCAAAGAAGCCCAAGGCGAAGACCCCGAAGAAGAAACCAGCAGCTGCCGCGGCAAAGAAGGCCAAGTCGCCGAAGAAGGCCAAGTCGCCGAAGAAGGCCAAGTCACCGAAGAAGGTGAAGACGCCCAAGAAGCCTGCTGTGAAGAAAGCTCTCGCCAAAAAGAAGACCCCCAAGAAGGCAGCGAAAAAGGCGTAAATCGGTGTTTTATTTTGTGTCGCTCAAGTGTACAAAGACCAGTGTAAATACCATTGTATGCTATCTGCCACCAGTCATACATTTTGTTCGTGCGTCAAACGTGCTGTTACATTTGTGCGAAAGATCTCGCCCGAGCCGCTGGTGCGGTTGCTTCGCGTGCTGTGAATCATGTCAAAATGCGCTCGTGAACGGTGAAAGACAAAGCCAGTTGCCCGTCTTTCTCCAGCTCAAGCTGTTCTAATGATAATAAAGAATAGCGTGTTGTACTATTTTCTTGTATTTGGGACAGGGAATACGGACACGGGAATGGGCGAGAGGTACATAAGTTTAATTATAACAAGTGAGATAAAGGTTGTATTTGGTGGGCGGGAGAATACGAATGGATGGTGGTCATCAGGGTACAGAGTCGCATCCGAACGAGAAGACGTCGCACACGCAACTCCTTAGAGATGAGGATGAATGATCCAGAAAACTAAGAAGTGCATTTATTGCATCGTAACTTCGCATTATGTGGTCGTGCATCACCAGTAAAAGCGATTGAAAAAGATTAAACGGTTAAAGATATGCCTATCGGTACCGCCATTTGTCCGAGTAGTAAAGTAATCTTGATTTGTCCCAGTTCCCGGGAAATTACTCGTAAAGGTATATATTTATTTGTTTATTTCACGGGTCGACATACATAGACGTTTCCGCATTCGACATAAATGTACGCGAATCCTGCAAAGAAGCGAAAACTTAGATTTTAATTATGCACTTTAAAAATGTTTTAAATATAATGTTTACGTTTTAATGTTATTTTTTTTTTGAAAATGTTAATTTTTTTCTATGAGTAGGTTTTTTACTCCAGATTAAAATAAGACTCGTGAAACGAGCACGTAATATAAGTAAGCAAATAGCTGTTTTAGGTATAAATTAAGTTACAAGTAGGCAACTAAATGCATTTCCTATTTCTCTTCGCTTAGCTACTTTTTAGCTCACCTTCACATATCTTTTTTATCTTTTAGGGCCTTGGTTTTTATCTGCATCCAATTTCAGCTATCGTTGAGTCTTTCATCCATCCTCCGGGTGCGAACTATTACACAACGGATAGGATACATGTGCTCCATTCATCGTGCGATTATCCCGGACACTCGGCTTTAGCTGAATGCCGCCGTCTACATCTTTCCACTTTTTTCTTGTTTAATGAGTTAATTGGGTTAACACCAAGCTGTTGTGTGTTTCGGCAAGTATGTTAAAATAAACAAATAAAGAGGTACATATAATAGGTACCTACATTAAATTACGCATATAGAGATAACTCAAGATCTATATCGTGAAACAGCATCACTAAAGCGAAACTATCGCCTGCACGATAACCTTACTGTTGATCGAGCATAGCCCGAAAATAAAATATGTGCGGACTTATTTAAAGGGACCCTCCCACCTTAACATTAGATTTGAGTTGAGATAGCCAAAATGGGGTCCCTGGCTCACAATTACCGGTTTCGGCACTCACAACATCGAGAAATGCCTTAAATCGGAAATATTGAATTTCAAAATTGCAGCATTTTGATTCAGAGGGGCTAATGCATAGGAATACCCCTCTGAATGTGTGACGTCAGCGCAGATATCTAACGATTTTTAAATGTTTGACTAAAACGTTTTGTAGCACGCGGTGGTATATGCTGCGTTGCGCGCAACAAATGCCGCACTTTTAAATAAAGCCGCTAGGAACAGCGGAGATCCCAAAAAGTAAACAAAAGTAAAAGTCTATATCTTGAAAACCGGTGAATATTTTTCAATGAAATTTGGTAGATATTCGTTTTCGCTCTTTCTGAACCGAGCGACATCACCTTCATGCCAATTCATAAACTTTTTTGAAGGTGGGAGGGTCCCTTTAAGAACCTTTAGCGTGCTATACTCAACTCAACCAACTCAAAATTCACCGGAGTTTAGCGGGACTCAGCCGAACTTAGCCTAGCTCAACTGTTGTCAGGGTGAAGACCCCTGAGCCACGTCGACTGGCCGTCGTTCCATTATCTCCGCCGTTTTCGGGGAGGATCTGCGGGATCTCTCGGCGAGGCGTGACTATGATCCCGGGACCGACCAGGTGACGCTGACGGCCACAGAACTCGCTCCCGCCTCTCCACACGTCTTCCTTTCCGTCCTTGAGGCCTTTTGTGATTCCTCCGAAGCCGCTGAGGGACATCGGGTATCTGCCGTCTCGGGTGTGAAGATCATCGCGGTCGTCGGAACTTCCGTTCGGGTTCTTCATGGCGCCGGTCGCGTTTCTGGCCACCACCTTCTCCAGCAGATGCTGAAGGGCCTCCACGACGGTGAGCGCCGATACGCCGAGCAGGAGGCCCAGGTTTCCGCCAAAGTCGGCCAGAAAAGAGGTCCAGGTCATCGCGGGGTGCTCCGTTGTGCTCACGACGTTTCTGCGTCGGAACAGTAGCAGGGTTCGCAGCTCAAAGTCGCTGAAGCGGGCGTCGCGTCGCGGTGTGACATCCAGGTTCACAGAGGTCGTGGTACACGTGGCACGTGGACAGTCGCAGTCGTCGATGACCTCGTGGAAGCGACGGTGGAACGTGGTGAACTCTTGGAGGGTGTCACAAGGTTGCAGAGGGACCATTCCAGAACCCGAACTGGAGGCTGTCTGGATGTCGGAGAGAAGGTCCAGCAGGAAGAACGGCGCGCAGTTGACCTCTCGCACGGCTCGCTCCATCCGACAGCGCTCTGGACAGCTCCAGACGTCGGCAGCCTCGGAGCAGGGCGCGTCGGGTCGGTTGAGGCGGCGGTACTCGCCCCAGCTGACCGAGACCACCGCCTCGGCCACGCTGGGCCGCAGGTTGTACTGCGTCACGACCACCGGCACGTCCAGGTAGCGGGCCGAGCGAGGAAGCTCACCAGGGTGGAACATGACAGCGGCCGTGTTGGAGATTTTCCGCAGAGCCACGTTCAGCTGGTGAGAGGAGGCGTGACGCGTCTTCTGGACAGAGGAGAGTGGGTGGCAGTACGTCATGTACATTCCGCGGTCGTTGACATCCAGTCTGTTCGGGATCGTGTAGTGGATTTCGTCGCTGAGTCCGGCCAGGATTGGTGTCTCCTCATCCTCGTCAATGCTGTCAAAGTAGAGGATCGTCTGCTGAGCGTCCGGCCGCAGGCTGTTGAACAGGTCCCGCGGGGAGACGCTCTCGTTCCATGCCTCGTGCGGGATGAAGAACGAGTTACAGAAGCTGATTTTCGGGTTCGGCGGGCCGTTCAGGTATTGAGTAGTCGTAATTAGCTCGCCGGCGATGAACTCGGCGATTTCTAGGCTCACCAGACAGACGAGTCCTGCTGCGCAGGTAAGCTTCAGCGCCACAAAGACTGTCTTCAGCAGAAGCTGAAGGCACTTTGTGACGCCCGAGTTCATGTTCATGTCGCCACGTCGGACGTTCAGAGGCGACTGGGAGGGTGCGTGGTCAGTTGGATGTTTTAAAAGAACGGTTATCGATTGCTGGTACAGGGCATCGTCCTACCGCAAGAACAAGGCGCCATCAACGGGTGCAAAACAGTCAATTTAAAAGACAAGTGGCCTGCGACGCCAGGTCAGCGATACTGCTATATGGCACGCCACTTTGCTCATTTGCCTCTGCCAGTTAATGGGCCAGGATGATTGCTGCGGTACAACAACACCTTCACGAGCCTGCATGACAGCCCCCCCCCCAACCCCACCCCACCCCACTCTCACCCCTTTTGGTGAGAATTGTGAAGCCGTGCGACGTTCACCAATATCATCCGCAGCCATTCATCAGCTCAACTCGTCTAAAGCGGATGCCTCATCGGCCGACTCAATGTTAAACAATAATGCTGTCGAGCCTGCATATGAAGGTCACTAATTCAAAGCTTGTTAGTTGAATTTAGCAAACAAGTTAACGTGTGCGTCGTTCGTTAGCTGTCGCCGACAGCCTGCAATGGTGAATAGGGTGATGAGCATGACGACATATAAGCAAAGGCCGTTAGCCATTAGCACGTTGCAATGGGAATAGCCCCGAGCCCAACGCTCGATTCTTAACTTTGAACTGAACAGACGTTTGCTTCGAAAAGCGAAACGGGTTGGTAGGTAACTATTGCACCAACCTGTTCAATCAAAATAAATTAAAATATTCAGCATGCTTTAACCCAAACAAATGTTGGATTTCATGCTTCGTTATTTGTTATCGGCCTGCGGCCATGTAATGCGCCTAGGTTCCTATATAGTATATAATAGGTAGGTCGTTGTAACTTGTAGAATTCGTTTTCACAATGCTTCTTTTGTTAGCCAAGATCGTTTTGTTTGGAGCCGAAACAACTATGTAAGGAAAGCTTTATATTGCCCGGTACTTACTACTTAATACTTTCAACGTTTCGGTTCTGGCCACAGCGTTACCCCGAACCCGTCCCGGGACGATGGTGGGCAGGGCTGCGGAGTCGGAGTCGGAGTCGGAGTCGGAGTCGGTCGGAGTCGACAGTTGTGACCGGAGTCGGAGTCGGAGTCGGAGTCGATTTTAGAAACCCGAGCCGGAGTCGGAGTCGGAGTCACCGAAAATCTGTCGACTCCGCAGCCCTGCTAGGTCTGCGGAGTCGGAGTCGGGAGTTGGAGTCGCTCGGAGTCGACAATTCTGCCCGGAGTCGGAGTCGGAGTCGGAGCTCAGAGCTGGTTTTTGAAAGTCGGTGTCGGTGTCGGAGTCGCCGAAAATCCATCGACTCCGCAGCCCTGATGGTGGGTGTGTATAAATTGCCGCGCTCTCTTATGCGGAATAGAAACATAGAAAGAATAACCTCTCCTAAAAATGTGTACCTGATATAATTATACATTCTGCCCTCGCGCCCTTTTTAGCCAGAGACGGACATAAGTGCACATAGATTAAATTACCGTGCCTATCTGCTTACTTGGCGCCTTACAATACAAGTCATATTGCTTTCATTTCAAATTTTGGGCCCTTGCATCATGAGTAGCAAGTAGCAACTAGCAACTAGCAAAAGAAAGATAATAGTATTTAAGCTATTTCGGTCCTATGAGTAATGACATCAGAAAGACTAATATATAACCACGCTTCTGGAGTTTTAGACGGACATCTACTACCTAGTGAACCTATAGATACGGATAAACCTACTTGGTTGACGATGCGGTACGCATACAGTCGTAAACTTGCACAAATGTTTAGGTATACTTCATTTTCTGCTTTGAAAAATGAGAATTGTTATAGTTTGAGTAAAGATACAAATATTGATACCCAGGGAACTCAGTTTTGCGTTATTGATAATTATTTCATTATATGTTTCATTTTGATGTTTTACATAAATCGCTGCAAACTAATTTTGCAGTACTTTATGAAGATAGAAATCGGCGACAAAAAAGGCGCAAATGTGACAACAGATGACGCCAACTTCCGTTAGTTTTTCGCACTGTTTTTCGTCGATTTATTTGTATTGGTCGATTTCTTCTCATACTTTTTATTCTTTCAGTAATTGTAATCAGTCGTCGCCCGTGTGCATAGGTCGAAAGGGATTTGAATTTTAACTCCTATGCGTACTTGCATTGCCGGCACTGTATATATCTTTACTGAGGGAATAGACTGAGGTGAGAAGATTGCTCATTTTGAAGCTAATTGCCACCTAATTGCATGCCAGGTCGCTTACCCGGCCATCTCTCTAATTTGTCTGACTGGTAGGTTTGAAAATTGTCTACTTGAAAGATATTTAATTTCATATTTAATTGAAAGATATCTAGCTTGTCGTGTCGCCTGTGTGCATAGGTCGAAACTCGAAAAGGATTTGAATTTTACCTCCTATGCGTACTTGCATTGCCTGCACTGTTTATGTCCTTATATTCTTTACTGAGGGAATAGAATGAGGTGAAAATATTACTTATTTTGAAGCTAATGCAAGATCAGTTGCCAGGTCACCTTTTGGCCATCTCTTTCATCTTTCATCTCCATCAGTAAAACATGGTGGTGTATACTGCTTTGTGCGCAGCATCTGCAGCACTTTAGGATGCCAAATTATTGCTTTCAAATGACATTAAACAAAAGTTAAAGTGTAATGTCTTGAAATCCAGTGAATATTTTTCTGGTGGCTTTAATGTTTCTGAACCACGGCGCATCACTTTTATGCCAATGCATTAACCACGGTGACTATAAATAACTTTTTAATTAACTTTTTTGGCATTAACTTTTTTGAAGGTGGGTTTTGCCCCTTCTAAGAACAAAAATTTGACTCTTGCAATTGAACATTTTTGCTACATAAAATGAGGTTCAAAATCTATGATGAGTTCAATACCTTCAAGCTTTTATCATCCTGTATTGTTTATTTTTCATCCTTATTTTCTCTGATCTCCTAGCTAATGGCTATAAGAGTATGAGCATTATTTTACCACTCTTTCCTAACCTTGCTCTGACTGTCAACTACATCGCCACTTTCAACCTTAGCTGACATGTTTCCATTTGCTTAGGTGTTATTCTGAACTATCTATTGTAAATGTAGAGTACATGAAATATTAGCTGTTCTTGTTATTGCTAGCAATTAGCATTGTAGTTGGGTAGTCTTTGAAGTTTGAGTAGGTCTTGCACCTCAGTTTGCATGGCTAATGATACGGTGACAGGCTGTTGCCAATGAGTTGGGCCTCAGTGGATGGCTCAATGTATTATGTTACAACTTACAAGCATACTATCTGTAAAACACATATCTGTATTTTTTAGGACAACTGCATTCCATGAATTATGTTTTCAATCCAGTACACACCAAATATGGTGGCTTCAATGTAGTTGCACACATGCAGTTTGAGTAGTATGTGCAAAGAAGTTCCATTCACAACTTACAGGCCACTCATCTTTAAGAAAAAGTAATATTTTATGAGAAAACTTAAAATTTCATTTGTATTTTTGGTGCATACATTAAATAGGTGCTCTGACTATATGACTATGTACTCAATTTTATCTTTTGTATGGCCTAATTTTAATTATGTTTGAAATGTAATATTTTGAAGTCAGCCCTAGGACCCTAAATCATGTGAAAAGAATGTTCAAAATACTGGACCATAGTGCTTTGACATTTTGTCTGATCATCGATCTATAGTACATATAGCTTATTAACAAAACGAAAGTCACTCAAGTCAGGTTTTCTATTGGAATCTTTAGGTTCCTTGATATGGTAGGTGAACCTGAAACCTAAACTTCACATTCTAATGCACTCTCTTTATAACGCATAACATATTTTTTGCTCCCAACTCGCAGCACATCTCTCTCTCTCTCTCTCTCTCTCTCTCTCTCTCTCTCTCTCTCTCTCTCTCTCTCTCTCTCTCTCTCTCTCTCTCTCTCTCTCTCTCTCTCTCTCTCTCTCTCTCTCTCTCCTCTCTCTCTCTCCCTCCCTCCCTCTCTCTCTCTCTCTCTCTCTCTCTCTCTCCCACTCTCTGCCTTCTCCTTTGGCTCTGTAACCGGCCGCGACTTTAAATCCCGGGAGTGGCAGCATTTGGCTCGTCACCTCGCTCATGTGGTGGCTCGTGACGGCTCCGTCATACCACGCGCCGTGACGGCTGCGGGATGCTACGTGCCGTGACGGGTGCGTCATTCCACGTGCCGAGTCTGTCCTGTCCGTGCCGCCTGTCCGTAAGCTGTGCCACGGTGACCATCCGTTCCCGCTATCCGTGCCACCGTGGGCTGAGCACGGCTCATGACATCTCTGGATATCGCCAGCCAGGGCCGTGGCGAGTTTATCGTAAACAAAGGGCGCCTATCACAACATGGCCGCTGGCGACGGACGCCGCGGCCGGGACGGTGACGGGCTGATCTGCGGTCAGATTGAGGTCAAACTGGCAACAGACAACTGTCAGACGGCCGTCAGACTGCTGTCAGTGAGAGCCAAGGGGTGCGTGGGGGTTTAACTAGCCAAGCCCTGGTTAGATGAAGGTGACTGAGATAAGAGTTTTATGTGACAGAAGTGACGAGCATTTGTCAAACTGTGTTCATGTCGAGTTGTTCGTTGTTTTGTTGTCAGCAACTTACTGGGGAATGTCTGGCATATCGACGTAGTCGTACTGTGTAATCATTCGCATCGTGGCATTTTCTTGGTAGTAATTGCCCGTTTCTCTGCATGCTTTCGCAGCATTAAAGTAGTCCGAACTTCTAATTTTCTTGTGACCTAGGTTCAGGACCATCGACAATGTAATGCCAGTCATTGCCACTCAGAAGCTGCGCCTCGACATTTTAGCAAAATAATAGAGTCGGTGCCAGGTCAAGGATGACTGATCGACGTCAATAGCTAGTGGTCCCGATGGCAACGATGATGGTTAGGGGAAAAGACACGCGAATCGCATGTTAGATGTTACATTTCTCCGCACAAATTTGTTCCAGACGTCTTATTTCCGTCCATTTGAAGGCGATTGTTACAGCTCATTCAGCCCCAATGTGCTGCCCGTGTTAAATTAGTGTGCTGTTTAGTTGCATTTCTGGCAGAAGTTTTTGATACGTTAGGTATGTGTTTTGCACTGTTTGTTCTACAATGAGCAGTTAACTTGAGTAGGTATTCCGAGTATTCATTTGCGACCCTGTTTAAATGATTCCACGAGAACATCACGTGGACTCCAAAAATCAAGAGATTATTTCATCAGCCTTGAGCCTTCACCTCGCAAGGGCAACTTTCTATTTATATTCTGATTGCTGTTGATTGATATCCTTTTCCCGGTTATGAAATGATTGTCCTCTGAGTTGCATGCTCGAAAAATACTTAAACAGAATATTTATCCATGCTTTTATCATTCTGAACAAAGCACGCCAAACAGAAGACCCCTTGCCCTTGTCATTTAAAATATTCGACACATCTCATCGCTACTCGGAGCTGTTCTTCGAAAGGTCTTCGAAAGGTATCCGTGGCTTTCACCCTGGCGCCCAGTTTTCTTCTTTTTAAAATGATTACTTAAGGTCACCGAAAAGAAGTCATCACGCTCTGGTCTATAGCTCAGTGTACGTGTTTAAATGATCTTTGTCGAATTTCGTTAGCATGGATTAGATAGTACTGGCTAACTACTAGCTAACCCATGCCTTTACCGCTAACGCTATTGACTTTAGAATGAAACAGTGACCGGCCCCGTTCTGTTTCCAGGCTGCCGAGATGGCCGTCACTAAGATAGTGGATGTCGGCACTGCGGATGCCGTCTGGTTCAAATACCTCCTCTCCTGTATAGCAGCGTCCTGCGCGGAGTTCGGTAAGTCGAGCCCCGACACATGTGTCTAGGCCACACTCCAGCCTGACGGCCAGTGGGCCGCTGGGAGAGTCGCTTCACCTCTGTATATGAACCACGGTGGCGAGCGATTTTTCGTAGGGTAAGGTAGTTTTATCGCTTTTGGCTTCGGGAAGGGTGTACAGAATACCTTTTGCATAGGAGCGGAAAAAAACGTCATCGAGACTTTCATCCCAGTAACCTGTAAATTGACTTTATTTGAAAACAAATGTTTGAATGCTGGAGAGTGAAGTGCAATATCTATGCTATTGTTTCAGGTTTCAAGCAGTCACTTGAGACTTGAGCGAGAGATACACTTGTCTCTACTTGTCGTATAAGTAAGGTGTAGTTTTGAAACCTATGAGAGTTTTACCAGACGTGCCACACGCGTTGTTCATAGCAAATAACGAACTTCAAATAGATTAATCGAAGCCGAAGATCGGCATCGTTTCGAAGAAGATAAGTAAATTACTTTCACGGCAAAAGTCGCTTACGTCAAGTTATTTCAAAACGATTTATGTAATCAACACATTCCTAGGAAACAAATATCCTTGTCTTGTGAAGTGAGTCCTCAACACCTCTTTAGCGTGCCGCCGGCGCGTGTGACTTCCTCGCCCCTAGCTGACCGAGGCGGCTATATGTGTCAACGATTCATTGCCGACACGACCTCATGCTTGGCCTTTTTCTCCGTGCTTGGCCTTTTCCTTTTTCTCCTCGATACCGATCTGCGCTCTGCTTGTTTCTCGTTTGGTCCGCCGGTGGCGGCCGATGCGCTGTTGCGAGTGTCTTTGCTGGCTCGTTGGCTGGGCCGTCGCGTTGTTGCGAGTGTTTGGCGATGGTGAGTGTGTCACTGGCTCATTTTCAGCGACCTACCCGCTGGATCTGACAAAGACCCGGCTGCAGATTCAGGGCGAGTCGGCCGATAGCAAGGTAAGGCTACGGCCCGCCCCACCCCTGTGAACACTGCTGTGAAAAGCTGTTGGAAGTGTAGGCCCCTGTGTGTTTGTGGTCCTGAAAGCTCATGTACTCGTGTTGTGTGTGTGGGGTTTGTGTCTAGTTTATGGTTATGTGGTTTAGAAGTACAATTTGTGGGAATTGTGATGGATATTTGGATGGCGTTTTAGAGACATTCGAGTGCAAAGGTTAGGTGTCGTCAAATTAACGAAATGATGTGCTGGAACATAATAATGATTTGCGTGTCGTTGCGTGGTCCCATTACCTACCATTCGTTTGTGAATACCGTATGTACAATATTGTACATATGTGCGAAGCTAGCCAGTCTTCTCGAGAAGGACGTTGCCAACATGGAAATCGATGAAATGCTTTAACGCTAGTTTGTTCGCGAACACACATTTCCTTCCCTTCTCCTGCCTCGGACACAGTTGTCATGTTTGGTAGATGTTTCAAACACTGTTTCGTCTCTCGTCTTAGTTCCTTGTGATCAGTTGAGTTGTTCTCCCCTCATTATAATATGAAGCCTTCAAAATTTCTTCGCGATCCTACGCCATGCTCGATGGTTGTTTGTCGACGCTTTCGGTGCCGTGGTGGACGATGTTAAATATATGTGGCGACTCAGTGTGTGAACTTTCGCAAGTTTACTATCGGAACGGAAACCGTCTTCTGTCTTTTCATGCCGATGTCGTATCGTGTCCGTCATCTCTACGCTAACTGTGACTACACTGACTAAAAGTGCTGTCTTCTGTTGCAAGTGTCCTGCTGTCCGCTGACTCCATTTTCTGACTGCCCCTGCCGCCCGCTCCCCGGCAGGTGCCGTACCGCGGTCTGTTCAGGACCGGTCTCGGAGTGGTTCGAGAGGAGGGTATACTCTGTCTGTGGCAGGGTATTACCCCCGCCGTCTTCCGACATGTCATCTACACCGGTGTGAGGATGAACGGATACGAGTGGATGAGAAACCAAGTCCGTGAGGAGGGCGCCTCGCTGCCCGTGTGGTAAGACGACAGGGGGGTCGGGGGGGGGGGGGGGGTGGAGAGGGGAAGAAGCCTAGAGTTTTCTTTTTGCCTTGCGAACTGTGATGTTTAAAAAAATTGTATTGGCTGTTGTCATTTTATTCGAAGTGAGTAAGACGCCGGCGGTCGTTGTTTCTAGCTTCAGCCAGCTGGGAAGGTGTGTGCGACATTGGGAACCGTTTGAAGGAACTCTATGTTACCATTACGTAACAAAAGAAGATGGGACCGCCTGATGGTGGAATGGATTCACATGTCATATAGCTGATCATGAACGTTTCTTGTGGCTGGTGACTCTACTGAATGTGACTCTCTGTCCCAGGCAGGCGGCGTTAGGGGGCCTGCTGGCTGGAGGTACCGGATTACTGTACTGATGTATCTGTACCTGTGTCTGTACTTATGTGTCGGTGTCTGACTCTATCCCAGGCAGGCGGCATTAGGGGGCCTGCTGGCTAGAGGTACCGGATTAGTGTACTGATGTGCCTTTGTCTGTGTCTATCCCAGGCAGGCGGCATTAGGGGGCCTGCTGGCTGGAGGTACCGGATTACTGTACTGATGTGCCTTTGTCTGTGTCTATCCCAGGCAGGCGGCGTTAGGGGGCCTGCTGGCTGGAGGTACCGGATTACTGTACTGATGTATCTGTACCTGTGTCTGTACTTATGTGTCGGTGTCTGACTCTATCCCAGGCAGGCGGCATTAGGGGGCCTGCTGGCTAGAGGTACCGGATTAGTGTACTGATGTGCCTTTGTCTGTGTCTATCCCAGGCAGGCGGCATTAGGGGGCCTGCTGGCTGGAGGTACCGGATTACTGTACTGATGTGCCTTTGTCTGTGTCTATCCCAGGCAGGCGGCGTTAGGGGGTCTGCTGGCTGGAGGTACCGGATTACTGTACTGATGTATCTGTACCTGTGTCTGTACTTATGTGTCGGTGTCTGACTCTATCCCAGGCAGGCGGCATTAGGGGGCCTGCTGGCTAGAGGTACCGGATTAGTGTACTGATGTGCCTTTGTCTGTGTCTATCCCAGGCAGGCGGCATTAGGGGGCCTGCTGGCTGGAGGTACCGGATTACTGTACTGATGTGCCTTTGTCTGTGTCTATCCCAGGCAGGCGGCGTTAGGGGGTCTGCTGGCTGGAGGTACCGGATTACTGTACTGATGTGTCTGTATCTGCGTCTATACTTATGTGTCTTTGTCTGTGTCTATCCCAGGCAGGCGGCGTTAGGGGGCCTGCTGGCTGGAGGTACCGGATTACTGTACTGGTGTGTCTGTATCTGTGTCTGTCTGTACTTATGTGTCTTTGTCTGTGTCTATCCCAGGCAGGCGGCGTTAGGGGGCCTGCTGGCTGGAGGTACCGGACAGCTACTCGCCTCGCCGGCTGACCTCGTCAAAGTTCAGATGCAGATGGAGGGACGGCGGCGACTGCTCGGACAAAAGCCCAGGTGAGACAACTCTGATGTCATGGTCCCGCCACCTCAGAACGGTGGGATTGTGACTAAAAGTAAATGGAAAATGCGAGCTATTAACACTGGTGTTTTGTGCTCGATTTAGTGATGGCAGGATATATTGTGTTTGTGTTGAGAAGAACCACACTGACTATATGCTCTAAAAGGTGTAAGGTTTAGAATTTAGAAAACACTGAACTGGGGTGTCAATAGCAAGTCCCTTGCTGCTGTTAGGCTCTGTATCTTGGTGCACGACGTGGTGGCTTGTATACCTTATCACACCAACCATCATGCTTTCACTCAGTGAGTCTCCAGAGTGTTAAGTGCTCATTCTCACACTCCTACTGTCTTTTACAGAGTGCTGAGTGCGCGGCACGCGTTCCAGCGTATTATCAGCGAGGGCGGTGTCCGCAGCTTATGGAAGGGCTGTGTTCCCAACGTACAGCGCTCGGCACTCGTCAACCTCGGCGATCTCACCACCTATGACTCTGTCAAGGGCCGTCTGGTCAGAAATACGTCACTGGGGGACAACCATCTGACGCATTTTCTGGCTAGGTGAGCTTTGGTGGTCATGCTAGAGGAGGGTTCGGTGTGCCGCCGGCCGGTTAGCTCAGTTGGTTAGAGCGTCGTGCTAATAACGCGAATGTCGTGGGTTCGACCCCCACACTGGCCATTCGTTTCGACCTCGCGTCGACGTTTTCAATCTCTGGCCCCTGGCTTTGTGAAACGGTCCAAGAGGCTGCTACTTAGTTTTATTGTGTGAACCGTTTATTTGTGATCGATCGGGGCGTTAGACGCACCTTAGGCGTGTCTGGTGTTGCTAGACAAGCTTTGATTTCGTGAACGCAATATTTATATCAAACGGAGCAGTCTCAAGTCATACCAAAATTGATTTTTATCCCACTTGCCACCGTTTTACAGCTGTGTTCAGATTCAGATTCAGATTCTTTATTCCGGTGAGGCTAATGTGTACTTCTAATCGCTGATGTGTTTCGCCATGATTCCCGCGCCACCCTTCTGACGTGTTTCCGCTTTGTCCGACAGCGCGTGCTCGGGTCTGGTCTCTGCGACACTGGGCACGCCGGCCGACGTGGTCAAGACCCGTGTCATGAACCAACCCACCGACCATCATGGGAGGTGAGTGCGTGTCACAATTCACAGAGGTCAACTGCGGAGGCGAGAGTTACGGGGATTAGTGTCACATATCCGAACACTACAGGGATATTGTGTGCGAGTCATGACAGGAGTCAACCAGGAATATTATAGTCTGTTCTATATCAAGCTTGCAGTCGGAGTTTCTTCGGCAGATCGCTCCTCCGTTCAAGAATTTGCGTCTTAAAATGTAAGAGCTGTATATACAGAAATCACGCACTGCTTTCAGCAGGGCACTTCGGCTGCAAACTTGAAACGGAACAGAGTATAGAACTGCAGTGCACAAAGTCACACAGCCGATCACAAATGAGTTTTCTTGCACTCTTGGTTACTGTCACTCCTGTTCCGGTACTTTTTTAGTTCCCATGAGTTCTTATTTTTGTTTACGCCTACGTACGCCCTCGTCCAGTGTTGGTGTCTTCCGATGCTGACCTGCGTCCTTTCTCCGCCCCCCAGGGGTCTTCTGTACCGGAACTCGATCGACTGTTTCATCCACCTGGTGCGTTCCGAGGGCCTCCTGGCCATGTACAAAGGCTTCCTGCCCTGCTGGATGCGCATGGCCCCCTGGAGCCTCACCTTCTGGTTCACCTATGAGAACATGCGGAAGTTCTTCGGCACGCCCACCTTCTAGCAGAACGCTCATGACGTATGGACGGAGAGCCAGGACCATAGAGGACGCTGGAGAAGCGAACCGGTGATAAGAGAGGATGAGGGGATGGCAGGGAGTGGCAGATAAGTGAGTGAGTGATGCAATGAAGAAAGAAAGGCGGCTGGTGGAAGGACAGTATGACACAGACGCCATTTGGCCAGGGTCTTGTGGTGTCATCTGGTGTTGAGAGCGGGAGGCTTTGTCCCTTAGCGAGAGGCTTGGAGGTCAGTCTGTAGCCGACGAGAGTTCCTCGCACCGCCAAACCAGCAGGAAGGCCAACAGGAGCAGAGACCAGTGAGGGATGTGAGGGAGACGCGAAGTTTCAGAGGTAGAGATTGCAGGGACGAGAGATCAGCGGACGTTCTGACTGGCAAGGAGCCTGTGTTTGCGTTCGATGGCACATTACGCACATATCCAGTTATCAGCAGGCGACCAAGAACTGAGAGCCGAGCAGGAGCACTTCGCCGTCGTGTTGTTCGCTATTCTGGGCGGTGGTTTATCGTTGTGAACGAGAGGTCAGGTCAGCTCAGGTCAGCCTGAGGTCAGGTCAGTCTAGACGAAAGTCGGCCAGAAAACGGGAAGGGCAAACTGGAAGGCGAAAGTAAGCCCCCGGGCAGAAAATTGCCCTGAAGCCAGTCTTATGCCAGAAGAGGCTATGCTCTTGGAACGATCGTTAGTGGATGGTGACCGGTTGGGTGTGGTTATGGATCTTATTGTGAGCCGCTGTGACAAACTCACACGCACGGCACGACCATTTGAGATCTTATCCACGGACCATGTACTGTTTATTCATATCGATTGATGTCAGTACATTGGGACTTATTCGCGTGTGATCAATTCACCGGAAAGAATTCGGTGCTGTGTGATAGTCGGTGGGGTTGGCGAAAAGCTCGTGCATAATTGGATTCGCGACCTCGCGTAGGAAGTTGGACGCTGGTGAGCGAAATGGCCAGAGCAGAGAGCACTTTTTGTAGTGTATTGAATGCGACATGACTTTTGAACTTGGGACTCAATCGGTCATGCTTTTGGGGCTGATAACCATTTTTCTGTAGTTCCTCACATCAGTTATTTTGTGTAGCTCTCACATTGCCTATTTTTCTGTGGTTCTTCAAATTAGTGTTGTACAGACCCCCTGTTGACTGAAGGCGCCCCATTATCAATTATTAAGTGCATATGGAATTAACGAGCTCCATCCCATTAATTCCAATAGGGCTGCTGACAAATGACCATTAAGTAGAGGCTATAGAGTATGCTCATTTAAGTTTGACCTTAGCACTAATGTCAATCGATCTACGAAAGTTTATGGTCATAACTAACCCGACTGTTGTTGTGAACGATAATGTATGCGAAGCGAGGACCTTGACACGATTTTTGATTAGGTGCTGACGCGATCAACTCGATTCGTGGCCATCAATTCTAGTTGGCCATTCTTTCATTGTTTGTAGCTTGTGTTTTTTGGCATTTAATCTTCGGTATGAAGTTTAATTCAATAGTTTCAGTTGTCTTTTCAAAGTATCAAGTATCGCAACACGGACCCACCTATTGATGTGTGAATGCATGACGTGTCGATGGCTCTTATAGAGTCTTTAAAGCCCGGTGTGATTGATGACGCAAGAAATTGAGAAAAGTTAACGTCACTGAGTTGGATGTTCGTATGTAATTGATGTTGGCATCGAACTGCCGTTTGAAAGCGCTGCCGTTTAACCGAAGTGGATAGGGCCGGGGTTCGCCTCACTAACACTAACCCTATGGTGTGGATAGATAGGACAGTATTACACTCACTTAGCTCAAGTTTAGCTCTCAGGGTAGATCGCCGAAAGGAACACTCGCTGGCGTGGGGGGGATGGGAACTCACGGCGTCCCGCTCGGCTCCTTGGACTTTTCACCGGAGTAAAGGTGCCTCTGGTGGAAGGAAACTCACTCGAGAAGGGGCGCGGATATCAGGTGGGAACGGTTGGGTGTGATGTCCGTGAAAATTTAGCGAGATGTAACCGTGATATCACCATAGTTTCTTACGCATATTTGCCGGTGTTTGGTGTAAGTGTCGTGGTGGTGGGCCCTTTGCCGGTGTTAGGATGAATGTTTTGCTGTTACGACTTACGGCGAACTCTGATGTAATGTGAGGCGGTGGCATGACTTGAAATTCGAGTAACGCACACGTCGACACGTATGGAGAGGTGTTGTTCACTAGTTATGTAGTCGTTCATTGAATGGTATTAAAAATGGAACCTGTGTAAATGAAATCCGTACTGCGTACGCACAGTGAATGTGCTTTAGTTGCGATATGTGTTAGCGTTCTTTTATTTCACCTTACTAAATTACACCAGTGATTAATCTATAAAGTTGCGCCTGTTGGGAGTCGAACCCGGGACCACCGTTGTGGATGTGCGCCCTCTTACGTGCCATGTTACTCCCGAATGCCCCCTTAGCATGGGGCTTTGCGACTCGGTCGCCCCCCGCGCCCCGGATCGTCCGTTGATGTCTTGTGCCGTGACTTCAGCCCTCAGCGGAGCACAATTTCTCGTCGATCCTGTGAAATAATGCAGATCTAGTGAGGCCGTGACACTTGCGGTTGTCGCATGTCGGTGTGTCGCCCGGAATAATATGTATTTTGTGGTACTGAGCGTCTACATTAGTAGGGGAAGGGTAGCCATGTATTAGTATGAATGTCGTGGGGAGCGCACGCCCCAGTGATGTAAATTAGTGGAGAGAGATACCAGTGAGGTATGGGATCTGAAAATCGTGCTGTTTTATAGCACGCTATTGATGGCGCCGCGAAAATGCATGGCTGTTGTTCGAACATGGTGCAATAAATTGTGGTGTGATAGGATGACTCGTGTTTTACTGTTGACTGCTGCGGAATAACGGACATCGACATCGATGTCAATGCGGTCTAAATTTCGTTTAATCGTGGCGAAAACATGGATCACCTCGGGTGTCACGCACAGTATGAATATGCACGTCGGGAGATGGCGAGAAATTCGAACAAAAATCACATTACGTGCTGTGAAAGAAACCCGTCGACTCAGTGTGCCTCGTCAGTGAGGTGGGCTCAGCGGGGTCTTGTTTGGTCGATGTCCGTCCTGTCTCCCCTCTCTCTGTCCAACTCCTCCCTTACTCTGTCTGGGGTTAGTCGCTTGCCGGTACGGTACTAGAGCAGCTTGTACCAGAGCCTGGTGTCTGTCGGAGGCGGCAACCCGAGTTAGGAGTGAGTCAGTGAGTTCAATTGTGAGCACGATGAGTGAGAACGATAATCACCTAACCATCGAGTGTCTCCACGCGGGAATATACGAGCTTCATCTCTCCTGGCGGCCGAAGTCGCCGGAAACTGAACCGGTGCCCGATCAAGAACGCAAGAATGTGGAACCCACGTCGGGGAAAGACGCTGAGAATGCTGAGATCCAACCCTCAAGAACCGCTACTGATACCACCAAAGCGCAAACTTTAGAACCGAAAATCCTGTCCGCATCCACCAAGACGAACCACCAATACGACCAAGCTGAGGCCAACCCAACAGTCATCGATCAAACAATACCAAACGAGCAGCCCCTCACCCCTGAAAACCTTTCCCCACCCGCCTCTCACCCTCCCCGCCCGTTGTACGCCCTGGAGATGTTCGAAGCGCCGCCGGTAGCTGGCTGGACACGATGCTACTATGGCGCAGGGACGAATTGTTGGCTCAATAAGTTGAAGCCGAACGTCCCCCATAGGGTCAGAGTGAGGAGTGAGGCGGGAGTGAGTCAGGTGAGGAGCGAGGACGGGATGGGAGGAACGGGAGCGGCGAAGCCGGCATTGTCTTGGTGAGAGCATGGCTTAGGGGACACAGCCTCACAGGGACGGAGGTGCAAACTTGTGTTTTTGTCAGATAGGAGGGAGCAGGCTTCGATGATCGGGGTATATGGTTCGTTGATACGGCAGGTCTTCCGGTGAGCATGATTATGTTGCGCGGATTGTGATAGTGAATACGGTGCACTACATGAGTCAGTGCTATGGATTAGTACCTAGATTTTGAGCTTGTAACGCGACCAGCAATGACTCAGGCGAAATGTGCGTCTATTTCTCTCCCGATAACCACCCCTCTACATCCCCCCCCCCACCTCGGCTCTCCCTCAGACGTTCACCTTCAGCACGCTCCCGGCGCCCGTCTCCGTCTCCGATCTCCACCGGGCCGTCCTGCTGGACCGTGTGGAGCGCGTGGAGACGATTCTGACGCGCCGGCCGCGTGCCGTCAGCGCCGTCAGCGCGTACGGCCTCAGCGCGCTGATGGTGGCGGCGCGCGAGGGGTTCCGATCCATGAGCTCCCTTCTGCTGCGGCGAGGAGCCGATGTGAACCAGAGCAGTCAGGGGGCCGGCAAAACAGCGCTCATGTTCGCCAGCTTCGCGGTAAGAACAGCCGGGAGGCACTCTGGAGTTGAAAGCTTGATGCATCGTTCCTGTTAGGCTGAAAAGTTTGAAAGCGTAGGAACAGAAATGGATCAGTACAATAACTTAGGAAGGCCCTCTTAGCGATCCAATGGCTGATGACGTTTTAATTGCTAACTTAGAAACCCAGTGCACGTTTCAAGATTACGCATCTCCCTCCCCTCACCAATTATACTCTTCTTCCTCTCGACCTCCTCTCACCCTCCCACCTCTACCTCTCCCGCAGGGTCATCTAGACATCGTCGACTTGCTGCTCTCCGCCGGCGCCTCTGTGACCTCCCAGGACCGCTCAGGACGGTCCGCGCTGCACCACGCGGCCGATGGGGGCAGCGCTGCCGTGGTTCGTCGCCTGGTGGCCGCTGGAGCACCGCTGGAGCAGGCCGATTCCGAGGGCTGGAGTCCGCTGATGAGAGCTGTGATGTTAGGAGGTGAGAGGGAGGGGAGAAGAGGGAGGGAGGAGAGAGAGAGAGAGAGATGGAGAGAGAAAAGGAGGAGGAGATGGAGGGAGGGTGAGAAATAAAGAGAAGACAAGCGTTTAATCGACGCGGTGCACGGTATTAATAAAATGGGACGATGCGTTCACTTTGATAAATAGCTTTCCAGTTATCTGATATGCACCCGTCGTCAACCGATCGCTAGCTCCAGCCTCCAGCTCCTGATGAATGAGCCCCAACTAAGCACTCCTCGTCGGCCTCACCAGGCCCAGTCAGTAACTTGGTTTCTACCACTCCCTTTCCGTAGGTCCGGTCAGCACCCTGGTCGAGATGGGCGCTCGGTCGGACGGTTCAGACGGCCGCGGTCGCCAGCTGCGCCGCCTGTCACCCTGTCCGCTGCGCAGTGCCGAGCTGCTCAGTGTGTGGCGCCGCAGCGCCCTGGTGCTGCCTCCGTGGCGACGCAGCAGCTCTCAGCAACCGGAGTGCAGTTCTCAGCAACCGGCGGCTAGCAGCTCCCAGCAACCGGCGCAAAACAGATCACAGCAACCGGCGCGGAGGGACTCTCAGCAGCCAGTGCGGAAGGACTCTCAGCAACCGGCGGTTAGCAGCTCGCAGCAACCGGCGCGGAGCAGCTCCCAGCAACCGGTGCGGAGGGACTCACAGCAAATGGCACGCAAGGACTCAAAGAAGTTAGTGCGAGGTGACTCAAAGCAACTAGTGCGGAGGGACTCCCAAAAACCGGTGCGGAGCGACTCACAGAAACTAATGCGGAAGGACTCCCAACAACCGTCGGTATCGGCCGGAGAGCCAGAAAGCTAGGAAGTAGGGAGAAAAGCAAGAGGTGGCGGCTCTTGAGGGCTCCGGTAGTGAAAATCACTTGAAGGTGAGCTTTTCTAGGTAGTTGGTAAGCATTAGTGAGGAAGGGAGTCAAGAAGGTATGTTAGTGGTGGTAGGTGAGCGCTCTGATGTTACTGAGCATCGCATACTGAGGTCTGCTTGGATGGGCGAGATACTCAACTCGTGACAACATAGTGCACACTGCACACATTTCGATAAAATCGGCCTACCAACACCAACTCCGCGGCATCAGTCGATCAGTCAGTTTCCCTTCATCTACCTGTCAAACCCTCAAAATTGACATGTTTTCTAACCGCCCCGAACTCACAACTGTCATTCATTGACGTGTCTGTAGCACGTAAAAATCGATTTTACGTCAAATTTAGTGTGCGACTCAGCGCGGTTGGTTAGGTAATCGTTCGCAGTGGAGAGCTTGGGGTGGGACGGTCTGTGTTGTTTTCGCTTTTCAAAAAGAACGAGTATTGAGAGTGGATTGTGGACAGCGTGGGACATGGCCAAGACGATAGGCGAAATGACTGCAGGTAACTAATAGTGATTGGGTTCCTAGGATGGGGAGGGAGGTTTCTGTCGGTAGGGGTACGAAGAGATGGAGAAGGCTTGGAGAGCGGGGGAGAGAAGAAAGTGGGAGCGGGAAGAGATATGCGTATCATTACGATATGCGTATCAGATGCAAACAGATCGCTAAAATGTTAGTTATCCATCTTTAGACAAAAAAGGCGGAGAGAAAAATATGTCACTTCTATCTGCTAGCAGTGAATACGCGAAATGGTAAAACATCTTATTGGCTGCTAGGGATCGCCATCATCTAACCGTCTAACTCTTTGTTTCCGCAGGCCTGCCTGTGGTGACGCTGCCTCCCTCCGACAAGGGGAAGCTGATCGACGAGAGGCGAGAGTCGCGCTGCCTCTCACTGAAATGGTGTCTGCTCACCGCCTGCTGCTCACTGCTCGCTGTTCAGGTTTGTGGGGTGCCGGCGTCTAATGAAGGGGTAGCATCTGTTACTTAAGGCAATATACCTGCAATGTAGGTGGTTCTATTGACTACTGTGTAAAATTGTAGAACCTGAGCGTAGTGAATTGCCTGAAATCGACATGCAAGCTGGATAATACCGATGTCATTTAATATCATCATATTAGTTTCTGCAAGGGCTGAGAAGTGTGAGGCACTGTGAGAAGCTGAGGCATTACACAGCGAGTTTCAAATCAAACTTTGTGTCTGTGAATCTTGAATGATGACAGCGAATATCGATTATGCCAATGCCGTCATTGTCCCCAGTTGCTGGCAGTGCTGGTCACCGTCCTCCTGAACTGGGGAAGCGCGCTGGACGGTAGTGACGTCACTACCACCACCAGTCTGCCTCTGAGGACCCAGATCCCTGCACCTGATGGGAGCACCGTCACCCCTACACCGGACCCCGGCCGGGTGGGAAACGGCGCTGGGTAGGTCGAAACGACGGATGAGTAACTAATACACCCGTGATGAACACCAGCTTGACTGTGGTCCGCGCACATTAGAATCCACTTATCTCTTCAATAAGGGTTACCGACTATCAGGAATTTCTCCAGAAGAATACCAGCTATAGTAAGTGGCTCGCAGGAGTGATGGATTTCCTGTGATTTGACAGTAGCGTACATTGAATTTTCCCCCAAGTGATACGAACGAGCCACGATATGAAAAGGAATGTGATATAAATGTGTGATATAAATGTTCCAGCACCCGTTAGGTGGAGAGTCGACCTAAAGGGTAAGAAACTGATGTTCTTTATCCCGTGTGTGTTTTCACAGTGAAGGCAACACCACCTCTCGCGGCCGACTTCTGCTGGTACTACTGGCCGGCCATCAGCACCGCACTGACGACACAGAGAGTCCTCAGCGACCCCTGCCTACCAGTCCAGCTCGGTACATGAGCGACAACTCAACCAGTCAGCACACCCCTCACGGAAAACCCAGCGACACTAGGGAGGATAACGCCCTACCGAGGGGCGCTCTACTCAAATGGTACAGAGTGATGAGTCATGGACGTCAGAACGGGAATGAGACATCGACAGACACGGCAAGAGAGAGGTCTCGAGAGCTACTGGCGCTTCTGAGGAGGCTACACGGGCTACATCATATCACCAGTCGCAACATGCACAGACAGGCTACAGATGACGTCACAAGGGGTGCGGAGGCAGCTACAAATGACGTAACAGGGGGTACGACAGCGGATCGGAGCAGGCGGGAGGCAGGCGAGGAGCTGAAAAAGGCCAAACGATCTGCGAAGGTGTGGCCGCGCAGGCTGGAAAATATCGGAACACACTGAGAGGACTTTGAAAGGACTTTTTGGGGAAGGATTGTGTGTCAAAATGTTTGAGTGCTACAGCGATTGGAGTGCTCTGTTGGGTCTCGTGTGCACCTGTCATGTGTCGCTGCGGCAATGCGCAAGACTTTTCATAAATGTAGTTTACTATCTCCTGTACCGCCCTCCCGCCTGCCGCGTTTCGGGCGTAGTCGCGGTAAAGGTCATGATTCCTAGTCGGAAGGTAATACTGTCCAACTGAACACAAGAAGTTTGTGGTATTTCGCTGCGGATGAGCGAAATGTTGACGCGTGTTAAGTGGAGAAGATAACGTGCGTGCAATGCTGTGACACTTTGATACATGCTAAATATACTACGATAAACAACCGCGGAATAGATTGGCTTACGAAGAGTGGATTTAACCGAACTCAGATTTCGCGATGCCCGTATCAATTATATCACCATGGAATGTGCCATGATGGAAGACCATCGAACCACTAAGGCTAGACTAGCACTTATCCGACCTTTAAACCAGTGAAAGACCTGTGTTGAAAAAGTGCGTGTCTCTGTATTGAAATGCCCCGCAAAGCGCCGAGAACACTCGCCAAGCATAACACAGTGGGTAAATGACTTTAATGGCGAGATCGCAAGGCAATGGCATGATACCTGTGCTACAAACACATGAACAAAGTGTATGGCAACGTGAAACCCAACGGCTGTGCCCACTGAGAAGTATCTGAGCTTTGCTATTAACGTTGGCAAGTCTTCACACACAAACTGCATGACACACAAATCCGTATTGGCCCTGAACGAAACGAAACACCCTGTTTCGAAAGCTCAATTAACACACAACTCTGGTTCAACACTTCAGGAACCCACAGCCTTCGCAGGTAACATTTGCAAACCTCGCGAAGCGCAATGACGTTCGAAAACGCCAGACTAAACGCACCGCGAAGTATCGTAATACTACGGCCTTCCCTTACAACAAACGGGACAAATCTTTGTGGGGTGTGGGGTCACCCTGTGGCTGCACTTTCTCTCGTGAAGTCAAACAAAACATGGTCATCTTATGTTTCCATCGGCTGCTCAGTGGATACCGACGGATCCTGGGAACCCTCTGAGCTCTGGGCGTCCCCCTGGGATCCCTGGGGGTGTGGGGCATCCCTAGCCTCAGGGGCCCCCTGTTCACATACCTCCATCGGCTGAGCCTCAGCCTGAGGAGTCACCGCCTCCGTCTGGGGTTTAGAAACCTGAGGTGGCTCAGCGATCTCTTCTGACCTCCCTTCGGCCGCCTCAGTGTGCGGCTCCGCGGCTGGTTCTGGGACTGTACCGGCCCCTGCTGTGGAGACAGAAGGCTGGACTGACTCCGGCGGAGGAGCGGGCCCGCCACCTGGCTCCGGAGTGGGTACCACGCTCCCCTCCGACCTCCGACCGGACGTGGGTGTCGGGGTGAACTCCAGACGCAGCTCCGGCTCCGGAGTCTCCCCGGGAAGACTCCGGACGGTGGAGTCATCCCTCCCCGCCGCGGACTCCGCCACTGACTCTCCGTCACCGACTGTTGACTCCAGCTCTGACTCTGCCTCGTGTGACTCGCTGAGATCCTCGCCACCGCCGGAGCGCCGGCCGGGGGTGCGCGGGGTGCGGCCTCCAGCGCCGCGCGGGCCCCGCGGCCGACCCCGCCGCTTCTTCGGTCCCGGCTTCTTGAGAATCTTATCAGGCGGGCGCGGCGGCTCTAGGGGATACCCCACCAGCTTACACCATCCCACCGGGAACAGATCGGGACTCTCCACATCCGCCCACTGATCGAACTGCTCCTCCCAGCCGTCAAAATGGATCCTAAGCAGCCGTCCCACCACCTGCCCCACCGTGGCAGCGCACACCAGCTGCGGGTCCATCAGATCCACCGCCTCCAGCTTGTGGCCGGGCTGGAAGCCGTGAGACAGCGGCGGCCGGTGGAAGAGATGAGCCGGCGCCGCACTGGCGCCCTCCGCGCGCAGGTACACCTCCCAGAAGAACCCCTGCCCCTCCATGTACCGGTAGCTGTGCGGAGGGGTCAGGGGGATCCCCACAGTGCGGCAGAAGCCCGGCGGGAAGATGTAGGGCGAGGAGGCGTGGTAACAGAACCAGTCCGACTCCGGCTCCGTCTCCAGTTGTACCATGATGAAGTGGTTTTGGAGCGTGTCGCGCACTGTGGCCACCCCGATCGAGCCGAGGTTCAGCGGGTCCAGAGCCTCCAGCTTCATACCGAGCTGGGGGAGAGGGGGACCGGGGGTCAGACGAAAATCCGTTATGATCGACAGGTTTGACGAACGGCCAAAGCGGGTTTTGACATTGAAACAGTGTTCCTTGTCAACAAATATCGCTGCAACAAAATATTGATAATACACATGTACTGGACACCGAAATGTGTTGATATAAAATACAACTAGCTTAACCCTCGCCGGCACAGGGGGGGGGGGGGGGTTGATGCAACCCCCCCTAAGGTTTTTCGCGAATAACTCGCGTAAAAAGCGGCCGATCGCGATGAAACTTTCAGTACCCTCGCATTGATCAATTTTACACCTACCCTGAAAATTTCATGACCCTGACCCTAATGACCTTTGACCTGTGACCTCTTTTATGTGACCATGTTTGGCCGAAATCGCGGTTCGGCGCATGTCGGCTCGCATTAGCCGCGCGTTTGCAAGCTTTTCGTGGTTTCAAACGTTCAAACATGTGATTTGATGTTGCTCCCATGCATTAGGGTGGGTGTCAAGGTCACCTGAAGGTCAGGTCAGGCCATTGACCTTTGGTGACCTCGGGTGACCTCGGTTCACTTTTTCGAGTTTTACATGTTTCTAGCAGGGATGCGGAGCCGGAGCCGGAGTCGGAGCCGGAGCCGCCGGAGCCGGCATATTTTGCCCGGAGCCGGAGCCGGAGCCGGAGCCGTGAAACAATATAGCCCGGAGCCGGAGCCGGAGCCGGAGCCGCCAAAAAAGGGGGCGACTCCGGCTCCTTTTTATTTTTTGAAGAGAAAAAAAATAATTGACCTAGTTCGGTTTGACAGTACAAGGCAGTAAAACATATGGTACTTACGTCATGGGCCATCAAGTGAATGAAAAAATCCGAATATCCCCAGTATCCCACAGTACGCAAACAACTTCCTGTTTGCTCTTCCCCCCCCCCCACGTCTACTGCATCCCCAGAACATGAGGACCAGTCATCAGGTGACAGCCATCGTTTTCAAACCAGTGCAGTGGACTGCGACTCCCAGCACCGTCTCATCCCACACACCCCCCACCCCTCACCCCCCAATGCAGCCGAGACGGGTGTCAGCTTACGATGGTTCACTGAACTCCGATTCGCGGCGACTGCGTTTCCAATGCCATCGCTTCCTAGCCCTTTGTTCTGCCAGTTTTCTCCGAGGTGCGTTTGCGCGGGGACGCGGTGAGCCGGTCATGGCAAAGAGTAACGCGTATAACCAATCCAATTTTTCTTCCACCCGTATTTAATTGATTGCGTAGGGGATGTACTGAGTCGGAGCCGGAGCCGCCGGAGCCGGAGCCGCCGGAGCCGGACCATTTTACTCGGAGCCGGAGCCGGAGCCGGAGCCGCCATAACATTTCACCCGGAGCCGGAGCCGGAGCCGGAGCCGATTTTTTTCTCCGGAGCCGGAGCCGGAGCCGGAGCCGTCTGAAATTTCCACGGCTCCGCATCCCTGGTTTCTAGGCTAGTTTTTGGAGCTGAATTCGAATTTAGCAACCATTTGAACATTTACGAAGTAGTTTTGGTGCCTTCGTAACATGTTACGAAGCTGTCCGAGGCGGTTGACACGTATTACGAATACCCGTCACAACCCCTACCGGTTGACTTGACCTGACCTGACCCGACCTGGTCTAAATGCTTAAAGACATCATCTATGATCAAAACTAACACGATATTCGTGATCAGCACCCCGGAAAACCACATAGCAGCCACACTTTACGACTTTCTAACAGGTCCCGATTTTCCCGGTTTTCGGGTCATTGACCTGACCTGGCAGGTCACCCGATGACCTAGGACCTTAAAATTGGGTATCATCGGCTTCCTCTCGTGACGGGCAACACGCTCGTTTTTTCCGCGAAGCTCTAGCTCGATCAGGGGCCAAACGCGAGGAGGGGTCGTACCAACCCCCCCCCCCCCCTTGTGCCGTCGAAGGACTCAAAATGGCCTGTGCCGGCGAGGGTTAATACAATTATACAATTATACAATAAGCTTATACAATTAGCTTTATTTCATCGTGTAAGTCCAGACTGACAGGTAGGCGAAAGCACTGGGGCAGAACAATTGACGGCTACAGCGATCCCACATTCTGGTCTATGGGGCAAACTGCAGAGGGCCCAAACTCCTTACCTAAACCCACGAATAAAAATAACCAAAATGACAAATTCCAAGTAACGTTCTCCCACTATATAAGACATGTAACCCCCTTCCCTCCAAAGTAATCCATCCCTTTCCTCATAAGCAATCCCACCTTCCCGATTCACCTACCTTGAACCCCTCGTGAGTGACGGCCGGCGGCGCGGGCAGGTAGTCCTCGGTGGCGTCCGTGGGCAGGAAGCGGCCCGACTCGCAGCGCGCCAGGTAGTCGTCCGGCGCCTGGATACGGTGTCCGACGGCGCGCGACCAGCCCACCGGGTGCACCTGACGGGGGTAACGGCAGGGGGGGGGGTTATTTGTTTGTTTGTTTAAGATTCGCCAGCGGGCTTGCACCCAACGGCAGGCAAAGTCAGACAGTAAAATCAGGTTAGAGGGGGTGGACGTGTGTGGGGTGAGAGGTCTACCTAATTTTCACTGAAAACCAGCTACAGTTTAGGTCAACTCAGTCCTCAGAGCCCAAGCAAAGCACAGACAAGTTTACAATACAAAATAAAAAAAAAACATGCGCTATGCATTTATACTGTCTCCTCAGTCTAATTACTACATTGCTACGTAGCATTGACAGCAGATCTACCCCTGATCTCTATCCTTGACCAGATCATCCCCCACACCTCCCCTACTCTCTCCCCGCTCTCTGCACTCACCAGCGGTGAGTTCTCGTGACACCAGAACCCCCCGTCGTCCGGATGGGCGTCCAGATAGTGCACATGCAGCCTCCGTCCGATCTGACGCGTGATACGCGCCGCACGCATCTGACTGATGCAGCTCTTGTCGACCACTTCTATGGTCTGTCCGACTGAGAGTTGAGAGCCGCGGCTGAGACTGGACATCACCTGAGAAATGTGATGTTCATATAAATTGAGATTGAGTGATAGACAGTGAGGGGCAGTAGTGAGGGACAGGGTATGGTGGGAGGGGAGGGTAACAGCAACGCAACATAAAGGAGGATATGAAACAAAAAAGCCAGTAAATGGACGACTTGAACGAAAAGTGACATAAAACCCGAACCAGTGAAGTGAGGGAACAAAGTCCACGTTCCCAAAGCATGATTACGAACAGCAGGACATCAAATCAACGCAAAATTGTCAATGCTGAATGACACAAACCCCTCTTTTGACTCCCTACAAACCCCTTTCCCCCACACTCCCCCTGACCTACCTTCCTATAGAAGGAGGGCGGCAGTGTCCGTGATCCGGTCAGCACTCCTACCAGCCGCCGCTGCCAGTCGGCGGCAGGCCCGGCCGGCGGCGGCGGTGTCAGCGGCAGGCCGCGCGAGGCGCACCAGCCGACCGGCTTCACCTCCGGCGAGCAGATCTCCAGCCACCGGTCCAGACTGGAGTCGGAGCCCAGACCCTCGGGACGGAACAGGCCGCGGTAGCCCTGCACCTGGGGAGCGGAGCGGGGGAAGTGTTAAGATGATTGGAGGGAGGGAGCAGCTGGGCACGACGGGAGATGGTTGGGTGGGAGTGTGTGGCAGATCTAGTGCTGGTTCTGCAGATATCAAACAGGTGATATGAAAAGTGGTTTTGGTAGGTAACTACTTGTAGTTTGTGATAGCAGGATAAGATACAAAATCGTTTTATGAAATGGGCAGCTTCACATGGTCTTAGTACCATAAATCTAGAATGAAAGTGTCATACATGTTTTCCCATACCTACAGGGTCTTTCATAATGAATGTTATTTTTAAAACGCGAAGTTGAAGGTGTTCGTAAATAATTAAGCCATAAATTTTGTATTTACCTCATTGCAAATTTCTTGGAATTTCTGTTGATGTAATCAAAACTGCCACACTTCACCAAACTTCCCTTTTGTGCGGACATGAAATGCCTCCCCCTACAATACGGGTCAGCTCTTTTTTCACGTAGGCGTTTTGGGTGGTCTTGGGAAACGGCTCACTGAAGCGCACGGCTGTCCACCGTAAGATTCGGGGACACTTTTAAAAGAAGCACAATGTCCGCTCTAAAATTATCACAGACTTGTGAACAGATTCCAGCATGTCACGATTGACTGAAAGGAACAAAACGCACGAAAGGTCATGTTTTGGGCTGCCGTGGTCGACGGGCGTGTCTTCGTCCACTGGTTCGCTTCTGGCTTATCAGTGACCGGGCCAGCTTATCTGAGGCTGCTCAGTGCTCATTGCTCAAGGAAGGATTCTGGCCTCATGTGCCTGGCGGGGTTCAAAGACAAGGCCGCTGGTTTCAGCAGGACGGCGCTGAAGTGAGTTTCAAGTGACAACGGCGGCTGGGCGCCAGTGCAGTGGTTGGATGCAACTTTGACAAACGAGTGATCAGCCGTCTCACTGAGCGGCCATGGCCAGCTTAGAGCCCTGATCTCTCGCCGATGTATTTCTGATTTTGGACAGTCGTCTTGGAGACCCCAAGCAGAGACCCTTCCAGTGACCCTCATAGAGCTACTGGTTACAGTGGAAAGGTTTGCTGCAAGGCGGTGCGCGGAGGATGTGAAGCGCGTGGTGCACCATTTGCGTCCGCGGGCCGAAATCTGTGTCCGAAAGCGAGGCGACACAGTTAAAAATCGATGAAGGGTACCTAAATGCGAGTCATGTGTACATAATTTCCCATGATTTGTTATTTCATTCGGGTATTGACAAAAACTTTGTGATGTATATCACCTGAGCTATGGCTATTTTAAAAATGACATTCATTATGAAAGACCCTGTAGTCAAACTGTTGCTCACTGAAGCATCACACAACAATGCCTCATCCCCAGTTCCCTACCCTAATCACAACCATCTCCCATCCCTCCCACCCCCCTTCCTTACCTGCAGCAGTGTGGCCACCCAGTAGGTCGTCGGAGCACCCTTCCCGACGCCCTTCTGCGCCACTTCTGCCTTCAGACCGGCGCACACATTGCGCCACGTTTGGCTGAGAGGCGCGTGTCTGAAACACTCGACCGGCGCCGCCTCGAACGTGGCTTTGCGCATCAGGTGATCCCAGCAGAAGGAGCTGGCCAGCTCCTGTGCTGTGAAGGCGGAGTTGGCGGCCGGTGGCGGCGGCGGGCTGCGCGGGTTACGCTGATATGGCCGCGATGAGCAGTGCTGGTGGCATGGGAGAGGGAGAGAAGGAGGGGGAGAGAGAGAGAGAGAGAGAGAGAGAGAGAGAGAGAGAGAGAGAGAGAGAGAGAGAGAGAGAGAGAGAGAGAGAGAGAGAGAGAGAGAGAGAGAGAGAGAGAGAGAGAGAGAGAGAGAGAGAGAGAGAGAGAGAGAGAGAGAGATGAGAAAAGAGAAATTAAGATGAGTAAGATAATAATACAGGGTGGAAAGTAATTACGCGAACATGTATTTTCTTACAATTTCGCCCGTCAGTGGAGATTTTGTATGAGCGCGGGCTGTTATGGAACATGACTGGTCGTGTTTGTTGTCGCCTCATCTAACAAAAGTGACCTTACTTTGAAAAATGACTTGGAAGGTCTACAACACCTCTCGGCTTCGAGTGGTGCTGACGCCATACGCTGCTCAAGACCAAAATGGGCAAAGAGCTCAATTTAAAGTTGCCAGGGAAAGCGTTTGTGATTATTTTGGCTGGATTGGTGCGGAAGGGACTCGGAACGGTCTCGGCACCAGCATTACTCAATTACACGTTTGGTTGAAGCATAATAAAACTTAAGAGGACTTAAAAAGCAAAGCCGTTGGCGGCAGTAAAACCTCGGCGAATTCAGGCGCCGAATGGGTGGTCACCATTTCCGCGACCAAACGACAACAGTCGACCCGAAAACAGGCAAAATGGTTTACTTTGGCCGGGTACCCGATCTAAGATATCACGATTCATACATAAGTCCGTGAAAATTCGAAAATCAAGCCGTACAAACAATCGAGATGGCCAAAATTCATGAATTAACAGCAGGATTGTCAATTTAAGTTTTCTAAAGACCGCCAAACCTGAACAGAGGAGGACAGGCAGCTGGCTTTGTGGTTGGGTGAGATATCTTCGAAGCTATTTCATCCGTCAAACCTGCAGAACAACGCGTTGGGGGCTGCTGATGCGTCCGACGTCCCGCCCGTCCCAACCTTCAAACATCCGGCAAAGGAACACACATCAGCGTGTTATGAGCGCCCCGATGGTGTCAGAATTGCATGTAGTGACCAACAAGGCCACCAAAAATAAAGTATACAACTAGTGGAACATCCTTCCAGACGAGTCTCTTTATCTAATCCATCAATGCACCAAAAGGGGCAAAATGATTCAGCGCACTTTTGTGCCCGACGCAAAGAAACTCTTCTTCATGATTGATAAAGTCCTTCCTCTCACGGCCAAAAAGACGCAAGACTGGTGCTTTGAGAACCCGTTCTTCTTCTGGGCATATAATGGTCAATCTGGGAATAGCCCAGACCTCAATTTGATCAAAAATATCCAGGCGACTCTTCAGGAGAGCGTCTAAGAGCTGCTAGTAGCCACCAACATCGATTGCCTCACCAGACAGCTCCAGGAGGCGTGGACTAAGCTTTGCCCAACAGTGCTTGACATGCTCATGTCAATTATGCCTGAACGCCTTTGTCAGTGTATCGCACATAAATAGGAATATGTGAAAAGATGAAATTTTCATGTCACCGCCGCTTTTTCCATTGCTATAAGACGAAAAAGTATGTTCGCGTAATTATTTTCCACCCTGTAGAGAATAAGGATCTGACACCAACTATTCAATCATAATGGAAATGCACTTTGTACCTTTCTACTGAAAATGAACAAAAATATTTTCTAATGTATGGAAGGAAAACCAATACAGAAACAAAGAAGAGTTACACCAACAAACCTTTATCTTCTTCACTGGTGGAGCAGAAGGTTTAGGCTCAGCCGGCTTAGGTGCCTCCTTTGCCGGGCCATCCTTGTCGCCGCCAGCATCTCCGGAGCCGTTTGGTGGTGGATCCTTCGAGGAGCTACCCTCCCCTGTCTCGGTCCCACCGGTACTGACCGGCGGGTCCATTGTCTTGAGACCACGCAGGTCACACTAACTTTCTCAGCTTCTATCTGTAAAGGATGAGAACGTCAGTAAATACTCAATACTGATGTCATTCATAAAATGAGATGCATAAGCATTTTTAACCCTTGCACTTATAGGGGGCTCCACAGACCCTCCCTCCCCCTATTTTTTTTTTTTAACTCGCACAAAAAGCAGCCGATCGCGCCCAAACTTTCAGTAACCTGGAGTTAGTCATTTTCACCTACTCTGAAACTTCATGACCCTGAATGAAATGACATTTGACCTATGACCCATTTCTCAAAGCCACGTCAGGCCGGAATCGTGATTCAGTACCTGTCAGCGAACATTATTCAAGCATTTCCTGACGTTTTGTGGTTATAAATATTCAAACGTGTGAAATGATGTTTTTCCCATGCATTATGCAGGGTGTCAAGCTCATGTGAAGGTCAGGTCAAGGTCAGTCACCTTACATGACTTTGGTTCATTTTTTCAAGTTTTACATGTAACATATGAGATTGACATAAGATGTAATATTACAAGCAGGGGTGCGGAGCCAGAGCTGGACCCGGAGCCGCCGGAGCCGGCACATTTTGCCTGGAGCCATTTGTTATCCATTTGCTATCAGGGCTCCAAAAAACGTATCAGGCATTCAAATTCACACAAAAACGAGCCAATGTCAATGTTGCGTAAACCAGGCCAGGCGCCATTTTAACTCAAAATACTGAAAAATTTGAGTATTTTTGCAGGAATTTTGAGCGGCAATTGGTGGAGAACCCTGCCGGAAAACCCGACGGCATTAAAAAAATTTAGACCGAACCTTTTGAATGGAAGGATTCACCTTTCACAAGGAGTAAGAACAGAGCCCCCACTAAGCACAGCTTGTTGCGTTGACCCTGCCCTCTACCCTCCGATCGCGCAATTCCGGCTCTATGGCAGAATTTAGAGTCCAAAGTTTAACGTGCGCACATAGCCGCGCAAGGCCGGTCCCCTTACTGACTTCGCCTGGGTACGGCCTGCCACCAACCGCAACCATACCTGTCAGGAGGCCCATAAATGTCAAGCACCCGTCGCGCTTCGAACCCGGACTGTTATAACCGGGAACGCGTGCTCTCACCACGCGGAGTCCAACGCTCTACCGACTGAGCTACGGGACTGAGTATGTGCATTTTGGCGTTATGTGCACTCCCCAGGGATGCGGAGCCGTGGAAATTTCAGACGGCTCCGGCTCCGGAGAAAAAAAAAATCGGCTCCGGCTCCAGCTCCGGGTGAAATGCCATGGCGGCTCCAGCTCCGGCTCCGGCTCCGAGTAAAATGGTCCGGCTTCGGCGGCTCCGGCTCCAATACTCAGTACATCCCCTATGCAATTAAATACGGGTGGAAGAAAAAAGACGATGGGATTGGTGCACGTTGCTTCTATATTTGCATAACAGGACTTTTTTCATATTTTGAATAGCGCATGTTTTACTGCCTTGAACTATTAAACCGAACTAGGTCAATAATTTTTTCCTCTTCACAAAATAGGAGCCGGAGTCGCCCCTTTTTTACGGCTCCGGCTCAGGGCTATATTGTTCCACGGCTCCGGCTCCGGGCAAAATATGCCGGCCTCGGCGGCTCCGCACCCCTGGGCCACTCCCGCCTGACAACCAGAACCAAGGTGGACGACCTCATCACCTGGAATGGGGATATGGCATGCACGGACGCATCTACATCCAGGGCTCTGGCCGAAGCCTACAGCCGTGTGTACTGCTGGGATGAAGACCCGGCTGACGTTCCAGCTATGAATCTCCAGTATGGAGGTCCAACGTTGGAGGAGCTGCGGGTGAGTGTGACACCAGAGCAAGTGGAGGGCAAACTTTTTTTATAAATTTAGCCCGAATGGTTGAATGGGTGAATTTGAGGAATCAGGGCCCGCACTAAGCATAGCTTGTTGTGCTGACCCTGACCCCACCACCCGATCGCGCAATTCCAGTTGTATGGCAGAATTTTGTCCGAACATTTAACGTGCCCTCACGACTGGACACGGCCCCCTCCGCTCTCTCACGTTACCTGGCTTCTGTGCGGCCCCTGCCACAGACACGCACGCCATTACACGTAGGAGCTAAATGTGGCCGCCCACACCGAGGCTTGAACCGGGCTCTCACTACCGGCTAAGCGTCAAATTCCGGCATTTTACTCCACTCGGCCACAGAGGGGACTTCGCGACCTACGTCCGGCAGCATCACCAGGCCCTGACGCGGTCCATCCCAAGGTATTGCGCGAGCTGGCTGCCCCGTGTGGTCCCTTGGATGGCCATGCAAGAAACTGTTTCCTTATCCACGGGTGGGCCAAAAGGTATTCGTTAAAGGGACCCTCCCACCTTAACATAAGATTTGAGTTGAGATAGCCAAAATGGGGTCCCTGGCTCACAATTACCGGTTTCGGCACTCACAACATCGAGAAATGCCTTAAATCGGAAATATTGAATTTCAAAATTGCAGCATTTTGATTCAGAGGGGCTAATGCTTAGGAATACCCCTCTGAATGTGTGACGTCAGCGCAAATATCTAACGATTTTTAAATGTTTGACTAAAACGTTTTGTAGCACGCGGTGGTATATGCTATTTGCGCGCAACATCTGCCGCAAACGCCGCACTTCTAAAATAAAGTCGCTAGAAACAGCGGAGATCCCAAAAAAGTAAACAAAAGTAAAAACTAATATCTTGAAAACCGGTGAATATTTTTCGGTGAAATTTGGTAGATATTCGTTTTCGCTCTTCCTGAACCGAGCGACATCACTTTCATGCCAATTCATGAACTTTTTTGAAGGTGGGAGGGTCCCTTTAAGCATGCTTCACACTGTTTTTTTTTTCTTTTAACGAAGGAGAGGTGCTATACCCAGAGCAGAGATGCTCTCTAATCAAACCAAACCAAACCAATCCTAACCAAACTTAGCCTTACCTACAACCTGCAACCTAGCCTACCAGCTTAAACCCAAAGCCAACAACCTAGCCTACAGCAAGAGCACCTCTCCTTGGTAGCAAAAAACAAATGTGATGCCTGCTTTACTACTACTGGCAAAAACCAGTAGGTCAGGTAAGATTAGGTTATTCTAGTTTTTACTTGGCCATATTTTTTTCAATCTATTTCTTCTCTCTAGTGTACAGACTTCTGGAGCGTTTTACAACATTACAATACAGTCGCACGTCACACACAGCTCATAAACATCGAAATGACATCAGATGTGTAATTTCGTTGTACGAAAAATGGTTGGTATAGTTGTGATAAATCAAAATGATGGTCCATTTCAGCATTTTCATGACAATTATGGTTTCCACCTTATTTAACATGGAGAAGTAGATTATGACTACCTATAGAAAATGTGTGTTTTGATAGGCAAAGGTTTTAAATATCAGGTATGGAAAAAGACCAAGGTCATTCAGTTACAGACAAAACCAATTTGAAACCCAAATCATGATATAAGCATACAGTAATGAACAGAAATTGAAGAAAAATTATGCCACTTCACGTTGTTGTTGTTGTTGTTATGGGTTAGGGCGCGTAGCAACTTGGCTCTATGCCACTTCACCAAACATTCAACTTTTTTTTTTTTTAGTGGCCTTATATATCCTCGGCCAGAGGGGTGTTCACGGGCACCGCACACTGCTGCGTGCGGTGTGTGCGGTACGTCCAGCAGGCGTGGGGGTAGGGGATGGGTAGGCGGCTCTGACGTCACGGCTGCGTGCGGTGGACGGTCCGCTGCGGCCAGTCCCGACCGGCCACAGCGGTCGCTGTGTGCGGTGACGCAAGGCTGACGTAGGGACGCAGTGGGCGGAGCTTGGAGGCTGTGTGCGGTCCGACCGCACACAGGGTCCGTGAACAGCCCTCTGGCGAGGAGGAGGCTATCCGGCTCGTGAAGCGAGACCGGTGGCCACTTTTTAAGGCAGAATAGGGAAACCCACGCAAATGTAATTTTTCAAATGAGTGGAATTATTAGTAATATAGGCCAAAACACCTTATTATATTACATGTGCGTGGGGAAAACCCTATTATTTACGTTACGAGGTTTTTGGGTCCTTACCTCCACTAACCTTGTCTGGATTGTGATGTAGTTGATGTCGGTTGATCTCGTCGGTTGATGTAGTTTCAGGCCTGGACTGATACCACGCTTGACGCCCCAGCTGTATGCTATTCTGTTCAATAGCACAGTTCTCACGAAAAACCAGACGATATGATGGTAATAAGTGTTGCCTAGCAACAAAAAAATTAACTAGCAGGCTGCCTAGCAACAGGAGGCTGAAATCATTCCAAAGGAAGTTTTTGAACAGTAACAGTTATTTGTGACAGAACTTGCTGATGGAATACGTTTGTGGTTTGGTCTAAATTTAGCCAAGATGTAATATTGGTAATCATAAATCATTTGGTAATCATGAACATAACACAGGTTTAAAAATATAATTATGATATTTTTTATAAATAAATGCAAGCAATTTTCGAGAATTTCCCCCGAAAAAACAACAGCTGGGTTTCGAGAAAGAAGCTTAACCTTGAACTAGCCTAAATCAAAGGATGACAAAAAGCCAAGACTCAGCCAAGACTTGCGGGAAAGCGGCAGCTAATTACTTACTAACGTCAGCCACAAATGTCATTATTGTGGCCCGGTTTTCATGGATTTTTTTTTTATAATTTATTTGTATGCATTCTGCGTATGTGTCTCCTCGGATACCGAAAAGCAGGATAAGGGATTAATACACTGAACTCTATAAGGCACTAAAGCGTGCCACCCGGGACGCTTGAGCCTGACGGCTACGCGCGTCGCGCCCTTGTCCACAAAAAAGTGGCACCCGAGCCCAGAGCCACCCATCCATCCATTCGGAATAAATTTATTAAAAAAAGGCATTAGCTACTGCAACACAATAAACAAACGCGAGTCGCAAGTGCAATTATCAAGTGCTATTTTTCTATAGGCCATTGTAGTCTCCCGCTTAGATGCCGCGGCACTGGTGTTAGGCCACCATGCGGTGATGAAGTCTCCCGCCAAAGTCCCGGTATTGGTGCTAGGTACCTATGCGGTGATGCAGTCACTCACAATGAGGTCCGTACGCTGGTGTTAGGCCCCCATGCGGTAATGAAGTCTCCCGCTCAGTTGCCGGCATTGGTGTTGGCTTTCATGTGGCGATGCAGTCTCCTGCTCAGCGCTTCTCTATAGGCTTGGATGTTAGGCTTCTACTCGTAGGTAGGTACATAAGTAGGTACATGGTGATGCAGTCGCTCACCATTATCTGTCAGCACTGGTTCGATTTGTCAAATTCTTGCGATCGCCACCACCTGTCTTTACACATCGTCTTATGACTGATAAACCTCCACAAGGTTATAGTAATTCGAAATTGCGCTTAGTTGTAACTTATATTATTGTCAAATGGAAAGACTTAGGGACTCGATGGTTTTGACTCATGTCTTCCAACAAGGAAGCACGACTCGGGTCCCGATTTAAATGTTGATGTCTAAGTGTTCAATTCATTTTACAATTGCAGCAAAACGGCATCATCAATGCATACGTCGACCATCGAAGTTAAACATATGTATGTGCAAGTTGCCCGTTATAAACGGCAACCATCATCATTCAATCAGTTTTCAAGTCTGCATGTCAAGCATAGCATTTGCAGGATTTATGTTTTCATCATATGTACACACTGTAAAATCGGATAGTTTTGCGGTTACCATGGTCAACGTTTATTGAAAACATTTCGCGTTTCTAAACTGTGAACATGAAATCAACCACTGCCCTAGCGAGATTTGCAAAACTTAGCGCCATTTTTCTCTCGCGAGCTTTCAGTGCAGCTGTGTAACTTCGTGCCCGGTGGTTTATGTCTAAAATGCGCCAGCATCACCACAGACCACAAATTAGCGATCCCGATCGTTTTTCGTTGGGCGCAGTTGAGTTTGGTCAGATGCTGTTGTAAGTTGAGCAACGTGCATTGAGAAATTTGTCCAGTTAAGTTCCAGTTATCCAGTACAGATGGCCCAGTGGTGGCTGTCTCTCAAATAAAAATACAACTGTTTAATCGGTAAATGTTTGGGAAGAAATAAAATTTTACGTCTTTTCTATAAACGGTATTTTCACTTTCGTACCGACCCGTGCCAGCAGAGTAACTACTGTTGCCACAAGCTAAGCCAAGAGTCTAAGCAAATTATGTTGGCTCATCACATCACCCTACAAATACTCACCGCTTACCTCGGTTACGAAATTAACCGTAACCCTGCATCTCTGTTCCAACAAAGGAAAACAACAGATTATGTTAATTGAATGCATGACATGTATCTCACAGGTAATGACATGCTGATTCAGGAAGGACGCTCTCTGACGCTCGTAAGTGACACCTCCACCTCTGCATGAGTTGTAAGTGTGATGCATACTGGTATCACGTTAATCCGGTTTGCGACAAAACAACACCTTTCACTCTGCGCAACCAAATGATGTTCGATGTGATCACTAGAACTTGTTGCGAGTTTTGGCATTTACCGGTCAGTCTTGTAGGTTTTCTCAGAACTACCCCGAAGCAGGGCTGCGGAGTCGGAGTCGGTCGGAGTCGACAGTGGTGACCGGAGTCGGAGTCGGAGTCGGAGTCGATTTTAGAAACCCGAGCCGGAGTCGGAGTCGGAGTCACCGAAAATCTGTCGACTCCGCAGCCCTGCTAGGTCTGCGGAGTCGGAGTCGGGAGTTGGAGTCGGTCGGAGTCGACAATTCTGCCCGGAGTCGGAGTCGGAGTCGGAGCTGGTTTTTGAAAGCCGGAGTCGGAGTCGGAGTCGGAGTCGCCGAAAATCCATCGACTCCGCAGCCCTGCCCCGAAGTGACTTTCGCCAAAGTTAATACATAATCTGACCGTTGATGACCTTTGGAGCCCAAGCTCCTCACCCGTGATCAAAACATCCGAGACAATAGTAGGTAAATAGTTTGCAAATATCCACCTAATTGGTCATTGACGCATTTTTGCATTTATCTTTATTCGTGCGACGAATCAGTACGACCGGAAATATGCAAAGCATATCTTTTTTAGGTAATTTAGAGATACTTATTGCAGGTAGCACTCGTTGCGCTTGCCGTAATGGTCACTTCAGTGTGCAATAGATCACATAAAAATCCACCGCGCCCGCCTTGATGAGTGTTGGTGAACTCCGCTCACAGATCATAAATTAGTCAGCGTCTTGCAGTTACATAAAACAGCCGTGTCGGTTACATCATTTCATCACACCGGCCGGTCAGCAGCTCTTTTCCTGGCAGGCTGACCGGCCGAGCCTGAGCCTCCCAGCGTCACAACTTTCACTCGAGCACAGGACGATCGACAGTTTGACCGTCCCCTGGGGCATTCGGGCCTCCTCCCAGCATTAGTGAGAGCGGAATCGGCCGGGGGACCAGGCCGGACCCGGGGCCTCCTTCGCATCTTCAGCGCGGAACACAGACCTGTGACCGGTTCCTGGGGCCCGAGGGAGTCCGGGACACGTCAGTCCTTTCGCTTTCAGAGTGTGGGTATGGAGGAGGGATGGGATGATGATGATCGATCTGGTCGTTCTGGTCACACTAGTGCTGGAGGGTGTGGATTGGATGTAATGAAGGAGAGAGGAAGAGCAAAACGGGTTTTCTTAGCGGAACTGTAAGGGAATTGGATTAGACGGTCAGATGAGAAAACCGGCTTACTGACTTGAGATAAGTGTTACTTTTAGCAGGTTCGCTGCACAGCAAAGGCAAAACTTTAGATCTGTGATGTAACGCCTAAACAAAGATGAATCGTCCTGGACCCCAGAGCTCATGTCCGGCTGCTTCGCTTTGGCGAAAAACACGCGGACTTGTAGCAAAGTATGAAGAAAGCATTTTATAGGCAGATATAGCTTACAGTTGAAAAAGTACCTACACGATGAAATAAACTGCTAAGGAACTGTAAAGCGTTTCTTTATCACGAGTCACGACAGCCGTTTATGACTCCGTACCATGCGTTAAAATCATAGAATTATCACGGTAACATTGTTTTGACAAATGGGACGTTTTTGGGGTCTATTTTATTCCGAGAATATCTTGACGTACCTCCGGGATATTTCATTTTCATTGGCACCCTTTACGACCCATATCAGCAGCCAAACGCATCACGTCTTCTTCAAAAGCTCTGACTGGCATTTCTTCTGCCCTAATGATGTCCGTAGTGCCCAGCATCTGTGGTTCGTATGACTAACTAGCATGGTCAGCGAAAGGAGATGAATGCTAAGCTGTAGAAATTTGGCAGCTGGGACATACGCGTCACCTGTGGCAGATGCTTTCAATGACCGGCCAAATCCCTTTAGACGGGATGGAGAAAATGGTGACAGGTTTCGGTGTCACTCCGTTAGGTTCGTGGCATGGCTATGGAACTCAGCACATTAACGAGACGTTTTAAGGCCATGTAGTCGGGAACTTAAAAACTTTAGATTATCCATTGAGCAAGTTTTGGAATAAGTAAACACAAAATTTAGTTTATAATTATTTACACTTCTCCGTTTACGGTGAAACGAAAGTGGCGTTAAACAGCTCAATGTGAACAGTAACCGCTGTTTCACCAGGCTATGTTCTAACGAGTCACGGAGAGCTGCTCTACAAACTGCAAGTCATTCGCCACGGCCGACCTACTTTGAATACCACCGACTGAAAGCGAACAAAATCGAGCTGAGTACCGTCGGGCCATCAACCACACTGCTGCCGACTCACAGTCCGACTTACACCTCTAATGGCAATTCACGGTCCGACTTACACCTCTAATGGCAACTCACGGTCTGACTTACACCTCTAATGGCAACTCACGGTCTGACTTACACCTCTAATGGCAACTCACGGTTCATACAATTCACGGTGAGACCACGGACACAGCCGAGTGTGACTGAGTGGTCACGAAGTTCTCTCCCTCAGTGAAACCGAGACGACGTTTCAACGCTTCGCGCTCATCGCCGTGAGAAAGTTTTTCACCTCGGGGTGAATAGAAATTTGAGATGAGTTGTGGCGGCGAGTTTTGTTTCGTGAACTCGTGAAGATTCGTGATGCTGACGATTTAATGTTTGCTGATGATTGTTAAAACACTGGCGTTGACATATTTGTAGTTTATTTATAAAAGTCGGCATCCCGTCATGCATTGGTCATTCATTCATTCAGAACGGAACAACGCTGCGGCAGACTTGAGCACTCACTCCAAACAACGGGGGAACATCGTTACCGGGGGGCAGCGTGGGGGGGGGGGGGGGGTACATTTTCACCGTGGGGTCCATGGAATCATGGAGCCAGCGCCGACGCACAAACTGTGGCAGTCAGGACGCGTGTGAAAGACTTGAAAGACAGACTGTCGACGGCCTCCCAGTTTCGCACCGGGTCGATTTGGGTCAGGGCTTCTGATATTTACTATCTTAAGGCAACCAGCGATGATCTAAGTCACGATCTCAAGATGTCATTGCTTAGCCGCAGCCCTTGTTAACCCTCTTCGACCAGGTGATTGGATGGTTGGAGCCGCCGCCTCAACAACAAGCACACGATTCTCGCGCACTGTAGAATGATGTTCGCGGTGAAAAAAACTAAAACAAGTATCTAGAGTTACACGTATGAGCGATTGACCCACAGATGTGCCGGTGGCGTGGCCCGGGTCAGGTCAGGTCGGCTCGGGTCAAGTCGTATTTCCGATGGTTGTTCAGAGCTTGTCCCGCCGTGATCTGAAAAGAAGCGAAAATCGTCACAATTGTAAACCCTGTATAATCATCCTCTATCTACACAAGAGTGGGAGGGAGACAGCCATGGATGGAAATATGCACCTCTAATGGCATGTGTGACAACTGACAAACGTATTCCATGTCTCCAGCTCCAGTGATAAGGGGCGCCGGACCGGCAATCATGTCATTATATCCAGCCGTGTCACACGAAACTCCCGTTTATGTTCCCGTTACGTCATGTGGAAAATCGTCCGAGTTTGACCGGACAGGAGAGAGTCTAGGCGCGCCATCACTGCCCGGTGGCATGTGGAAATGAATAGGATGTCGGTTTCTACGGCCTTGAGCTGCCCCTCCCTGCCCGTGATTACCTACCCCCCCCCCCCTCCGTCCGTCCCCCCCCCCCGTAGCTCAGAGATGAGGAGAAAGTAGTCCGTCGGTCCCGGACATTGGCAAAGCTCCAAAAAAGAGGTGGCACTGTGCCAACCATTATGACGTTTTGTAGCAAGCGACGAGCGACGTTTTTGGCGTTGCGTATAGTTGCCAAACAAAAGGAATTTCGGCAAGTCATCAACTGTGGAAAATGAGCGAGTGCAACACAATGACGGAGTGTAACGCTGCTTCAGAGGGCAAATACGCGGGCACAAATGACGGCAAGAAACTGAATGTGGTTTCGTAGGAAAACAAAAACAGGGCAAGCCGGTATTTCAACTAGCCACTGCAGTAATGAATATTTGCTTTGGACAATTAAATGGTTATGCCTTTGAAGCATAATCTAGCCTTTGCGGCTCGTCACGTTTGGCGGGGTTTCAGTATGTTTTCAGTACATCGTCATTAGTGTTATCAACCTTTATGCACTTAAATCACGGAGTTATTTAGTTTTACTTATGCACTAACTGATAGTGATAGAGCTACGGTGAATCGCTTAATAACCAATTAGCATATTTGTCCTAATAGCGATTCTTCTCTCATGATCTCTGTCTCTACCCAATCTCTCCTCCCCTCATCTCTTCTCTCCTCATCCCATGCCTCCCTCCCCATCATCCCGCGGCCACCGACTCAGGAAAGTGACACCGGCGCTCCGGGGAGGGCAGGGGAGGGGAGGGGAGGAGGGTGAAAGTCGACCGCGGGCTGAGGCGTGACCGCCAGACTGCCCCAGGCGACACGGCGGCCGGGCAGACATAGGAGAGGGTCGACGTCCTGCTAATGGCTGTATGGAAGCTGAGTGAGGAGCGATGAGTTTGACTGAGAGGGAAGACAGGGGATGTATAGTCGGTTATGGATTATAGATGTGTAGGTAGATATTGGACAAGATGAATAAAGTAGCTAATAGAGTTACCTAAGTATTGCATAGTATTGCATATCAGCCATTAAGCCTATAGTGACTAGTTAGCTCTTAGAATCCCGATGTCCATAAGAATGGCTGTCATCTCGCTTAACTATGCATCGTGCATCAATGTAACCGTCATCTATAGACACACTTCAGCTCACCTTTTCGGATGTGCCCGTTTACTTTTTGCCGTAGCCGTCATCGTGGTAGCTGGGGTAGGTCGGCTTGGGGCACACGGTCACGTACTGCGGCTTGTTCTGGGTCTGCCGGGGAGGAGAAAAATAATAAACGGTCAGACGTGAGATTATGTAAAAGGCTTGGGTTAAAAAGAAGACAAACATATAGCATGATTTGGATCATCGTGCATCAGTTGACATCACGTCTTTTCTTCCATTACCGGTTAGGCTCGACATAAACTCACACTTCCCATGCTAATAACCGAGGTCATGGGTTCGAATCCTGTTAGCTCCCGGTGTTTCCGCTCGTCTCCGCTGCTAACTCACCTTGGTGACGGTGACGTACTGGTGCTCGGTGTTGGTGTGCGTCACGTATTTGTACTCGGGGTACGCCTCCGTGACAGTGTGCGTCACGTAGTGGGGCACAGGCTCCGTCTCCGTCACGTACTCGTAGTTGACCTGGTGGAACAGAGATGGCGTTAGGTGCGCGATGACCTTCGGCTGAGTATACAGATAGGGTTACAATATGGCTATGTGAAGTTACATGAGAGCCTGGAAGCTACATGAAAAGTGATCTTTCATGTCAATAAAAGGATAAGCTTTTATCATATTTAGGATAACAATGTTATAAATAATTGACAGTTAAACGATATCAGCAGAAATGTGTTCGTACCTTGGTCTGGGTGACGTACGAGTACTCGGGGTACTTCTCGGTGTGGTACGCCGTCTTGGTGACGTAGTACGGCTCCTGGACGGTCTCCGTGTAGTACTTGCTGGCCACCTCGGTCTCCGTGTAGTAGGCCTTCTCCGTCTTGGTGTAGTAGGCCGTCTCGGTGAAGTACTGGTGCTCGGTGACGTACTGGGTGTCGTACAGCACCTTGGTGGTGACCTGAGGGGAGGGGCGCCGTCAGCTGACTGAGTGGGGTGAAGGTGACGGGTTCGAGACCCGGTGAGGTATGTTCTCTTCCTTTGGTCGGTAAGAAGTTATTACTAAAGGCGATATTTAAAAAGGCATGTCATTTTTTCCAAATGATGTCATCAGCCATGTCAGTGACAAGTGACGATAAAATGAAAACGCATTTCACGACCTTTTGAAAAGGCAGCGTGTGTAGCCAGGCAATTCAGTTGTCATTTTCCTCCATCACGACAAACCGATTATGAGGGTGATTTGCGGAACCGGCAAGCGAGCGAACGACACGGTGTAAAGTTATGAATGCCTTTCGCAATCCCCCTTCATGACCGACCACTATAGGAGCTGCCCCAAAACTCGCATTCCATTTCAAGACTACGCGTCGCCAGTGATTACATCTCGGGCGCCACGCGAGAGAGAAAGTGGTCATCTCTCAGCTCTGTCTCGCTAAATGGTCTCCCCGTGGGGATGAATGCGACAGGCGGTCCGTTTCTAACAAACGGCTCCGTGCGCGGCGCGGTGCCCGGGTTTCCGTCCTGATTTATGAGGTCCACGGGCTGTTACGTCATCCGAGTGGCAGCAGCCACCGACGATCGCTGGAGTTTCACAATGGACCGCCCGCGGTCATTGGACGGGATTCCTTCATGGAGAGAAAATCTGTCTTCATTCGGTCAGTTTCTCCCGATGAGAAATCCTCGTTTGACCGAAAGTGAGGCTGTCCGTGAGGGTATCTTATATGGAATAATTTGCTCTTCCTGCATCAATATTGTTTTAGGATGAACGATTGATGATCTTCATAACTGGTTCCTGGATAACATTGGCGGGCAAGTTTCTATGAGAGATAGGAAGCTGATGGTTTCAAAACAGAGAGTTTATGTAGCTGATGGTGTAACGAATCAGCAGCGCATCTATGCTGCGCTTTCCGAACTAATTCTTCATGCATACCGACCTTCATAAGAACTATTCAAACGCGTTCGGATGGCAGCGGTCAACGTGCGCAGGAATCGGGCACGACTCGAGTATGTAGCATGTTTTGCCTCGCGGTCCATCACGGTACTGAAGCTGTACCTCACTCGGTACCTGACGCGGTACTGACCTTGACGTCGGGCGCGATGTAGCTGGTGACGTACTGGGTCTGGTACACGGTACTCGGGTAGTACAGCGTCTCAGTGATCTGCTGGTACAGCGTCGTCGGCTTCACAGCCGTGTACGTGTTGTACGCCGTCTCGTAGCCGATCTTGGTGGAGGCCACTGAAAAATGAGAGCGGGGGTTAGTTACACCGATCTTGGAGAGAAATAAACAGAGAGCTTATCTTTGTGAAATGCATGTTATTGGACTGAGCAAGCAAAAAATTGTCTTAAATTCTGATAGCATATTATGATGGTGATGGTTGGAAATTTTTGTTGTAACGGATAATAAAACAGCGCAAAAAGGCGATGATAATAGGTAGGTAATGAATCTGCACTCTGGGTAGTGATTGTTAAAATTACGCAGAAAACACCCAGCGAGTCTTCACTTCTCTTCCCGCCTTTCTTACCGGTGACGTAGTGGGTCTCAGGCTTGCAGCCGTACCCCTTAGCGGGGGCGCCGTAGGTGGGGGCCGGGGCGCCGTAGGAGGGCTCCAGGGCGGGCGCCGCGTACCCTCCGCCGCCGCCGCTGCTGTGTCCGTGTCCTCCGCCGCCGCCGCTGCTGTGACCGTGTCCTCCGCCGCCGTGTCCGTGTCCGCCGCCCCCGTGTCCGTGTCCGCCGCCGTCGGGCTTGGGCACGGCCTGGACACAGGCCAGCGCCAGCAGAACGATACAGGCCGACTTCACCATCCTGTGGGGGAGAAAAGAATGAAGGTTATATGGCGGTAAACAAAGAGGGACAGACATTTCGATTCATTCATTCATACTTTTCTCATTCATTGCACCTGGTATTATTAGGTATGTTTAATTGATAATTGATTAGGTCATCGATCATAATTTGAAGACATGTTCACAAGTACAAGAGAGAAAAATTAGGATACCTATGTGCTATTGTTTACATAATTATCATTGTTGTCTACCGAAAAGGGTTAACGCTCGGAATATGAAAAACGCTCCTGATGGGTATCGAACCGAGGATCATTGGGTTTGTTTGCCAGCTGACCGCGTCGCTAGTGGTTTGGTCACCCGTCATTGACCGTGTCACAACACGTGTCGGTTACCGTCACGCGTGTCTAACCGTCACGGAATGTGACGGGTGATTACATGGTTGATGTGGGAGTCGATGTCCCCGCCCTCTCGAGTTTCGAATTTCGGTGTAGTTTGGATAGAGAGTGACCGTGGGAAGGCCATGGGAGCACCTGTCCCGGGAGGGGAGGGAGCCACTTATAGTGACCAGTGACCATAAAATAATTAGGTGTGGGATGGTGGATTAGCTGTTCGATGCATAATATGATTCTTGTTTCATGTGAATATTTGATCCTTGCGATTGAAATACGGTTAAGGCAATGGAAGCTACAATTCCGAAATAAATATTCATGAGCAATAATTCAGATTGTCACTGTCGTGGGGTGCAAACTGGATTTCTGATTTTATACCGCCTTTCAAAATAACCTCGCAATAATCTTTCAACATCTCGGTTAATTTCGCCTCACATCTGCCAATTCCTCTCACTTCCCCAACTAGCCCGTCCGGTTTGCAAAGGCTGCCAATCTAGCCAGCGGCCGCGAAAACGCCCAGAAGCTGTCGGTCTGCTTTCGCTTTTCACTGGACCATTGCAAGCAGCCTGGGTGACGGGACGGCTACGGGAGAGCAGCCCGCGTGGATCAGCGCCCGACGAAAGTGGGCAGGGACCGCCGGGGCCTGGCACGGTGCCAAATACCCTCAGGGGTGGTCATGAGGAGAGGAGGCGCGTTTCACCTCGCCTGAACGGGAGATAATGGGGGCGTAATCGACCGCGGAAGACGATGCCCATGGTGTAACGGCGAGAAATACGAGCAGCACGAAATACGTTCTTCAAAGTTACGATCTTTTGGGCTTCTCAAAAACCTTTTTCATTACTGGGTGCAGAGAAAGTAATCGGTAGTTACTATCGAACATTGAATTTTACTTGAAATAATTCCTATTTCTTTAGAGGTTCGAGGAATCAGAGTTGTCTCCAGATTAAAAATTCACATGTTAATTTCACGAAACCGAATTGAAGTAAAGTTGATCAAAATAGCCACTAGACGGTAATGCATCCTGGCCTGCTTGACAGTCACGGGTCATATAAAGGTCGACCAACTAGCCGTGCTCGGTGGCCATTCGTTGCACCTAAATATTGGACCGATGCCGTGTGCCATTGGTCAGCCGACCGACATGTGTTTTAGAAGTCATAGCACGAGTTATGACAAAATAACGATCATGCTCGTCATCAGTTCCGTTATAATTTCTCAATTATAGGTATCTATCGGCAAAAGGGTAATGTTTTTACTGTCCCTGCTCAATGTGAAGTTCATTTACGTTTTATTTTTTGTTAGTGTGTACAATTACAAGCTATCTTTTGAAGACGGAATGGGAAATGTCGTATTACTGATCAACATAATAATGTATCGATTACTTCGGAATTTTCTTAGATGCAGCTTGGCCAACTTTAATGGCTTGGTGAGGCAGCACCTTTTATTCAAAAAATTTTTAAGTGAATAAAAATTAGCAGGATTCGGTAAAAATTTAATAAGAAATTAAACGAGATGGCGCTATTAAAGAATCGAGTGCTCCTTTTTGTCACGGAGCGTCGTCATCATGGTCAATTTTGATAGGAAATACATTTTTTTAATTTCTTTTCGGAATCACTGAAAGTATCCTGGTTTTAGCGCACCACTTTTCACGGTGGCTATCGCATCCCTGTTTCAACGCACGAATTATATCGTGTGGTCAGCCCGCGCTCGGGAGTTTTTCACGATCACTGCACTAAGTCACCATCACTGCACCACAGCCACTTCGGGGGCACCTCCGCCGTCGAATCGCTCCTCTGCCCTCCCACCGCAGACCGCCGCTGCTCACCTGACAATCCGAATGTGGAACACACACTGCTTCTGAGCGCCGTGGCGGCAGCTTAAATACGCCCCCACCGCCCGCCGCCGGTGACGCCTTCGATGACGCCGCCGCCGCCGCTGCCGCCGCCGCGCGATCGTCCACTTTCGCTGTCCGACGAGGGACGCTGGCCGGCGCGGCTGGGGCAGAGAGGTGGCTGTGGGGCGCGGGCCCCCTCCGGGACGCAGCCAAGATCCGGTACTGGTTAGTAGGACTGGCGCCGGATGTCCTCCATAGGTCAAGTTGTGACATCAAGGGGACGTGATGTGTGTTTGTGGGGGGGGGGGGGGGGGGGAGTCGTGTGGTGTGTCAGAGGAATTGCATAGTCATCATTAGATGTGTGTGCTGGGAGTGCGTTAGTTTGCACAAAATGTTTGGTGTTTGGACATGACACCAGCGCAAGCTAATGTAACGACGACCGGGAGACCAAAGCTGTATCCAGAGCTACTCGTAGAAGAAGAAGATAATTTACACCCTCTTGAAATGACTCGAGACGCGAAAAACTGGATGTGTTTTCGGAAATACGGAAAGAAAGACAAATTTGAATCGGTCCGATTCGTTTGACGATCAGCGACCAGTCGAGCAAATCTAGCCGCTGGACGTGCGTTTGTTGACGTATTTTGTCCGTTGGTGTTATTAATTAATCCAAAGTCACTCTTGCCGAGGAGAAACCAGGAGAAACAGATAAAAGTACGAGATAAAAGTACGGCTCTGCGAAATATAGGTAAGACTAGTGAATACCCTCCAACAGTGGAAATGTTGGCCTTTACTCCACTCGCAGAGCCGAGCCAAGCGATTTGGTGCTACTGTCCTGTGACTCACTGCAGTCTCGGTTATTGGTGTTACTGACCTGTAATACTCGTACACTGCATTCTCGGTTATTGGTGTAAATGTCCAGTGGTTCACTGCAATCTCGGTTATTGGCGTTAATGTCCTGTGATATTGCAGTCTCAACAAGTGGTGTGACTGTCCTGTGACACGCTGCAGTCTTGGTCATTAATGTTAGTTTCCTGTAACATATTGCGGTCCCGGCAATTTGCATTACTGTCCTGTGGTACATTGCAGTCTCTGCAGGTGTTACTGGGCTGTGATATATTGCAGTCCCGGTTATTGGTGTTTCTGACTTAGTTGACTTACTGCAGTCTCGGTTATTGGTATTACTGCCCTGTGATACACTGAAGTCTGTGTTGTTGGTGCTATTGTCCTTTGATGCAGTCTCGGTTATTAGTGTCACTGTCCTGTGATACACTGCAGTCTCGGTTATTGGTGCTACTGTCTCGTGAAGTATTGCAGTCTCCGTTAGTGATACTTCTGTCCTGTGGCTCACTGCAGTCTCGATTGTTAGTGTTAGTCTCTACTAATTGCAGTCTCAGTAATTGGTGCTACCGTCGTGTGATACACTGCAGTCTCCGTTATTGGTGTTAATGTCCTGTGACGTATCGCAGTCTCGGTTACCGTCATGTGAGCTGTCGCATTCACTCGCGCTGTGTTCTGCCAATTGACGCCTCTACTGAATGTAATCACCTGTCCAGCCCCAAAGAGGGCCTCTCCGCCCATATCATCCTGCTGTAACCACCCTCCGCCCAGCGGGGAGAAAGGAGCCCGACCCCGTGACTACCGACCATCGCACCCGGTACTTCCCGTTGACACGACCTGGGGCGGACGGCAGCACCGCCGTGACATTCACTGGGCAAGCTGCCATTTGGCCCACATTTATCGTGTGTGTTACATATTTCAGCTAGCCATGATGTTGCAAATGTGTGTTTAAATACATAGCTAGATCAGTCAGTGACAACACGCATGCTGGTTTTCTTTTTCCTGGCCCGAGTGAAGTCAGGAAGCTATATTTCCTCTCGCTGGATTAAGTTCCGCTTCACTATGCCAGTATGTGTGGCGGTGACTGCCGCGTGTGTCTGTCACTGTAATGTGTGTCTTATGCTCAGGGGTATCCTCCATCAATGTCGCACTTTGCATTTTGCAGCGGTCAACGTGCATGCATTGTGACGCTGCACACCAAGCAGAGATGCACGGAGCCTGCACCGAACCTTGCACTGAGCAGTTGCTCCGAACATTGCTCAGAACATTGCATCTCTCATTGTGTGGTGTGTTGCAGCTTGCAGAGTGCCATTACATCGAGGAATTTACTGAAGGTGAAGGTAACTGATGAATTGTGATAAGTTTAGCTTTGCTCAAAATGCAGCATATGACACTATGAAAAGAGACCGAAACAATGAGTTGCAGACAGTTTATGCAACTCGTTGCAGTAATATCACGCATAACGTCGACTGTGGCGTTTGACTAAACGACATTCACCTGGACTTCTGCACTGCAACCATGATGCTGTCAGTGCCGTGTTACAGTAACTCTGCATTGTGTCAGATAGATTGTCAAGCTGTCAGTATGTCAGTCCGATAGCGATCTTTGCAGCGAGTGATGAATCTGTGATTCGTGTGATTCAGCGGGCTGTATTAAGCAGCGTCTTGGACAATACATACCATTGGGAGCAAGGTCTCTATCTAGCGCAGGGTAAAGAGATGTTTCTTCAGCTATATGGTCAACTGGAATGAAAATGCTAAGAACCCCAAAACACTGTTTTGATATATAACTCATGTTTTTATTTTGCTTCAGCGCTTTCGATACTCAAATTTAGAATACAGTGCTTCAGAGCCAACTCGATTTGCATTCGTCTGAACTACAGGCGATCACTTTCTCGAACCTTATTATGCATGCTTTGATGGAACACAATCACAAAAACTTTGGCAGGCAGCCACGTTATTTACACATGAATGTTTGACTGATGTGCCGATTAACATACCCACGTCTCTAACAAATAACTACAGGGCCATTAGACCATGTTTTATTACGCGAACAATCAAACAATGCGTGCCTTCGACAGAGGCTTTCCACATTACATAAGGTAGTGACCACTGACTAATGAGATATGACCCTTCGGCGCTCACGCATGACATCTTCTGACGAACTACGGGGATGATCTATGATCTGCAGTTCCTAATTGTCGGCAAAAAAACATGGCTATCGCTGACGCCCCATCAGAGACGCCCACCTCTGAGGGCGTCCATCGGGGTCGTCCACTATTTACCCCGTTTACATGAGTCATTCAGCCTTAACGGATAAGTATATCCGATTAGCCAGGGAACGGATAAATGCGTTTCGGTGGCTCCGTATACATGAGCGCTATCGGAAAAATCCGTTTACGGAACGGATTAATCCGTTAACGCGGCAGCCCCCAAAATACGGATATTTTGCGTATTTTTACATATGTGACGCAGCGCCCAGCGGCGCGGCGGCGCACCTTTCCGAGGCGCCCCACGGAGGGAGTTCGACCCGCGGCGCCCTTTCACCGGTCCTTGGGTAACCATGAGTTCTTCCGCTCCGGGCAAGTCGGATGGAACGCTGGAGCCGTTCTGGTTTAATGGGATGGGGTATACAGAGAGCGAGAGGTCAGGAAGATAGAGCTGATCGCGGGCCGAATACCTGAAGAGGTGGGATTGTTCCTTACGGTCTCGTTGGGATAAAAAACAAAAGAACGTCGCTCTGGAGAAATTTCACAAGCACAAAAAACACGACTAAAATTCCTTGCGCAATATGTATGTTTTACGTTGAGGATGCTTGAAAACATTGCCATCATGCACCAAGCAGTACCGTTTCTCCACATTTCATACACACACTCAGTGCACGATGTTGTTATTTCATTCTGCTATACTCAAGCCATTAACCCTCGCCCGTATAGGGGGGGGGGGGTCGAACGGACCCCCCACCATGGTTTTTGCGAATAACTCGCGTAAAAAGCGGCCGATCGCGACGAAACTTTCAGTACCCTCGCGTTAATCAATTTTACACCTACCCTGAAAATTTCATGACCCTGACCCCAATGACCTTTGACCTGTGACCTACTTTTCGAGACCATGTTTGGCCGGAATCGCGATTCGGCGTATGTCTTTTATTTATTTATTTATTTATTTATTTATTTATTTATTTGTTACGACCCCCCCCCTGGCGTTTCGAAACGGAAGGTCGTAGAGCTTAGCGGAAAAAACCAACGGATTGCTCTCAACGAGATCTCGCGATTGGTGGTATATTTTTTGGTCCTAGGTCAACATTTGACCTACTTTTGACCGGTCAAAGTTCAAATTTTCGGAAAAATAGACTTTTTTCAACTTTCGGCGGCGATTGCGGCAAAACGGTGGGAGATATCGACTTGAAACCTTCACTATCGTGTTCCTTGATCAATTCTCTATCGTTTGGTATGTATTTCGTTTCCCTAGCTCTAAAAATGGCGCGTTGGGGGCGCCGGAAGTCGGCAAGGTCACAGTCGGCGGCAGAAATTCGAAAAATCAAAATTTAATTTTTTGAAATCTGATTGTATTTTTGGATTTGGGAGGTCCATTTGCTCCCTATAGAAGCTAATATTGCTGCATATTCCCATTGAGGTGACAAGAATTAGCAAAATAGTGGTTCGGGCGCTTTTCAAAAATAGTACCGGACGCTGTTCCTCTTGTGACGTCATAGCTCCATGACCTGACCTGACCCGGTCAAATTTCTTATACCATATGATAGCCAATACTTGCCCCAACATGCATGGGAAGTTTCATCACGATCCATCAACCGATGTCCGTACCACCGGCAGGAAACCTCGGGCGTTGGCACTCAGTTTGTGAAAATCCGGCCGGAGGCTGTACCTCTTATGACGTCATAACTCCGTGACCTGACATGACCCGATCAATTTTTTTTTTCGGCAAAAGATGCGCAAAGGTTGCCCCAGAGGGTATTGAAAATTTCAGCCCGCTACGACAAGCCGTTTAGCGTGCACTTCGAAAAAACCTCAGGGGGGGGTTGATACAACCCCCCCCCCCCTAGGCGTTCTAGGGTTAAAACATGGGTAGGAAACTTGTCAAAAAATCACAGATAGCATCACAGTCATACCTGCACGCTCACATGCACACATAAAAGCTACGACAGAACAAGTGCCTTAGCAGCGCGCTTTAAGCCCCGCGAGTCTAGCTCCATGGCCCCCACCGGCAACCGGCTCAGCAG